AACCCTAACCCTAACCCTAACCCTAACCCTAACCCTAACCCTAACCCTAACCCTAACCCTAACCCTAACCCTAACCCTAACCCTAACCCTAACCCTAAATATTATGCTTTAAAAAGTAATAACCGCCTAGTAGTATACTTTCTACTATAATAAAGGGCTTATGTGGTCTAAGCGCTATAGTATAGTACCTACTATCTTTATATTACGCCTAAACCTCTATATTCTAACTCTATTATTATAACTTTTATAATCTTATACTTATTACGTGGCTATCGAAAGTAGGTATATTAATATAAATTAGTATAAAGCGAAAGATAACTGAATTTAAAGTGGATGTAATATTATATTAAAAGTAAGATAAGGCCTAGATATTAAAAAGTAAGATAAGGCTTTAGGTTATAATTTTCCTAAGGTAGACTCTAACCCTAGTAAGTGAGATAGACCTCATCTCACTTACTAGTAATATTAGACCCTTTACCCTAAGTTACTCTAACTGTATCTCTCTTTAGGTTTAGGGTGGATCTAATATAGTAAACTGTACTTCTTTTAGTGTGTTTTTCCACTTAAAGCTGCTTGCTTTTCTTATAGCACCCTTATCCGGCCCCTTAAATACTATATAGTACAATCGGCCTCGGAATCTTAGTATAACCGCAGTTTTCCGAGTCGTATACTATTAGTATTTCTTAATATACTCTTTAATATAATTCTTTTTATTACTTTCTAGACTTATTTAATAGGTACTATAAATAAGAATACTAAATTCTAAATTGTATTTAAATCTAAGCGGTAAATTATCTACTTTAGTATAAATATTATTATCTTTAGAGGTAGTAGAAGTAGATAAAGACGTATTCTTTAATCTACTTAGTATATTAGTATATATTTAAATTAAGGTAGATTAGAGTTACTTACTTAATTGTTTTTTTATTTAAGATTTTATAGTTCTTTTATAGAAAATTATATAGAAGAGATTAAGCTTAATATTCTCTACTTAAAGTATTTTTTTGAGAGAGTTACTCTCTATAGATAGTATAGATAGATAGATAAATAGATAGATAAATAGATAGATAGATAGATAGAGGATATAATAGTATTTATTTATAGTATAATAAGTAGTTTAGAGGCGTAGCTTAAGTAAGAGTCTTTATCTTAGTAAGAGTATAAGTAATAGATTATTACCTAAAGCTTAGTAGATAAAGAAGGAAAGTAAGAGAAAGATAGGAAAGAGAGTATCTTATATAGATAATAGGTAGCTAGCTTAGCTAATTCTAGTTCCTTAAGTAGTTATTATAATTACTTAACTTTTAGAATATTAATTAGCTACACTAGCTTTAGAATACTAATAGTTCTTAAGCTACCTCTACTTAGTCTAATATTACTAATATATTAAAGTAAGCTATTTTAGCTACTAGACTATTCTTCTTCAGTCTAGTATTACTTATTTATATTAATATATATAGCTTTAGCTACTAGACTATTCTTCTTTAGTCTAGTACTACTTATTTATATTAATATATATAGCTTTAGCTACTAGGCTATTCTATTTTAGTCTAGTACTACTAATTTATATTAATATATCTAATTTTAACTATAATACTATTCTTACTTAGTCTAGTATTACTAATATATATTAAAGTAGGCTATTTTAGCTATTAAGCTACTCTTCTTTAATTTAGTATTACTAATTTATATTAATATATATAGTTCTAGTTACTCTACTACTTTAATCTAGGCTAGTATAACTAATTTATATTAAAGTAAGTTATTCTAGCTATTAGACTACTCTTCTTTAGTCTAAAATTACTAGTTAATATATATATATATATAGTTTTAGTTACTATACTACCCTTACTTAGTCTACTACTACTAATATATATTAAACTACATCTAATCTAGTATTATTAATAGTATATACCCCTAATTAAAATACTATTCTTATTTATTCTAATACTACTAAGCTTATATAGTTTTAATTAATATATTATCTTAGCTTAGTCTAGTCTTACTAATTATATAGTTATTATTTCTATACCTCTACTTAGACTAATATTACTATATATATAGTATAGAGTAATACGCTATTCTTGTTTTAACTAGTATTTCTAATTAATATAATTTTAGTTATTAAGCTATTCTTAGGTAAGTCTAGCACTATTTCTATATATTAATATATACTTAGTCTAGTACTATAAGTTATACTAATCTAATTAGCTTAATAGAATATAGCACTAATATAACTTACTTTAGAATATTATATTAATATCTCTAAGCACTACTTTTAGGTATATTATTCTTATTATTCTCTCTTAAACTTGTTAATAGATTGTAAATTTAATTATACCTCTTAGTACTAATTATATATACTACTATCTAATTAGTTTCTCTTATTACTATTTATTAGAGGTACCTTTTTATTTGTTTCTCTTAATATAATTAGAATAGCTTATATGTTTTAAAGAAGATATATACTATTATCTAAGAGTACTCTACTTAAAGCTCTTAGAATAGTATTAGTAAAGTTAATAAAGACTATATAAATAAAAGATATCTATTTTAGTAGTCTAAAAGATTATGCTACGTATTTTCCAAGTAAGATAGCTTATAAAATTAGTTTCTTTAATATAGTATCATTTAATATAGTGCAGTTAGTATCTAGGATTAGTAAGCTACCTAAAATACCCCTTAGATAGCCTATTTTCTAAGTATAAAAGGCATTTTCCAAGTACTTTTCTATTTTCTAAGGGATTAAAATCTTGGAAAATAGGCTCAGAAAATTGGGATTTTCTGAGCGTATTCTATTTACTAATTATTAGGTTAGTATACTCTAAGTACTTAGATTTATATACGTATAGCTTAGATTCAGTTAATTTGTAAAATGAAAGGCTAATATAGAAGCTATTATTACTATTTAGTATTACTGCGAATAGTGTATCTCTTAAGTATTAGTAGAAAAGAACTAAGGCTAAATGAGAGGTTAAGCTTAATCTAGCTAAGTATAACGAGTCTTAAGTTTAGTTTATATAAGGTGAAGTAGAGATACGTTAGATAACTACTTATTTAAGAAGGTAGTAACAATCGTATGTATTATTACTATAAGATTTGTAATATAAGTTAAACACAAGGCTCGTATATGCAAGGCAAAGGGGTGTGAACTATATACTTGGGATTTCTTTATAGTCACCGTAGTCACCGCAGTCACCGTAGCCACCGTGAGCGTCGGTGACTGCTGTACGCGCGGTGATACTCGGGAATGCGTCGATCACTGTACGGTGTCTTCCTCCGATTCTGACCTCGGCCTTTATTGACAGCCTTGGCGCCCGCACCTCTGCCGTGGTTTGTAACATGGAGGCTTGCGTGCTCTGTAATAATGGGCCGCTGACGTGAGCTTGAATAACCCGAGCCCGGAAGTGGCGCCGACTCTGGAGGTTGCTTACTCCGTTTTCTCCAAGCAGTTGAACACCGTAGCTCCTGCTACAGCTGCAGTGAGAATCCTTACAGAGTACAGTAAGCACTTTGAGAGGGTACCTTCCAGTAATGGCTTCGCGCGAATTACGGCTTACCACCCGCCTTCAATGAGCTGGTAATTGTTGGTTAGACTCTACAGTCCATGCTGAGTGAGAGCAATTGACCTGCCCTGAGGCTGTATTATGCAACGGTGTTTTCTCCGTGTTTTGCTCCCTCCGGATGTGGTGGAACAATTGAGTATATATAGTACCGTAACCACCTCTCTAAAACTGACCGAGTATACCGCTCTTCTACTGCATCTACTATATGCTATTCTGTTTCTCACCATTGTTCCGTGCAGAGCGCTTTGGGCAGAAGCTTGCGGCAACCTATATTTGATTGCCTTCTTGTTCTACAATTGTTTTCATACGCTCTCAGGCGCTCCCCACGTACTTCCTACTCCTGGGCCGAACGTTCCTTATCTGGGTACAATATTGTTGAAGGCGTGTTAACCCTCTAACAGTACAACAACTACCGTTCGAGCCATGTCTGCCCTAACTCCTCAGCACATTAACGACTTCCATGCCTTGCTTCCCGCAGAGGAGGTCATCGGCCCCTCGTCTCCCCTGTACAAAGACAACACACTCTGCTGGGCTTATCAAAAAGACCTAAAGCCCGCACTCGTCCTCTGTCCCACCTCCCTTCCCTCTCTCCAAGCTACACTCAAGTACCTCAGCAACAGCGAGCTCGATTTCGCTATACGCTCCGGCGGCTGCGGCTCAAGCTCCGCCAAAGATGTTATCCTCAGCATGAGCGCCTTTAACGACTTCACTTTCAACGCGGAGGAGGAGACAGTTCTTGTCGGCGCAGGCCAAACGTGGGGCGACATCTACCGCAAGATGGAAAGCCTCGCGCCCGGCTTCGCAGTTGTCGGCGCGCGAACTCCATACGTCGGCGTCGGCGGATCCATATTGAGCGGTGGTATCTCGTGGCTGAGCCACGAGTTCGGACTAGCAGCCGACCCCCAAAATATGCTGGACGCGCAGCTCGTACTGCTTGACGGGCGGGTGGTTTGGGCTTCTGAGGAGCCGGCGCTGCTGTGGGCGCTGCGGGGCGGTGGGGGCAACTTTGGCGCTCTTGTGGCTGTGAGGCTGAAGTGCTATCAGTACACCGACTCCATCTACTCCGGCAGTATTTACTTCCCGATTGAGGCGCTCGAGCAGGTCTCGGTCGCCGTGTCTGAGTTCGCTAATCGTCCTTCGGACCCGAAGATGGCGATGCATGTCTTCCTTGGCGGTTGGGAGAGTAGTGAGATTACGGGCGAGCCGGCGAAACCCCCGATGTCGATTATGGTATACGATGCGCATGGCGAAGCACACGGCAGAAGCGAGCAGGGGTTTAAGTGGGCCTTGAACATTCCTGGTGCTGTCGACGAGACTTCCACTATGACCCTCCGAGCCGTAGGCGACCTCCAAGGTAGGTTCCTCCTTGCAGCGCTCATTGGAAGAAGAAAAGACAACCAGATACTGAATAGAGTTCCATCCAGAGGTCGTCCGCCCAATGTTCGGCGCCCTTCACTCCCACCTCGCCGCCAGCATCGTACAAGACATCGACCCGGACTTTCTCCTCCGTGCCTGGAACTGGCTCCACACAGCCATCCATACCGATAGTCGGCTCGGCGCTGGGACCTTTGTTTTGCTGGAGATCATGCAGGAGAAAGCCTTTGGGTCGGCCGGCGCCAATGATTCAACCGCCTGGCCCCACTCCTCCAGCCGTCACATCTTGCAGCTGTTGACGGGATTCGCGCCGGGGTCTGGCTGCTCGGACGAGCTGGCGCTGAAACTGCTGGAGACGGCTCCTGGTGAGATCTCCTCTGGGAGGCATGTGGACGGAGATTACTTCCCCAACTTCCTCAACGGGTACATGCAGCTCGGCAAGGTATGAGTATCCTTCTCTGGCTGCGGTGACTAAAGGAACATGAAAGAAGCTGACAATCGCGCCTAAGATCTTTGGTGCTAACCTTAAGAAGCTACGGCAGCTGAAGACTAAGTACGATCCGGACTATAGGCTTAACAAAGGCTGTGCTATTCCACCTATTGGGCTTTAAGTTTAATACTTTTAGAATATTATGGTCCTACTTCTTCTCGGGATAAAGAAGTAGCTGTCACGGTTCCGTGCACGAGGCTCTACGAATGCGGCTTGAGTCACGTAATTGCGGCTCTATACTATATGCTCCGCACGATTCCTATAGATTAGTAATTAACACTTGACCATACCAATCGATATCGTAATAGTAGTAGTAGATATATTGTATCTTTTAGTGTCTTATTTATCTAGTCTCTTCTAAAATAGCTACTAGCAATATATTTTAGATATCTTTAGCTTTAGGATTGTGCTATTATATAGGCTAACTACTCTATTAAACTATATATCTAGCTAAAAAGATATAGCATATAGCTATATAAGCTCTATAAGTGTAGTAATATTATATACTATATATACTCTTTCTTTAGATACTTAACTGCTTACTAGAGTAGATTATAATAGAAGCTAAAGATATAAGAATTTAGTTTACTTACTATTATATAAAGATATTCTATAATGAAAAGAAAAGGCTATATCTATACGTAATATTAATATTTATACTCTGCTATCTAACTAAGTAGCTATATATTATCTACTAGAACTATAATATTACTTTCTCTTCTTTTTAAAGAATAACTCTAAATAATATACTACAGAAAGAGAACTAATAAGCTTAAGATATATAGGAATAAAGGCTATCTACAACTTATAGTTCTAGAAGTTAGTAGTAGCTATAAATTAGGATAATTCTACTCTAATTACCTAGTACTATAGAGAATTAAAAGATAAAGTTAAGAGTAATATAGTAATAGGAGTAAGACTTAAAGAATTAAAAGATAAAATTAATTCATTAGTTTAAGTTAATAACTAGCTATATAGATAATATCTAGAGAAATAGTTTTACTATATACTATTAGTAATAGGGAAATAAGATCTACTAGCACTAAAATACAAGTTACTTTACTATAGACTTTATTAAGGTGGAGCTTGCGGGTCTCAACAAGGAAGATGTCCTGATTATCACCGGTCAAGACTACCCTACCACCTTCTCCCACGAGATCTACGGCATCGTTACCAAGGTCGGCGCGGATGCTCGAGGTCTGGCTGAGGGCGACTGTGTGGTTGGCTTCAGCTTCGACAGATTCGCAACGTTTCAGCGTACATCAGCATACCTCCTACGGAAGGTTAAGGCCGGTGAGAATGTTGCTGAAATGCTGACCTTGCTAATGGCCTACTCCGGCGCCCTCCACGCTTTGACGACCTTGGGCGATGCCTAAGAGGGAGAGACAGTACTCATCCTGGGCGCTACTAGAGCTACCGCTGCTGCTGCAATCCGGGTCAGCCAAATGCTCAAGGCAGAGACCTTCTTTGCCGCTTCGACATAAGAGGAGGCGACGAGGATTGTCAACATATTTAATGTTCCCGAGGATCACGTCTTCTCCACTATCGACGAGTCGCTGCCCGCCAAAGTCCAAGCCGTGGCTGGTGGTAAAGGCGTTGATGTAATCCTCAGCGCCGGCGCTGTTCCGACGAGTGTGGCCAGAGAATGCTGGAGGAATATTACGCCTTTCGGACGTTTTGTTGACGTTGGCCGCAAGAAAGTTTTGTCCTGGAGTGCTTTGGACAGTATCCCGACGCGCAAGAGTGCCAAATGCTTGCCGTTCGACACCTTGGACTTGTTCAAATACCAACCCGAGGCGCTTGCACTCCTCCTTCGCGTTGCTATCGACCTCTATCGGCGTCAGGCTTTGCCAGCCCTCGGACCAATTCGAATGAGGAACCTGGCAGAGCTGGATAATGCTGTTGCCAGCTTCTCGGATGGAAACGGAAAGACAGTTATTGAGTACAAGCCTTCCGAAGCTCCCATTCACCTCCTACCTAGCCGCACACCTCTGGAGTTCTCTGCCAACGCCACATACTTCTTAGTGGGCTGCCTTGGTGGTCTGGGAAGAAGCTTGACATCGTGGATGATGAAGAGAGGCGCCAAGCGCTTCACTTCTCTTTCTAGGTCGGGCACCGATGCTGAGCAAGCGGCCCTTCTGGTGCGCGACATTCGGGAAGCGGGAGCAATAGTACAAGTCATTCGTGGAGATGCCAGCGTCCGTGCCGACGTTGACCGTGCTCTGGAGAGCGTGCCGGCTGAGTTCCCTGTCCGTGGTGTGGTGCAAGCCGCGATGGTACTGAGAGTAAGTCTTCAATAACACAGGCGTTGTCTTCGCACAATCTCTAACACGCACTAGGACGGTCTTTTCCAGTCTATGAATCATCGCAACTGGACGACTTCGATTCAACCCAAGGTCTTCGGTACAGTGAACTTGCACAATGCCTTGAAAGACCAACAGCTGGATTTCTTCGTCTGCACAAGCTCGATTTCTGGAGTGTTGGGAACGCCGGGTCTGACCAATTATTCTGCCAGCAACGCCTACCTCGATGCATTAGCCTGCCATCGGGTCTCTCAAGGTTTACCTTGCTCATCACTCGTGCTCCCCATGATCTCTGGTGTAGGCGTGGTGGCCGAGAATCTGGAGATTGAAGAAGCCCTCAAACGTAAGGGTATCTACGGGATCGATGAGGAGGACCTCTTGGAGTCATTCGAAGCTGCGATGATGACACAGACCACCGAGAAACCTTTCGACCATGTTATTGCCGGCCTTGATCCCGCCAGGTTACAGAAGGTACTCTCTGGCAACGATGTTACAGATGCATTCTGGTTGCAAGACGCACGCTTCAAGGGTCTCATGCACACCATCTCCGCGGCCTCGGGAGCAAGTGCCCCTGGGTCCGATCACTCCATCTTGGACGAGATAGGCGCCGCCAGCTCTCCGCAAGCAGCCATCGAGGCTATTGCCAACCATTTTGCCGACAAGCTGTCTCGACTGCTGATGGTCGACCGTGACGATTTCGAGCCGGATACCATCTCCATTGCGGACTACGGTCTTGACAGCATGATTGGTGCGGAGCTGAGGAACTGGATCTTCAAGGAATATGGGCTTGATATTCCGTTCCAGCAGCTTCTTGGGCAGGGTATGACTATCAACAAGTTCGCGGCGCAGGTTTGTAAGGTCAATGGCATTGAGTAGGTGATGAGATTATGGTGTGATACGGCCGAGCAAGAGTGGAGGATTTCCGCGAATCATGATAGACGTTTAGAAAGCATACTAGGGGGAATTTTCCTTATCACAAGCACTTATTAGACTTTCAGTTGCCACGAACCGGTAAGTTGCAGAGCCTTCATCTCTGTTAGATAAAGTAGACTCAAGATAGAGCAAATATAGACAAATCTTCTTTTATCTTAGTTAGAGAAGCTAGCTCCTGCCTCTTAATAACTCCTTATTCTAAAGCTCCTATCGACGACTGTGCCTCGAGTACAAGCTTAAGCATCATACATTGCTCCACACGATGCAAAGCTGTATTCTCGAACACACTCCCACCGGTTTCAAGCTTCTTATGTATAGTCTGCAGTCCTCACGATGTCTGCATAGTCGTGTTGCCGCGAACCACAAACTCCCTTCGGCGTTCGGCCCGGAGCGCCAAGCACTGCCCCAACCCAGCATTATTTGCTTCACAACCTTAAACATCTCAATGAAGCTTTAACATCCTCTTCTTCAACTACTAAACTCTGAATTCTATATCATACCTATGTTACAAAGCACTTCCTAAGATGTCTTTCTTCTCACCAAAAGCTCAGTCCCTCATCGACGCGACAAAATGCTCGTACAAACAGCTGGGCCGGAGCGGCCTCCGCGTCTCTGTGCCTATACTCGGCGGCATGGGCTTTGGCAGCCCGGACGGCCCGCTGAAGTGGGCGCTTGATGAAGACGAAGTGTGATTATGACCGAATGCATCTTGAAGAAGCGGTTTCTCATGTAACTTCGCGCAGGCTTTTCCGCTGCTAAAGGCGGCGTGGGATAGAGGCATCAACACGGTAGGGGATTGGCAATATTGTGTGTATAGGAGACGTGGCTGATGTTGGGCAGTGGGATACGGCTAACAACTATTCTAATGGAGCATCTGAAGTCATCATGGGAAAGGCGCTCAGGCACTACGGGATCCCTCGCCATAAAGTCATTCTCATGACGAAGTGCTGGGCGTTTGTGGGGGAGTCGGATGATGTGCCTGGCTTCTTTCCGCCTGTTGGGCCTAAGATGGACCTCATCGCCGCAACGCCAGATTACATCAACCAGAGCGGTGAGCAGCCCTACGCCGAGTTTCTCTGGAATATTAGTATTGATAGCAGAGCAGGATTATCAAGACAAGCAATCTTCAACGCAGTCGAAGCCTCGCTCGCCCGCCTTCAAACCAGCTACATCGACGTCCTGCAAATCCACAAATTCGACCCGAGCGTGCCGCTCGAAGAAACGATGCAAGCTCTCCACGACCTCGTGCGCATGGGCAAGGTGCGCTACCTCGGCGGGTCGTCAATGCGGGCCACCGAATTCGCCCTGATGCAGTTCGTCGCGGAGAAGAAGGGCTGGACCAAGTTCGTAAGCATGCAGAACCAGTACAGCCTCCTGTACCGTGAGGAGGAGCGCGAGATGAACTATTTCTGTAACATGACGGGCGTTGGCTTGATCCCGTACAGCCCGCTTTGCCGCGGCCATCTTGCGCGAAGGCCCGACCAGCGCGGCTCGTCGCTTCGATCGGCGCGTGAGGTCGCTTCGGGAGCTATGCGACAGACGGGATGGGGAGAGGTGGATGAGAGTATTATCAGGCGGGTCGAGGAGGTGGCGGATAAGCGCGGGTGGACCATGTCGGACGTCGCGCTTGCTTGGATCGAGAAGCGCGTTGCTAGCCCCATCGTGGGTGTCACTAGCATTGAGAGACTTGATGATGCGCTCAGCGCGAGGGGGAAGCAGCTTACGCCGGAGGAGGAGCTGTATCTTGAGGAACTGTATCAGCCAAAGCCACATCTGCTGTAGTCAGCTGGCAGAATGAATCACAATGCACTGAGTTAAGCCTGTACACTGTAGCTAAAATCTAAAGACAAGGTGGTGAGACATCGAATGCCTTAACCAATCATACCATTTTTCGCGTTACAGCCCGCGAGACAGGTCCCGGGGGCCACAGCGAAGGTAAAGGAACCATGTGCCTTCGTTCGTCTTCGGACCGAGCGCCGACGCTCGCGCCGAAGGCAACACCGCCGCTACTACAAGCACGCTCGAGATACAGCTTTAAATGCAATAACCTACGGAGTGCTCGATGGCTTTGTCCTCGATTTCTGCCGACCTACTTTTCACTAGGGTATTCTTGCTACCATGAATCTTCGCAACAGAAAGTCCGCCGGATTAGAGCGGTTACCTTACGACACGCTCAAGGTCATCTTCGGATGCCTCTCAGCAGCTGCCTTCTACATTACCTGGGGTCGATCCTTGCTCGATGGAACCTTGATGCAAATACTGGCGCTTCGAGGGGCCAAGACTCCCTCGGTACCGGGCACGAACGAACCTCTGCGAATGACCTTCACAGGGATTGTACCGGTGGATTACTGGTTCACGATTATGGTGCTGTTTTTCTGGGAAGCGCTGGATGGCAGTCACCCCGATACCAGTCTTACAGGGGTCTACTTCCTGGGACAACTCGTCGGCATCTGGATGCTAGTCTGGCTTGAGGGTGCGCGTGCTGGGAGTCTGAAGACGGTCGTATCGTGGTATGTAGTTGCGTGCCGTTGCACTCGGCAGGCAAAGGCTAACTGGCCGGTCCAGGACAGTTATGTGGGCATGCGCCATGCAGAATCTTACCCTCGCGTGCTTCGGGCCAATCTTCTACACGCTCTGTCTTGCCGTCCGCTGGCCAGGAAACGGAGCGCCCAGCAAGGACGCCCTGCTCATCCGTCCGCTTGATCTACGTGTGTTGCCGTTTTCGGTATTCCTTGGGTACATCCTGCCAAGCGTCAGCATGGCGCTGCCATCTCCAGGGATTGTAAGCTTCAGGACTCAGCAAGCCGTGATTTCCGTTTGGACCTTCTTTCCGGTTTGGGTTGGAGCAATCCACGCCATCTTATCGCGCGTCGCCGTCTCTCTGGGTATGGCAGGAGCGGCACGGTCGCCTCAAGCCCACCTCGTCAACGCGCGCGTGCTCTACGCAATCACCATTGTGGTCACAACGGTCGTGCACGTCGCGATTGTGACCCTCTCACTCAGCACCGTCCTGTTTCCGGCACTCTACACGCCCTCTACACTGGCTGCGTTCGCGCCAGCCCACCTGCTCTTTCCAACCGCCAGCGGCATTGTGGCCTCAATCGGCGAGGGCGTGCTCAACTTCATGCTGCTTGATCAATATATCGGGTATGGATCGACGTTGCTGTGGGCGGCCGTGCTACACTGGGACTCATTGCAGCGCCTGTCGGTCCTGCAAGTGATCGGGGCTGGGATGATATCAATCTGCGGTTGTCTAGTGTGCGGACCAGCAAGCGTTGCGGTTGGATTAGTGTGGGCGAGAGATGAAGTGGTGCTGAGCGCTGAGGAAGACATGGTGGGCGGCAAATGCTCTGTATCCAGGAATCTGTGATGGACTGGTGTGCTCGTACCTATGGGGATGTTATGACGCGCGCAGCTGGGAAGGGAAGCACGTGACTGCCACTTCTCCCTTGTTTCCCACCGCTTTGCTCCTGCAAATCAGGTAGTTACATCGACTTATTCTGCAGCAAAATACGCATCACCAGTCCTTGCAAAGTACATTTGCCGTCTCGACGCTGCTCATGTTGACATTTTCCACTCCAATGAACAGGATGCTGCCCGCCAATCTTCGCCCTTAGTTGGCAGGCTTGGAATAGCTATGCCTCCGTGCTCTTCCAATCGCAGTATACTTCACGAAGCTGATGCGACCATAGACATCTTCCCCTTATGTCGCCCGCCCTGCAGCACCTGAGCCCCTGCCTGCGGTATAAATGTAGCCCCTTGACCGTTAGGCCCTTCCAATTCACAGCCCATCGTGAGTCCGTATTCTGGCCACGCTAACGGACAGCTCGACCCGTCATCTGGGAAGTGCTGCACTGAAGTCACAAGGGCGCTGTAAACGCCGAGTCTCGCTGAGGCTCGGTCCGGCTCCGAAATATGTGGTAAGAAGCTCGGCGTCTCGGCCGCATCACGGCCAGAGCCCGAGAGGCCCAATGTTTCACGCCGGGCCGTCGTGATATTCCTCATGGTATGTCGGCTGCGAGAACGAAGCTCGAGTGAGATGGCTCTGCTTGTCCTGCTGTATATCTAAAGGCAACGTGATCATCGCTGGGCTTCAGAGCTGTCTCCTATCGTCCGTTCTCGTACTTTCAGGAACCCCCTTATGGTCTAAAATGTCTGCTTCCAACGCACTTCCAGTGATGGCCATTCTGCATCAATTGCTCTTTCTCTTGGGGTCCGGAGCAGTTTTGGGTTTTCTATATGTACGGATGCACTATGAGCGTGAAACGAGATCCAATGCTTATATACCAAGGTAGATGGTCTGTCTGGCAGCGTACCGGCTCTCGCCCCTGCATCCTTACTGCAAGTATCCCGGCCCCTTGCTCGGAAAAATCACAGCGGCGCGAAGCTTCTACTATGCCACGAAAGGATCCATTCACCGTGATATGCTTGCTCAGCACGAGAAGTATGGCGATGTCGTTCGTTACGCCCCCAATCGGATCCTGGTCAATACTGCGGCTAGCCTAAAAGATATCCATGCCCATGGCAAGAACTTCCGCAAGGCCGCTTCCTACTCAAGCTTCATCGCATAGAAGGATTCACACAGCACCCACAGTGTCATCGACAAGGCCCAGCACAGCCGCAAGCGCAAGCTGATCTCACAAGGTCTTGGCGATGCTGCTCTGCGGACTGCAGAACCCAAGATCCAGGCCCGAATTGATGTCTTCCTGAAGCAGCTCGCAGAGGTGGACTATGCCGCCGGTCAAGCATTCAAGGCGCCTGCATCGGCTCGGAGCTGGGGCCCAAAGAAGAACATGTCAGATGCCTGCAATTTCCTGACCTTCGACGTACGTTTTACCCTCCTTCGATGATTCAAACCTCCACTCTGACCAAATACTCCAGGTCTTCAGCGACCTCCTGCTGGGAAAGTCCTTTGGCATGCTGACCTCGACCCTCAACCGCTTCATTATCCGCGGCGTTGCCTCGTCCTCCAAACGAGCCGGCATCTTCCTGCAGATGCCCTGGCTCACAAATCTCTATGCGGACCTCATCCTCTTCCCAGACACCGCTGTCTGGAGATCCCAGTTCTTCCAGACGGTCGTCGACATCTCGACCGAGCGTCTGGCCATCAAAGAAGGGCGGCAGGATATTTTCCAACTGATTCAAGACGCACGAGATCCGGAGACCGGAGCGGGAATGTCCATGAATGAGCTCGTCAGCGAGTGCACGCTCTTGATTGTCGCCGGCAGTGACACTAGCTCGACCACCCTCGCCGCCGCCTTTTTCTACCTCGCCAAGAATCCGCACGCTCATCAGCGTCTGGCTGATGAGATCTGCAAGACATTCCGCTCTTTAGACGACATCCAAGGTGGAGCCGAGCTCAACGGATGTGCTTACTTACGCGCCTCCATCGACGAGGCCCTAAGACTGAGCCCTCCTGTCGGCGGTGCACCCTGGCGAGAGGCCCAGCGTGGAGGCGCAAACGTCGACGGTCATCGTGTGCCTGCCGGCTACGACGCAGGCGTCGGCACCTATGCAATGCATCATAGTCCGCAGTATTACCCGCGGCCGTTTGACTACTGTCCCGAGAGGTGGCTCGGTGAAGGCTCGTGGACGCCGGAGAGTGTGCAGAAGGCCAAGAGCGCGTTTCATCCTTTCTCCCTTGGTAGGTCTATCGCACGCCATGTTTGCGGTGCCATTGCTAATGCTTGCACCAGGCCCGAGGGGATGTCCCGGAAAGTCCCTAGCGTACGTAATTGATCCCGCGGGCTCGATTGCGATAGAGTATAGCTGATCATGTCAGATACCTCGAGATCTCGCTGGCGCTTGAACGGACTCTCTTTCTCTACGACTTCCGCTTTGCAAACCCAGACGATGCAAATGCTAGTGAGTATGTGCTGACGGACCATTTCACGTCTGCGAAAGACGGTCCGCAGTTGGTGTTTAAAAAGCGTGTCGACGCGTAGGTGTGCTAGGTCGTTCACGATCTGATGAGAGTAGAGTCTACGTGTATTGCCTTGCTACTCAATCAGTGCGGTGATGGTACATCTGCTTGGGTATGACGAGACTAGAAGGCGTGCGCGACGAAGGTGTCTTTCTCGAGTCCAACGAATCTAAGCAGAGTCTAAATAGTGTAGCTCTGAAAACAGACAGTCTTGCGTCAAACGTGCTAGCCTACAAGGCATCATACTGTGTACTATTGTTCCTCAGTCGAGTGGGATTGTCTGCTGAAGCGCTTGTAAGAATGTTGGAGCGAGAATGATCACGGGAGAGGCGCATGCATCGCCAGCTCCGAATAGTGCTTGAGATCTAAGCTTTCAGTCTGCTGTAGTCTGCGCTCAAACAGATCCAATTCTTTGTTTGACAATGCTCACGGTGTTGTTATTGCTCATGCCGTGGATCATGATGTGGAGGGCCAGTGCGGCGGCGGGCTTCGAAGCGGTTGCGGCACACTTTCACAGCCTCAAAACAACAACAGGTGCGCGAAGGCCACATTTTGTATACACACTCACTGGAAGAGTGGGAGCTTCATCATGAAACTTCTGATCTGATTTGGGCTTCGATCTTGGAGTCATTCAGTAGGCAGCTGTAAACTGCAAGAACTGAACGGTTTATATGGATATGGTTCACATTTCCCCAGAAAAATTCGTGGAAGGAGCAGCGGTACCATGAGTCCAGAGCGAATGTATTGACGGTACGAAGCTTAGGCATAGTGCCACGAGGTCCCGCAAGCTTTCCCCCTAAGAAGAATTACCTGACTGCCCTGTCTCCGGCGCCTTCTCCGATTTGTTATGAACCAGATCTTGCGTTCACCGCTGTGGCCTGCTTCCCACACTCATAATCACCTTGCCGATGTAGATGGGAAGAGTGTTTGCCTAGTCTCGGGGCTACGACTGCACATTCTCACCGTTACGCAAAGAGCTTGTTCCTCTACAAATGAACAAGTCAGTACCAACTTCGTCATGCGCGCTTCTTCTCCGCGCAGGGGGTATACTTACACCCAAGAACAAGGACAGGATAAAGCACGCTGCGCTAGCAGCCAGCAGGAGGTACCAAACATTTTTAATCGAGGCCACAATAGCGGCGACGACAGATGCGCGGGCGGCCTCTGGGAGTGTTTGGTACTCCGTACTGTACGTTCCAGCAGCAAGACTCCGGATCTGTTGCACCGAGTACTCCGATAAGAGGGGAGAGACATTCTTGACGGCGGTGTTTTGGAAAATGGACCCAGCGACTGCGAGGAAGAAGGTTATGCCGAAAGACTGGGCTTTGGGACGGATCAGCACATTGTCCACCCTGATAATGTGGTAGCTCTCGGTACTCACCGACACTTGTGAAACCCACAGAGTCACTTATCTCTTCCGGCGTCACCAGTGCCTGCGCAACTGGGTATGCCGCATTGACCGACGAACCGACGCCCATACCGAGGAGGGCGGTGAAGCCATAGATAGCTGAAACATGCGTTGTAGATGTCACAGTGACCGGAAGCGTTAGCTAGATTACAGATCAACTTGGGGAAGACATCACTTACCCATCAAGGCCGTGCCGACGGTCATGGCGGCGCCCGCGAAGACGTACCACGGGAATTAGTAGCCGAATTTGGTCATGAGTGTTCCGTTCAAGAGCGAAAAGAGGACGGTCATGGCGATGTATGGCAGTAGGCGGACAGCGGCCTCAAGTGCCGTATCGCCCTGTTACGCAATCAGCTGAAGGCCGAGTGCGCCGAAGGAAAGGGATTCCTACAAATGCGAACTGGAACAGCAGAGGAATGAAGTATGCCGAGCCCTTGTTTAGTCAGTGGCTGCAGTGCCTCAACTCGGTCTTTAGACTCACCAAGAGGATTCCAGACAGGAAAAACAGCTGCATTTGGATGTTGACAAGCAGTGGTCGCCGTGTAGAGTGCATTGGATAGAGCCTTTGCGCGCGCGGAATGAAGGGGTGGAAGTGCTGGGAGAGAACGAAAGCAATGAAGAATACACCAGCGAGGATCCAAAGAGCGATCTCATTCGGGGAGTCCCAGACGTAGTAGCTGCCTCCAAAGTTGATCGCCATGATGGAGCAGGTCATAAAGGCGTAGAACCAGCTGATGCCAAACCAGTCAACCTGCTTCAGCTTGTCTTTCAACGGTGTGTCCTTTTGAAAGTTGATGTTTGGCAGGATCCACAGGTAGGCTGGGGCGAACAGTACACCGATGGGCAGGTTGATGTACAGAGACTGGAGCTTGTCAATCGTAATTCTTCAAAGACTGAGCAGCCAGACTCACCCATCTCCATGTGGCAGAACTGTCTGCAAAGGCGCCACCGACCTGGGAGATCAGCCGCTGCGAGTGAATACTACAGAGAGCTTAACTTACGACTGGACCTAGCACGGTCCCGACGCCCCTGTAGGAATGTCAATCAAGATCCCACCGCGACTTCGTTGAGAACCCTACCAGATCACGCCCAGAATGCCCATGTAAGTGGGCCGTTCTCTGACGGTTGTCGTCACAGCGAGGTACGTGATGCATCCAACGTACATACCGGATCCCTAGCTCGGAATCAGCACTTGTGGGGCAAGGAGACTGTTCTCTTGGGACTTACGCCGATACCTCTGCAGATACATCAGCTCAACGAAACCGGAGTAGCGTGCACGTTGTGTGGAGAGATGACTCACGCAATGACTCTCCCCAAGATGAACGCATCTATCGTTGGTGCAGCTGCACAAAGCGCACTGCCAACCTCGAAGATCAATACGGTAAGGCAATAAAGCCACTTGATGCTGAATACTCCGTATGCCTTGCCCCTATCGACGGTGTGAGTGATGTTGACTCTATGACGGTCTCCTAACACTTTCAGATGCGTACCAAGGCAGAATGGAGACGGCTCCGAGAGCAAATCCAGTACCCATCCAAGGGAGCTGTTCGATCTCCCCAAGGCTGTTGATGACTGCAGGCTGAATGTCGGCCACCTTTGTTGCAGGTCAGTACCATCACAATACGGACCGTTGGAAGCGAGACTGACAACTGTGTTATCGAGCGAGAACAAGAAGGTACTGGAGAGCATAGCGGACACCGCCAGGAACCACTGCAAAATGGGATTAGCGGCGGCCAACAAGTACAGCAAAGGAAAATGGATGCGTACTTTGACACCATGAATGGAGCGCGCATCTTGCCCGGGTGAAGTTCCTGCCTGCTCCACGTCCTGTTGGTTTACAGAGCCATTTGAAGGGCTAGATGCGGAGTTGTCCTCTTCGGGCTTGTGCAGTTTTTTCTCTAAATCAGTCGTTGCCATTTTCGATGTGGTCGATGTCCGGCCAAGTAGGGCAGCTTTTGCTCTTTGGAGTATCTGTGTTCCGATGACTGTTCCGCTTCGTGTCAAACACAGGCGTGAAGGCCGCTATGTGTCCGCCAAGGCAGGTGCTTCCATGTTTATGTAGGAGCTTGCAGCGCCGTTCGGGGCCAGGCGCCGCAATCTCCATTCACCTCCGGGCAGCATTTCACTTTTCGCCGACGGATATAAGGACAAAGTCCGCTCTGGCAGCGTCGTCACCAACTGTGTCTCCAACTGTACACGATGTTGGAGTGTAATCGAGAAATTGACGCGCCTGCGGGCCGAGCCACCGCGGGAACCAGTCTTGGCCTCGCTTCTCGGGCTCGGGCCGAAGCTTCCCAGGATCAATAACACCACCTCACGCCTTGCAGCAACGACTGTGGTTGTCAAGTACTAAGGATGCTGCGTGTTGCTTCAGCGGTGACCAATCCAAGGATGGATGGATTTTGACGCCCTGTATGTCATGGCATGCATTGCGAAGATGCGCGTCACTCAAAAAAGCGATGGAGCGTAAAGTACAGAAGGCACCGTGCGTAGAGGGGCCAGCTATGTCTTTTTTCCAAGGGAATACGAAGCACGGAAGGCATCGTGTGTAGAAGAGCTGGCCATGTCTGTTTTCTGGGTAGACAAAAAAGCGTAAAGAGGAGCTAGCTATGTCTTTCTCCCCGAGGAGACACAGAGGTCCGCCAGATACATCACTTTGCAGATGATTGGATAACCCACACGCAAGAGCATCGGTTTGTATCTACGATAGCACACAAGGCTGCTAGATACCTGTGCTATCCGCAATCTCGTCAATGGCCTCTATCATATGTGATATCTCTTCCCTAACAGCCTTCTGCATCGCTGCGACGAGGAGCTTGACATTCTGCTACGCTAGAATAGCCGACGCTAGATTAGGAACCTAAATTTGTTCAGGCCGGGAAGGCATGGCAGATATATGATACACTCCCTCGCGAAAAGCTTACGTAGGCCGTCTTGCTGTAGAAGGGAAGCTTGTTCGTCTGTAGCAACACCGTAAACGCCCGAAACCGTAAGTTCGTAGTCCCCCCTTGGATAGAAACTGAACGAACGAGTCGAAGATGGCGGGATCGGTGCTCTCGAGCAGCATGGGGCGGCGCGTGTCCATGTCCTTTTTGTTGCAGACGTTGCGGAAGTAGACAAACCCTTTGCATAGAAGGCCTTTGTTCAAATTCCAGTTTCTGCGATTGTCGCTATCTTGCGCGTGGACTTCGATCATGCCCCCTGAATCTAAGGAGCTGTGCGCACGGTCACTGTCGCCTAGTGGACGCGAACGGTAACGGTATCCTCGGAGAACATGCCGGCAACACCCTGGTCGTCGCCGAGCGAAGCCGACAGGCATGCGACACCAGAAGGAGCGTGTCTTCAATGCGAGAGAAAGTCAGAGCCCGCTTGCTAGAGCTGAACTGGCAGCAAGCTCCAGCTCTCACCTCTCCGCCAACCCTGCCTTGAGTTTCCCAACCTGACGGACGGTCCAGCTCATGGCAGGGTGTCCATTAATCGGTCCGTTGTCGTCGGAGGCATTTGGACGGTCCAACGAGGTAAGGACGCGCCATCGGACTGGTAACTAAGCTCCGGGCGGCCCGAGGACGGACTGACAAAAGCTGGACGGAGTTGGATAGATTTGAACGGGTCTTGGCATGGTGTCGTGGAATCTTGACAACATTCACTTGGGTACAGTACACAAGATCTTGCCGGTTGATGCTTTCCTTGGCGCCAAACGCCTGCCCATTGCCCATTGTGCCCACCGCCGCTAGCCGCAGTGTATGATGTCGCCGGCGCCGGGCGCGCTGCTCGGGACCAACTTTCGGCATATCCAGTGTTGCTGGCACATAAGGGCTTCAACCGCCGGCTGCTGTGGCTGAAGTAAGCTTGATGCGAGGCGACAGTGGATTAGACGTAGCTGCTTCTGTGGTGTTGCCGGTGTTGCTGCCGACGCTCGACAAAACCTGTGGGATGGACCGTCTAGTTTCCATGACATCGGGTTACTGTGAGGTTGCGCACCTCAAACTCGCAGAGCCACATCTGCGTGGTGGGGCTGAGGTCATCCTGAGACGGATCCAGGGGCGTAGATTGCTTTGTAGTCACACACGAATTAACACAGCTATTGCAGCGAGTACGCAGCTGCGGAGCCGCCTGTATCGAAGTCACTCTCTGCAGGTTACTTCGGTTTCCTCATCCAGTGCTCGATACTGGTCCAGGACTGCTCCAGACGAAACCTCTCCGTGAGTGGGAGTACTAGGATCGCGAGGGACTGCTCCGGATCGCGCGTGAGCACAAAACAGGCCTTGCATGAGTTTTGGCATTAGCTACATGCGGCGTTCTCTCCTTCCCGTGCTTTCCACTGGGGCTCACCCTTTTTCAGGCAGATGTGGACATTGCCACACCTTTTGAAGCCTGAGGTAGGCCAGCTCCTCAGCTTTGACCTGTCATTCTTAACGACCTTCTCTATTCAAGAAAGAGACTCAACAGCGTCTGGGATTTCTTCTTGGGAATGAACGCTCAAGGGGACAAGACCTTAGACACGCCAGGTCGCTCTGCCGTCTCCTGATTCCCGTTACAAGCTCAAAGCCAGGGTCCATGTTATATTAGCCACTAAAGCTGGTGTGTTCGTCTTTCATTCTTTTTCTACTATATGCCTCTACGCGAATCATGGACTGGCCGTGATAGTCGACTAAGGACGAGTGAGCCTCCAGGTTCCGTGGTCACGATGCGTCCCTCTGTTGCAGCCAGCCTCTTGGCACTTCGACAAACGGTACTTGTGGTGGTTACAGAGCTTGTTGATGGTGTTGATGATGTTGAGCTCTGGCAGGCGTGAGACGGGAAGTGGGTGGAATCTTGGCAACGGCGCTTGGGGCCGAGACGGAGGTTCCAACACCTCCAGGGTTTACTGTACCTCCGGTTGTTCTCGTGCTCCTATCATTTATTGGCAATAAGGTAAGACACCGCCAGAGATGAATTTTCGAGAAGCCCTCGATCTATCATCGTAATATAAATGAGTCATACACGAAGACAAGCTCCTCATGAGCAATAAGTCCGAGGCGTCGCTGCCCCGCTGAAGCTGAACTCGTATCGACTTTGTCAGCTTCGGCCGAGTTGCAAGTAGCGAGCCGTGAAGGACCTCATAGAACACTCCATAAAGAGACAGGTCATATCTGGGCATCTCAGTTGATGGTCATCCACCGCAGCATCGTCTTAACACACAATCATGTCCTCCGGCATCCCTCTTGCGGTCTGCGGCCGCCACGCAGATATTGCGAAAGCCGTCGGCGAGAAACTGTCGCCAGAATACGATAGTGCTTCTCCATACAGTATTCCCTAGGAAATCTTACTGACGCAGGAGCAAGTTGTCCACGTGTGCCTCACGCACGAGGCTGCGCTTCAAGAACTTCCGGCCATCCTTCGCGGCGACCTTGTGGGACCGTCATCGGGCATCGGCACGAACGCTGAGCGGGACGCCGCTGAACGGATAGCCCCTACGGCTGTGTTGATGGGTGGCGGCGTTACGATGGAAGAGTTTCAAGAGTTGAAGGAGAAGGCCGGTGGGAATGAAGATGTGAAATGGTTCAAGCTCACCATGGAGAGGCTCAAGGAGCTGGGAGGTCCCAGCCCGGACATAATCGTGACAGTATGGAGGGAGATTCTAAAAGATGCTGGGTTGTAGTGGAGCGGTCCGCTAGATATGAGCGGAAGGAGATCCAAATCCTATATCCTACACCGATCCAGCGCTGTTTACTGAGACATGAGCACATGTACATGCTCCAACATAATAACAGTGGGTTGAGAATTGGCGTCTCCGTCATCGAACAACCTATTGGAAGTTTGTGGGGAGCTTAATCTGTTATATTCGCTTGGGGAAACCGAGAGTGTCAGCTCCACTAAGAACTCAACTGGCGAGCAACTCTGCTGTCTTCCTGTAGCCTTAGATTGAATCGATATCAGCATGCTCACTCACTTCTCGGATACTCTTGATGATAGTTAACACCTACCTAAATACGTAGCTTTCCGCATCCATGCTTGTACTCCCGTACTCAACACACCCTCCCTTGTAAAGCTTCAGGTGCGAGAGAACCACGGATACAAGGACTTTCAGCCCCAGTTCGAGAGGCACTTGGCCTCAAACAGCAAGTTCTGGGGAACACCCCTGGTGTGTCGACCGAAGGAGCGGCCGCTTGCATAACACGATGGTAATAAATGTCCACTAACAGACTAAGCGCACCCAGACCGCACAAGCCATCCCTAACTCGTCTGCCAACGGCCACTTACTACTGTGTTCTATTACTACCAAGCGCTACAGAGTGCTGTTCAATACCTACCTACATAAAAACTGCCCGCTATCTTGCACTCACGATCCTTTTACAAACTGCACGGGGTCCCTAGGCACATGACGCGGTCCGCGCCTGCTCACGTCCACGTCCGGAGCCTTTGAAGACCGTCCGCTCGCTTTGCCTCGCCTATGGCGGAGTCGTCGTAGAACCGTGGTATGGACCAGAAGCAGCATCTTCCTCCTTCACAGGTTTCTCACGCATCGGACCTTTCACCGCTCGCTTCCAGGTACCGAACAAAATCTCATCGTCCAAAACTTTCCTCTTGAGCTGCGCAACCTCACCTCATCAACCCCACCACCCCGCGACACACTACATAAGCTTTCGTGACCACCACGGCAATATCCAGCCAGGGTTGCGAGTCGTCACTGTCGTTAGAACGGCTTCTCATGTCTCCCAGGATCACTCGCTCTACTGCGAGGTCTCTAGCAGCTTCTTCAAATCCCGACAACGCAAACCCGCCGCCCGCTACCACCGCTCCTCCGCCTAAGCCTCCACCGAAGCCTCCATCTCGCAAGCGAAAGGCAACCACTCAAGACACAAGCCCGAGCGCCGCCGCGCCTACACGAGCTGCTGCATCCCGAGGTCCTAGCAAGCGGGCCAAAGTTGAAGCACCCGAAGATCCTCCCCCACCTCCCGTGCCTGTGGCACGGTCGAGGCGAGCAAAGGCAGACACGGCCATGTCAAACATGGGGTACCTCACACTCGTTGACCGTCGTGGTTCAACTGCTGACTGTAGCAGGCCTCCAGCAGGACCGTCCGAGGACAAGAATGCAAAACCGGCAACCACATCCGCATCGTCGCCCAAGCGTGGCAGCCGTAGGAAGGAAAACAAAGGTGAGCATAGGATTCTCATGACACAGATGGCAAGGGCTGACTGATTTTGTTGAAGAAACGCCATCACGCAAGCCCCCATCATCATCCAGACGTACTAGGAAATCGGCATTAGTACTCGACGAAGACGTCGCGATGGCCGATACGCCAGAGACGAAGAAGGCAGACAACAATGAGAAGGATCCAAGCCAGGACTCGACCGACGACAGCGCTGAGGAAGGGGAACAATCTCACCCTCACGATGAGCTGGACCCGGAGACCTTTGCAAACCGTTATCTTGGGCGGTCCGGCGGTCCAGGCGGCCTCTCAGGGACACTACGCGCGCTGAGTGGCATGATGTCGGCAACAGCTGCAAATCTTCGAGGAATCCTGGAAAACCTTAGATCACACGATCCGTCCGTACAACTTATCGCTCTCCAAGAACTGTCCGAACTGTTACTTCTACTCAATGAAGATCACCTCGCCGGCTACTTTTCGCCAGACCAGTATGTAAAGGAACTTGTCAAACTCATGCAGCCAAGCGATTTTGGCGAGGAGAACCCGGAGATCATGCTTCTCGCATGCCGTTGCATTGCCAACCTGATGGAGGCTCTGCCTGCGGCTACTCCCGCTGTTGTCTATGGCGGCGCGGTGCCTATACTCTGCCAGAAGCTGCTCGAAATCCATTACATCGACGTCGCGGAACAAGCGCTCAGCACACTAGAGAGGATATCCGTTGAGTTTCCAGCGTCTATAGTCCGCGAAGGGGGTCTTACGGCATGTCTCACCTACCTCGACTTTTTCGCTACAGGTACCCAGCGGTCTGCGGTCACTACAGCTGCCAACTGCTGTCGAAACCTGCCGGAGGACTCGTTCCCCGTTGTCCGGGATGCCATGCCCATCCTGCTGAACGTTCTCAACGGCAGTGATCAGAGGGTCGTTGAACAGGGCTGTTTGTGCGTCTCTAGGATCGTCGAGAGCTTCAAATGGCAAGAAAGCAAGCTGGAAGAGCTAGTGAGCACGGATTTGCTAAGTGCCGTCCTCCGTCTGCTACTGCCGGGCAGCACAAACCTCATCGGTCCCACTGTTCACACTCAGTTCCTCAGGGTACTGGCTATCACCGCACGTGCAAGCCCTCGCTTGTCCGTGGAGCTGTTCAAGATGAAGGTTGTAGACACCCTGTACCAAATCCTGACTGGCGTGTCACCGCCAAGTGGTACAGACGATATCGCAACAAAAATCGACAGCGTGGTCATTATGCAAGCCTTGATCCACCGACCACGGGATCAGGTCTTCGAGACACTGAACGTCATTTGCGAGCTATTGCCAAGTGTCTCACGCGACGGCCTGCTGTACTTGGATGATCTTCTCGACGTTGGACCCTCCGGAGATGACTACATGACGTTGTCAGCAAAGTCGAAACAACCGAACGACAAGCGCGTGCAGCTGCTCGAGGAATGCAAAGACGAAGTCAAGCGCTTCGCTACCATACTCTTGCCCACACTTACGGACGCCTACTCCAGCACGGTCAACCTTAGTGTACGTCAGAAAGTTCTTACCGCCCAACTGAAGATGCTCTCCAACCTGGATGTGGATATTCTGGAAGACGCACTTCGAACCGTACCATATGCATCATTCCTAGCCTCGATCCTGTCCCAGCGAGATCATGCCATACTCGTGACTTTTGCATTGCAGGCTGCAGAACTCTTACTGAAGCGGCTCGAGCCAATCTACCGTTACCAGTTCTACCGCGAGGGTGTCATTGCTGAAATATCGAAGCTGGCCAGCCGGCCCTGTAAGATCCCTGAACTCAAAGAGAAGCTGCGGAAAGCAGGGTTTGATGTTGAGCCTGTTGCTACCTCAAGCCAAGACACGAGCTCTGAGGAGGACGTTGATCTGGAGCAAGAAGTTCACATTGCCGGTGATGAAGACAATTCCGAAGATGATGGAGACGACCTCGAGGAACACGACGACGGGATCCGTGGTGGTGACGACGAGTTTGAGTCTTCATCGTCTGAGGAGGAAACGTACGTTCACCCTCCAATGCCTGACGTCGAAGACCTCATTACCCTTCGTGCAAGAAAGTTCATGGAAGTGCATGAAACGGAAGGCAAGAAGATCATGCAAGAAAAGGCAGCCAGCATCCTTGAGGACCTGAAGTCAATGGCTGAAGCTATGAAAGCACACATATCCAATCAGGGCGACACTGACAGTGTCGAGGTGTTCCGACGGCTTGCGGAATACTTCAGTCCTGATCCATTAGAAAGCATCACTAGCTACGAACTCTTGACGTCTGGAATTCTCGGAGCGCTGTTGGATCTTTTCTCCGGTCCAAGTGCGGAAGAGAATGCAGATGCGAGGTCCGCTTTTCTCAAAACCTTCATGAGTTCAGGCGTGCAAACCGATCAGAGGACCGCAGCCCCAAGCGCCACTGCATTCAGCGTGCTGGTTCACAAACTGCAAGATCTCTTAAGTCGCGCTGAGCATTTCGAAGTCATCACTGTCCATCAGAACTCTTACGACAGTAACCGGGGTAGCGCTGCATCGATGCTTGCAAAGCAGCTGCGCTTGAAACTTGTCGCGGACGAAGACTCAGGCATACCGGCGAATTTCCGAAGCTTCCAAGTTACCATCCATGCGATCGCGACGTTCAAAGCACTCGACGACTACCTTCGCCCAAGGATAAGCTTAGCTGAGCGTCCGAGGGTTCCGAAGAGCCGGGAGAGTTCGATCGCCGCATATGCTGCTGCACTGAGCAGCCGATCACCGCTAGGAGGCGGAAGCTCGGCCACTCCACCTTCGAAGACAGCAAACCCTTCAGATTCCACTAATCGCCTCAGTGTAAAGAAAACTCGATCTAAGCAAGCTGCTGTACCACCTCCCGCTACGCCAGGTTCGACTGGAGCACCCGAGAGGCCCTCCAGCACGCGACGTTCGAGTCGACGGCATCAGGCTCAGATTCAAGCGACCCCACCACCGCCGCCTCCGCCGCCAGCGCCCGCAGAGCCCTCAGACAACTTGCAGGACCCTCTTGAGTGCGCTGATGAGGCTCCCTTGGACGACGAAGACGAATCTCAAGATGGTGTTATGGATGCTATTATGGGCGAACTCGAGGATGAAATGGATGAAGATGTGCCAGAACCAGACCCAGACCCAGTCACTCTTGAGTATGCTGCCACTGGCAAGGTAAGCGCTCGCAAAGACGATGGGACGCGGATAGCCACTCCGGTCCAAGGCGCACCAGCCCCAGGTTCTCTTACCGCCGATCGGTTCGAGCGTTTCGCTGCTCTTGCTCGATCGCAAGGCTATCTAGGCGGCTCGGGTTCGTCTTCGCGGCCCATGTCATATGCTGCAGCAATCCAGTCAACGCCCCAAGACTGGCATCTCGAGTTCAGCATGAACGGGCAGACCATTGCGAACGAAACGACCATTTACCGAGCTGTGCACTTCAACCAGACCCAGCCTTCGGAAGTGTCTGCGCGGAACGTCTGGTCGACTCCTCACGTCATCAAGATCAAGCGCGTAGAAGGGCCTCCGCCGGCGTCCAGCTCTCTGAGCCCGACTCCAGAACCTACATCCCCTGTAACTTCTGATCTACCACAGTCACTGGCCAGTCATCCTGCGACTTCCGGCATCCTCCGACTGCTAAGCATCTTGCATGAGCTCAACTCGAACTTGGACGATGTCCTTTCCGATAATGTAGACACGATCAAGCTCAAAGCTGAATCCGTCTCGCAATTCGTCAACACCAAGCTCACCGCTAAGCTCAATCGGCAACTGGAGGAACCACTCATCGTAGCGAGCAACTGCCTTCCCACCTGGAGTGAGGACCTTGCTCGGCTGTATCCGTTCTTGTTCCCCTTCGAGACCAGGCATCTCTTCCTGCAGTCGACCTCATTTGGTTACTCACGATCCATGACGCGATGGCAGAACGCCCAGTCCACCAACGACTCGCGGCGCGATCGACACCGGGACGAGCGGCCGTTCCTGGGCCGCCTGCAGCGCCAGAAGGTCCGCATCTCACGCAACAGGATTCTCGAATCAGCGATCAAAGTCATGGAGCTGTACGGATCTTCGCCCAGCGTGCTGGAGGTCGAGTACTTTGAAGAGGTCGGCACCGGTCTTGGCCCAACGCTTGAGTTTTACTCGACTGTCTCGAAAGAGTTCTCGAAGAAGCGGATCAAGCTTTGGAGGGAGAACGAGTCAGACGACAAGAGCGAGTTCGCCTTTGGAAAACAGGGCCTCTTCCCTGCGCCTATGAGCGAAGAACAGGCCAACAGCGAGAACGGCAAGCGGATCCTGCAACTGTTCAAGGTCCTCGGCAAGTTCATTGCACGATCTATGCTCGACTCACGTATTGTCGATGTGTCGTTCAACCCGACTTTTTTCCGCGTCGGAGATATTACGGCTGTTGCTCCATCGCTTGGCGCTGTCAAGTCCGTTGATGATGGTTTGGCCAAGTCGCTCAAGATGCTCAAGCAGTTCGCAACTGCGAAGAAGAAGATCGACGAGGACGGTCGCCTCAGTGCGGCGCAGAAGGTACAGGCTGCACAGAATATCAAAGTTCACGGAACGCACGTCGAAGATCTTGGATTGGACTTCACGCTTCCTGGATACCCTACCATCGAGCTCGTACCCAATGGCTCCAACATGGCTGTCACAATCGACAACGTTGCCCTATACCTCGAGAAGGTCCTCGACTTCACACTTGGAAGCGGAGTGCAGAGGCAAGTGGACGCCTTCCGGGCTGGCTTCTCCGCGGTTTTCCCTTATTCCGCACTGAAGGCCTTTACTCCGGATGAGCTTGTCATGCTATTCGGACGGGTGGAGGAGGACTGGTCGCTGGAGAGTAAGTGCCAGAATTCTCAATTCCAAAACACTGAGCTAACATTCTCTGCAGCGTTGATGGACTCAATCAAGGCGGACCACGGCTACAACCTCGACAGCAAGAGTGTCCGAAACCTCCTTCAAACCATGAGCGAGCTCTCTCCTACCCGACGGCGGGACTTCCTCCAGTTTGTCACCGGCAGTCCGAAACTTCCCATCGGAGGTGAGCATCCCTTTCTCCGTCTCCACAGCACCTCCCCCAGACCTCCAGCTAACTCACCCTCCCAGGTTTCAAGAGCCTCACGCCAATGTTCACCGTGGTTTGCAAGCCAAGCGAACCCCCGCTTACCTCGGACGACTACCTTCCCAGCGTTATGACTTGCGTCAATTACCTTAAGATGCCTGATTATAGCAGCATTGAGGTGCTGGGCAGGAAGTTGCAGGTTGCGATGAGTGAGGGACAGGGCGCTTTCCATTTATCTTAAGGAGACTCTGAGGGCTGCGAGTTCACTCTGCAGAGACGCTCGTCACTCGCTATGATCCTGACGGCCGGAAATGGGTTGAAATTGCAGACAGGAGACATGAAAGGCATGGATGGTAGTAGGCGCTGGCGGGCATGCAAGGTGTCATTCCCCTTCTCCCCCTAATAATGAGTGTGGTTCGGTTCGGAGTGGCATCGACTGGCTTATGGCATCGTTACTGAGTCCAAGTGGACTAATGGCTTGCATTGACAATCGCTTTCTTGCTTTGAGATTGCATGGCACGGCGAATGATTCGGTTCTTAGTGGGTATCAGGAAGGACTGGGGGTGTGTATGCACGAGCTGGGGGTTTATAGAAGTTTGACATGCTATGAGTGTACTTGAAGTGCTGCTAGTTGGGTAAGACGTAATCCGCAACCGCTCTGGTCGTAACTAAAGCGGGTGAATGCTTAAGATTGGATTACTGCATTTGCTTGTGCGCCTTGCATAGGCTTGCTTTCGACAACGATAAGAACCCGGGCAGCTTTGGATTTGAATGTCATATGAGGCTCTTCGGCGACCCCTGTTTGACAAGGGGCAGATGAGGCTCAAGCGGACCCTGGGATCATCCGGAGAGCGGCCGCACTCCGTCATCGATTCTGCGATCCAAAGCCGCTGACATCTGTCGCCCAAATCCAATCCGCTACATTACCTTCGTTTGACCTTCTAATAGCGGTCGCTACAAAGTTCAGAAGCACCTCACCGGACTAGCAGACCATTGTCTCAGTCCATGCTCCGCGACGTCAGACACACGCCCTTTAGCATCTCAAGTATGATATTTGCAGTATCTCTTGAATCAAGACCACAGGATTCTATAGCCAAGTATGGATGAGCAGCTCGCAGGGTTAGAGGTACATCGCGACATATCGTCTGCGCGGGGCTTGCTGACCGCGGTGCAGAGGGACTACTGTCCGATCTTAGACTCAGCACTCGTTCGTGCTATCTACGCCGACTTCGCCGACAATGGTGACACCGGAATTGAAGAAGCGCGACTGATGTTGGAATCGCTGAAAGAAGCGGCCCTTTATGAACAGACCACAGACTTTGACCCCTCTGGCAGTAGCGGGCAGGCAGCCGTTCTCAGCTCAGAGCGCGACAATGGCCACTCGGATAAGGAGACGGAGAACGGAGCATCGCAGTCTGAAGACACAGACCTGACAAGCCTGTCCAACGGCTTGTCTGCTACAGGCTTGAAGACACGATCTGATTCCGGCTCGGGCGAATCGTCCAGCATGGCAGGCAACAATGAATTTGTCGAGGATGCCGAACGCCTCAGCACCGACGAGAAGGTGGCGCGACTTATTGATACCTTTCCTACCGTCAAACCTACACTCATTTCGTACACTTTGAAGAAGTGCGATGGGAATTTTGGCAGAGCGACGGACGAGCTGCTGAACCACGTCTACTTCGAAGAGACGGAAGCTGATGGCGTGGATCCAGAAGAGCGGATAGTGGCCAAAGGTATCGATGCCTTCTCTGAGGAACACGCATTACCACGGGGACGAAAAGGCAAGGCGAAGAAGTGGAAGAAGGTCGGTTCGGCAGCCAGCTCCAGGGACAGTTCGATACCCGCAGCCCCAGATAGCAAGAGTACCACGAACAAGTGGCAGAGCGCAACCAAGGACATTGAGTTCATAACCTCCCGAACAAACCTGCCATACCAGTACGCATCATCAATGTACCACAAGAACGGCGCCTCGCTCCGCCCAACCATCGCTGCGCTCATTGCGGCCAACACCACAGAAAACGAGGGCAGCAAACCAGACGAACGAACCCATCGAAACGCCCTCGACCTAACCACCGACTTCCCCTCCCTCAAGCTCCCCTACGCCACCGCCCTCATCCGCCTAACCGCCCCCTCCACAGCCTCGGCCCACGAACTCGCCAAAGCGCTCACCACCGCCCCTTCCAACTCTTTCACCGGCGGCGTCGAGCTCATCCCCAAATACGCGCCCCTCGACCTCGGTCTCTCCTCCAAACCCCCCTCCAGGGCCTCCACTCCAGCCCACCCCGTCTCCGCCGCCGATACCACGGCTCTTCTCGCCGCTCGCTCCCATGCCTTTACTAGCGCCTCCTCCGCCTACCGCCGCGGCAAGTCCGACAGGCTCATGCTCGGCGCAGCGGGGTATTACTCCCAACTCGGGCGCGATGCCCACGCCTCTCTCGCCACCGCCTCCGCTTCCGCCGCCGACGCGCTCGTCGCATCCCAATCCACCCCTACCACGCTAGATCTGCACGGCGTGGACGTGCGGAACGCGGTCAGGATCGCAAGGGAGGGCGTGGAGGCGTGGTGGGCGGGGTTGGGGGAGAAGCGGTTGAGGGGAAGTGAGGGGGTCGGGGAGGGGTTTGAGATCGTTACGGGGGTTGGACATCACTCTGTTGGGGGAGTGGGGAGGTTGGGACCCGCGGTGGGGAGGATGCTTGTGAGGGAGGGGTGGAGGGTTAGGTTTGGGAGTGGGAGTGTTAGGGTTGTGGGGGCTGTGAGGAAGTAATCGTTCGTTTTGGCCGGGTGCCTAATGTATGAGAGATTTGGGGAACTATCCGTGCGATGGAGGTCTTGCGCTTGGTTTATTTGAACTTGCATAGCGAGGGTGTTTAAAGGTGCATTTGCAGGTGTTGATGTCGCTTTGGATACGATGAAAGACAGCTGTATTCGGAGCTTAGACTCCTTCAGTTCGTGTATTCATGGCGTTCCCCAGTAACTCACCACATGTAATACTGGCGAGTTCACATCCGTGTCTGGCTCAATGGCGTGCCGGTCAAATCGATGACTTCTCATGTCTACCGACTAGACTATTCTCAGCGATAATTCTTGGAGCTAAAGACAATTAGCAACGTCACAAGTAAATCCCAGAAGCACTCCTAGCGAGAAGGCATCCTAGCGAGATGGGCATGCTTTCCAGTGTTTGCTGCTGCACTGAGTTCAGTCACAAAAGGTCAGAGAAGCCTGCAGCCAAATTCACTCGTATCATACACATGCACAAAACGAAGTCTAATTGTTCCTGGAAGGGGGTTTTGAACTTGGTTACAATACTAGCACGCTACGTGCGCTGTACAACCCTATATACAAGTTGAATATCCCATCCAAAGTATCAACAGAAGCCTGTACAGTAACGGCTTTACAGTCCCCCTTGACTCGCCAGTCTCAAAAACGCCGATATGCAATGCAGTGCTGATTTCCATGCCCCCATTAGTGATAAGCGGCCGTGACTTCGTTGCCCCGCTTAAGAACGCAATGATCCCTCAGCGCAACCCTCTCTTATTCCTCATGTTCTTTTATCTGTCGTCCGACCCCCTCCTTCCTCAACCGCCCTTCCCTCCCTCTCCAACCCCCCACCTCTCCCATTCCGGGGACAGCGGGGTGAAGAGCTCACGGCGCAATCTCGCTCATGCCGCTCTCGCTCTCGCTCTGGGCTTGCCGCGCGACGGCAACCCGGTTCTGGATGAAGTAGATGCCGTAGGCGATCATGGCCAGCAGGACGAAGAGAACGATGATGATGACGAAGATGACGATGTTGCGCTTCATTTTGGCCGTTCTTTGTCGAAAAGGGGGTGTTGGCGGTGGGTTATGTGTTGCGGGGCTGCGGATTGGTGGTGAGGTCGACGTGGGTTGGTTGCGGTTGGAGCGATGTGAAGTGGATTGATGAAGAGGCCGAGGGTGACGAGGTGTGTATAGAGGCGCGTGAAGTTGGTGATGTCTGAGCGGCGGAGTGGCTGCGAATGTATGCTTGAAGAGACGGGTTTCGTGGAGCGAGATGAGGATGGGCTTGTAGTCTGGAGCTGCCAATTAGCTTCCAGAAGCGAAACTCAGATGCTGCAAGACTTACCAATGACCTGAACAAGCTCTACTAAGCCCACGGTGTATATATATACTCGGCGCACGCGCGAGGACCTCAGTGTTCAAAGGCTTCTCGACGATCGAAGAGGTGCTCGTGAACAGGGTTTCAGGGTTTCAGGGTTTCAGTAGCAGCGGATGCGTGAACTGGCGATTGCAGCTTCTCGGATCGGACAGTCCTGGAGCGAATATGCGATGTCTGGAATGAGAGAGCTGCATCTCTGCGGCTCTTGCAGCCTTTTTGAGCAAATGCACCAGAGGGGCTGGGACTGCTCATCCCAGTGGTGCGAGCAGGTGTGGCAGGCAGGGGGGAGCTCGAGGGCGGGGCTGGTGATCCCGCGTGGCTGGAGCGGCCCGTGCGGGAGATCGGGGGTTTGAGATCTTGGATGCGCGAAATGGGGAAGACGAGCATCATGACGATGGCACTGCAAGGCAGAGAATACGGGGATGTTGTTGTCATCGACCCAAGTCGGGAAAGCGTGGAACTCTGTGATGTTGATTTGGTTGGACCGACTGCACAAAATCAAAGCGGTTGTCAATGTTACCAACTCTCTGATTCAACCGTAACAAGGGGAGCTAGCTAATTAATGGCTGATCAGTGAACAGGGAGAGAAGTGTGTGAGGCGCTATAGCATCCAGATTGACGATAGAATGAACTCCCCAAAAACCGGACTCAAGACCTAATATCTACAAAAAAACCTTCAAGTGTCATTGCTCATGTTGCTGCTGTCTAGGCCATATCTTGCGCTCAAGCCTTCGACTCCACCTTGTCCTCCGACCCAAAGTTCAAGCTCACGCTATTAACACAATGTCGCTCATCCGTCGGCGTCGGGTATCCCTCGCCCTTGAACACATGTCCCAGATGCCCTCCGCAGTTCGAGCACACAATCTCCGTCCTCTCCATGCCAAACGTGCGGTCCGTATGCCTCGTCACGGCGCCCGGCAGCGCGTCAAAGAAGGCCGGCCAGCCGCAGCCGGACTTGAACTTGTGGGTCGCGCGGTAGAGGGGCGTGTCGCAGCCGGCGCAGGTGTAGACGCCGGAGGAGGGCATGTGCTTGTCGTATTTTCCGACGTAGGGCGCTTCGGTGCCTTGTTTGCGGAGGACGCGGAATTGCTCTGGATGTTCATGTCAGCACGTTGTTTCATTCGTGGTTTGAGAAGAGGTGGGATTTCCGGGTGGGGGTGGGGCAGATGCTTTACCCTTGCTGAGCACCGCCTGCCACTCGTCGTCCGACTTTTGCATCGGGTAGGACATGTTCCTGGTGGACGAGCTGCTGAACAGAGAGCCGATGAAGGGGATTGTGGGCATGGACCGCAGGACTGTGGGTCTGCTGAGGGCGCTGAAGGTGCGCGGGCTGGTGCGCGATGTGGCGTTGCTGAAGGCGTAGAGCGTGCGGATGAGTGTCGGGAAGGAGAAGCGCATAGATGAAGTTAATGGAGGTATCTAGTGGGATTGAAGTGGTGAGGTCGTAGGTGGAGAGGCAATTGCGGGCTAAGAGAGGAATGAAGTACTGCGAAGCTGCGCCACCAGTGCATTTGTCAACTGCGTCATCCATCCTCGTCCGCGATCCGCGTCTGTGCGTCAGCCCTACCGCGGCTCAAGGTTTAAGGACTCGGATGACTAAGGTTGATTTCTGTCTACCTAGGCACATGCCTGACAGCTGTCAAGTCTCTCTCTGACTTCAGAACGGACCAAGATTCGGTTGCCGGAGAAGTCTAAGCCTGTTCCTCTACAATCAATGCCAACCGGACAACCGATCTTGAGAAGCACAAGGCAAGAGCGCCACCAAAGAACTATGCAATGTCAATGTCGACTACTCATAAGCACCTTCTGCGGTAGGGCACAAGCTTAAGAGCCTGGAACCACCGTGCGAAGATACTTGAAGACGGCACCAGGATACCACATTCCGAGATAGCTCAAGAGGTAGGCTCTGTTCCCTCATTGATGACCAACACATCTGTCCTACATGAATAGACCGAGCGGCCGCTTGGCCTAAGATTGGTTCCGCCCAGTATCGGATACTCTACGTGGGAAGATTGCGCTCAGCAAAACATGAGGCGCGCTTGGCAGTGGCTTCAGTACGGTTCACCATACCACACTCGTTAGTGGTGCAGCTGCTTTAAGGTTTGATATTGCGGGCTACAAGCAATGGCTGGGTTCACTGTAAGAGCGCCCCGAAAGATCGCGTAGACGGCGCAGAAACAGATGGCTTTGATAGTACCAAGACGGTCTGTATACAGTGGATGAAAAGTGTTCCAGCTGATCAAAACTACACAGAGCAGTGTTGTGAGAGGGTACCGTAAACCAAGGTAAAGTAAACCAAGCGCGCTTGTACATGTCGAGACAGACCAGAGTAGACGCGCAGCCGAAATCGGAGGAACGCCTTTATACGCCGTGCAGTCGGAACAGTCAAGTGATTAGAAAACGAAGCTGTGTGTAGCAATCCGCCACGCGCGCATCCCGCTGCCATCGCCGGCATTGAAGGGGAGAGCATCCTTGGATTCTGGCTCGTGACTTCATACGCCTGCGGCGCCCTCGATTTCATCGGTACCCTTGAACACCCTGCTACAAAGTCAGTTGCTGAACTAGGCCAAGATAGAACACACTCACAAGTGCTGTTCGTAGTATGCCAGCATCTAAATAAAGTCAGCAAATGAAATGGTTTACAATCATGACCTGGAGCCTACCTTCTGCGGACACTTCTGATTGATGACCCGCAAGGGATGCTGGGTCTTCTTCCCGTCGTTCCAGATCACGTATCCGACTCTCTCCTTCTTCCCAGTCTTTGGGTTGATTGGCTCTTCCACCGTGTCGATCTGCATCACTTCCTCCTCCCAAGAGCCTTTCGGCGGCTGCCACTCTTTCACCTTGCCTTTTGTAGACGCGCTGTCCTCTGCTGCGTCCGGACCTGAGTCCTGCTCGCTTTTAGCCTTCTTGCGTCCTCGGCCGGTGGTTGCACTTCCTGTGGGTGTGCTTGCTGCCGCTTCGGAGATCTTGCGCTTCTTGTCTTTGGCGCTTGGGACCTCTGGTCGGCCGCCGATTTTTTTGAAGTAGACTTTCAGCGACTCTTGTGCGCCCTCGCTGAGTGGGCATTAGCTTGTGTGCACACCGTATGGGGATGGATCTTCATGTGATCGGCGTGCAGCTCACAGATTTGATTCGGGCTCCCATGTTCTGTCGGCCTTCTTCTCATAGCCCAGCCATTTGATTTCGTACATGACGACGCCCTGAGCCGTGTAAGCAAACATCACGTATCCGGAGAACTTCGTGACCATACATCCTGAAAACGATGAGACAGGATCTTCTCTACCACGTATCTGATCGTATGTATCAGCAGCGGTCCGTAGATCGGATCTCAAGTCCGTACGTGTCTTCGGCGGCCTCCTCCTCCTCCTCGTCGGCGCCATTCTCTTCTACGTCGCCGTTTTTCTCTTCCACATCCTCGTCCTTCATGGGGGTCTTGAAGGGTATCTCGGATTCGGAGGCCGAGTCTTCGTTGTCGCTTATGGCTGCTGGGATTGAGGAGTGGTGTTAGCTAGATCGATTCACGTCTCAAAGCAAGACTGTGGCCCAGAGCTGTTGAGCTCACTAGGTGCAGTGACGGGAGCTGCTTACGCGGCATGGTGGTAGCTTGATGCGCGCGGCGCGTCTGAACTTGGGTCGGACGCTGCAGGCGGTCAATTCGTGTCTATGTCGGCGCAGTGATTCAGTTGCGGAGACGCGCAGCTGGTTCGTATCGCGCTTTAGCAATGATGGAGCTGGTGGTGTTGCGATTGACGGAGGAGTGATGGTGGTCTTGCGCAAAGGTCGGCGCGCTCGCGAAGCTCTGAAGGAAAGCACGGACCTATAAATTTTGGATACAGCCGGCGCATGGAAGAAGTACAACAGACGCGTTTGTTCTACCACTACAACCCTCACCAGCTCCACGAAGCGCCTGGAAAGTTCTGAAGAGAGCGTGAACCAGGAAATAAGTGGTGTCTGTCCGATAAAGGCTCTCAGACAAGATGGCGATGCGTACGTTCATGCAGGCTCCCAAGGCAGCTCCAACGAGCTCTGACACGACTCCCAAACTGGTGTCCACGTTGTTCTAAGCTGACGTATGTTTGATTCCGCAGAGCTCGATATGTCAAACGGTATTTTCCCCGCGTCAGTCGAACGGCAAGTTACGAGCGAGGCCAAGCAGTTGACACATAACCACAGCCCAGGTGATGAAGGATGAAACGGGGAGGCCTTTCATCATCGTTAGAGATCAGGGCAGAAAGAAGCGGCAACACGGCAACGAGGCGGTTAAATCACATATCCTCGCCGCGAGGACAGTTGCGAACATCGTCAAGACATCCCTAGGCCCCCGCGGACTGGACAAGATCCTGATATCGCCAGACGGAGACATTACGGTAACGAACGATGGCGCAACTATCCTCTCTCAGATGGAAATTTCCAACCACGTCGCGAAGCTGCTAGTGGAACTCTCCAAATCCCAGGATGACGAGATAGGGGATGGCACAACCGGCGTGGTAGTATTAGCCGGCGCACTGCTCGAGCAAGCAGCGGACTTGATAGACAAGGGCATACATCCTATCCGCATAGCAGACGGTTACGATCAAGCGTGCGAGGTTGCCGTGGCGGAATTGGACAACATCAGCGACGTAATATCATTCTCGAAAGAGGAGACGGGCAATCTCTTCAAGGTCGCAAAGACGAGCTTAGGGAGCAAAATCGTATCCAAAGCCCACGACCAGTTCGCGCAGATCGCGGTGGACGCAGTGCTCTCCGTGGCAGATCTGGAACGAAAAGACGTGGACTTCGACCTCATCAAGGTGGACAGCAAGGTTGGCGGCGCCCTGGAAGACACACTCCTCGTAAAGGGCGTTATTGTGGACAAGGACTTCTCCCACCCCCAAATGCCGTCCGAAGTACGGGACGCAAAGTTGGCCATCCTCACATGCGCGTTCGAACCGCCGAAGCCGAAGACGAAGCACAAGCTGGATATCACCACCGTGGAAGAATTCAAGCGGTTACAGAAGTACGAGAGCAACAAATTCACCGAGATGATCCAACAGATCAAGGGCACAGGCGCGAACGTCGTGATATGTCAGTGGGGCTTTGACGACGAGGCAAACCATCTTCTCCTGACCAACAAACTCCCCGCTGTGCGGTGGGTTGGCGGGCCTGAAATCGAACTCATTGCTATCGCGACGAACGGCAGGATAGTACCGAGATTCGAGGACCTGAGTCCGGAGAAGCTGGGTAGAGCAGGTGTGGTTCGGGAGATGAGCTTCGGCACGACAAGAGATAAGATGCTGGTCATCGAGGAGTGCGCGAACACGCGGGCTGTCACGGTCTTCGTGCGAGGGAGCAACAAGATGATCATCGACGAGGCAAAGCGCTCACTGCATGACGCGCTCTGTGTCGTGCGGAACTTGGTCAAGGACAACCGCATCGTGTACGGCGGCGGTGCAGCAGAAATTGCATGCTCATTAGCTGTCGAGGATGCTGCGGTCAAGGTACATCTACTCCAGCATCACGAGTTCTCTGCACAGTAAGTATGCTGACGTGCACTCGCAGAGCCCCGGTCTAGAGCAGTACGCCATGCGCGCATTCGCCGACGCTCTCGACTCAGTCCCCATGGCGCTCGCCGAGAACTCTGGCCTCAGCCCTATTGAGACCCTCGCAGCCATCAAGTCGAGACAGGTCAAGGAGAAAAACTCACGTCTAGGTGTTGATTGCATGCAGACCGGTAGCAACGGTGAGTCGACTCTCATTTTCTCAATCATCCCTACGGAAATCCCGACACGCTGCCACCGGATTTCATATCTGCAAGCCCTTCTGCTGCGGCGTGTGCTGGCATATGTCCACAAGCGTTTACGGCTTGCATCGACTTTCAAATCTACAATGCATCTAGCACCATCGTGGTTGCTGCCCCACAGCTCTCCGCAGGCAGCCTGCAGCGGGCGGCATGTCGGTGGAGCCTGCGCTTCGAAGCGGCGGCTCGCCTCCTTGCTTCCCCAACCACAGCCCAGACTCTCCCCATCACATGCGATGTCTCACCACATTTTGAGCGCGTTGGCACCTTGCATCAGCGACTGACGGCTTTTTGCAGACATGAGGGAACATTTCGTAATCGACCCGCTCATCTCGAAACGGCAGCAACTTCTGCTCGCGACGCAGCTATGCCGGATGGTTCTGAAGGTAAGCCAAGTCGGACTTTTTCCATTCCTTTCGATTCCCGCACCTCCTAGCTTCTGAACCTGGGTTCTGGTTGTGTGTTACATACCGCATTTCCGGTGGGCTGCAAGTCATCTGCTATCGACATTGCAAGCATGCTACAAACGCAAACCCGGCATCTGGCATCTGGCATCTGGCATCTGGCTTCTAGCTTCTAGCTTCTAGCTTCTGCAGCCAAGCCATGGCGCGCTCCCGTCCAACGCTGCAATGCTCCGTTGCATGCAGGACGCCAGGAGCCGCAGTGCGTTTTTGTGTACCCTCTGCCCCTCATCTCCCCGTTGAGCGGCGGTTGTACCTGCTGGCAGCTCGCGGGTATCCTAACTCTACTCTATGAAGGTTGGAGGGGAAATGACTGGGCATAGTGGGCTGACTATAGTACAGGTGAATAACGTGATCATCGCCGGAAGCGACGACAATGAGTTCTGAGCGCGCGGCCATGTGAAGGAGTGATGGTGTGCATATCGAAGCGCTTGGCAACCGAGATGCGAGCGTTCGGCAGTCTTTGCCCAGCGGTGACCACGTTCTTGATAATGCACTCTACTACATTGCCCCAATAGATAGAATGCATGTCCGGTGCAGGAACGAAAATACTGAATGAACCAGAACTCGAATCAGGTGTGCTTTGTTCAAACTATTGCAACTACAAGGCGTCTCTCCAAACTGGATCACGGAAGCCTTACTTTTGCAGCTTCAAACCTCAACTGTGCTAAGTTGAGTGAGCCCGTTCGGATGCCGTGAATCGACCTTCATTGTCATACTCGTCTGCATGTTGAGGCATTCCTTCCACGCGAACTCCTTTTCGCAGTCATTGATATCATGTCGCTTACGTTCCGGCCAAAGATCATCACCACCAACCTCACAACTCCCTTGTCCCTGGGATGCTATCTCTTAGGAATTTCTATGGGATTCACACCACGACAGCCACAGAAGGCAATCGAGACGTTTCCCACCTCGATTTGAGAGCCATAGAGAGATCTGACGACGCATGTACCAAATGGTTCGTCCATGGTTTAGGAACCATTTATCATGGCGTCTTCTATGCTCTAATACAGCTTTGTCTTCGAGAACGAGACTACTACATAGTTTCCTCATCCCGCAAGGGACTGAACGTGGAGGTGTAACACATAGTCATAAGAATATTAGCACGAGTCCGATACCTAGGATACGCGGGGTGTTAGAGATATGTGATGCACGAAGGCGTAAAACTGCTGGACAAGCCATTTTGGTTTTCGCATAGAATCAGTATAACATTTCCGCTACTTTGTGACAGCAAATCCAGCTTAGTCGCAGTTCCATATCAAACGCGGTATATCTGCCTTCTTACCGAGTCACATTCAACGTTGTTTCTCCAGTCAGACAAGCCGACCCGAGTGTACGAACAATTGTGACTTTAAACAGAGCAGATTTCGAAAACAGCGCCTGTAGTCTTTCCTCCGAGGCTCTGCACTCAACGACAGTACGGCAGAAGCACCAGCGAAGGCCTTGTGCCATACAAACAACACAGGGGCGGACCGAGTCGTGGACACCATATGTCTGCCCGACGGAGGGGCACACGTCAGGTCCGGTCATCCTATTGCTTTGAGGCTTGTGAAGGCTTTCGCCGGCCTTTTCCATTTCAATATGAAGCCCACGGTCAAGCTTCGGTTTATCTGAGGGAGAGACGAGAGCCGGGCCAAACGACACTCCATGTCGGCTATAAGCCTACGCACCGCCAGCGTACATAGTTCCATACAGCTTGTTCTTTCGGCCAGGCGTTTTATTTCGAGGCCGTCAGCGACTCGTTTAGACTCGTTCGAAGCAGAAGCTGGATTGATGCCCGCGACGTAGGACCTTCCACGCGAAGACGGTGTGTTCTGAAGCTATGACGGCGGCGGTAGAGGAGTTGAGGCGTATCACGCGGAACACAGGCCCCTTTAGAATAGTTGTTGTGCTGCTTCGCTATGCATTGCTTGAGCGGTAAGATGTTGCGGCGCCATCAGGGCGGAGTTGCGAAGGCGGTACTTGCGGAAAACGGCCTTGAGAGAGAAGTTGTATCGAGCTTGTTGTGGCCTTCAAGACTTGAATACACAGATTCGGACGAGTGGAGAATACGACAGCTGGGGCGGGCTTAACACTCCAAATGACACCTGATCAGCTACGCATATCGCGCCGAATACTGGCTCACCTTTCAGCTAACCGTAGCAAAGCGGCATCACGGGGCTGGTTCCGCGGCTCGGAGGTCGTTTTTGTATCCTTCCGCCCTACGACAGAGGAGGATTTGGATAAGGGGGAGCTTTATGAGGAGCGACACTTCCACGAGATCCAACCTCACGCTTTCGAACTACGATCAAATTTGAGGGCACAGGATACGGGTTCTGAGATTAGCTACCGTACCGTTGGGTGGTCAACGGACGTGCTGATGATATAGAACCCCGTTGGGAAGGTGATTAGGTTCAAGCTCCCAAAACAGCCGGTTGGACTAGAGACAAGGAAATACAAGAAGATCAGAAGGGGAGTGTTCGTGTGGACTCAGAGGTTCGCTGGAACATGTTAAGTTCAGAATGCCACGTAAACCCATTGTTTGGGAGATTTGCATAAAACGTTGTCCCATCAACGTCCATTTCTTCCTTTTGATGCTATCATTTGGAGTAGATGGAGTGTATCGCAGGAAGGATTATTTAACATACAGTAGTCCAATATATTGGAATATAGACCCATGCCAGGCAAGTCTACGGCTCTTCTTGATCGAAGGCGGTGGAGGTGAACATGGCTCCACATGGTGATGCAGAGGAAGACCTGACGGTGTCCCGGAATTTAGCAGCAATGTTGCGTACCTAGAGCGGTGCATATGCAGGCTCAGAGATATTGACTAGACGGTGGAGATTGCCTCCTGTGTAGAGAGAATCATGGCTGCAGGAACCTTATCGAAGTACACTGTTCATTCACCTACATTGGAGACTTCCTATCCCTCCTGAAAGGCCTCCTTGTGCCACGGAATGCATTTCCTCAAGCAACACCCGCATCCCCCGACGGGAGTCCGTCAAATCCAGTACCAGATAAGACAAAGGAGCTAAAACTCCAGAACCGACCTCCGCGGACCCAGGAGCATGGGACTGGCGCGTGATGAGCTGGTGTAGCGTGTGCGATGCTAAGACATGGGTTTGGTGTTGCATATGCGGCGCGCATAGCGTGGGGTGTTATCTGGATCACATTGAGTGATTGAGAGGCAGAAGGAGGACGTGAAGGATCTGCTCATGCAGGTCCAGAATATCCTGAGAGACAAGGACGAGAACAGGGAAAGACGGTCTCTGAGGCTGCGAGAAAAAACATCCGGGTGATCTGGAGATCGAGGCCCCCATTCTCCCCAGGGCCAGCTCGAAGCGATCGCCGTCCGGGGCCCCTCGTGCGTAGGAGGCGTCTCCGGGGTTGGAACGTTTGCAAGGAGGGGGGAGGGGGACAAAGCTTCAGGCCGTCGTCCCGTGAACAAGAGGTTGGTTTTTCGAGTGCCCCGATCGGGCGTCGAACAGGAGGACGGAAGCTGAAGCTGGAGCTTCTGAGTCGCGAGCATTGCTTCCAAGGACTCGGTATCGTAAGCGTCTTGCAATCCGTAGTGCCGACCGTGATTGCTCGAAACTTACAACGATTCAAGCGCTATCGAAAGTCAGGCCGTGACGTACCCCTGATGATCTCAAGCCTCGGTTCTGCTTCCGGTGTCAGTTTGCAAGCGAGGTCATGACTGCCGGCAGGGAGTGGCTTCCGTTGATCCTGACGGCAGTTTGAGGACGGGAATCCCAACCACTTCCCCCCGGCGCTAAGCTTCGCATGACGGCTCGAGGATGGCTGGACGTGCAATTTCGGACGGAAAGTCAATCAAGCAGTTGGCTTTTATTGGTCGCGATGAGCCGAGTTGCGCACCCGCAGAGTCACAATTTAAGGGCTTGAACACCCCTGTTTCTCCGCATGGCTTGGCTGTGGGTGGTTGGAGATGAAACGGAAACGTGGACGGGAGGATCCCGCTGGCCAGAAGCGACGCTGCGACGCGCCGGAGTACTCGTAGCAGCAGCTCATAGGTCCTCCAGTTGTACTGGTGTCTTTCCTATGTGGGCACCTCCGTAGCCGGTGTTGCAGATGAGCTTCTCCTGTGTATGATGGCCGGCCATCAATCCGTGTGTTTGATCAGAAGCTGAATTTGGCAACAAGGGGACCTCGGTCGCAGCTGAAGAGGAATTTGGAGCGGCAGGCGTGTTAGCCAAAAGAAGCCACAAGCAACCACGCGGGCAGCTGCGATCGGCTTAGCGCGCAGCCACAGCCTATCTGTCGGGTTCCGGGATGGCGGATCGTGGGGTCCGTCCCGCTGTTTTTCGTAGTGGATGGGTGAGATCTGTTTCTGGACTGGGGGCCTGTCAGTCGGTCGTGTCGGTGTCGCTGCACCACCCCTAGAGACAACACTAGGGACAGCCCTAGAGACAACACTAGGGACAGCCCTAGGGACATGCTCTGCTCATTTACACCCTTACAAGGGTAGCATGAGTGCTGATTAGGGGTATTACTTGCAAGCGATGTCAAGCCGTTGTAACGGGAGCTTGTAGCGCAGATCACGAAGTGTGTGGCTCTAGATTGGGGGTGAATCAGGTCGCAGCATGGATCTGACATCGATATCATGGGAAGTCACCCAAAGGGCCTGGATTCGCTGCTCCATCGCACGTCGAGCCGAAACCGCGGCGACCATCTGGCTCATGTTGTAGCCTCCTGGCTTGTCAGACTCTTGCAACACGTTGTCGTGGTCATCGACTCCGCTATGACACATCCAATGTCGTAATCATCGACTCCGCTGTGACACGTCCAATGTCGTGTACATACCCCCCATACTGCAAAATCCCCGTGGCTGAAGGAGATGCATGCCGTGAACCACGGAGCAGATATCAATAGCAGATTCCGCCTCCGCAACTGGAAACGGCTCTTGCGACAGCCGTCATGTCGCAGTTGGCGGTAAGCCTTGTGTGACATCGGCATCTTCTGGTCCTGCCTCCCCGAGACATTCTGTCGTGGCAATCCGCATTGTCACAGATGTGCGTGATCGGTTGGTGCGTCTTGCACAGCGCGCACAGGTACGACGCGGTCCCGCAGACCTGGTATCTATTCTCATGCTGTGCTCCCACCAAATTTCCGGGGAGAGAGGCACGCAGCCGCAAGTGATATGCCGTATTTCCATCCTGTAGTCAGCTGAAGTGATGTAGTCTACTTCATGAAGGCTTGGGTGAATCTGTAGTAAAGGGATGGCCTTCTAACCTGTAATGAGAGATGATACGTGTTTCCGGCAATGCTGACATGTTCTTGGTTCCGAGCTGACGTTCCGCAGTACGGTAATCATAGGGTCTCCTCCTGTCGTGTCGCAAGTTCTAGTGAGTCCCTGGTTCTGGTGACAAGGCCGGTCATCGTGCAAAGAGCACCGCAGCAATGGCTTACCTGAGCCCCGGCCAAACTCAACTGCAACCGCCTGTAAGGTCAGGATTACAGGCCACCGATTGCGGCACGAAAGCGATGGAGAGAACAGGGTTGACACGGAGTTGGGACTGAGCTGGACATTCCATTGTGTAGGAGCGAGCACGCTAGACTGCCGTTGTGTGGAAGAGCACATGAAATATTGAAGCTGATTAACGCTTCTGTGCTTCGATTGACTGAAGTATCCTGGGTTCTTAAACCATCTTCAAACTCCAGCGCTAGTTTGATGATATAGATAATATGAAACCGATGTAGACGTTCTTTTGTGAGCCACTTGACTGAAGCTCGAGCTCGATCGCATGTGTACTGAATCAATTATCTCCGTGCGGAGATCTTAGACTGCGCAGGCGGACAGCTTCTGATTGATCTTGCTATGCAAAGTGCGGTGTGCTTCAAATCCAGATGAGGGTAGATCTTCGCTGCAGCGCAGTACTTCACCCTCAGGCGCAGAGCACTCGAACTGCCGCAACCACGCAAGCGGCATGTTGCCCGACAGATGAATGACCGGATTAGGTGTACTTGGGTTTGATCACTTGCGCTATCGTTGCGGTGATCTGCACAACGTACCGCCTGGAATGGGTGGAGGCTGCGTCTCCTTGCTACGCACCTGATTATGGGAAACGCCCCATGAGGGGAAACATTCAGCCTGAACATATCCAACGGATGCGCGACACATGCTGAGAGGCCTGTCCGAGGAGTTGCACCTGGATTCTTCATGTCTCGGACATACTGCGACTCGGGCTCAATATTGCATGTGCTACAACTGCTATCGGCATAAGATAGAGCTTCGAGACGAGCCACTCGGTGTCAGTACCTAGCATGGGGGAACTGCTCCTACTCCAGTAAAGCGCGAAAATTACTCCATACCAATCTGATCAAGAGTTGCTCGCCGCGAGCGGCGCACAGCCGGCCTCTTTCTGAGAAGATGGCGGACTTCAAGCCGCGCTCGGCAGAAGCAGGTCAGGGATGAGGATCTGTCAAGGTACTTCCAGGTTGTTTAGCGTACTCGAGAACAAACGGAAAAGCCTTCAAGACATGTAACATGTCAACTGTCAACTGTGAACCACGAGTTTGACTACAGACTTTGGGAGGTGGATGAGGCAGTTAGTAAGCGACCGCGGCATGCACGGTAGCCGTTTTGCCCGCCGCAAGGGCACCCGGAGAGATCAAGATGAATGTTCTGGATTCATTCTTTGGAATGCTAACAGTGGGGCTCCTCGCGGTCCGTGGTAGGAAACTTTGAGGACACGCGTTTGAGGCGCTGCAAAGTCGCCGCGAAGACGCCGGAAGTATGGAGACTTGGTGGTTACAAAGCTGTACACTTATTACCGGCAGCACGTGGAAAGGTCAACCTTGGGACAGAAGCGGGCGAGGCTCCTCAACAACTGCCGTGGCCGGCTCTTGGATATTGGAGAATCTAGTGTGAAAACATAGGGCACGCACTACTCAAGGGCTCCTTCTGACAATTCTCGAGTGGAAGGCGGTCTGCTGGATAACACGAGGAGTTGATTGTAAGATCACGCCTCGTTTAGAGCATCGTTACATTCCCTGCGGGCAAATAGATACGGCGGATTACATACGCCGCCTGTCCACATGCCTGCCCTTGATATAGCGCTATTTCTCCTCTGTTGAGCTGGACGGATGACTGAGCCGCGACTGAAAGTCGAGGTCATGGGGCTTCAGAGGTTGTTATAATCTTGGCAAGGACAGGGTTGGATCTGGACGTAGCATTCCAGCCGCGGCTGTGCTTCTTGGTCGTCGTTTGCAAGGAGCGGAGAATCGGTCGAATCCGGGGCGTGACGAGTCAGCGAATATCCTTCGTACCCTTCGCTGGGGCCTTCTGGAAGACAGCCTTCTGGATGAGTTCTGGTCGCGGAACCATGCTCGCCTCGTGATACTCCTGGTTTCGTCCGTTCCCTATCAGGCCCGCTCGCCACGGGGACCTTCACAGCTGAGAGGATTGCGCTGAATCGGCGCTAATCGTTGGGGAACGCGGACAGTTTCGCGCTTGAGGCCACGAGTAAAGCCACCATCAACCGCTGGTCGGCAGTGATGGGGGCGTGAGGCCCTGCTCGCTGGGCGTGGGCGGTCTAGAGAAGATACCTCCTAAATCCCGTTGCCATGACTTGCCAGCTTGCCAGCGAATCTATCCCGCGCGCCCGACCAAACTTGCACGCTTTCGGAGGCGGCCTGGTCGGCTGCACGCCGTGGCTCCCCATTGCTCCCCCAAGCCAAGAAACAACCCTGGCACGATGCAAAATGGCACAGATGCGCACACGGTCTCCCCCTTCCACGCTACCCATAGTGCTGGTAAACTAGCAGGTTGCGCTGTTGGCGTGCGACTTAGACAAAAAGCAGGCCCGTCACCCACCTTAAGGCTGTTATGAGCAGTGCCATCCCCAGCTTCCCCCCCCGTCCCGACAAAGAGAAATCGCGTACCCGCACACTCACCCGGACTCACTCACCACGGTCGCTTCACTGCACTGCCTCTGCCATTACAAACGCTTCACTGGCCCAGTCTCTGAGGCAGACCCTTCCGTCGCATGAGTGCAAAGTCCGCGTCCGCCTTCTGTGTTGCCCTCTCTCGGCCCTGCCGATCTGTACGCAATCATCACTCAGCGTCGGCGACTGCGGCCGCGAACAGCCAAACGCCGCCCTCCGTCCGCCTTCATATCCACCACCTCGCCTCGTCGCGCTCGTCGACAAATCCAAAATCGCAAAAATGCCGTTACGACTGGAAAGTCCTCTCGTGAGGGTGGAACCCGCGTCGTTCCACACTATCGATACCTCCAATGTGGAGAACCTGATGGGCATGTGGTCCGGTAAGCCACCTGACGCGATGCGGAGTGGATAACGTATAAGCGAACCTTGGTACTGACCGCTCGCCTGCAGTCTTCAAGAAGTGTTCTGATGCAATGGAGGATGGCAAACGCTACGAAAACCTAAGTTGGAGACTTTGGACCCGCGAAACATTCTGCTGCGCGCCTGACCAGCAACCCTTCTTCTCACCCACCTGGACCTTCAATCGAAGACGGTCTAGCAAAAGCCCCGCCGCAGTACCTGAATTGTCATCAAGTGTGGAGTCCGACGACTCGTCTTCGGCAGCTTCTCACGCGGACGTCGCCACTCGTCCAAACACCTCGATATGTCCTGCTCGACCTGAGCTCGTCTTGCACGACTCGAACGACCCTCGAAGTCGAGGAAAGGAGAAGCACATCACCCCAGTCGACCTGGAGAAGATAGTCATCTCCATCAAAGAGACGAAAGAGCTGGAGCCCCTCTCTCCACTACCGATACCTTTGACACAGCCGGCCGAGTCTCGTCCGAAGCCGGGTCGACAAGATACCACGCCGCGACCATCGTCGCCACCTCCACCTCGAAATATACCCCAATCCTCCACCTCAACCGTCGCCACCGCAGCAGACAGCGACGCCTCCGCAATGACACCGCCCGTTGGTTCAGACACCAGCACGTCCACCAACCTCAGCTCTCACAGTGTAGTCCGCGGATTCTCTTTGGGTCGCGTATCGTCGTCATTTCGCTCAAAGACGCACCTCGCTCCCACGCCTACACCGATCCTCAAGACTTCAAACCATCCATCAAAAATGGGGTTGTCGAAGAAGAAGGGTGCGACCTTCACTCTAGGTGGATCATCTGACGAAGACGGCACCAGCTCCCTGGAGACGCACATGCTGAACACTAACCGGAGCTCCCTTTCGGAAGGACTCAGAAGGCCAGGACTCAGCAACGGCAAAACCACGTCGTTCAACGACAAAGTCACTTCAATTCAGAGCGAATCCTACGACAGCAACGACGAGGCGTTGGACAGCGATGACGGAGAGGAGGAAGAGCCGTCCGAAAGCGCGATCGAAGACGACGATGACGAAGCTTGGGAAGATTCAGAGAGCGAGAGTGGACCATCAAGCGTAAATGAAAACGGGCTGTTCCAGAGGGTCGAGTCGCGCCCCAATCTAACTTCACGGCGGTCTATGTTGACCGCTATGATGCATGAACCGGATCGGCAAAGGGCGCTTCAGAACGCGGCATCAAGGTCTACGCCCGCAATGCGACGATCGCGAACCTCGTCACCAAACGGTCCGTCGCTCGCCAGCTCGCCGAAGGACGATGAGCCGGGACTAGAGATGCGCGGTGCTGCGGTTCCTCGCTCAAAGCCGATTATCATGACTACATCTAATGTACATCCTCCTGCGCTTTCTCCGCGCACCACACGCCGAAACATGCTTACTACAGAGCTTACCGAATCACTACGAAAGCACCTCCTTTGGGAGCGGCAACAGAAGAATGCTACGAATAACGCGGCACTGAAGCGGAGACACACTTCGCAAGACGTGAAGAATCTGAAGCAGTACCCCGAGCCCGTTGCACTCCATGGTGACCCTCCGATCACACTTAAGGACGAGGCCGCTAAGAACAACAACTCCTGGAACGCATTTTTCGACCACGGTCTCCAGGAGTATCACGAAAAGGGGTGGTAGTCCACCCTGGCGTTACGTCCGCCATATCTTCCACTGCGACACCGCTTGTCTATTGGCGGCATTGTCGATTCGTTTTTCATGACACATAGCGCGCCGGAGTTGTTTGAATTACCCTTGCTTGGTGTCGCATGGCTGGTGTGGATCATTTGCATTTCTGTTCAAAGTCCCCTTCAGATACCACATGCATTTTAGCTTCTTCACGGGGACATGACTTTTGCTTCATCTCAGTTCGGAGGGCCTGTAGCTCCCTGGAACTGACAATACACAAGCGGCTCACGCCGGGTGGTGACGGTTTCACATGTGCTCCGACGCAGACGGAGACTTACCGTCTGCTTATGTACTACCACTCACCATGTACTATTAACGAGGCTCCTTTAGTGGAACCAATGCTCGGAGCCTCCGACGCCTGGGACGGCTGAAGGCCAGCTGGAGGGAGGGATTTCCGATTAGGTAGCTGTCACGGTGGTCAAGATACCTAGTTAATCAAACCAAAAGCAGAGATTTCAGATGTTCACTCCGACTACCCCTTGCACCAAGTCACATTATCGCTGTCCTTCACGTGGCTCGAGAAAGGCTTTGCTTTTCCCGCTGCAACGCTTCCCCACCCCAACACATGCAAGTCACAAACGACAGAGACACACATGCAAAACTTCCCTGCGTTCGTCCTTTACCGCTCTTCTGAATCATCAGCGACAAGACCGTTAGGCGGCGCGCTTATGCACGTCTTGCGAGCATCAATCCATGTCCTGTCAAACCGTGCATGCGCACAAGGCCATCTTTGACGCACCAATTGGGCGCAATTTTTATACACCACGACCTAAACGGCTACTCCGACTGCCCTGTGGGGTTCTCGGCCGATATAATATCAAACACGGATTATTCACCCGTCGACCAAACTTCGCCTAACCGCTTTACAGCAATTGTTTGGTAAAGAGCCAGAAGAGCCAGAAAATCCAAGCTGCCACTAGAGCAGGTAGCTAAACTGCAGGTGCCATCCAACCTTGCTTGATCTCTCGGTCCGACGGCCGCAAGAACCGCAGGCCCGAGGTTACGCCAGCGTCGTCACGATTGCTGCTGCTTGTGTGCGCTTGTGACTCGAGTGCCTGAACGACAAGGCGGCACAGGTAATGGTGGCGTCTTTCATGGCGCGGCCTCGTGAGATGGCTGCATCGCATGCTGTGGGGAACGGGGGAACGGGCTGCGGGATGGAGTCAACCTTGGAACGAATGATGGCACGGGAGCGTAACCGCGAAGATCTCTGTCTCCGCAGCCTTCTCAGCCTTACGAGCGAGCGAGATCACGCGAAGCGCTGAGGTGAGCGCGAGCGATGTCTGCGAGCAGCATCATCCGCCAGTCACATTGTGAGAGATGTGACTCGACTGCGGACTCACTCCCACTCGTACTCTCGCGCTGCAAGTGCAAGGGACTCATCGCCACGACGGCTGGACAGCGTTCAAATAAGCCTGCCAGAACCTCTCGTCCTTTCTCGTGCCATCTGCTGACCTGCAACGACTGCACCCCCAAGTAACTGGCGCGTGCGACCTCGGATCACCGTCCCCAGCCAGACGCGCCATCGCCGTCCCGCCCCAGAGCTCTCTTCCGACGTATCAACATGGAATCGCAGTCTCCTTCAGGCAACCGCCAGGGCGCTCAGAATCAGGAGCGCCGTCTGCCCAGTAAGTCGGCATCTCTGCGCTGGCTAGCCGCTGCGGCTGGGTCATCTGCTCACACGCTGCTCAGCGCCTGCTGCCAGCTCAGATGCCGATCTTCAGCCTCAACACCAGGGCCCTCCGCCGCCGCGCACGAAGCGGAAACAGGCCTGCCGGTTCTTCGGGTCGAAATCCGGTAGGGCTTCCGTCCCTCTGGTTTCGTGTGTCATCTGTCATCGTTCCACGTTTCTCCACACTCATTCGCTTTTTCGCCCGGCCCCCTTGGGGCTGCCGTGGCGCAGGGTCAAATTCGCAACGTCAGCAGACACGGGAGTCAGCCTCTCTTAGTCGAGTGCTAAATGTACCCCATGAATCTAGGTTGCAGAGCGGGCGAAAACTGTCCGTTTGTGCATGATCCTACCAGGTTGGCAGAAAGGCCTCTCCGCACTCAAGGCCAAGAGCAAGAGCTTTCCGAGCAAGGTAGCAGCCAAACCACAGCTCAAGCTGCTTCTCCAGGGCGGCAGTATGTTGCTCCGCCAGTGGACAGCTCTCGCGTGGTCCAGAGGCCTACCGCAATCAGGCAGGTTGTAGATCCAAGGGAGTATGAGCTCTCTCAACTTCGTCGAAGATTCTCTGTAAACGAAGAAGAGGACAGTAACGGCAGTGCATTGACGTTTAAGTTGGTTCCTTCCGATCCAGACTTTCCTTTTGATATCGAGGCTCTCGAATGCACTCTGTATGTGCCATTGAGTTACCCCTCGAGCGGCAAGCCGCGCTTGAGAGTCACCAATGAGGAAATGGACCGAGGATATCAACTCAACGTAGAACGAGGTTTGGATGCCCTGGCCTCAAGGGCTCCAAGGCCTACGCTGCTGAGCCTGATGAACGCTCTGGACAGGCAGCTCGAGACACTGCTTTCAGTGCAAAAGGCTGAACCCACTACGATTAAGATCGTTGCCAACGCTCCCAAGCCGGCAGCAAAGGTAAACACCCAGGGGGCGAACCAAGCAGCTCCGCCAAAACCGACTCCTTTAACAACCGCAACTCCTCGGTCACGTGCCGTTCCTGCGCCAGTCACGCATACTGCTGAGGATAAAGCACAAGCTCAAGCTAGGCGTGAGTCCGAGATTCGTCAGATTGAGGCCAGGCTCGGAAGGTTGCCGCTGTACTTTAAGTCCTCGGATGGGCTCGCGTATACCATTCCCATTGAGCCCAGGAAAAGACAAGAGCTTCCAGCACCATTGCAAGCTATCAAGACCGTCAGACTCATTGTACCGGAGTCGTACAATCTCGTCCCATGCCGTGTTGAGCTCATGGGCGTAGATAAGGACGCTGCTGCCCCTGTCGAAAAGGCTTTCGAAGACAGAGTCTCGCAGAATCCACAGATGGCGCTGGTGAACCACATTAACTACTTGTCCCAGAACATGCACACCATGGCGACACCGCCAGTAGTCGTGGTGCAGCAGGAGCCTGAACCCGTTCCCGATGTGTCGTCGTTAACTGTCGAGGACAGAATAGAGGAGCCGCAACCGGATATGCCTCATCCAGCAACAGTTGAATCTTTGGATGCGGTCACGAAGAGTCACATCATAAAGATACCCAGACCTCCTGAATGGGCGGCCAAAGACGGTGACAAAGACGATTCGGATGGTTCCTTCTCATACGATACAGGCGATGAAACTGAAGACGAAGATGCCCCGACTGTTGAACAGCAACAAGCTGATGTACCTGCCTCTAAACCTGAGCGCGGCATCATGCTATCTTTTCCGCATCTCGAACTGCACAGCATTGAGCTTCTCGAGCTTGTTTCTCTGAGCATCACGGTCAAGTGCGACAGATGTAAAGATACTATGGACATACCTAGCCTCAGAAACAACGCCAAAGGCGATTACACCGGCATCCGCGCCGAATCTTGCAAGAAATGCGCCAATAGTTTCGGCATTGGTGACTAGCCACCGTTCTCCCGCATTTTGTGTCAAAGCACTGACACATGTACAAGGCTATCGGATGGACTTGATGCACGCAAACTCAGTACGCGCTGGATATCTAGACCTGGATGGCTGCACTGTCGTTGATTTACTCCCAAGGCAGAGCCTCTCGTTAGCGGCGTCTTTCAGGGACTTGCTAACCTCCCAACAGCAGCTTCATTCCAACGTGCTCCGAGTGCTCAACGCCTTACCCGAGTCCCGGAGTTGTATCCGTGAGGGGAGAATCATCAATGGCAATTTGCAGAGAATGTCACCGGAAAATGAGTACGCCATCCGAGACATTGTCGGAACATCACATTGTGACAGGATGGACTGATGTCGTAACCAGCTTTCTGCATCCCTGAGGTCAAGTTTCTGTTGGTCAGCGCGTCGGCAGGTGTGTTCTGCCAATTGCGCTGTTACAGATTGCGCGGCTTTTGATTGACTGATGTGCTTTTGTTGAATATGCAGTGCGCGCGAGTCGAGCACCACCACGGAAGAAGGCGAGTCTTCCCCAGACTGGGGTCCCCAGTTTGATGCCCCAGCCGTCCAAAATGTCAATCTCGAGCGGACGCACGCCACAACACTTCATCCGTATTTAAACTTCGGTCAATATTCAACGGTTCGGTATCGCTAACCGAAACGGTTTTCAGGCTAAAGAGAAGCTCGGAATTGTCGCCGGACAAGAGCTGCCCAGACGCGGGCGATGTGCGCATTATGCGAAATCGTACAGGTGGTTCAGGTACGCGTGACGCAGTCCCGACAATCCCTCCGCTGCTTGGCTGCCTGAGGCGTCAGTCAAATGCACTATGCTGAGCGACATGATAGGTTTTCGTGCTGCAGCAAGGTCTTCCCGTGCGACAGGTGCGTCATCCCGCCTCCACCGCGATTTTGATTCCGCTGTCGACGATCACTTCACGACTATCAATTGACTCTGGAGCATCAGGTGTCACGATGAGGCAAGCGATCATCCAAACGAACATGCGAACAGGATGATTTGGTGCGTAGATCTAAGTTTTCCTACCTCTATTCCGATTCAGGACTCCTGCCGGCGTCTTCTGAGACATTCGAGTTCGGAAGACGTAACGATGTCGGACCAAGCCTTTCCCCACCCCTCCTCGCTCTTTGCCGAAAGCCCCACAAGGCACTTTTGTCCTCAGGCTCGGTTCCGCGCTTCTTCACACCCTCAGGAGACAGCTCCGGCGGGGTGGACCCATGAATCTTCACATCCCCGCAACGGTCTTTCATGCATCGAACCCCGCGTCAGAACCGGGATCTTCCATCGGGAATATCGTAATTCGGGGCTGCGGCTCAGCAGCAGGAACTTGATTCCAGCCGCACCGGGCCTCTTGTTTCCTTTCTCTGATCATCAAAACTGGATTCCGCTAACGTTTCGCGCCTCCCATGCAGTGGCTTCTGTAAGTTCAGCCCTGCGACCAGGACAGCCCTGTCAATCTCGGTAATCGTCGCGCTCATCCGTGCGCACAGGTTCGCGCGAGCAAAACTATCGTCCTGAGGACTGCGGCATCTGCCACAGCACGCTAATCGGAAAGCGTGGGACGGGGTTCTGGGAAGGCGGCAAAGGTCAGTCGGTCAATTCATTTTTCATGTTGCTTTTTCTGCCTGTCAGCCGCCGCATTCGGTCCCTCCAACATCCCGTTTCTCTCGGCAGGCGGGAGGTGCCATCACGCCCCCAACCCCTCTGCTCTGACGTCGACGCGTGCGGCCTCTGCATCGCGCGGAGCTTGCGCCGCGCCTCCGACTAGCCTCGAGACGGGTGCAACCCATCCGCGCGAGCGCTTGAGAAACAGCCCTTTCGCCCACTGTTGACACGTTAATCCTCCCGAGCCGCGAGACCGCACTGGCTTCGACAGACAGGAAACCTTTGAATGTCAGCTGCTGCTTCGTCACCACATTCTGCGTTCTCCTGTTTGATCGGGGAATGTGGCGGCGCGCCAAGGCCGTGCCGCTATGGGAAACCGTGGAGACCCCGGACAGACCCCGAACCCCGGATCGAGGAAAAGGGCGAGGAATCTCCGATCTTTCGGCTTTTGCGATTCGGGAATTAAGGGCTGTGCTGGTTTCGGCTCGGTGACCGACGCTTTTGGATAGGGCGTCGAGATCTTGGTTTCGCTGGTTTCGTGATCCAGTCTTGCTTTCCATGTCGTCGTTGCGTCGGTGGCTTGCGGGGGTTTGAAAGATCGCTTCTGACTTGGCCACGTGATGTAGGTACACGTGATAGGACGAGGATGTCTAGGAAGGGTAAGCCGATTCTCGTCTCCCTTTGCGGATTCATCTTGAAGAATGCTGCAACGTCAATGCGGTTTGCTGACGGACCCGTCCACAGATCCTCGGAAGTACAAGATGAAGCTCGGACCGAAGCCGAAGACTTGAGGGTACAGAGCCCATGCCGATCGCTTATAGCTAACAGGGGAAGATGGCGACAAGTACGTGGTGGAGAGGCGCGAGATGATGCATTGTATTTTGCTTGGGGATATGCTTGATGAGCAAAGAACGAGCGGGTGCTTGGTGGTAACTGGACTGGTGTCTCTGCTCGAGAAGGCTTGGTCATCTTGGAGGCATTCGCACCGCGCCTGAGAGGAGGAGACCAGGCTGCTTTGAAGCTGATGTAGATACTCGCTAGCGGCCAGTCACGATTCACTTACGAGTATGCTCATGCTGTGTCTTGTTTCAGGAGTTCTTCTGCACTCGTCCAGCTCCGTCGACTGCAGTCGTAGGGCGAACGTCTTGATGAAGTGCAAAATCTAACCATCCAATCCTTACACGCTGTCTCTTGCAAAGCACCTCGACAGCCTGACCACCCATTTTCTATCAGAGAATCCAAGACGAACCATGTCTTCCTCATGTCGAATCCTTTACCCACTTTCTACTCCACCTTCAGAGCTACACGCCGTCGTCTCTATTACGATCCCAGACCGGCTTAGTAGGAGATGTGAGAAGTCATACAGCAATGTGAGGGCTACTACGAATGCCTGCGCAGACATCTACGTGGCGGCATGTATGTCCGGCTAGCCGAGAAGTGCTACTTGCCCGAAAGAGAACACTATATCTCGATCCAGGTCGCGGCTTGGAGGAAGCTGGCAACTCATGTAGCTAGCATCAAGGGGCGCAAAGGAGTCCACGGGCGGATACAACTCGGGTATTTTCTTTATCGAATCCCTTGGAACGGTCCCAAATCTTGAGAGATCCTCCCGGACCTGCGACTAACACGAAGGAGCAAACTTGGAATCTAACGCCAACTGGTAACACACCCAGCAACCAGTTTGCACCATGGTCGAACGCCCGCTGTAGCACCCTCCAATGTCCCCCATAGTTCCCCAACCGAAAACGCCGTGCCCATGTCCCACCCCATCGCCTCTACCCCTCCCCTCAATGCGCCTACCAGACCTATCCACCCGCCGCAGCCACCGCCCTAGTCAAACTAGCAATATACTCCCTCAAGCTAAGATTGTACGCCATGACGTAGTACAGCTGTTCCTTGACCGGCGCAAACACGCTGCGGACCCAGCTCTCGTCGCCGCCGCTCGCGGCATCCATCTTCCCAAACCCACGCGCGAGGTTGCGCAGCACGAGCACGCTTGCGAGCGGCAGGCCCGCCGCGTCGTTGCGCTCGTCCGTCGCTGTGTTCAGGAAGTACTTGTGCGCCGCCTTGGCGCTCGCTGCGCCGCCGGGCGTCGGGGTCGACGAGTGGTCGGTGTCGGTGTCAGGCGGCGGCGCGCGGTTGTGCCTAGACCTGTGCGCGCTCTGCGGCGAGTCGTCGGGCAGGTGGGTTTTGATGTGCTTGGCCACGACGTGCGGATTGCTCTCTCCGTTCGTGGCCGCGAAGTGGCGGCAGCCGCCCCACTTGCAGTCGTACCTGCGCTCGGGAAGCGGCTTGATGTCCGGCTTGACATCCACCATGGGGTCGCTCGTCGAGCGGACGATCTCGAGGTCGAATTTGCCGGTCGCGGCGTCGTGGGGCAGACCCAGGTGCGAGCTCAGGACGTGCTCCCACATCTGTGCCGGCTTGAAGGCGTACTCGTTGCACGGCTGGAGCTTCGGGCGCGGCGGCTGGTTCGGGAGTTGCGGCGGCAGCGTCGTGGAGGGTGGGGCGGGGATCAGCCACTGGCACGGCATGTAGGGCCGGCCGCGGAGGTCGACGGGGACGGCGCGCGGGCGCAGGCCCTTGATGGTGTATTTGGCGATGGGGCCTTGTTGGACGACTTGGGCGATGGCGCCGGGGAAGGTGTTGGAGACGTTGGTGATGAAGTCTTTGGCTTGGGAGAGGGCGGGGCGGCCGGGCTGTTGCGACGCGGCTTGGAAGGATTGGTTGTAGGCGGTCCACAAAGCGATTTGGGTTATCTCGCCTGCGGGGTCTTCTTCGAAACATGTTTTGAGCCTTGGAGGAGTCAGACATGTAATGCGATAGAGATTATTTTGCGATTGACTTACCACTGGGAGCTTCGCTCGGGCTCCTCGATCACAGCTAGTTGCTCGACTATCGTGGAAGCAAGACGAGGCGGCGTGTCCGGAGGCGGTCCATTCTTGGCAAGAGTACGTGTCCGTTCCCGTCGCTCATCAAAATGTGCATGGTAAAGCAAGAGACGAGCAAGTTGGTTGACCAGACTTTGGCTGTTGACATTGCGCGCCAGGATCTCCACATTGTCGAGAGTGGCTGTGAACTGGTACAGGAAGTCCAGGCAGGCGAGCCGGAGCTCTTCGTCTTCGATCAGCAGCCAGTCGCAGATGCGTTGCAATATTGCGACCGGAACATCGCTCAGTCGGTTGTTGACTTCGGAGTTCATAGCGATTCGTCCAAGAGCTCTCAGTGATGTGATGATGGCGCCCCGATCAGCTGATTCGAGTTGTGCCAGTAGCGACTGATACAGTGGACTTTGACCACCCAGCACGTAGAACTTTGTTAGCTGTTCCGCGATCTCCAATGCGTAATGCTGCAGCTCAACGGTGCAAGAGACATGCGGCAAGTTCAGTGCGATGACGATGAAGTCTTTCACGAGCGGAAGACTCGCGACATACTCGGCGTTCTGATCGAGCATGACCATATTGCGGAGAATCAGACCTGCCTCGTTGATCGTAGCCAGAGCCTCAGAAAACTCCTCAGTCTGGATGTCATCCTCAGCGTCGAGAGGCGTCAATGCACCGATCTTCTGAAGCAAATCAGGCGTTCCGGTAAGGCCGTTGAGAGTATAAGGACCTGCAGTCGAGTCGGAATCTGCATAGGAAAGCTCCCACCTGACGTCATAGAACAAAGAGCTTACTTCCAAGACCTTAGATATCAAAGCTTCAGCGAGGCCTGGAAAACCGTCGAACCTGTACTTGTCGCCCCGTTCGTGTGATATTTTGACAAGATGGTGTAGTGCATATTTTTGCTCCTCGACGATGCCAGATTGAAGCGCCAATAAAGCTCGTATGTAAATGTTCGGACCAATAAAGCCGGCTGTCATCGTGAGTGTGTTAGAAGCGGCTATTGAATGATAGAACAGGTGACGTACTGCCAGGAAGCATCATGCCCTTGTGGTGCTGGACTCCCCTGGATGCTCTGTTTGCAGCGAGTTTCCTGGCCATATTGCGGAAGTAGTCTGGATTGTTGCCTGGTGTGACGACGGGCTTAACAGAGGAGGCGATTGGTTGGCTCGGCTCGTAGTTGGCGAGAGAAAACGAGGTGGCATAAGTGCCGTTCGTCTGTGCGCCGACAGTACTTGATCCTGGGGTTGGCGAGTTCAATCGGTTAGAGGATTGGCGTGTCTGTCTGGAGGAGACCTCAGGTTGGAAGAGGACGCGTTGTGGAGGCGCATGCCGGAGACCTAGCAGACACTGTAAGCTTACTGTGAGCCGAGGGAGGTAAACACGTGTAGTGTAGGCGCTCGTTCTGCGAGAACTCTCACCTCTAGTAACTCGCCCTCCTGTGCTTCCGGGTTCGTCGATGTCCATCTTCTCTTCCTTCGGTGTCTTCGCCGGTTCTCGATCAGGGCCTTCGCCGTCCTTGTCCTTGTCGCCATCATTCGCCGAGCTCTCTGCATCTCGGCCAACAGGTATGAGGAAGTTCTCGAGTGTTCGGTTCAGCAGGTCGCCGCCCTTAGCCGTGACATCTTCTAGGATCTCTTTGGGCGGCGGCTCCCTCTTGTGGACGTTGGTAATCTCATATGCGCTGGCGGACTTTGTCAGCATCCGTACCATTGTCTTACTGAACGGCATGGGACCATACGCGAGGTTTTTGTAATATGCTGTCTTCACGAGGAAGGCCAAGCCCGTGATATTGCTCACTCCAGGAAGGAATTCAGCAGCAAGCCTCCTCCAAGCTAACGGCTTTGCCTTGATATCTGACACCTTATCGTAGCCTCCTTCCTCACATACCCGCTTGTAGAGCCGAAAGAGGTCTAGGTGTCGCGGGCCGACTTTGGGTTCTCGGTCCAGGACGGTACTGCAGTATACTGTCAATCTCGGTGCGAGTGGTCCTCCGGATGCTGCACATACCCTCGTTTTTCATGGTATGCGGCCAAGTCTTCCATAAACTTGTCGTACTCGTCCGTGCGGTCAATCGAGGGCTCGCGCTGCCGAGGGGCCATGGTTTACGATGGCGTAGAGTTCGATGGTGGGTATCTAGGCACAGAGGTCAGCGCAAATCAGCGGTAAAGTCAGGTAGCTCTGCAACACATGGGAGCATGGAGCATCATCACATTACGCATACCGTCACCAGGTGGGCAGCTTTCACGGCAACAGTGCGCAGAAGTTAGCCAGAGTGGCAGATTCCTCGAAGTTTCCGGGCGCCGCAGCTGAAGTGTGGATAGTTCACTTCATGCTTGCAGCGAGAAGGTAGAGCTCGTGCGTTGACCGGCTTTGTTTTCCAGTCGCATTACAACATGCCTGTCGCGGTTTCGGCGAGCTTCACATCACTTTGCGCGCGCCGTGTAAAGTTTCGCGATCCTGCCTAACGGGGGTTAGCGTTTTCTGGACCCTTGTATCGAATCCCTTCTGGGCTGAACGCCGCATCTCACCCTCACCTGGCACGCCTGGCCACTCTCCGCCGCTGGTCTTCTTCACCAGCTCAAGGAGATATCTATCCACTGCAAACCCTGCAGCAGCGTCTTGAATCACTAACGACTCAGCACTAACTCAACATCTCCAGGCGAGACTCTGCGAAAACAAGCCCCGGAAGGGAACCTTTACCACAAGGCGCCCTTTACGAGATGATTAGTTTACCTTTACTCAAATTCTCATGGGCAACCGATGCCGCTACTGAGCAAAAGTTCTCATGGAAGCACACCACACAAGATCTCACTTTCGTTATTGACTCGTTCCAGCCTGGTGTACATCAACCAACTACTGCGGCGCCAACAGTGGTCAAGGTGACTCAAGGGACTAAAGTCTTGGTATATTTTGCTATGCGTGCCTGCCATGTCCCGTGCTTTTCCTCCAAGTCTGTGTTTGCGTGGACCATTGCATGTTCATTCTCTCTGATTTCTCCACCAGGAAACCCTTCAGCTGGAGGGAATCATTCAAGATGCCCAGAACATGGCTGCGGATGCTCGCAGATACTCCATTGAGTTGCGCCACGAGCAGCTCCCAATATCGGCTCTCAGGCGCTGTCCGTTGCTGGCCATCCGATACAGACTGCCCGACGGCAAGGTACCGTCTTCTCATCAGCACACCTTGATCGAACTAACTCAAAGCAACGTGGCAGATCAGGAGGCTGCAGGTCAAGTTCACTACCGACGAAGATTTTCATATGGTGCAAGGCTTCCTTGAGCGTCTCGGCTGTCCAATCTCTGACGTGCCTTCGGGGTCTGGCCGTCCGGCAAGCTCCACTTCAACGATAGCTGCCGGACCTTCATGCCCGCCAGCGTCGCTCTCGGCGTTGAGCAATCGCTCAGAGATTGAAAGACCAACTTACCCTGCTCAGCCCTGTCCCGTTACATCAACGACGGAGCGCCAGGTCAAACACAGCCATGACTCCTACAGACCGTCCACGGCCCATGGCCCTATCGCGATGCAGCAAAGCTACGTCTCTCAAGAAGAACCTCAAGCAGTGTATGGGTTCGGCCGTGAGAATCTGACAGATACACAGCGGTACGGAGAGCCTTATGCTGTACAAGGCCACCTGCAACGGTCTTACACACTACCATCTCAGCAATTTACGGAATCGCATCAGACTTTCCGACCCTCTTCTGCTGCGTCGGACTCCAGCCAGCGTAGCTTTCCTACAACCTCTATTCCCGGTCTCTATCCACCCTCGGTGTCTAGACGAAGTGCGCTCAGCAGGATCGACGAGGTGGAGAGTACTGAACATATGCTGCCGCCACGGTTAGTATTCTCGGATCCACCAACAGATCGAGCGCCATCCAACTCAGTGGGTCCGTTGTTCCAGCCTCGCGATGAAATGTTCGACCGAGATGCTGCCCACGACACATCTCAAACATTCTCCCGACGGCCCTCTACAGCACCAGTGACACAGCTCGACGACCCCCTCATCGACCTCATCCCACCACGACGGGAACTGCCCTTCCGCAGGACGTCCGGAGCGCAGAAATCAAGCGATGCTGGAAGTTCCAATGGACCAAGCTCAGCAGCCTTGCCGCCACTGCCCACCCCAAACTTCGTTGACAGTGCCGCAGCACCACCCAAACGGAACCCCTCAGCATCTCGCATCGCCAAGCCCCAACCGAAGCCCCCTGTCATCGTGGATGATTCAGCTAGGGACACTTCCGCGACACTACGCGCTTCAAGCCCCTTACCCACCTCCTCGAACAAGCAGGCGCGGCAAACCAGCCGCGACGACCCTCCCGACCCACCGCAAACCGCAGGCTCAAAGCGTCCGCTTAGCGCACTCGCCAGCAGCGAGTCCACCGCCCGTCACTACCGTTCCGCAGCATCCCATCCCCCGCCCACTCCCTCCTCCCTACGTCCGTCAACCGTCCCGTCCTCGCCGCCCCGCACCCTCCCGTCTTCCGACTACGCCACAGCACCAAGCAGCATGTCCGCCGCCCGAACCTCAGACCCCGCTACAGTCCCGCCCGCCGCTCGCGACTGCGTGCACAGAGTTGCCGCCTTGATCGCCGCCGCAGACCCAGCGGCGGAGCAGGAGAATTCGGAAGCCTATGCCGCAATGCCGGCGAACGAGCGGATGGCCGTGCTGGACGACTGGGTCGTGGAGCTGATTGGGGATGAGGGATTCTTGGCGCTTTGTCGGGATGTGGAGGGGTGTTGGAGGAGGATTGGGTTTGAGGTTTAGAGGAGCTGGGCGCTGCGCCAAGGGGGGGTTTTTTTTTGCTTCGATATACTCGTTGCCGTGTGGCTGAATGTGTATGGATGAGGGCGGCTTCATTGTGCGGTTGCTACTCCTGGGGGTTTTTGGCACCGTGGCTGAGGGGGTTTTTCGTACTACGTCTGGCTTTGCAACAATGGTTCGGCTTGATTCGAGACGCTGCTCTGGTGTCCTAGCTCGCAGTGTTGAGGACAATGGGCTGTGTGTTCGAAACGTGGTGATGGGTTGTGATGCACCAGGAAGACACAAAAGCAAACAACGGAATTGTTATTGCGTCGACCACGATGCTAACCATGCTTTTTCCAAGTGCACAAACACCGCGCTGGCTGAAAAAACCAAACCCTCTCGTCTATTCTAAACGCCAAACCACGTCACCAACCCCACACCGTCCGTCCACCCATCTAGTACACCTCAAGCACATACCTCCCCGCATCCTTCAACGTCTCAATCTCCCTCCGACTATCCACCTTCCTGCCCGCCACTCTCGCCTCCTCCTCCACCGCCTCCTGCAGCACCTGAGTAACATCCGGGACGGGCCACGTCGGCCCACACAGGTAAAAGCTGCCCTCACCCTGCAAGTACGCCTCCCTGATCTCCCCGAGACTCTGGCGCATGCGATCCTGGATATAGATCTTCTGCGGCTGATCTCTCGAGAACGCGCGGCCGAGCAAAGTGATGACGCCGGCGTCGCGGTACGCCTCCCACTCCTCGCCGTAGAGGTACTCTTCCCGCTGGTGCCGCGAGCCCATGTAGAGCAGGATGGAGCCGACGGCCTCGCCTTGCTGCTTCTGCAACGCGCGCTCTTGCACGAAGGCCCGGAAGGGCGCCAGGCCTGTCCCGAGACCTGCCATGATGATCGGCGCGGTGCTCTTCGCCGGCAGCTTCATCACGCTCGGCTTGACGCTCACCGTCACAGGCGCCCCAGGCACAAGGCCGTTGAGATACCGAGTCGCCTGCCCGAAGCGGTCGCGGCCCTTGGGGTCGACCCACCCGACGGTGACGATGAGCAGACTGACCGAGTTCGGCGTCACGCGCTGCGAGGACGCGATGCTGTATTCTCGCCTCTTCAGCGGCGCGACGATGCGCACAATGTCGTGGAACGAGGGGTGCGCCGAGGGGAACTCGAGGAGGATGTCCGCGTAGGTAATCGTGTCGACCTCTGCGCGGCGCTTGAACTCGGTCGCGCCGTCGGGCGTGCTTAGCGCCAGCAGATTCCGGCGCTCGTTCTCGTCGTCGGCGAACTCGGCGAGCGCCTCGTAGAAGCGCTTCGGCGGGCGCCCGAAAATATCCACGTTCTGGAGCAGCGACTGGTACACGGTGCGGTTCTCGAGCACATTGGGGTCTTCGCGCGACGGCACCTCGACCACTTCGGACGCGTTCAGCCCGTACCATTTTATGAATTCCTCGACTTCCACTTTGTCGTTCTCGGCGTGGATCCCCAGGGCTTCGCCGATGGCGTACGTGAGGCCGGAATCGCCAAGGTCGAACTCGATGTGGAAGATGTTGCGGTCGTAGGACAGGGGTGTCAGTCTGCGGCGTTCTTTGACGTGCACGACGAAGGTCTTGATGCCGAGGTCGGGGCGGAGGGCGTTGCGTGTGCCGTAGGCTTCTTTGAAGGCGAGGCCCTTGGCGGCTGTTACCCAGGTCTTGAGAAGCGTTGGCGGCTCGGGGTCGATCTTCTCGAATGCGGTGAAGCTGTTGACGTTAATATTTGTGGGCAGCGAGATGCTCTCTACTTCTGGCTCGATTATGGCCCAGGACTCGGGGACCTTGCCCTGGCGGAGTGTCTTCTCCAGCTCCTCGGCGAGGCTGTCGAGTAGCTGTTCACTGCCGTTAATCGCAGCTAGCTTCTGTACACTGGCGAAAAGTGCGTCATTACGTGCGGCTTTCAAGAAAGCCAGCTGGGCGAGGTAGGTCTCAAGGATGCTGTCCTCGGCTACCTTCTCCGATGCAGATGGGTCTAGGATGAAGAGCTGAACGTTTTTCGCAAATATGGCCTTGCGAACTCCGACAGTAAGCCTCTTCTCGAGATCCTCATCCTTGGCGCCTGGGAGCTTAACAACTAGTATTCCTCCATCCTTCAACCCGTTCAAAACGTCGAACTCTCCAAGGAGCTTCTCATCGCCCACGAATGCCGCGTCGGCAGTATCAATGAAGTAAGAGGCTTCGATAGACTTGCTAGAGCTTCTGATGTCGGTCCGGATGACACCACCCTGCACCAGGTTGTCGTGGCCAGTGCGGACCGAGATATAGTTTGGAGAATCTGCTGACAAAAACTGGCCAAGAACCAATGGGGCGCTTGCTGAGGCCGATTCGGCGATGTCCCAGAAGGTATACTGCTGAACAGAGCTGTCCAAAATGTCTAGATCCCCCAGGTCCTCGGAGCCGTTGATAGTCTCGCCAATGGAGGCAGACTTGTGGCCAATCTGGCGGAACACGCTGACAACCTTGGCGGGAGTCCACACTTGCTCTCGGGCATACTTGACATCATCCACGAAGGGAATGCCACTGAGCTGACGGGAGAAGCTGACAGCAGCCAGTACGTCGCTGAAGAGGCGAGAATGCTCAGAGGGATCGGACACGGCTACGGAATCCTTGACCTGACCGAGAACAGCAACGTGCTGGACGGATTTAGGCAGGACTTCAAGGAAGAGCTCCTCGACGAACGGGCGGTACACCCGAACGTTGATCACACCAACTTTCGAGCCTTCCTTGGCCATCGATTGCGCAACCTGGGCAGCGAGGGAGGCCTCCACGGTGCCGAACACCACCAGCACAGATTCAGGCGCAGGGTGTCCGTGATATTCGAAAAGCTTGTAGTCCGTTCCCAGCTCCTCGTTGAAAGCCTTGAGCAGGCGGACGACTCTGCCCTCGTTGTCAGAGTGCTTCTTCTCCGTTCCGGAAGTCTCTTTCGAGATGGCCTGGTACACCCGGAACAACCCAGCTTGATCTAGGGCGTCAACTCTTACAGTCTCTCTTCCGACAGTAAGTCCGTCGTATGTGTGAATTGTCGGCACAATGTTGGCGAGCAGAGTCGCGAAGAGGGACATGTGCTGTACCTCATAAGCCGACGCACTGGACACCAATCCCAAGCCGAGCTCGTCAGCAATGGTCAGGGCGGACACGTAGTCTGTGACCAAGCCGGAGGACGAGCCCGCCGCGTAGTCCACGGCGGCGACATGGGCGACCAGGGGGTTCGCCAGGGAGTAAAGCAGAGATAGCTGGTCAAGTGCTGGGCGCAATTGGTGCAGACTGGACGCAGATGCGACAAGCGCTTGCGGGATATGGCGCTTGCTGAGGTCGAAGTCATTGGAGAACATGTATCCTAGAGCAATCGAGCCCGCTCCTGTCCGCGTCTCGAGGGGAGAAACTCCGGTTGTATAGCCAAACGCATTCTTTTCGTCCTGCTCTTTCCATTGCTTTACGGCAAAATCTAGATCGAATGTTTCTGGCGAGTAGGCGAAGAGCTTGTCAGACAGTGTGTATGCGACCTGCTGGATCAGGGTCTGGGCGGTGAGGTAGGTAGGGCCGCCGATGGAGGACAACTCGAGGCTCTGGCCGAACGGTAGGCTTGAGGATGTCTGGATGAACTGCTTCATGGGCTTCTGGTCGTCTGCTGGCGCAGCAGAGCCCGCGGACTGTGTCTGCTGGAAATGCATGGTGATAGACACCGGCTGCTTGTGCAGTAAAAAGAAGCTCTACTTTGGGCAGACAAACAAAGGGGATCAACGGTATGTAACGGTATGTACACAGGAGCAAAACAAGCCCCAGACAGAGTGACTTGAGGAAGAGCAATCGCAGGAGAAAATAATCTCAGGACGTTTTGTCCACAGCACTGGCGCCGGAAAGAAATGCGACAGCTGGGCGAGCCAGACGCCACCGCTGAGCAAGCATCCGGGAGGGATTGGGCCCTCGACGGGCTCTTTTCACAGCTCCAAGGCTCCATGGTGGAAGAGCGCTGAACAGTTGAGGCGCTTTCCTCTGGACGGGCATGGTCGCATCGTCGCCTCGAGCACGCAATCGTCGAAGCAAATGCCGAACGCGCAGATCTCGGATCATCCTCACCACCGAGCATTCCCCCCTTGTTCAGAGTCACATGATTTTGCAACAGGGGTGGTGTCAACGTCCGCCAAGAATTGGGTTCGTCAAGGAAGTCCTCTCCCCAGTGATGCTACATTCTCCCCCTCGATCTCTACAAGGAACGATGCGCTGTAGGAGCTAGAGCCTTTGATATATGAATGAGGACTACCGCGCTTCTGTAGTGAGACATGCGTATTCCAGGAGAGGCCGTCGGCTTCAAGCCCTGTACTCGTATGTGATGAGAGCTCTAGCTCAGGAAGCCAGCGCCGCTTGTTCATCCACCCATATGTTGTCGCTTCACGAGTGATTCCAACTCTTCATCGTCATCGTAGAGCCTCCATTGTACTGTTACAGCCTGTTTGGGCTCGATGGATCCATCATCCATAGCCCTGCGAAGGGCTGTTGGTTATGGAAAAGGATGAGTAAACGGGGTCCAAAGATACACTTCTCAGGTTGGCGCTCGTACACAATGGGACATGTTTTCTTTGACAGTTTCCTTTCATCTTGTCAGCAATCAAGAAAGGACGATATGTGTCTCGAACAAAGTGAGCTTTACGGCCTTGGAAGTGTGGTCCTGGAGAATGCAACTCCTCCTCAAACATTACCTTGCCTTGCCGTTGCTGTATCTTTCTCCAGAGTGCCTTCTCGTATAATCTTTCAAAGTAACGTGATGATTCCTCTACGACTCCTGCTGTGAGCGATCCAAGACATATCCATCCCTGAATTGACTGGCTGGATGTGGCCTCACCAGAGGGATATGATCCAGATCAAAGTGCACGCGCAAGCTAGCTAGTCCATCGAGCAGTTCCCACGGTGATATCGGATGTGTGACCGTCAAGATGGCAGAATCGTGTGAACAGGACGATGCACGTCATTCACTCGTCTGTTATCACGAGCATGTGGGCTCATTTCCTTTTTTACTTCACTTCACCGTTGATGCGTCACATGCCCCGTGAATCGCACCGTTTGCTGTTGTTGTTGACTCTAGCGCGGTTTCCTTAAAGTCTCATTTCCTTCCTCCACTTCCTTTCTCGCAACAACCTCACTCGACTTCTGACTACATCAGCTACACAAAGCGATATATCACCAGTCGAGCAAGGCTTTTACACCAACACCAACACCAACACCATCACCATCACCATGTTCTTCTTTCTCGTCTCCTTCCTCCTCGCCTTCGCCGCCTACGGCACCCTCGCCGCCGCCGTCATCGACGCGCTGATGGGGATCTGCGACCTCCGCAAGGGGGTCGAGTTCTCCTGCCTGGCCGTCTGCGTCGGTCGGCTTCTTCTCTGGGCCTTCGGCATGGCGATGGACTGTCCGATGTTCTACGATGATATGAGCATCGCGACGATCTTCACCTCTCTGACCGTTGTGGTGGGCTTTTCTCCGCTGGAAGATCTTCCTTGATAGCGCTAACGATCTTTCCACTCTCAGTTCGTCGTCTTCTGCGTCCTCGTGTGGCGTTACTCGAGACGCCCAGTCACCGCGCTCGTCCTCCTCACCACCCGCCTCGTCACCCGGTCCCTCTCCCGCGACACGGCGCAGCGGCGCGACGACACCAACGGCCCCCCCATCGACAATCAGCACCGTGGTGAAGACGGCGAGTTGAAAGATCTGGAGCAACCAAAGGCACCAGCCAAGGTTGGAGCTGAGGCCGCGGTCAAGGTGGATCTTATCCGAAAAGTCACTCATGCCAAAGATGAAGGCCGCGTTCAGCGCCTGATTCTGCAGCAGCCAGGATTTGATCGTCCCACACCTACCCGTGTTGAGGAGCGCAGCTCGCTTGACTTCCTACATACTGTCGAAGGACGGTGGACTAGGGAGGCAATGCCGACTGAAAAAGCGACTCCCGCCTCTGATGCGCAGCAGGACCTGGAGGCAAGGCCAGCGCGTATTCAAGCTCAAGCTCATGGAACGGCAGCTGTTGTGGTCGCAGCTCAGCCGGGTCCAGTCCCTCATGCTGTCGAAGTGCAGACGACGGTGACAGAGCTCTCCCCACAGACTTCTTCTCCCGCGCTTCCTGCATACCTCCTGGCCTGTCCGAGTTCGTCTCGTAAGCCGCGGTCTCGTCCTGCAGCCGACTCCGTTCACGGAAGTCGTGTCTGCAAACCGCAACAGGCCAGCAGCACACGTCACTCTTGCGAACGTTGTGCATCTCACACAGAGGTTGCAGCTCCTCCAGCAGACCCGGTCGGCCCACCGATCATCCCTCTGGCACCTTCTCCAGCCGCCTTCGCTCTCGACGCGAACGGTGGCGATCCCATGGAGTTGGAACCGGATGCGGATCCAGAGGTGATGCCTGGCACCCCGATCATCCCCCTGGCGCCTCCTCCAGCCGCCTCCGCTCTCGACGCGGACGGTGGCGATCCCATGGAGTGGGAACCAGTTGTGGATCCAGAGGCGGTGCCTCTGATTGCATTCTCCCGTCTCAGTCTGGGCACACCCGGCCCACCAGCATCGAGGGGCATCATCCGAGCATCACGTCGTGATGGCCAAGCAGCAGCATTCTTCGCTGCTCTGGATGATGGCACCCCAGCGAGCTCGATGCGTTATGGGTACCGGGTCCCTGCAGCCGCCAGTCAAGTTCTCCCGGCTCCAGCAGCAGCACCATCATCATCATCAACCGCGCAGCTTCTTACGGCGCAAGCTCCGGTCCTTCCTCACCTCCCCCGAAAAGACGCCGTCCTTCCTCGACCACCCCCTCAGTCGCTGCCGCAGCCTCTGTTCCAAGCTGCCGACCAGTTACAGGGGTTCCAGCAGGCTGCTGTGCCTCCTCCAGCACCTGCACCAGCACCAGCACCTGCACCAGTCCAGCTCCCGGCCCCGGCTTCGCGCGAAGCAAAACGTCTCCGCCTTCGTCTCGCACGCTCTCGCTCCCTCATGCCTGCAAGACGTTTTGCTCCGTGCGTCGCCCGGCGATCTCAGCCGCCTCAAGCTCCGCTGGTCCAGCTCCCGCTTCCGCCCGCCCTCGCGCCTGACGTCCTCCCAGCTGTGCGCCCGGTACCTGCACCGGTGCTTCAAACCCAGCCTCCGGCACTTCTTTATGTGCCGCCGGCCCTTGCACCGGCGCCTGAGGTACCGCCAGCTGTCCCTCACCATGCGCCGCCAGCTCCTGCACCAGCGCCTCAAGTCTTCCCAGCTGTGCAGCATCAAGGCCCGCTGGCTCCTGCAGCGGCGCCTCCGGCCCAGGGCGGGCAGCCAATCTTCCTCCGCCGGCGTGCACCACAGGTGCTCCGAGATGTGCCTCGTCCCCGCATCTTGGTTCCTCCTCCGCAACGGCCGGTCCCTCAAGCCCAGCCGGCTGCGCCTCCTCAAGAGCCGCTGGCACCTGCAGCGGCTGCTCAAGGCCAGCCAGGCCAGCAGCATCATGGTCCGCCGGCTCCTGCAGCGGTACCTGGAGGACAACCAGCCGCGCCTCATCACGCTCCGCCGGCCCCTGCAGCGCCCTTTCAAGCACCACCAGCCGCACCACCAGCCGCGCCACCTCCACCTCAAGCGGCCCCTCCACCACCCGCTCAGCCAGCCCAGCCAGCCGCGCCTCCAGAGGAAGGATCCGAAGCCTGGGGTGAGCTCCAACAAAAGCTGTTCAGGGGGCAGGATTGGCGCAAAGCGAAGAACTACCTGGCACTCATGAAGTGGGCAGATCGGAAGGTGCATCTTCGTCACTGGGCCGAGAGGTCGACTATTCAGGTCAACAAAGTCCTCAAGCTCGCATACGAGACTGACACCACCATCATCCCGACGGAAGAGCAGCTGGAGGACATCTTCCGGGCCGGCAAGATGTGCGAGTTCCTCGCCGATTTCCTCAACTGGAGGGCTCGTGAGGACGGCTACGTGGCGGCGGAGAAACTACTCGAGTCCATGCCCGAGGAGGTGGACATCTTCATAGAGGAGTTCCTCGCCGACACCAACACGTATCTGGAGGCCCTTGGCAAGATCCTCCCAGCCAAGCAGTTCCTCATCTTAAAGTTCCGGGACGATACCACGAAGATGACCACCGCGTGGAAGAGGTACAATCCCTCACGCGCAGGGTAGACGGGTAACTAGAGGCTGCAAGGCACCACGGCGAGGATTGAGGGAGTTGAGGTTCATGGCGTTTGCAATCACCACCGCAGAATGTAAGCAATGCACCATGCTCACCTCCGCCATATGCTGACCAGTATGCACAGCCTTGCGGACGTCACTGAGAGCCTTTTGTTGTCTTCGAGGAACTCGCCCGCCGGATGTAAGTAGAGCAGCTGTCTCGTCATGACTACATGCTGACCAGCGTTCACAGTTTTGCGGACTGCACAAGTGGTTTTTCGGTGGCTTTGGGAGACACGTCCGCCGAACGTAAGTTGAGCACAAGTCTCACCCTTATCACGTGCTGACCAGTCTATACAGGTCCGCGGGCAGCGCTAGGAGTCTTTTGGGGTTTTTGGGATGGGGTGTCGGTTGAGTCTGGGGCTATTTCCCCTCAGGCTCTCGCAGGTTTTTTCATGTTTTTTTCCTGCCTCGATCTTCTGCTTCCTGTCCTCCATCTCTCCTCCTCGCTTTGTCTACCTCCACCTCTCCTCCTCCGTTCCTCTTCCTCATTTCCTCGTCCGTCTCTCGCACTCCAGCAGCCGTCTTCCCTCGCGTGTCGCGTTCTTGTTTCATACAGCATGCACTGCGGGAGCAGCGCCTCAACGTCCCGGCGTGCGATCACCAGGTGTACGCGGCCGCCGCTCTGCGTTGCATGCTGTTCCCCCTAGAGCCCTGCGAAGTAGCCCTCTGCGCCGGCGTCCGAGTACCAGGTGAGCATGGCGAAGCCGCAGTCCTTTGGGGGGCGCTTCTGGTGGCAGCTGAGCCTCTAAGCACCGGCGTCTTAGCACCAGGTTAGCGCGGTGAGGCTGTGCCAGTTAAGCTTGTTTGTGCTTTGGTGCTGCGTTCCACTTAATTTCCTGATGGCTGCTAGAGGACCGGGACGGCGGGAGTGGGCGTTGGGTTGAGCGTGAGTTGAGGGAGCGAGTGTGGCATTGCGTTCAAGATTTTATGGGAGAACGTTCGGAGTTGAACATACGGCTTTCCTGCTTTACTTTCTCGATGGGGCCGGGACGGCTGGGCTGTCTTTAGGTTTTTGTCGACGCAGGTCCTGGAGATACAAACACACAAACAATCAGACGCGGAAGCAGTTGATGGATCGATCATTTATTCTCTCAGCGCTTGATTGATGGTGATATGTTGAAGAACCCCCCTTCCAGCTGCTCCAACCCAGCAAACTTAACCTTAGCCATACACAGTTATCACGTTGCAGTAGGGAGCTTCAGGTTATACACAAGCGTCAGGAGTCACAGCCTCCTAATCTGTGATCTACGGATGCAGTTCAGTTACTCGAGTTAACTGAGAGGTGGAGGTTTGGAGAGAGCACGTGAGACGATGCCGAAAGCGGCAGCCGAGGAGCGTCTCGAAACCTCAGGCTCCCATTCGCTCTCCACTTCCAAGCTGCAAGTGCGGACATGATGGCCGGCAGAGTCGGCACTGGTGCGTTTTCCGGCTCAACAAACAACCGTGTAGATATCATTCGGTCATGTCCATATCTCTCTCGTCCGCTCTTTCGTCTGCTGGATATTCTTGCCTCTCGCGAGACATCAATCCTCTCTGGACAGCTCCAAGACATCGTCTTCAAGTATCTCATTTTCTGTTACTTTTTCTAGGTAGTGAGGTAGGCGTATACGATGTATAATGTCTCGCACTCAGCATGGCCTCCGTTCTCATTCCACAGCGAGCAGCAGCTCATCATCGAAAGACGGTCCGGGAGCCGATGACTACAAGGGCATAGAGCTTGATACTCTCACGCCCAGCAGCAGATCCTCCGAGGACAGCGTTATCGGAACACAGCTCAACGCGAACAGCGAAGCAGCCCACCTCCTCGCCAACCCACCGCCGGGGAGTGACTCGACACTCCTCCCCATCACCGCCCCAGAGCGCCCAGCAAAGGAACCACCAGTAACATGGCGCTCCCTCCCCCGCAAAGATCAGCTCATAATCCTCACCCTCGCCCGTCTCGCCGAGCCCCTAACCCAGACAAGCCTGCAGGCCTACATGTACTACCAGCTGCAATCCTTCGACCCGTCCCTCTCGTCTTCCACCATCTCCTCCCAAGCCGGCATACTGCAGGGCGCGTTCACCTTCGCGCAGTTCCTGACGGCGATTATGTGGGGCCGGATCGCGGACTCGGAGTGGGCGGGCCGGAAGACGGTGCTGCTGGTGGGATTGGTGGGCACGGCTGTTAGTGCTGTAGGATTTGGGTTTAGCAAGAGCTTTGGGGCGGCGGTCTTTTGGAGGAGTCTTGGGGGCGCGTTGAATGGGAATGTGGGGGTTATGAGGACGATGATTTCGGAGATTATTAGGGAGAAGAAGTATGTCGATGGCGAATCCTTGTTTGTAGTGGTTGTAGGTGTTGATAGTGGTCTTTGTAGGTATCAATCGAGGGCTTTTTTGCTGCTGCCTATGACGTTTAATATTGGTGTCATTATTGTGAGTCTCTATACTGCCTCCAATCCCGTTTTCCGATCCCTTCTTCATCTGCCCTGACTGCGACGACACCTCTGGTGAGATCCAGGGTTCGTTCCAGGGGCGAAGAGGACATCACAATCAGCTATGATTATATGGCCGCTGTTGAAATGAAAACCCATCAGCGTCGCTTTTACCTGTACATCCACATCTCCAGCACTTTTCTTGTCCGGTGAATGTTCTATCCTGGGGACTTTTGTTTACCGAGCTCCCTGACCTTTGGCAACTGACCTGAGTGACCTTACTAGGGGCCTATCATGGGTAAATAACTCCACTCTCAGCATCGCCTGCTTGATCAAGACTGATATCCTATCACAGGCGGTCTTCTAGCAGATCCGATCACTAGCTACCCCAGCATTTTCGGACCTGGCTCGCTGTTGGGAGGCAAAGACGGGATACATTGGATGACAAAATGGCCGTACGCCCTACCAAACCTCGCGAGTGCAGTATTCTTGACTGTATCGTCGTCGATGGTAATACTCGGTCTTGAAGAGGTATCACGCTGTGCAGTCCACCCCTTTCAAGCCGTACCACTGATCCCACTTAGACTCTCGACGCTCGTCGAGACAAGCCCGATTACGGCCTCAGGTTTGGCCGCTACTTGAGACGCCTGATCTCTCGCCACAGAAGCTCACATAGATATGCCGCTGTCCCAGAGGAAGAAGACACCACACTTTTGAATACGTCCACCGATGTCGAACTCCAAGCATCGAGCAGCACACCCCCCAAATCCCGCGGCCCCAAAGCGTCAGCCAAGGTCCCCCTCCGCCGCATCTTCACCCACAACGTCCTAACAACCCTCCTCTCGCACGGCCTCCTCGCAATGCACGTCGGCACCTTCAACAACCTCTGGTTCGTCTTCCTCAGTACGCCGCGCTTCGACGCCTCCCACCCCTCCCCACCATCCCGTACCACGCAATCCCTCCCCTTCGCCTTCACAGGCGGCCTCGCGCTCCCCCCACGTCAGATCGGCCTCGCCCTCGCGATCCTCGGCATCATCGGCATAACGTTGCAGCTTCTCCTGTATCCAGCCGTCTCCGCGCGGCTGAGCACGGTAACGACCTACCGCTTCTCGCTCTTGCTCTTCCCAATGGCGTACGCACTCGCCCCGCTGCTGGCTCTGATCCCCTCCTCCGCTCCGCCGCCGGCCCCCGCGTCCGGGCCGCCCATCTGGGCCTCCATAGCCGCTGTGCTGCTCTTCCAGACCGCCGCCCGCACCTTCGCTCTCCCCGCCACAACGGTTCTGGTCAACAACTGCTGTCCCGACCCGCGGGTGCTTGGGACCGTGCATGGGATTGCGCAGAGTGTTAGTAGCGGCACCAGGACGCTGGGGCCGGTGGTTTTTCTTGCGCTGTTTGGGCTTGGGATTAAGATCGGGCGGGTTTGGCTCGCGTGGTGGGCGTTGGCTGTGCTGGCCATCGTTGGCGCGGTTGCGGGAAGGTTCGTAAAGGAGGGAAGTGGGCGGGACGATGAAGGTAAGGGTTGAGAGATGGTGATGAGGGGGTGGTGAGAGAGGCCTACAGCCGTTGTGCGTGAAGTGGGGTGCCGGCCGGCGTGAATGCTGTGCTGCTTTGCGATACGCGGCATATGTACTGATGCCATTCAGTGGAAAGGGTATGTGCTGCTGGGTAGGTGGACACCTGTTGGAGGCGTGAACGGTGGGGAGATGCGGAATGAACGCGACGTAAGCTTCAGGGCCAACACTCGTGCGCCGTCGGGGTGGGAGGGACGTAAGTAGCACTTGAACTAGAAGCTGAGCGGGTACTTCGTACTTGTCTTAGAACCTCTTGCTCATAGCTGACGCGCAAATATCGATCCAAAGTAGTACTTCAGTAGATGGTTTAATGATTATCAGGGTTGGACGAGCCATTCCCAAGTTTCCTCAGTGACGGCCGAGCTCAGAAGCCACTGTCCCATAGCCCCTCCAAAGATATTGCAAGAAACGATATGCCAATGAACAAAGCAGCCACGGCCTGAACTCCCAGACTAGCCCATGCCATGAAACCTAACGCCGTAGATGTGGAAGTGCCAATAGCAATTCCATGGGTATCACGTTGAGCCAAATGAAAGCAACCGTGAGCCTCCGAGCGCCGGGAAAGTGAAAGGATGGATTCCGAATGTAGACCGAGACGCCGATGAGATAGGACTGCCCGTCCGCGTGTTGATGAGCGAAATCTCGAAAATGCAGCCACGCAGATGTTGTAGATGCGAAAAGATACAGTCGCCAACCATTTTCCATAAGGTCGTGTCAGACAGACCAGCGACTGAATGAGAACGTCGCTGGGTACGGTCGGGTCTCCTTATCTGGGCTTTTCGTCGTTTGTAGGGCCTCGATCATCGGAAGTGTCCCTTCTTCGGTCTCAATCAGGGCAGAGCGGTGGAGGTACCGACGGGCTGAAAGAACGAAGCCGACGGCAACGAACAGGAAAGCGGAGAGTCGAATCATGAGATATATCGGCGATTGTCCGAAGGACGAGAGGCTGGCTATGACGTGACGAACGCAATCGTGCGCTCCTTCGTAGACATAAAGCCATGAGAAAGTATTCAGAATGGCCCACATAAGTCCTATTTCAATGTCAGTGCTTCATGGTGTCTTGGGGCGATACAAGGCATACCAGCAACAACGACCAGGAGTCGGCCAAGCTCCTTGCTGACCATACTGATCACTAACGCCATCACGACAAGCCCAGCCCAGCTGCGGACAAGGTCGGCAAATCCTCCTGCTGTGGCGAGGGTCTGAAGCTTGGTAGTAGCATCCTCTATCGCGGACTTCTGAGTTTCGACGCTCTCCTTCATATCCCTCAGCTGTTCGCCAAGCCGTTGCTGGGTCTGCTGCCGCATCAGCTGGAGTCCACCAACGTGAAAGCTGTAACCATACCTCTAAATTCGCCTCTTGCTGTTCATGCGTCCTCTGGCTCGTCTCGTACAATCTCTCCTGTATCTCGTCAATGATGTCCACGTGATATTACGGTAGATGGTCATACCAGCTCGGCATTGACCAGACTTAAGTTCGCTGTCCAGCTGCCAATATCCAGCCCAGCGTTTTCTAGCTCACGACGTAGAGATAGAGCCCTCTCAAGGCTGGCCTCATGTCCACGCACTGCTACAGCTGCAATCTCGGTAGTTTTCTCGATGGCGTCGTTGTGCGTGGTCCGTATGTTTTCACGAGTCTGATCCAAGTCATCGCTTGCATGGTGGAGATTCTGAAAATTGTCAGTGTCTGTTATACACGCTCGGGAGTCCACAAACTTCTGTTAGTGCGTCGAGCTTTGATCGAGCCTCATTCGTAGTCTGAGACACATGCATGATGTCGTCCCAGAGCATCTTCAACCCCGTGCTCAGCTGATTCAGGATGCTGAAAGTTCTCCCAGTTGCCCGCTCCAACTCTTTCACATAGTCGGCTTGCATCCGCCGCACCTTGGCGGCAAATTCCTCTGCCTCCTGTAGTCGGCCATCAGTTTTGTCGAGAGAGGCTGAAAGAGCTGACGCTTGGTTTGCTGTGACTTCCGCCATGTTTCTATACATTACGAGCATTTCCTCTGACACGCAAGGTTAAATATATAGGGCAGTCACTGTAGGGGATCGCACATACCTCGTTCGATGGCGTGTCTGCTCGCCTGGCAGACGACAACTGCATTCTGCCTGGCGTTGCTGTAGCTTGTCCACCACTGCGCTCGCGATTCCAAACCACGTAAGCACTGGTCAAACTGCTGCGTAGTCAACCCAGGGTAGCACAGCTCATGCCCTTCAGACTTCTTTGGTCTGGCTCCGCCGAAGAAGCCGCCAATGCCAGACTTCTGGCAATGAGCATGAGAGGGGACCAAGCGGGCGCATTGAGGGGGGATGGCGGCATTTGCGCCCGTTAGTTCGCAGACGGCAAGCCTGGCCGCGAATTCAGACTTCACTTCCTCTAGCACAACTTCGATGTTCCCAGGTTTGTGGGTTTCTCCAGGAGATGTTTCGAGCGATTGGCACGATTTGATGAGGGAGTGAACGGCAAACCGGTTGCATGATGGCGATGATTCGTAGTTTTGAATAATTCTGAGGGCGGTTGAAAACTCCGGCTGATTGATCGATGCATGGTGGAGTTCGGATGCTAAGTCGATGCGTGATGGCGCATTCGTCGACTTCAGAAGGTCGTGCTTCACGCTGGGGTCGCGAAAAGCCGTGGTAGACTGGCCAATAGACAAGAGAAGCAGTACCACCATGGGTTGAACTGCGGCGTAGAGCTTCGTCTTAGATGCCATTATGATATGAGTTGACACGATTGAATGGAAAAGGAATGGAAGTTAGAGACAGGAATGAGTAAGCACAAGACCTATGGTCTTGCCGAGAAGATGCCCAGAGAAGAATATGGTTGAAGTCGAAATGAGAGCTGATTTCAAGCCTGATGCAGCTGATCAAGGGAACCCCCTCGTGTTGGTGATGCTATATAATCAGCGTTGGTATGAAGATTTGTTCATGAGTTACTCCGATCGTCTTGATCACCTCCTGGTAGCTGCTTGCGAGGTCATTTGCATCATTTGACCTGTGTGCTTACAGTGGTTGTCAAGTCGTTGCTAAGGGTGAGGTTCAGATGAAGTTCGCATCGCGAAGCCTTGGCGTCGTGACTAAGCGAGACTTCCGCGACTTCAACTGTCCGAGTAACGCATCAGGAACATGGACTTCACAGCAATTCTCATACAATGATCTGCACGGCTTCACGGCGCTGCTTGCAGAGTACTGCTGTGCCTCTATCTGTACCCTGTGCCACCATACCCGCATTCCTCCTACCCGCCTTCCAGCAACCACCCACCTCGCGCTCCTTCAGCTCCTCGCAACCATGTCGCTCCAAGATCGGCAAATCACCGCTCTCCATACCGCCAAACGTCACCTTCACGGTCACTGAGGCGCCTCGAACGAAGGGCGGCCGTATAAGCAGGACGCAGGGCATGTCCACAGCCCACATAATAGGGCCCCTAGGTAGGGCTTCTCCGTCTCCGCCTCCATATCGGATTACGCTGACACAACCTAAGGCGAAATGTCCATGCCCATTCCGCCTTTCATCGCCATACAAAGAGACACCCCTACCAGTGCTCCAACCCTCTCCGTCCTCGACGCCGAAGAGCGACACCAACGCGAAATGTGGGGCACCGTACGCGCCTATCTCGCAAATCACATCCTGGGCGTCAGCGAAGGCCACACAGCCATCCTGCGTCTCGTCGGTGTCGGGTACCGCGCGACAGTCGAGCCTACAGCCACGACCGTCAAGTCAGAATACCCGGGCCAGCAGTTTGTGAATCTGAAGGTGGGATACTCGCATCCAGTGGAGCTGGGAGTGCCGAAGGGGGTGAAGGCGAGCACGCCACAGCCGACTAGAATATTGTTGGAGGGAGTGGAGAAGGAGGTGGTAATGCAGTTTGCGGCAAAGATTAGGGCGTGGCGGAAGCCGGAACCATACAAGGGCAAGGGCATCTTTGTGAATGGAGAAAGTATCAAGCTTAAGAACAAGAAAATCAAGTAGTCGAGGTCACTGGGATGGTTGGGATGGTGGCGCGTACGTTTGTATCATACTGTACTCATTGCATATGGCCGGAGTTTGGTCAGGATCAAGAGCTTGGCGAGAGAAATGGCAGTCATCATTGTGCAGAGGCAGTAACGATTTCACACGCTGGCGGAACATAGTGGGTTTAGCACGCGTTTGTGAATCATCAATGGCACAGTGTAGAGATTGCGGTGTATAAACGCCTACGCAGAAGAGGCTTCAATCTGGACTCGGGAGGCTTAATCCAACTTCAGACAAACCCAACAGTTACAGATCGGAGAAACTAGAGGGACCACCAACCTCATTCTGGAGATTTGACAGAGACACAAGGGGACAGGTGTATCCGCCAACACCAATCGCACCACCGTGCCTTGTGCAAACACTGATCAGTCATGCTACATAGCCTTCTGAATCATGTTCTATCCCGCGTTAGTTTGCACTTGGCTGGAGTTAGACGGTCATATCTCTGGCCTTGAGTGAAGACGTGGAACTGATCCTCACACCAATATGATCGCGCACCTGTGGATAACATCACACCCTACAGATGGCGAATTCGCTACATCTACCTCTCATACAGACTCTAGCGGCTTTGTTCCGCTTAAGTACGAGTTTAGCAGCTGTAGAAGCGCCACGGCACGGTGGAGAGCTTAAGATATCTCATGAAGAAGAGCGCCTTTACGGTTTTCATTCCTTCCTCCCTTGAAGCTGGCGACATGACACTTCGCAGTCACATGATCACGGACTGTCCAGGTGCTGCAAGAAAGCAGTGAGTTAAGGATGCAGCGAGACTAGCTGCTTAGACGTCGAATTCTACTTATGTGGACTTCTTCTAAACTCTGAGATCTACCTCAAGCGCCGACAGGTCTATTTGCTTCCCAGCACACTTTTGACCGCTTCCAATACCTGTGCGTGCACAGCCTTTGGCGCCGCAACAACCCCCGAGTTCTCCGACAAGGTCCTACCCTTGCTGAAATCTAGCCTCTTGCCATTGGCATCCGTGACCTCACCTCCGGCCTCCCTGACAATCAGATCACCCGCTGCATGATCCCAAATCTTCTCCTGGTAGTCCTTTCTCACCGGCAACCGCAGATAGAGATCACCTGCCCCCCTCGCGATAGACCCATACTTGGCCTGCGAGTCCATCCTCACGCTCTTCTTCGATATGCCCAGCTTCTTCGCAATCTCAAACTGATCCCCATGGCTCGAATGTGCCGCCTCGACACTCTCACAAAACGTCGCCTGAGTGATATCCTCGATCTTCCTCATGTGAATCGCTTTCCCCTCCGCCAGCCCTCCCCTCGTCAGCGGCCGACTTGTCGCGCCCTCCCCAGCCACCGCACTAAACAGCACCCCATTCCCCTCATCCGTCGCGTCCTCTCCCGCCTTCTCATCCAGCTGCGCGGAGTCGTCGATCGGCAGGTTCGGACACCCCAGCACCCCGACCTTGACATCTCCATCCACCATCAGCGCGAGACAGACCGCGTACTGTCCGCCGCGGAGGAAGCCCTTCGTCCCGTCGATGGGATCAAGCGCCCATATCCGCCCCTTCGCGCCTCCTGCACTGCGCCCCTCGTCAATCATATCTAGCATCTCCTTCTCGCTCTTCACCGGGCCTCCGAGCGTCTCCTCAGCCTCGGCATCATCCAGCCGCGCCGCTTGCACAAGCTGCCAGATCTGACCGCTTAGCGAGGAGTTGGAGCGCAGGTCTGAGGCCTCTTCCTCACCGACAATCTCGTCGTGCGGGAAGGCTCGCCGGATCGCGGTGATGATCAGGGCTTGGGCGCCGTAGTCGCCGATTGTGACGGGGGACTTGTCGGATTTGTCGGTCGTGCCTTTTACTTTTTCGTGGAAGACTTTCTTGGTGAGAAGGGTTGCTCGTTGTACGGCCAATTGGGCAATCTCGAGCTCTTTAGCGTAAGAGGACATGGTGGGGCTGGTGGTTGTGAAGCGGCGGATGGATGGGAGGGAAAGCTGGCGGGAAAGTTGGGTGAGGCGGGCGGTAAATGTGGTAAGAGTGCTGAGTGCCAGGATGAGCAGTGAGAGGAGCAGTAATGGCCTAGGGATGTCAGCGATCTTGAGCGTGGACAGTTTCATGGACTTTCTATGGTTCTGTAGTGGGGCCGGGTTGACGTTGTGTCGGGCTTTTGTGACATCAAACGCCGAGCTTGTTCTAGATAGCGGTAGAGAGTTTAGATCTATTTCCCTACCTATTTCTTATAGTCTTTAGCTCCTTAGGTCTTAAAATCTTTGCTACTTGCAGCTTAGTATAGGCTTAAACAGTTTCATAATCGTTCTTCCAGCAGTATAGATAGCTATTACTCTACTATATACTATGTAGCTCTTATGACATTAGTTCGCTTGTAAGGCATAGGCATTACAGTTATAGAAGATAAAGTATCTAGTCTTATCTCCTCCGGCCTCAGCCGATTAACTATATCCAGGATCTTCTAAATAAGTGCTCTTCTAACACCATCATTCAATCGGAAGGTCTTTCCGTCCCGCAGCTTCCTAAAATTCCTACAACAGCCGCACGGTTATAAAGTCCACAGAAGGAAGACAAGCACATTATTATTACACCTGAGTCTGGCGGGAGCAAGTTGCAGGTCCAAACGGCTGATTTTCTATGCTGTTGACTGGTGCTCCATCAATCTAAGCAACTGCTTACAAGCTCAAGGCGTAAATTCGACATCGCTTTTTCCCGCTAGAGCATTTAGCCTCAGTGACATGATGCATCTTTCATCTGCTATCCGGTTAGAGAGCTTCATATTTAGGCATGTAAATGTTCTCCGGCTTCCGGTTTTAAGCATAAGAAGAATCTTACTCGAGGAGTAGCTATCAGCTGAAGTCCGCGGCTTAAGAAGACCGTCCCAGCAATCGGCGTATCATAGTAAGGCTCGGTCTCCACGAACCCAACCTGCTTATACAATTTGATCGCTGCAGTCATGGACGGCAGGGTATCGAGTTTCATCTCCAAATACCCCAATCCGGCGGACACGTCCAGGACGGCCTCGACGAGTGATTTCCCAATGCCGAGCCCCCGACCGGAAGGGGTAAGGTAGAGCCTCTTCATCTCGCAGCAGCCCGGACGTCCAGGAAGTGAGCGCACGGCCACGCAGCCTACAGCCTCACCAGAGGAAAGCCGGGCGAGGAGCAGCTCTCCGGTTGGCGGCGCATATCTGCCAGGCAAGCCGTTCAGCTCGGTGGTGAAATCCTGGAATGAGAGGTTAATAGGAAGAGATGCTGCGTATGCAGCGAATAGAGCAAATATTGCTTGGAGGTCTCCAAGTGATTTCGCAGGTGAGATGCGGAAGTTCGGCTTATTATTCATCTCCGAAGGCGAGATGGTTTGAGTAGGAAGATTCAAGTGGGGATAGGACATTCCGAGGCGGATACGGGTGGAACGAGAAAGGAATAGTGCTTGCAAGATCTTGTTATATCTAGGGTTAAGAAAAACTCTATGGTCTAGAAGAAAACTCTTCTCCTATTTCTTTAGGTTAAACTTCTGAGTCGGATATTAAACACTATAATATTTATAAAACTTGTAGATTATGAATAGAAAGTATTAGATTCTAATAATATTATAGAGATACTAAATTCTATATCTATAAAGTTTCTAAACTATACTCTAGATTAGTTTCTATTATAATAGATTAAAATAGAATATAGAACTACTAGTAGTAGAATCTAATAATTAAGCTATTATATAAAGTAAAATATAAAGATTAGAAGATTTATAACTAGAGTAAGTATAAAACTCTAAGATATAGTAGCTCTGGAGTAACTAGATGCTAAATAATTAAGAATACTAATCTAAGCACTAAGATAATTTAAGCTCTAATAACTAAGGAGAGAGGGTGGATAAAGTTCATTTCCAACTTTTTGCAACGGACAGTAGGCTCCGGCTTGTGTTTCTTAGGTACACAAACCATATACAGCACCCCAGGATACTCGAAAGAGTGCAGATACCGCCAACCCTTCGCCAAATATCACGTTCTTACGTCAACTCCACTCAGATGGTATTATGGCCCTCGCCATAAACACCTCCAAGCGCAAATTCCACAAGCTCCTCGACAACCTCACCAACAGCTCCACCACCAACCTCTCCGCCACCCCTGCCGGCCACACCTCCACAGCCTCCCTTGCCGCGACCTCTGAACCTCCATCCAAGCGCTCCCACCTCTCCAACACCGCTCCAACAACCACCACCGCCAGACCCAGCACCGACAGACCAAACGCCGCCCATCCCAGACCCTCAACAAGCACCTCCTCCCGCCCCTCCAGCGTCCGCATAATCGGAGCTCCGAACACCTCTCAACTACCAGCCTCGCCTCCGAGGACACCAAACTATACCCCGCACTCGCGTCCCGCCTTCCTTGCGCGCTTACAGACGTTCTCAGACGTCCGCCTCTGGAGTCCCAAGCCAGAAAAGCTTAGTGAGATCCACTGGGCAGCGCGGGGCTGGCGCTGCGAGGGGCCCCACCCCGATACCGTTGCTTGTAAAGGCGGGTGTGAGGCCCGGGTCGTTATTAGATTGCAGCCTCACCGCACAACCGAAGATGAGGCCGGGGGTGAGGAGAGCGAGGACATGGAGATCGGGGTTGAGGAGGAGTTGGTGAGCAGATACGCGGAAATACTTGTGACAGGACATGGGGAGGGGTGTTTGTGGCGGCGGGCAGGTTGCAGAGAGGGGATATATCGAATTCCGGTGGATAGGGCGCTGTGGGCGGAGGGGGTCAGGGAGAGGTTCGCGAGTTTCAGGGGGATGGAGAAGGAGTTACCGGAGGTGGAGTGCTGTAAGATCCCCATGGTGGAGGGCGCGAATTTGGATCAGTTGTGCGCCGCGGCTGGGGAGAAATATCTGCGGCCGAAGAAGTCAATCACGCCAGATGATCAGCCGGACACTCAGGCAGAAGGGTCGGCGGCAGCGGAAGAACCAGAGTCTCCAGACACCATCGCACTCGCCCTCTCCCTCTTCGGCTGGTCCCTCGAAACAACCCACAGCATCTCCGTCCTCCGGTGCCACGACTGCTTCCAGCGTATCGGCCTCTGGCTATACCGAGCCGAGAAACTCCGCAACGACGCCGCGCGGCTGGATCTCAATCTCGAGGATCTCAAACTCAACCTCCTGACGGCGCACCGGGAGTACTGTCCGTGGAAGAGCGCGGCGAGTCAAGCTAACCCGCCGGACTCAAGATGGGCGGGGAAGGCGTTCTGGGAGATGTTGATGGAGGATGTGACGGTACGGCCGAGGGTTGAGGTGGAGGAGAAGAGGAGCACGGGGAGTTTGGAGGGAGAGGAGGGCGAGGAGGAGGAGAGAGTGGTGCCAACAAGGAAGGAGATCGAGGAGCAGGATCAGGCAATGAAGAGGAGGTTGGATAAGGTCAAGAGGGCGTGGAGTACGATCACGAGGAAGAAGTCGGTAGCTACGCAACGACCCCAGTCAGGGTGAGCGTGGAGCTACAGAATCAATGAGGCTGGCTGGTATCATGAAGTGGTGAAGATGCGTTTGGCGTGCTCAGTAATATAGCAGTGTGTTTCTGCAATGTCTATAGGGCAAATCTAACGTCGCGGCCTCGTCTACTAGCCGTAATGTGCAGTTTTGTTCCCAATCCAGCAAATCCTAACCCAAGTGGACCCAACAAACCGCAGCACTCAAAGCTCTGCTCTGTAGGAAGAATGCATCCTGCCAGCCCACCTCTCAGAACATTCTAAAGTACTTCGACACGTCGCCGACGCGTGGCGCGTGAACTTGATGCAACGCGCGCCCTCATAGCAACTATCGATATCAACTCTAACTCTTGGCGCTGGCGACACGACTCAGAACGAACCATGGGACGCCAGCCTCACCCCGCCATGGCGACAGCGTCTCTATGATCTCGTAAGTACCTAAGAGAGTGTCGTTGTTCCTTCTGTCCGCTCGTTGCGCTGATCGAGTTGCGGAAAGAGAGCGGTCGCATTGTGACTAACAGATGATGGCAGACAAACAGGACTACCGCCGCAAAGCGTCAAATCACCTATTCGACACCTTTCCGTCACAACGTTTGGTTTCTTCTGAATCATTAGTAACCGCAACTCCAAGTCGGCAAACAAGTCTATCGCCGGACATCCTCGACCGACAGCGCGGCTCACCTCAGAGCTGGTCTACACGCTATCAAGGGAGACTCGGCAGCCTGAGCCCGGTATATCGCTTGAAGCAGCCCTGGAGCGCAGTTTTGGAAGTCTCAACATCGGAGATTCGAGCTCGTTGTTCGATGAGATAGAAGAGAGGCAGCAGAGATTCTCGTCGCCAGCAGCACCGTTGGAGACGCGAAGTAGACCTGAGAGAAGAATCGCACCTCGGCCAGTGGTCAGTAGAACGAAGAACACAGCTGAGAGAGTTGAGAGAGCCAACTCTGGGGGATCGGCAGACCAGATATCGCAGCCGGCATCACTAGACACACGCACCAGCTCAGGTAGGAGAATCGCACCTCTACCCACAACCAGCAAGGCAAAGAAGGCATCTGGGCGGGCGGAAGCAGACCGTGTCGAAGGACTGCTAGGGCGAGAACGTCGCCCTGTTGGGCTCACTGTGGACCAGTCGGACTTATCAAGAAGTGATACCAAAGAGCCTTCTCGCAAGATGGTCAACGAGCGAGAGCCACCACGTCCGGCGCCTCCACGGCAACCACTTGTCCCGAAACAGGTCTACGATCTCACAAATTCTCCCGATCCAGAGTTCGGCAAGACCAGCCCTTTGCGCAATCCGCTCAAAACGGACGACAAGAGCTATTCGCATCTATTCATCCCGCAGAAGCCAATCAATCGCCCGGAATGGCATAGACCAACCCAGCAACCAAAACCTGCTCAGCCGCTGCCGGGCTATGTAGGGGTTCCGCAACCAAGCAATCTGCCGTCTTACACTACGCAGCCCGCACCGCGACCTATGTTCTCTTCCTTCAATGGCGGCACGGGCGGTTTCCAGCCCGTCAACGGCTTTGCTCCGCCGCGAGCGACCGTCGATCTCACTAAGCAAGACGACGATGAGTTCGATCCAGACAAAGCACTAGCGGATGATAGATTTGGCGCGCCGAACCCCTACGAGTATGTAGATGCAACCAAGGCGAACGAGAACATCAAAGCGCTCCTGGAAGGTGCGTTCGATGATGACGAAGAACAGAAGCCGCGCTTGCGGCGACGTAAGAAAAAGGCGGAGCCTTCGACGGCCTTTAACCAACTCGCCGACAAGCTTGCCGCACTGGAAGTCAAGGAAGAGGAAAAGGACAAAGCAGAAGAAGAGGAAGAGGAGGTGGACGATGGCACGGTCGAGGGTCTCAACGTCAAGCTGCTCCCTCACCAAGTGGACGGCGTAGCCTGGATGACCGACAAAGAAGTCGGCACGCGCAAGAAGAATGGCGTGCTACCCAAGGGCGGCATCCTGGCAGACGACATGGGTCTCGGCAAGACGATCCAGTCCCTCGCTCTTTTCCTGACCAACCCTCGTCCCGATGAAGTCGAACTGTCCAAAGATCCGAAGCGCAAAATCTCTCCATCAGTGTCGAAGTGCACGTTGGTGGTCGCGCCTCTGGCTCTTATCAAGCAATGGGAGGCCGAAATCAAGTCCAAAGTTACCAAATCGCACGCCCTCCGCGTGTTGGTACACCACGGCCCCTCGCGCACGAAGCGTGCAGCCGACCTCCAGAAATACGACGTCGTGATCACGACGTACCAAATCCTCGCGTCTGAGCACGCCTCCAGCTCCGGCGACGATGATGGGCCGAAGATCGGCTGTTTCGGCGTGAATTGGTACCGCATCATCTTGGACGAGGCGCACACCATCAAAAACCGCAACGCAAAGTCGACACAGGCGTGTTATGCGCTGAGAGGATTGTATAGGTGGTGTTTGACGGGGACGCCTATGCAAAACAACCTCGATGAGCTGCAGAGCTTGATCAGGTTCTTGAGGATCAAGCCGTACAACGAGCTCAGGCCGTGGAAAGACCAGATCACCGGGCCGATGAAGAATGGACGCGGTACGCTGGCTATGAAGCGACTGCAGTATTTCCTCAAGGCGTTTATGAAGCGGCGTACGAAGGACGTGCTCAAGAAGGAGGGCGCGCTGAATCCAGGCGGCAAGGTCAAGGATGAAGGGTCAGGATCAGCCGGCTTCAGAATTATGGGCAGGAAGATCGAGACTGTGACTGCTCAGTTTGATGCAGATGAGCGCCGTTTTTACAACAGGCTCGCCGACCGCGCCCAGAACAGACTTGATGAGATGATGGGAGGAGAGAAGACCGACTATATCGGTGCTTTGGTCCTTCTGCTCCGTTTGCGACAGGCTTGCAATCATCCTGAGCTCGTTGGCAGCAACCTCAAGAAAGACAAGGATGCGCTTGCGACAGGCTCGAAGGCCCCATCTGGCGCCCAGACACCGAGCCGATCGAGGGCTGTCAATGACGATGCAGACGATCTCGCTGACTTGCTAGGAAGCCTGAGCGTGGGTACGAAATCTTGCGATGTCTGCCAGAGCGAGCTCTCCAAAGCCGAAGTGAGCAACGGCGCCATTCGGTGTGTGGACTGCGAGCAAGATCTGTCGGCGCAGAAGCAGCGACACAAGAAGAAGAAAGACCATCCTAGCAAGAACAAGAAGCACCAAAAGCACAAGTCTGAGAACAGCGTTAAGGAAGAGGCAGACTCAAGCCCTCAACCACAGCTCCTCAAATCCCGCCGCAAATTCCGCGTCACGGACAGCGAAGACGAGGAGGAAGAAGGCGACTGGGTCGTGCCAAAGGGGCAGCGCATCGCCGAACATCTCGGCAAAGCTGGCGGCACCGACGACGAGAACGCTGAAGGCGGCGGCGAGTGGCTTACATCGGAAGACTCGCTGGCTGCCATTGAGCTAGCTGAGCATTCCGACGTTGGCACCTCGCAGGAGAGCACGCAAAAGACGTCACGCAAGCTCATCAGGCCCGCCACTTCAAACGACATCAACACCGCCTCAGAAGACGAAGACCAAGACGAAGAGTCCGACGACGAATCCACCGCGTCTGAAGACGATTCAGACACAGACACCGACTCCACCTCTTCCGACCCCTCAAAGCTCATCGCATCTACCAAAATCCGCCACCTCATTGAGATTCTTACGAAGGAGACCCCAGACCACAAAGTGATAGTCTTCAGCCAATTCACCTCGATGCTCGACCTAATCGAGCCCTTCCTGCGCGCCGCCTCCTTCACCTACACCCGCTACGACGGCAGCATGCGCAACGACGCCCGCGAAGCCAGCCTCACCAAACTCCGCACCGACCCCCGCACCCGTGTGCTCCTCTGCTCGCTCAAGTGCGGCTCGCTGGGGCTGAACCTCACGGCCGCCTCCCGCGTCGTGATACTGGAGCCGTTCTGGAATCCCTTTGTGGAGGAGCAGGCGATCGACCGCGTGCATAGGCTCAACCAGACGGTGGATGTGGTCGTGTATAGACTCACGGTTGCGGCGACGGTGGAAGAGCGCATCCTCGAGCTGCAGGAAGCGAAGAGGAAGTTGGCGAATGCGGCGATCGAGGGCGGGAAGGCGATTGGGAAGTTGAGCATGAAGGATATCATGAATTTGTTTAAGAGGGATGCGGAGCTTGATGGAGCGCATAAGGAGGAGGAGGAGGGGCTGTTTGGGAAGAAGAGGGTGTTGGACGGGCCGGGGAGGGAGGAGGGCGCCAGGATGGGGATGGGGAGGAGGGAGAGGGTGGGTGATGTGAGGCAGTTGGCTAGGATTGAGGATGCGGTGTTTGGTCGGCGCTGAGGATAGGTCTCCGGTGAACGGCACAGGACTTGGAGGGGCAATCGCGTCTGCTTTGGATACTGCACTTTGTTCGGCGCCTCGTTAGACTGTCTGGAGTATCATGAGAAGAGTTTCAGGTTACTTGGTCGGATGATTAGGGAGATGTACATCATGGCAGGGAAGGTTTATGACGAAGCTGTATCCGCCCTAGAGACATCGCAGAACCTGTCGAGGAGCAGATAAATCGTTGCCTTGAGCCGATGAATTTCTACCTGAATTATCACAATCATCGTCGTCCTATGTCGTAATGCTATCTTGACAAACGCCATCGCTATGCCCAGTGCTCCCATACCCAATTCATGCGCTTCCCTAAGCTCCCCGAGCGCGATGATCGCCCGCATCTTTCTGACTCTGATCGCGCAACGGAGGTCGCCGCTCACCCTTCATCTTCATGACTCCATTGAAGCTCCCTCATCCCGCCCAGTCGTTCGGTCAGGACAAGTTTCCACCTTCGGTCATTATCTGACAAATCTCTCACCTCCTCCCCTTAGCCTCAAACTCCTTATCCAACCTCTCCAACGCCTCCCCCCTCTCCCCCACTATCTCAATGTGTGGCGCCATATTGCCCAGAACCTGCTTCATGAGCCCCTCCAGATCCGCAGCAGCCTTTGTACCGCTATGCTTGATAACGTCCTTCAGTGCGCCCTCCACCAGCCCCACCTCCTTCTTCCCCTGTCCCTGTCCCTGTCCCTGGCCTTGGCTCTGCCCCTTCGCCTGTTTTCCGTTCCCCTGCTGCGGCTGCGGCGCGGCTGGTGCCTTCCCGACCCCCGGCCCCACGACATCCTTCCTCCTCAACCCGACCTGCCCCCTCGCATCCATAAACGTCTCATACCCATGCTGATCCAGCACCTCATGCGGCACCACGCCCCTGGGTTCCAAACTCCCAACCCGCGCCTGGTTCTCTCGATTTCCCTCGAGCAGAAACCGCAAGCACATGATCGCATGCTCTCGGATATACGGGTTGTGTTCGTCGTAGTTGCAGCAGCTTAGGATGGCTTCCAGGCCGCCGTACTCGCGCACTTGGTCTTGCACCCGCCGCGACTTCCAGACGAGAGAGGAGAGGACGAGCACGGCGAGTTTTTTGAGGTTGCGCCACTCGAAGTCTGAGGGCTCTTCTTGGGGTGGCGGGTCGTAAAGCGGTTGCGTTTGTGGGGGGGAGAGGGGGGGCGGGAGGTGCGGTTCTGGTGGCGGGAGGTGCGGTCGATCTGTTGGGAGCGCGGGGGCCGAGACGTCGTAGGGGCGTTCGACCGCCACTGGTGCGGGTGCGGGCATTTGCGTTTGCGTCGGCTGCGACGGGACCGGCGGAGGCGGCGGAGCCTGCTGCGCGGGCAGTCTCCGCGCTCCACCCGGAGCAGGCGGGATATGCAACCTGCCTTTGGGTATTGCGGCATCCAGCTCCTTAAGCAACGTCACAAACTCCGCCGTGATCTCCCACTCCGCCATCATATTCTTCCAGACATCGTGCTCAGTCAAGACAGCGAAGAACTCGAGATACTGATAGACACCCTCATACATGCGCTCCATGTCCCAAAGGTTGAGCGGGAAGTCCTCTGGGTGCGCGGCGCCGGCCCGGATCTGGCCTTGTAGGAAGATGAGCGCGCAGGTTTGCGGGATGATGTGTTTGCGGAACTCGGTGAAGAGGAAGGAGACCATTTGCGCGTCCATTTTCATGGGGTAGGGCGTGCCAGGCTCGTCCGAGGGGAGGGAACGTGTGGGGTTTTGCGTGCCGGTTGCGGTTAGGCCGTTTGATTGGCGGGCGCGGAAGATGGAGGTTAAGAGTTTGAGGATTACGGCTTGAGCGGGGGAGATGATGTCTTTTGATCTGCTGGAAGTTAGCGTTGGAATCGATTTATGATCGGTGTGGACTTACTCTCTGAAGGTGTGGTACGCAAACGGCATCAAGCAATTCAGCAAGATCGACTCCATGATGCGTATCATGAACTTGAAATACAACTCTTCTTCCCGAAGATCCCACGCGGCAACGAAGATCAGCAGTTCCCGCAGCAGGTTACGTCCATTGTCTTGTGCGAGGAGCAGGTGGCAGCGGACCGTGTGCATGTTTCGGACGGCAGTGATCTCCTCAGGGGAGTTGCCGTATCCAGGCATCCCGCTGGCCGGAGGAACAACCCCGGACATGATGATCATTGGAAGCACCTCGATCTCTGACGGTCCGAGGATCAATGGCACATCTGTCAGCAAGCCCCTTCCATCGTCACCAGGCACAACGTAATCGTCGTCTTCGCTGTCATCCTCCTCGCTCAGTTCCTCTGGGGCGTCTTCAAGGGGAGGCGGGTTGCTGGCCTCGCCAGGTGACATTATTGGCGAACTGGGCGATACGACCTTTGGTGGCTGTGGAGGTGCGCGCTCTGGATCCCTCTCCAGTCGCCGCATCAAATCGTCTTTTCCGTGCTGTAGTATGTTCGCGCCATAATCTGCGCTGCATGTGATTCGGAAGTCTACCTCCGAGACAGGAGCTGGCTCAGGTAGCTCAGCGGTGATGGGTAGGTAGTCTTGATTCCCTAGAGCTAATGGGGCCGCCTTGTCCCACACAGGTAGCGTAGAAGGTTGGCCCTCGGAGGCAGCAGCACGAGTGATCTTTTCAACGTCGATTTGAAGTTGGTTGATGCTGCGTGCGAGAGTCGCAACGTTGCCTTCGCCGCCGGCCTTTTGGTCACTAATCATCATCCACGCGTTAGAAGCTACAAACTCATCCCGATACTTGCCAATGAGGTCTGTATACATATCGTTCCACGTCTGTAGAAGTCAGTAGACTTTCGAAACCCGGGTGTGAACAGAACCTACTGCCTTCTCATCATCTGACATGCCGGTCCAACGCTTCTTGCACTCAGTCGCAATCAGCGTGGGATCCGGCTGTATGCCTCGATTAAGCAGCTCCCGGCTCACCTCCATGCCAATCTTGCTAATGTACAGCAAAAACGGCGAAGAAGCCGGAAGTTGGCGGCCCTTGGCAGCTGAGGAATCTGAATCGGTCGGTGGCCATACGCATGCGGGATCGAGAAATGACTTCGGGCCGCTGAGCAGCGGAAGAGGAGCCCCTTCATCGAACCCAGGCCAAAGTTCCGATCTGCCCAGGACATCTCGCGGATATTGCTGGAGGACACCGTCGGTGGGACTCTCGAACAGCTCCACCCACAGCATCAGCTTCCGCCGCTCGTTGCGCGCGACCATGTTGTTCAGGAATTGCAGGCATGTTATGAGTAGCTTCTTGTAGAGGATGACTACGCCCTGCCACTTCGTCTCCTCTTCCGTCTTCGCCGTTCCTTCGAATCCTCGTGCCGCGACCTTGACGCATACGCTGATGAGCTTGAATATCTCGTGGTCGAAACGGGCGTCCGCTGCCAGATTTTGCGCATATTCTCCTGTGGTGAGCACGTTCCGCGCTATCGACACCAGGCTATTCAGCCGCTCTATGTCCTCATTCAAGCCTTTCGCGTGTGATGCGATCAACAGTCCGGAGTCGGTCTCATAGCGATCAGGTTGCTCTGGGTCGGGCGGCGCGAAGCATCGGGATTCGAGCGACGGAACGGCTGCTTGGAGAACGACACATAGTCCCTTCCAGACTTCAGGGTCGCCGCCTATCGCCTCCCGTACGCGTGCATCCCGTATTGTGCGCTCGAGCGTGGCTTTGCATACTTTGCGGTCCAGCATCTCCATCGTCTTGTCTTTTAGGTAGCCTTGCGATTGGAAGTGCAGCGGCCAGGCTGTGAAGAGGAGCTGGAAGAGTGTGCTGTACGGATCTCGATGAGTGGCTGTGTTACTGTTCTCGCCATCTTCGGCCCTGGGTGGAGCATCCTCCGCCATGGTGGGAGATGCAGAGCCCGGTGGGGCCTGCGGTTGATGGGTAGTGGTTCCCCCCTCTCTTGACGGCATGCAAGATGTTGGACACGGCTTCTGCGTCTTGCTGCGGAGCTGCGGGTCGAATGAAGGTGAGACGGAGGATGGAGGACAAGTTTTGGCTGTGTTCGCAAGGATTACAGAAGTTAACACGTCAAAACCAGATCGGCGGGTTGCGGCTCCCTCGGCTAGATGTCGATCTTCAACCCTGCCAAGCTTGAGCCACAACACCACAACGCTTCTTCCAGCCTCCCGCACCCGACGTCCAAGGGTCCAACGTGGAAGCGCAGTTCCCGAAAGAGCAACACCGGCTTCTCCGTACAACGACGCAGACTGAGGATTGATCAAATACGCACAATCCAGGTTTCTGGCTGCTATCCACCCGCTCGTCTCCACTCTGCGGCAGCCCGGCGATGGAACGGCTGTTGCCCGCATCTTCGGGAAAGTGCCCGAAAGCTTAACCTGCATGACACTCTCCTTACCCCGCTGGAGTAACTCTAAGCTAGATACCGCATTTCACAGCCGAATATGTTCACTGCTGCATCCCCGTCAAAACGCAGACTTCGTAGCCCAGGAAGAACTGCCACAATGGCTACCGCTTGTTCTCCGCACAGCAGTTCCCCACATGAGACTGCTAGCGCGCTGGGGATTCTCCCGCAATCGTATGCGAGCAGACGCCGTATAAGAACGTTGAGGATATGATACGGAGCGTAACAAGCTCCTTCTTCGAGTTCACACCCGTTACTTCTTTGAAGTCGCTGCCATGAGGTTCAACGCCGCAACTTTGCTCTCTGTTCTTCCCACGTTGTGGCCCTGCGCATCAGCGAGACCGTCAAGCAGCACAAGAGGAACGCTGCAGCCACGCAGCGCATCTACAGGACCATATGCTTGCTCGGCTTCCTCGATTCCTAACCCGGAGCTCTTTGGCGCTGAGATTACGTCGCTGACGGCTCATGAAGTCCACAATTATTCGACAACTGGGGAGGCGTATGCTGCGGGTGGCGTCGCCCGCAACTATACCGGCCTCGAGTTCTGCCAAGTCAACATCACATACACACATCCAGGGGCTAACGACTCCGTCCACGTCCAAGTCTGGCTTCCCTTGAGCGGATGGAACCAGCGCTTTCTAGGCACAGGTGGGGGCGGGTTCACCACGGGCACAATGGCCCCTGCTCTTGCTCCTGCAATAGCGAACGGCTACTCGGCGGCAAGTACGGACGGCGGCCATGGTATAGGCGTCAGTGCCTCCACCTGGGCATTGCTGAGTCTTGGAAACGTGGATCTGCATTTGCTTGTGGACTTCGCTTCAAGGAGCTTACACGACATGACCGTGCTCGGCAAGGCTGTGACCGAGAGCTTTTATGGAACGGCGCCGCAATATTCCTACTGGAACGGCTGCTCCACCGGCGGGCGACAAGGACTTATGGAGGCACAGAGATACGCCAACGACTACGACGGCATTCTAGCTACAGCACCGGCAATCAATTGGCACAAGTTCGTTACTGCTGAAATCTGGCCGCAGGTCGTTATGCACGAGCTAGGCGTCTATCCTGATCAGTGCGAGTTCAACGCTATCACCGCGGCAGCAATCGAGGCCTGTGACCCTCTGGACGGCGTCACCGACAGCATCATCGCAGCGACAGGACTGTGCAACTTTGATCCGCACACCCTTGTGGGGCAACCGTTCACTTGCGATACCGACGGCACACAGCGAACCTACTCATCTGCAGCTGCGACAATCGCACTTGAGACCTGGAACGGCGCACACACTGACAACGGCACGAGACTATGGTACGGACTTGCCCCTGGCTCACCTCTCAATGGTCTCGCAAACACAAATCGAACCTCCAACGGCACCTCCTATGGCGTACCGTTCGTCATCAGCGACGAATGGATCCGGCTGTTTGTCGTCAAAGATCCTGCATTTAGTACCACCAACCTGACCACCGCGGCCTTTGAGTCGATTTTCCGCCAATCTGTCCAGGAATACGCCTCCATCATCGGCACGGACGACCCCGATCTTTCCGCCTTCCGCGATGCAGGCGGCAAGATGATCACATGGCACGGTCTCGCTGATCCACTTATCCCGCCCAACGGCACGGTCGACTACTACGATCGTGTCGTAGCCACTGATCCCGAGGTCATGGACTATTATCGCGTGTTCTTGGCTCCCGGAGTGGGTCATTGCTCGGGCGGTCCAGGGCCGTATCCTGAGAATGCGCTGGGCGCGCTGGTCGACTGGGTTGAGCAGGGTGTTGCGCCGGAGGAACTGGCTGCGACGAGCCCAGCTGTGAATGGAACGGTGGCTCGTCGGCCGCTTTGCCCTTACCCGCTTGTTGCGCGCTGGGACGGCGTTGGTGACTGGACTGAGGCTTCGTCGTATGAATGCGCTGCGTCGTTCGTATGAGACGTGTAAATATCTGTGCTAAAGCGCGAAGACGATGCGCGCGTTGCTCGAGCGCTCTTAAATACTAAAAGTATATTCCTAGATAAAGGTGCGGCTGAGCCCGTGATCCAACTTGCATCACCCCGCATCTCCAGGGCTACTATACTCCACCCAAACCTATGCAGTGAAATGCTGATTCCAAGGCGCGGAAACGAGACGGTGCCACTCTGAGCATCGGCAATCTGGACTGCTTCAATACCTAAGATCAAGAGAGCTATGTGCATACCAAGACCTTCATGCGAGGCCTTAAAGGACTGCCGGATGTCAGCCCTAGCCACTAGACCGACGCCAGGAAACTACTCGTTTCTCCTCATCAGGGCAGTCAGCTGGTGTCTGGGCATGCTTATCTGCAGATGTGGCGTAAATGAAGATTCAGCTGGAGCTGAAAAAATTCCAGCTGGAGCTGAAGACAGCTCCAAATCAGGAGGATACTTAACAGGGCTGTCCTCTCACTTACTGGGGATGAGAGTGATCAGGACCTAGAGCAAAGCTCCACCGCCGCTGCTCTTGAAATCTACATTACCAATCCCTAAACTCAATATGTCCTACCAAACGACACCCGCCTTCATCAAGTACTGCCCTAACGGCTGGGACGATGTCCGCTCACACCCAGCAATGGCATGGATGGAGAAGTACACGAACATGTTCGACTCACGCGCCGCCTTCGACGCACCGTATTCTGACTGGCACACCTCCGACTACACCCTCCACGAAGCGAACGGCATAACCATGTCTGGCGGAGAGGCAGGCTGGGCTGCTCTCAAGGACATATACAGCCCTTTCTCCGCCCACTTGCATGATCCGACATTCCTTGTTTGGTGGGAGACGGGAAATGGGTGGGAGATGATTGGACAGGCGGACATGTGCGCCAATTTGGCGGCACCGGGAGGCCAGAAGAAGAAGGACAGGAATGGGAACGAGTGGGACGTCATAATTCCATCTGCATTCCATTTTGAATATGTCAAGGACGATGGCGCGAAGCATGACGGGATGTTGCTTAGGAGGACGGAGATCCTCGCTGATTCGGGACCGGCTGTTGTTGAAATGATGAAGAGGGGGATGCTTAAGCCTGAGGAGCTGATGAAGTAGGCTGGTCTTTATAGCCAGGAGACAGGCTTGGTCAATCTATATAGGAGATTTCTTGCGAAAGTGCTTTAGGAGAACAAAAACTTTGCCTTCAACCGAGAGCTTCGTGATAAGGAACATGCTTTGAATTCGGCTCTAGAGATGGAAGACCCTCAAACCGTTTTATGTCACGCAGAGCCAGCCGGTTTTCGTGCTCAGAGACCCACCGCAGAATTGGAGACGGTAGCCGCGGCGGGAGACCAGGCGAAATTCAAGACTTAGAGAGTGGGTGCCGTGGCCCTACGCCTAAAAGAATTGCTAAAAGGGACCCGAGACCGGGTGAAGAAATGCATGAGCGACCTTAAGCAGGTACTCTTAGCCATGCGACTGGCCGATAGCCGGTATGAAGAAAGCGAATCCGCATGGAGAATTCTCATAGAGGAAACTACGACCGAGGTCGAGGAGAAATTCCACGAACTTGGTAGGCTCATTGTCATCGCCGACAATCAGCAGAAGCAAATCCAGGAGGCGGATGATGAGATACAGAGATTCACGGACCTTGTAAGGGACCTGAGTACAAACACGAGACCGCAGCCGAACACATAGGGTTCGCGTAGAGGTTCGCGTGGACCTGCCCATGCGAACAACTTAGCACTGTTGACTTCGGTCTGGTGAAGACTCTCCCAGCCGAAAAGTGGTGAAATCACGTGCCGTCTCTCCTATGGTTGCATTACTCTTATTCGAAAGGTTATAATTATCAAGAAGCGGGTATAGAAAAGCTCTACATCGATGTAATGAGGTGGTTTAAGGGTACATACGTAGTTTAGCCTAGAAGTCTTTAATATACATTGCACCGTTTTCCTGTTAAGACGGCACGTGATTCTACAACTTCACAGAACCTTCGATCTGACTTACGTCCACCAGCTCCCTGCATACACAATCCACTCGCTTTCCATCGCCAACGTAGCAACACGCCCTTTCCAACCGACATGAACACGCGGAACATCATCCGATACATGTGCAGTATCATCAACGCCTCGCACACTAGCGGCACGCTCTCATCTACTCCCCGCCCGATTATTGAGCCTTCCAGATGGGCGCGCTCGATCTCCTCTTCTTTTCTAATACGATCCTCGGCCTCAACTCTTCTCTCTACAATGCGGCCTTGGCCATCGCGCTTGCTTTGAGTTGCACGAGCAACGCGTCAGCCACCCCATGCTTTCTACAGAAACGGCCCTCGAGCGAGCCCTCTTACCTATTATGACGGATCCGTTCATCAATAATACGCAGATGGTGCGTGCAAAGGTTCTGGCATACCCGCCGCTTGTGCCATTGCTGCTCACAGGTAAGTTGCCCGTGTACTTGCGCTGTCTCGCAATGTCGGTTCTACGCCTATACGGACGCTTCTTAATCCAAGGCAGGATTTCTTTGCCAGCCTGGCTGTTAACCTTGGTCACGGCCGTGTCAATGACCGTTTCGTAGCCTGTATCCAAGTTATACGTAGCTCGTTGTATCCGAACAGGCTTGCTCGCCGTCCCATTGCACTCGTAGTCTTGCTTTTCTATATTTGTGATGAGACGACACGAGGTATGCCGGGAGAATGAATAGGCACCGGCGCTGCTGGCGGTCTCTGCGCTTGACGGTAAGTCACGCCGGTGTATCGCTCCGAACTACCGGCGATGCCAAGACACCACGCGTGAATGCAGCGGTATATGCATTCGAGGCGTTGACTCTTAATGCACGTGACCATAAAATGCGACGATGTACAACTCTAACGTGATGGCAGTGTTTGCGCGTGGTAGTAAGTCTAGCCGTATGTGACTTCACGGTGTTTGTGCTCTTTGTACTCAATTACAAGTCTCTGATGTGGAACGTGAGCTGTAGCTGGTGTGGCCGTAAGCGGTATACCCCTGGTACGTTAAATCGGACCTCATGCCATCCCAGCATACACCACACACCCTCATCATCGTCTCAATACCATCCTCATAACTACCATCATCATCTTAACATCAAAGCATGACTGAATCCGACCTTACTAGGGCCTTCGATGCTATCCTCAGGCAGGGGAGAGAGGCGAACAGCACACTCCTGGAGAGGCTCGCAAAGGTTGAAGAAAACCTGCGTCGACAGGAGATGATGCTACGGCTGCAGGACGTGGTGCTTACTTGCGCAGCGCCAGCAGCGCGGCAGGTGTTTGACAGCTCCACCGCCGAACAGATTGAACGAGGCATGGCTAGTGTGATCCCATGCGGTCGTGCAGCGTGAGTTCAGCCCTGGTTGCCTGCTTAACATGTAGCTAGGGAGAGCATGAGTTGACAACTGACAGGCTACCCTCGCCGGAACTTGGTGACATAGCTTTCCGTGCCGGGTCCTGTGGCGGGAACCATCCCGCGGCCAGCTTAGATGCACCACTCTCGATGTCCTCCGACACCGTCGCGAGCGAGAGCTTATCGGAGAGCCTGCTAGCGAGCACGCAGCCTACAGCTACAGATGCTGTCACGGTTGAGGATCCTGCGAAGACCAACCCCATGGCCTCCTCTCAATCATCTCTTGCCACGACCCAGTCGCATCTTGCAGCCGGCAACGGCGAGACTGGGTATCCACTCGGAAGCAATCTCGAGACCTTCTCCCAGCGGCCGTCTTCAGAGTCGCCATCGGCTTTCGACTTCTCAGCTGCGGACGAGGGCTTTGGCAGTGATTACGCAGATTTAGATTTGGAGCCCCTGGGCTTCACCGATACCCAGATCACGGAGAAGACCGCTGAGAATAATCTCGCTGGTATGACATCACAAAGACAGTCCGCGGAACGAAATTTCGCTGGTATCACATCCCAAGGCACGTCTGCTGGGGAAGACCTCCGTTTTCAAGGCTCCTCCGATACTCAGTTCACGGAGCAGGCTCCCATAGAGAGGATTTTCGTGATTCAGGGCTCCATGACGCCATCCAAACGGCGTGCATCACTGGGGTCTCAACCTCTCGAGGGCGAGGTACCGTCATAGAAGCCGCGCTTTGCCATGTCGACTACCCAGGCTCTCTTCCCCAACGCCGGTCTAGGAGAGCGCTTCAAGGCTGCCGAGGTGGAACTACTCATCACTGGCACTAGGACGTCGGGAGAGCGCCGACCGATGGCGGAACTCCAACTCCTCCACGTCTTCCGCCAGAGTGCACCTTCAGGCCTGTCAGAATGATTCCATCTCCCCAATCACCTTGCTTGCCCCGCAATCGTATGGCAGTTGTAGCCGGCATACAGCCGCACGGTCCTGATGCAAACATCAATGGCCTCATCTCCACTGGCCGGACGTGCATGGCAAGTCGTCCGAGGTGCAAATCATTATACTTAGCTCTACTTCACTATGCGGCTCTGAACAAAGTTATATCGGAGCTTGGCAGTGGTTGCGAATCGCCTACAATGGCTTCAACATGTAATATCGGCCGCTTTACGCAGCTCGAACTCATCCTGAAATAGCCGTACACGACGTTAAAGAGCTCTAGAACTTTTGTAATCCTGAAGTCCTTATGGTCGATAGTGCTTTCCGTCCTGCAGCTGGCAGTGTGACCTTGTTCATACCAGCTTCTTTACAAGCTGACCCATCTAAGACAAACCAGGTCTTACTTAGCCATTCCTACGTTGGCCTCGTCCTCAATGCTGCGCCGAGTCTTGTTTCGAACTTCCGAATGTCGAGAATCCGACTGCGCCAAATGCGCAGATCGTTTGTCCTGGATACGTTGCCTCCAATGTTGAAGAGAACGGACAGGCTTCAGCGCCGATCTTACTCTAGCCGGCGAGCTGTGCAATGCATATGGCAACGACATGGTGGACCTGGTCCTATCTGTTAAGTATCAGACAGCGAAGCGTCTGAATGTCTGGATTTTCCCGCGTTATCTCGCGCCGTAGAACACGTCCCAGTTTATCTTACCGCCATTCCTCGCTCCGCAGCCTGGCGTTGAGAGTCAAGGCGGCCTGCGAAGTAGCGAGCTGAATCTGACTTGGTCAAACGATCCGAGCTTCCAGTTCGAGGTCAATCGTACCGGGTCTAGGGAAGTGCTGTGCAGCCCCTTCGGCAATGGCATTGTCTTCGAGGATCAATTACTGGAGCTGGTAACGTCCGTGGTTCCCGACTATAACATCCATGGCCTCGCGGGGAACACGCATCAATTCCGTCCTGGACCAACCTTACACGGGCGTTAGGAACGACTCTCTCAGTACCTGGTATCGGCACATCCCGCTTGATGGCATCTGGATCGACCTAAGCGATGCTGCGTCTTACGTTGTGAGACCACATTCAGACCTCTTCTATCTAAATCCCGCCCACCTTCCGTTCAGCCTGCCCGGAGAACCTGGCACGATCGACTACCGGTACCTAGAAGGGTTCAATGTCACCAACGCCACGGAAGCAGCTTCCGCTAGCTCAGACCTCTCCAAACGCCGCCATGGCTTCTACCTCCTTCGCGACATCAACTTAGGGCCGCACGGAGCCGACGCCAGGCGTTCGGTATCTCAAATTCCCACCGTATGTCATCAACAGTGTCTTCGAAGGTCACTCTTTACGCAGGAACTGTATATTGCTAAATGCCACGCATAACGATCAATACAATACGACGAAGTACGAGATGCACAACCTGTTCGGTCACCGGATACTCAATGCAACTTACAACAATCCCTTGTCGATATTCCCGAACAGACGCCCTTTCCTGCTCAGACATTTGACCTTTGCAGGCAACGGTGCCATCGGGAGCTACTGAGGCGGTGACAACTACTCGATGTGGGGCAGCATGTACTTTCCCATTGTCCAAGCTCTCAAATTCGCCATAGCTAGCATTAAGATGTTCGGCACCGATACCTACGGCTTCGCTAGGAACGCTGGTATGGAGCTGTGCACGAGGTGGATGCAGCTCAGTACACTCTTCCCTTTCTATCCAAACTACAACGTGATCGGCGGTAAGCTTCTGACAGCTACTCTGCCCAGTCTGTTCAGTCGAATCAAAAGGCTAACTCGATTCTAGCTATACCGCAAGAAGCGTTCCGCTGGACGCAACCACAGCCGCCGCCACCCGTATCATAAGGAACATCCGCTACGCGCTGCTCCCTACATGTACAGCTCTTCTACCACGCCCACACCGCCGGCGAAACGGTGATGCGTGCGCTAGCCTGGGAGTTCTCCAATGACCTTCTGCTCCGCGGCGTCGACAACCAGTTCATGCTCGGCCCCGGGCTACTCATTACCCCAGTCTTAAAGCCGCTCGTCACGACTATTAGAGGCGTCTTCCCTAGCGTTGTGGACGACGTGGTGTGGTATGACTACTACGCGTTGGCGCATATGGATGTATGGACAGATGTGAATACTACGTTGCAGGCGCCGCTGGAGCATATTCATATGCATGTCAGGGGTGGATCTATCGTTGCTAGACAGGCGCCTGGGAACACGACGGCGACATTAAGAAGATATCCGTGGGGCCTACTTGTAGCGCTGAACGCGAACGGAGAGGCAAGGTGTGACTTGTACATCGATGACGGTGAGAGTCTAGTCCAGTTCAAACGGGGTCGAACTACTTGCAGGCGAGCCACACGCCTGCTTGTTAGATTCGCCATGTGAGTGCCTGCTAACGCAGCGTGCAGTTCTCCTATACTAGCGGCTCGCTGAACACCCGGGCACGGAACACACATGAAAGACGGCCACGCTGGGCACAAGGTTAAAGGGCGACTATCGGGACAGCAGCGCCTTGTCGAATGTCACTATTGCAGGCGCGCCGGGTCTGCCGAGGGGCATGTCATTTCGCCTTGATGGGAGTAAGTGCTCGACGGCGGAAGTCGTCATGGATTACTCGAACGGGGTGCTCCATCTCTCCGGTTTGGAGGACCTTAACAGGGGCGGCGTTTGGGGAGGTGATCTGCAAGCGAGCTTAATGTTTGAAGGATGAAGGCCAAAGATGTGTCGACGCAAAATTGGTCAATCTGGCGCTCCCTGATACATCATATTCATATGTGGCCGTAGGTGTTGACCATCAGTCGTAGACCACTTGAGCGGAATGCGATGATCTATCTGTTCGATACCATCCTGATTGTTCTAAAAGCGGTGACAAAGAGCATACAATGATCCGCACAGACAGGCGAAAAGTGTTTGGTCACGAGGGACTGTGGTGAGGTGACATCTTCTCTCCAGGGGAAGACAAGCCCATTACCTAGGTAAATATTTGACGATGGTTCAACTAGTATACCGCTAGAGTATCTGGAATAGTGATGCCCACCGAACGCAACAAAGCGTATTTTCTTACCATGCTGACAATTTCTGAGATCCGCAAGATGGTAGCCCCAATTCAATCTGTTCACACTGATTCTTGTTGCGGGCGAACACGGTACTCTGAATTCCGCTGCAAATTGGTCACATCTGCGGCGGAGGTGTTCAAGGCCTCACGTGGGCCTCAACAAGCAGGCATGGGAGCAGAAATATTGCAACATGCCGAGGTGCAGCCGGCTGAAGCTCTACTTCCAACTTCTAGGCTAAACAATGTGTTTTTGTCTGAAAGGTTGATGCACAGAATGGAGCCTCAGTGTGTGTTCCTATCTAAGCGGTAAGCAACATTCTGAAACTGTGTGGTGGACGATGGCGTGGATTATGGTGATTCTCCTTCCGCTCTCTACGGTGCCACTAGTGCAATACTTTTGCTCCCATGCCTACAGTGTAATACATATCTTGGCGGCCACTGGCCCCACTTGCGTACATTGCCAAGCTCAACATATGACGCAAAAGTTGGTCGATTCATGCGCGTCGTATATGGAACATGTCAACGCTAATGCAAGGACAAGGGCATGCTCGCTTCATCTTCGAATCAGAATCTGCTTCTTGAGACGCAGCTGCCCCGTCCGTGGGGCGCTAGATGAGAACCCGCAGGGGTTTTTATGATACCGCCTGATGAATGCTCGGCCTACCGTTTGGCCCGCGGGCAAGGTTAGCACAGCACCCAACGTGAGAACATGAACAACCGTGCCTAACAAGCATCTACCTCACGGCATTACCATATCGACTCTGCAAAACTACCAACTCCTACAAGCAACAGAGTCACAACGTAACTTTTTATAAACACAATATTGAACTATCTCGTTCCGCGCAAGTTGCACCCATCAAGCATAACACCGCAAAGCTTCGCTTGGACCTCTCGGCCCACGGTCGCAATCTTCGTTATCCTCCTTCACGACAAACGTCCTTCGCAGACTCCCCTTCCTTCAACTTACGATCCTGCCTGGCCGTCCAGCGACTGACCAGTGTTGCTAAGCCGTCGACGAGTTCCTAGGTTCGATACCGTCGACTCCCAACTCGTTTGCTGCCTCGCACGGCTGACGGACCTTATCGTTGACAGTTCGAGCCACTCCGCTCGCTCCGCTCGCGACAAGTCTTCGGGCAGCTCATGAAAATTGTATCGGAAGCCTTCAAGACGCGGCTGTGGATACCGAACAGCATCCCGTTCTATGTCCTCACCTGATTGATGTTAGCCTGGCCGTTCTGCTCTACAGTCCCTCGGATTTTCTCTGTGAAGGCCTTTCCGGACTCCGAAGGCAACGTGCCTCGTACAACACTGGACGGAACATGAGAGTCTCTTGATGTGGACACCCGTTGATGAGCGTCCGTCGTTCTAGCGATAAGCCAGAACCTTCGGAACCATGGAAAAGCCCAACAGAGGACAAGAGAAGTATACGAATCTTACCATGATTCTGGGAAGCAGCGGATGGCGATCTATTGCTCGACTCTCCATTTACCACCGCTCGCCTCCTACCGCAGAGCGCGGCTATGCCTCCACGCTGATAAGCGAGAGCAATGCAAGCCACAATTACCCCTACGAAGGTTACGAAGACACCCACGATAGCAATCTTCGCTTCGGTCGACATCATTAGTGTCGCCGACATATCAGCTAGAGCCTCGGCTGAAGAGTTATCTTTCGTACTGGTTACATCAGTATTCCATCGATGCAACAACTATACCCACCTCCCTGGACTCACCTCTGCTCGTTCCTGTTGTGCTGGACCGTTCCGGCTCTGTCCGATGAAGTGCGAGTCTAAACCGCACGGCAAGATGGAATCCGTCAGACTTGTAAATCGAACGCGCTTCACAGGATTTCCAGATTGAAGGCACCGCGGCTGGCGATAACGGTCTCTCGTATAATCGATGGAAATTGAGGAACACAGATTCGAGTCTAACAAGTCAGCCTCAGATACCACCGAGGAAGTCGAAAGTACCCGCCGCGAGGCATTTCCGCGACGTCACAGCATCTCGGTGCTTACACAGTCGATAGACCCTCCAAGTCTCCCACAAATGGGTGGATCGACTGGCGCAAAGGCGTTATTAGATGATCCAGCAAAGCCGACCGCACTTACGACGACCTGCGCGCAAGCAGAGCCCGACTTCGTACGGCAGACTACAACTTGGCTATACGGCCACTGGTCTTTCCATACGTACATTCTAGTGCTTCGTGTATCGCTTACCTGAAGTAGCTCTTCCCAACCTGATATTCAGACGTTCGCTTCGTCCTCGGACAGCCTTTCTTCCCAGCTTGCTGGAGCTCAGTATATCGTTCCACCGAAGATTTCGTTGTCGAAAGTACCTACAATGGCAACAGCGGAACAACAAGGAGCACACGGTGTCACACACAACAGCAAGGCAGAGGAGTCGTTGCTGGCTCAAAAAGTTCGCCAATTCCGCCATCGCCGTGCTTCGCGATTTTGCCAAGGTCTTTTGGCGGGATGGCTTGCATTGCGCTCACGAACAACAACAAGAATGTCGTGTTTATGGGCACCCATCTACAATTCGACCGAGTGCTTTAGAGCCCACTTCTGAACGGCCTACAAGGATAGCGCCTCGATCAGGCAGCCTTCGCAAAAAACACACTTGAATTGAAGAGGGTAATATCCGCACGTAGAACCCCCGTGGCGCGGTCGGCTATCGCACAACCCCCACCTACATTGTTCGTGTACAAGAAATAAAGGTATGCTCAGACTTTATAGCTACTTGCACTGCCGACTTTGTGGTCGATTTAATATCGCAAAGGTAAGACCAGAGCAACATTTAGTGTGCTCAGCTATGGTAAAACGCCATAACACGAATCCCCGTCCAGACGAGACCTTACCTTGGAGTGCAAGATATCATATGACAGAAACGCCGGAGAAAGTTTACCCTACGCGCGTAGTGCGCCTCTCCTGACTACCCTGTCGTGACTGCACCGGTCCTCAGGACGACTTTCGGTTCACTCTTTTGTCAATTTGAAAGGACAGGGTCTCGGGCGTTTCGATATCATACACTCATTCAGCAAGATCAGTTCGACGCGTCGTCTGCTGCTGCGCTTCTCCTTAGTTTCACAAGCTTTCTATACCAGGTCCACGCTCTATGCATCCCTTCGAATCCGGTCTGCGGAGCAGCGTTCGTACAAGCGTAGCTGTAGTAAGAAAATTTGGGCACATGGCTGTCCGGTCGTCTTTGCTAGCAAATTTGATTCGTGGCGGTTCTGACGTCGGCCTTGGAGGTCACTCACGGTTCTTGATACTCGCTGATGGTATTGAGTATATGGCGCAAGCAAGCTACAAAGTATTTGTATGGATTGTTAGACCCAATATTCCCTAATCCAGTTGAGTTTCAAGCCTTGATTTCCATGACTTTTGGATGTGAGACATCTCCAGCGTCAGGTTGACACCGGGAGCGAGCTGCAGAGAGTTGAAGAGCGTTTTGTGAGTAGCGGAGCTGCGGAGGAGCTGCTAGAGGGGACAGGTGCGCCTGGAGTATTCCGAGGAGAGGCGACGGTTAGGCATAGTGGTGCGCGGCAGGCACAAAAGGATGAGCCTTACTCACTCGCCGCGCTACGTCTCCGTCCGCTAAAACTCTTGCAGGCGGCGAGCTCAACATAGACACGAGGGGGGCTGGATGAGGTGGTGTAGTCACCGTGGGATCTACGTCGCAACATGCTGGGGATTACTGAGCAGCAGACTGCACGTACATATGGCTTGCAAGCGTAGTTTAGGTGCGATATCTTTATTGCTACTCTTGCCGTTGGAAGCTGTATTAGCTGCGGTAAGGGCAGTAGGAGTTAGTGGAATGTTCCTAGTGAGCGTTTGGCGAGCTGCTGAGTCGATCTTCCTGTGGTTCAACACTATGCGACTATTAAGAACTTCTGACTATTGTGAATTAATGCTATGCGCGGCTTTAAGTAGAACTAACGCCAAGTAATAGGATTATTGATTATTTGGTAATTCGCCGTACGTGTACATGATCACACAAGTAATGTGGGCAGCCCTCGTTCGATCCTGTCGTCCACCCCAAGTGAGATACCTAAGGAAGCAGGCAAGATTGCAAAGTCGTGGGACATTCTTGGCATGAGGCAGCACACAGACAGGGGTAGCTGATCACGTGATTTTCGCCCTTTTAAGAATTTTTCCAATCAGGCTGCTTGAAATGACCCGTGCCAGGCTTGGACTTGCGGAGAACTTCAACATCTTTCCAGTTCGCTGTCAGCCTTGTTGCCTCCGCCCTTTTTCCACCTCACCTAGTAGGAAATCTATCTTTGCCCATATATCCTTTCCCTTACATGTACTATGGAACTTGCACAGATCCGTAACATTACTAGCCAAGCCGACGAGCTTGAACCACGGTGGCAGCCTTCCTCATCGTCCTTCAGTACTGAACTTCGCTCACAGACTCGCCTCATTCAACCCACAATCCATCTCAACCGTTCGACGCATACGGCCCACAACCGTCCCATTGTTGGGAGTGCTCTCAGCCTTCGTCTCTTTCATTGCAACGATCCATGACAAGTGCCACGCCTAGCCGACAGTCAGGAGGAGGCTGGCTATTTTAGGTGGCAGCTGGCGCGAAGGGACTTTCGTTGACGCTCAGCTCGTCCTCTACCTCGTACGGCTGACGAATCTTTATCGATGACCACGCCTGCTGCTCTGCTCGCGACAGATCTTCGGGTCGTTCATGGAGCTCGTACGGAAAGCTGTCAATACGGTGCAGTTGATGATTACCAGCACGCCATTCGATATCAACGTCTGGTCGCGCGCGTCAGCCTGGTTATCCAGCGTAACAGCTTTTAAGGGGCTCCTTGTGCCGAACAAACTCTAGTACCACTTCCCAGGTTCACGTTCCCCAATTCCGACCTCTATGTGCCTTCGAGACAGATTGAGGAACCAGCTGGAGGTCCGGGAGATCTCACCAGGATTCTCAGAAGCGTGCGACGCTGGCCCACACGTCGACCGTCCAGCGGGCCTTGTATGCCTTTTACCGTAGACCGCATCCAAAACACCCCGTTTATAAGCGAAGCTTACGCAAGGCACGACCACCGCCACCGCTATGGCCACGATGCCAACGGTCGCTTCGGTCGATAATGCTGTTTGCCGATCAACTAGCTATGGGACGCTTCTTCGAGCAACTACCTGCTCGAACCGGACGCATCAGTTTCTGTTCCGCAAGGTGATAATGTGCCCACGGGCCTGACTCACCCTTACGCATTGTTTTTATGGCTCTCGTACTACCCAACGAGAAATTGGGGCTCCTCTTCCCTCACAGTTCTTACTGCTGTGGAGTACCTATCGACTTTCGGGGTGGACGTACCGTGTTAGCCCATGCAATGCGCATCTTCATGATCGGTTGCTGATTCAGCAGCCTCGTCGACACCAAGCTGCCCCTCCGAGCGACAAGAACATCGAGTGCTTTTGAGCCAGCTTTAAGAAAGAGAAAAGCAATGCGCTCATTCACACTGTATGAGGCAATTTGCCCTTGAATTGAACTGGGTGACATTGGCTTCAATCGTCCGTTTCATCCTCCAATAAGCACATGCATCGCGAGTGCTAGATGCGTTCTTCATGCTTTCAATTTATCGCTGCTCGTATTGCCAGCTTGTTTCGAGGTAGGGATAATACATCAACCATTTATCATGTTATTGAGTCCTTAGATGATACACATCAGGATTCTTTTTCGCTTCTACTCCCTTCTCGAAGAGCCTTGCAAGCTATCATCTTGTGTGCCAACCGCGCACGAAGATACCACAAGCACGGGCTCTGTTTCAAGAGAAAATCAGAGCTGCAGTGTCGCCAGGCCTGGGGTCTACGCACCGCTTAGCATCAGGCCGGTTGATGTAGGTAGACGAGTACTCAGACGAGAGACTTCCACTTTATGGAATCTACTGGACCTACGTCTTATGACTCGTGAGTGCGATGATCGAGCTATTGAGGCATATCGAGAGGCGCTGGTTCATCAAGGAGGACGCGTTACCTGCAGAGCCTCGGTGTTGTAATGGTGGGACTGCTGGAGGATACAGGGGCTTATAGAGGATTTTAAGAAGCCCGTATAGTAGACTATATTTGTAGAGATTTTACATAGCAGGAGCAATACGAGTATGATGGCCACTTCGGTGATTTCGGTGCTGGTATTACATTGGAGGGTGCCTCAAGATGCCTGACCGTAAGCCCTCTCTGTCCGCGCCGGTTCTCGCTCGGACGGCACTGCCGCAGATGATTCCGCCGGTTCCGCCTTCGGTTCCAGGCTTCCTAGCCCGGTTGTGAGCCTTTGTAGGCAGGAAATCAACAATTTAGCCTTAGCAAACCCCACTAGAGTAAGCCCTCCAACGTACAAATGGCTGCCGTGATCCGCCAGCCTAGTCAGCAGGCTTTATCTCTTTCACTCCTTCCGTCCGGGCAGTGCTACATATATGCCTCTTCCCTCTCGCCTGGATAGCCCATTGTTCAACGCTCTTCGACACCTCAACAACACGCCGCACCTCGCGCTTCCGAAACCGCAATCCGCCGGGCTCTCCCGCCGACGACCCCTCGACCCCTCGGGTACCGCCTTAGGCTGCAACGTCATCCCTCAGCGACGAAGAAATTACTCATACTCGACTTCTACAACTTCCAGCGCCGGAACACGCCTGCGACGCCAATTCTCGCCGCGCGCGAGGTCAGCGACTACCATGACGGACTCTCCTCCGCGCACCCCGCAGAACGGCGTGGATGGCTCGATCTCAAAAATGCTGCCGGATACGTACCAGTTCCCGACTGGAAAGCTGAAGAGGGTTCTCAGCGACAGCTCGAAGACGCCGCTCGTGCTTATTTCGTGCGGATCGTTCTCGCCTATCACATACCTGCATCTGCGACTGTTTGAACTGGCGATGGATCATGCGAGGATATCCACGGATTTTGAGGTGGTGGGAGGGTACCTTTCGCCGGTCGGAGACGCGTACAAGAAGGCTGGTCTTGCGAGCGCGGAGCACCGGATTCGTATGTGCGAATTGGCGGTCTCTGAAGACTTTTGGGTAGATGTCGGTATGGTAACGGCCAGCGCCAGCGAGGTAGAGAAGAGGCTAATTTCGCGTCTACCAGACCCTTGGGAGGCGCTACAAAAGGAGTACCAGCCCACAGCCGTTGTGTAAGTTGCGCAATTCCCATCGCACAGTCCTCGCATTGAACACATTACATGCTAACCTCGCACCTCTCAATCAGACTAGATCACTTTGAAAAAGAGCTCAACGAAGTCTATGGCGGCATCGAGACCTACGACGGCAGTCGGAAGCCGTTTCACGTGGCACTACTCGCCGGAGCTGATCTGATACAGACCATGTCTACGCCAGGCGTGTGGTCGGAGCAGGATCTGGATCACATACTGGGCCACTACGGAGCATTCGTGGTGGAACGGGCAGGCACAGATTTGGAGGAGGCAATGAGCACGCTCGAGAAGTGGAAGCACAACATCTAGTAGGTTGCGGATTATTTGGAAATGGATCGCTTGCTGACGATTGCAGCCCGATACATCAGCTCATCCCGAACGAGGTCTCCAGCACGAAGGCAAGCACAACCCCCCAAAGCCTTAGCAGAACTTTTGCTGACTATCATATAGATTCGATTGTAATACACTCCAGTCAAACATCCGGACATCCGCTGACAGTATTGTAGGTTCTTGAAGAGAAACATGAGCATACGCTGGCTTCTGCCCGAAAGTGTCATCAAGGTATGCATCGCGCATAACACTGCTCTGTGAAGGTTCTGACATCCCTGGCAGTACATCGAACAACACGACTTATACGTCGAGCACTCAACCCGCGACGGTTCGAAGACACCAGAGCCACGCGGAAAAACCCCAGAGCCACGCACTCGCTGATACAGCACGCCGTGCAGCTTAATACTCACTCTCTCATGAGACCCTGATCACGTTATTCGAATCCGGTTCTTCTACAGCCGTTCTTATAGCAGGAGCAGTACAACACTCCAGATCATAGACCTTACGCGATGTCTTGGATACGAGTCCAGCAGAGCGTGTCATCACGTCGTGGGTTTGAAGCGTATCCTTTTCCGGAGTTCAGGGCGGTCTTTTACCAGCATTCTTACGGGTTGTAGACGAGCAAGAGGATGGTCGGCCATTGTCGTTCTTGGTGATAGAGAGGTAGACAATATACCCGTTCGTAGCGGAAAGGTTTTTCCGTTATGCGAACAAAATTCAGGCATGAGAGAGCGGAGGAATATCACGTGACGGTGACGTCCGTGTTACTCCCAGCCAACCCCACCAGTCCGAAAGTGGTAAACTCCCGACAAACAAGGTTTCTAGCGCCTTACCCGCTGTCGCATACCGTCTCTGTACCTTGTATAATCTTAGTTTAATGCGAATTGCACACTGTATCTTCGCCGTCTGTAAATAAATCCGCATTCCACACCCTCCCAAACCTGCAAACCTCACACCACCCCAGCGGCAACCCCCATGCCGCGCGACCCTCCCCCATCCTCCCAGCGCCGCGACCAAGACAGAGATCGAGATCGCGAGCGCGATCGCAACAGAGACCCCGACCGCAGACCCAAAGTCTCAGACTCAGACCGCCGCCGCCGCCGCACAACCCACCGCCCCACGAACAGCGCAAGCTTACTCCTCCCCCGCGACTCGGCCGACCTCCCCGAAAGCGCATCTGAGTCGCCTAGTCCCACGAAACATCGTCGGCATCGAGAGGATACACCGACGTCGGGGTCGCCTAGCCCGACCAAGCCGCCGCGATCGAGACAAGCGGGCAGAAGCAGCCGGGATGGTGGCGGTGATAATGGTGGGGGCAGTGGAGGTGGTAGTGGTGGACTCCTGTCCGCGGGCAGCTTGGCGAAGCTGGACAAGCTGAACGACACGAGGGGATGGGATTATGATGGGAAATACGTGCGGGAGGTGCAGGAGAGGGAGAGGAGGATGGAAGTTGAGAGGGTGAAGGGAAAGAGGAAGGAGAAGAGGAGGGAGAGGACGACGGATAGGGATGGCGGAGGCTATGAGAGTGGGAGGGGTTATGAGTCTGAGAGGCCTAGGCGATCGAGGAGAGGAGAGGCCAGAGTGGACGATTCGGAGAGGGAGGGCGGTGGAACAGGTGGGAGCGGTAGGGGCGGTGGAAGAGGTGGGAGTGGTGGGGGCGGTGGCAGGCCTGCTCAAGAAAGGGCAAAGGCGGGCGATACTACAGGCCATGAGAGCGGAAGGGGACACGACTCCGACAGACCCAGGCGGCCAAAGAGAGAGCGTGTCCCAGAACATAATTTAGACTACGAGAGGGATCGGTACGACGAGAAGCAGGCGCGGAGGCAAGGCGGGGAGGAAGATGCCGAGGAGAAAATCAAAAGATATTTAGAGGAGAAGGAGAAGAGGAAGCGGCGCAAACAAGAGAATGACCAGGATGAGCGCAAAGAAAAGCGCAGGAAGAGGAGGGTTATCAGCGGGCCGTTGCTGGAAGAGGGCGGAGAAGATGAGGTCTATGAATACAAGAAAGAGTTTCGAGGTGGTGCTGACGGCGACGACTACGAGGAGAAAGAGTTCCGAAGAAAAAGACGGAAACGCATATGCATTATAGCCTTGATCGTCATTGTTGTCCTAGCGATCATCATCCCAGTCGCTGTTCTCATGTCAAAGAAGAGCAGCGGCGACAACGTTCAAAGCGTAGCAGCGGCCAACAGCAACCAGCCTGCGAACAAGAACCTCGAATCAATTTCTGAAAACGACATCCCGGCAGCCGCCAAAGGAACGATACTGGATCCATTCAGCTGGTACGACACAACAGACTTCAACGTCACCTACACCGAGGAAACGGTCGGCGGCCTGCCGCTCATTGGCTTGAATTCCACATGGGATGACACCGTATGCGCAAACGAGAAAGTCCCATGCCTCAACGACACCTTCGCATACGGCAAGACGCCCATCCGCGGCGTGAATGTTGGCGGCTGGCTGAACATCGAGCCATTCATCACACCATCATTCTTCCAGCACTACAGCTCGCGGGACGGCGTCATAGATGAGTGGACGCTTTTGGCCAGAATCGGTTCTAAAGGAAAAGCTACCATGGAGAAGCATTATTCGTCTTTCGTCAACGCCCAAACCTTTGCTGAGATTCGTGAGGCTGGTTTTGACCATGTCCGCATTCCCTTTGGGTACTGGGCTGTAAAGACCTATGACGGTGATCCATACGTATCCCAGGTGTCATGGCGATATCTGCTCCGTGGTGTTGAGTACGCACGGCAAAATGGTCTCCGGGTGAACTTGGACCTTCACGGCGCGCCTGGAAGCCAGAACGGCTGGAACCACAGCGGCAGACAAGGCCAGATCAACTGGCTCAACGGCACAGACGGCGACATCAATGCACAGCGCACACTCGACATCCACAAGCAGCTCAGCACCTTCTTCTCACAGCCGCGCTATCAGAACGTTGTGACTCTATACGGCATAGTCAACGAACCACGCATGGTCGCACTCGACCGACAAAAAGTGATAACCTGGACGGAAAACGCCATCAAAGTGATCCGCGACGGCGGCATCACGGCCATCCTCGTCTTCGGCGACGGCTTCATGGGCCTGGACAACTGGCAAGGCAAGCTGCAAAGCGACGGCCGCCTCCTCCTCGACGTGCACCAGTACGTCATCTTCAACGTCGACCAGATCGCGCTCACCCACACCGAGAAGCTGCAGTTCGCATGCAGGGAGTGGAACCTGCAATCCAAGCGCTCGATGAACAGAGCCGCGGGCTTCGGACCCACCATGTGCGGCGAATGGAGCCAGGCTGACACCGACTGCACCGAGAACATCAACAACGTAGGCATGGGCTCGCGGTGGGAGGGCAACCTGAACACGGGTAACGCGTCGACTTCTGTGCTAACGCCGCTGTGTCCGGCGAAGTCAGGGTGTAGCTGCGACCAGGCCAATGCTGAGCCCTCGCAGTGGTCGGATGCGTACAAGGACTTTCTGCTGAAGTTCTCGCAGGCGCAGATGGAGAGTTTTGAGGCGGGCTGGGGATGGTTCTATTGGACATGGGACACGGAGAGTGCGCCGCAGTGGAGTTACAAGCAGGGCATGGCGGCGGGCGTCCTGCCAAAGAAGGCGTATGAGAGGAGTTTCAAGTGTTCGGATCCGTTGCCGGATTATGGGGCTATGGGTTTGCCGGAGAACTTTTGATGCATAGAGAGTAGACGGTTGCATGTGGGGCGAGGAGTCTACGCTTGTTTCTGATCGAATGCCGAAGGGCGGCGTCTGTACAGCTCACTTATTGCTAGAAGTGATGATCAATCTTGTGTTGCTCGGCCAAGAACCGTTCAAGCTCATCCACAGACTACTGAAGCTTCAGTGACAAAGAACGGAAGGTCTGCCGCGAATTCTCTGAGCTATGGATTTCTGAGACAAGGGAAGCTTCGCCGCCATTACTACCCCCCGTTGGGGATACGAAAGTGATGCCAAGGAAATCAACGGAACGACAAGCGTACTGCAGGAATCGGAGTTTTCGTGAAGCTGAACTATGAAAAGCCCTCGCTGGGCTGCTCATCATTCCTCTCTCTTCTCACGCGCTTTCCGCGCGTAAGGATGACTCTTGTAGAACGTTTCCAGTGCCTTCGATTCAGCCGACAGTGAGCGAAAGCCAAACATGTATGAAAGTTCCACACGAAATGCCGACCACCCTGGCCACATTGCGTCGGAATCCAGTTCGCATTTGAGATCCTTGGCACGGCCCCGGCATTCTGACACATGCAACTCGAACTCGTTGAAAGGCGGAATGTTAGACTTCCAGTCCATGTAGTAGCCGTAACGGCCGCCAGTCAAGAGACCTAGAAAAGCCCCAGACTTGAACATTAAGCGTAGGTGGCCACCTCGCGCAAATCTGAAGACCAAGAGTATCCTCTGTCGTATCCCCTTACCCACATAAAAGTCGTCAACCCGCTTCCCAACCTTCGAGTTCCGCCGGGCCCTCGTAAATAGGTAAGCCAAGAACCATATACTCATGCTGAGTCCGTAAACAATCGCAATTGTGACGAAGAACAACCAAAGATGCTTTCCAGACCCATTCAGCTCTTGCAGATTCATTCCGAATACCGACGTAGCCAGACTCAATGGGACGAAGATGAAAGCGAGTATGGTGACTAATCTAGGTTAGCACTCTATCTCCAAGAAGTTCGCCATGCAATGAAGTTTCTCAGCACACATACGTAGTTTTACCCGTTTACTCTCTAAGATGGATAATTTCGCCATTTCGATGCTCTTCTGAGATTCCTCAAGGGACCTTCTAGCCACTTGCATATCCAGCATCTCACGGACCAGGCTGACTGCCTCCGTGAGTTCGGTCAAAGCTTCCTCGAGCTGCTCCACCATTTCTCTAACGGCTTTCTTGTTAGAATCCTCTGAAACGTTCAGATTGCGGTTCGTGAACTTCTTGAGTTCTCCGATCGCAGTTCGCAATTCCACTCGGTGAACTTGCACGCCATCCCAGAGCTTACTAAGATCATTTGAATGTTTCCTGGTTTCCGCACCCGATCGAGCTGCACGTGCGGATGCGGACACAATCCATTGTATGCGAACCACATACCATCGTGTCATGATCTGCAAGCAGGATAGGAGCGGAGAAGGATCTTTCATCTGGTCGTGCCGTAGTTGCTCAGAAAAGAAGGCGGCAAAATCTTTGAATGTTATTCCCCAATGATGATGCCTGTATTCGTAATGATTCAGTATCTCATCGACTGAGCTTGAGTACGTAACATGACTGTCGTAAGCTGGGGCGTCGCTAAGGGCGAATCTGATTTCGGCGGGAGAAAGTGTGTCCATCCACTGCTCTCCAGAGTGATATATCCGGAATGGCTCCGGGCAGAGTTCACCTTCCGTGATAAGGATGGCTGATTGGCATTTTAGCGGCAATTCTTGCTGCCATACATGGCGCGATCCGAACTCACCGGTTTTATTATCCACGTGAATGAGACACAGCTGACCCATCCGGAGGAGGGAAAAGTGACGGACCGGCGGCGAATGCCTGAATAGAGAGTGTTGATCGGATGGAACCCAGTCCTTAATGTGCATGTTCCACACCCAGCCCCATTCCGAAGCGGACCGAATTACAATCCATAGAGCCCAAGGTTCAATTTCGAAGCTTAATCCGAAGATTTCCAGCAGGTAATGATCCAATGGATCGTTTTGCAATAAGAAAAAACGAAATCTAACATTAAGCGGTGGTTGAGCCAGCTTGGTCCTACATGCTTTGCAGTCCTCTTTGATCTTGTCCAGCTCTGTCGGAGAACTCGGAATTGTGTTCAGAGGGTCCCAGACCCTTTGCGGAGCGGCAACAGTCTTGTCATTTTTTATGTCCACAACATCGATACCTCTTTCAAAATGATGAAATCTGTTGGACGCTCCCTCCTGCTCGGCATTCAGATACAAGTACAATGCCTTATACTCAGGCCGTTTGTCGACTATAGACTCCAGGAACTCTGCGTACGTCTCGAACTTGTCACCTAGATTGCTCGGTCCAGGGACGGGATTTGATCCACTCGGCTGTTGGGACATGGTGATTGACTGCTTGGAAAGTTCTTTTGAGGGAAATGAGACGCTTCGAATAAACGAAGCTTCGGTAGAATGATAATGGGACTCATCTTCAGCTGCGGCTGAGCCTGACTCCGCGGAGAGGCCGAGTCCAACATGTGATGACGCCTAACTCAGAGGCTACCAATTGACTTGTAGAGCGTCGTGGTACGAAGACGCACCTGCGCCTCCGTTTTGGGGCTGAACATCGAGGAGACCCGAACGTCACGTGATTTGCTCCGCATGCTGTTACATTTTGTTCCATTCCGTCTCGACCGCACCAACCTCACCATGCACGTTGGCAAGCGCTGGATCAAACAGAGTGCAACTTCCCGAAGTCCTATGTATTTTTCAGCTGTTCCGTGCGGTCAACAGTGGAAAGCATCCGCAACGCTGAGCCACGGCTTGCCTCCGCACCTGCTCGACATACGAACCATGTTATGCAATAGCAGACCCAGCACGTACTACGATGTTGAGGCGCATGCCGAAAGTTCGACGAGAAGCTTTGATGGCACCATTCAATTCCAGCGTCGGTCCACTAGAATCCGATTCGGGAAGGTCTGTCCATGACGAACATGCGAGACAGGAGAACGCATCAACACTTGTTGATCGTTTATATATGCATTTCGCAATTTGGCTCGAGTATCTCATCAAGCCTCACACTACGATCGTCTCTGCATTATGGTCCTCCCTCAGTGCAGAGTGGTGCCAGACAACAACGCCTTCTGTGTTGGGCCATTGCCACGAGCCTGCCTCCAAGGGCAATCCGAAGTGTCCGTTACCGCATCTTTGATTCGCCTTATTCAACACGATATTCACGATCAAACTGGACTCATAATGTTGTCAATAGTAGGGCAGCTAGGCCAATCTCATGCGATAGAGAGTAAAAGACGTCCATCATTCTGCATATATGATGAATCAATCACGTAGAGTGTTTCTGATCTATTGTTTGTCCTTTTTGGCTGTTCAATTTCAGGGCTACAGAAGACTTCAATGCGGCAACCTCAATTTTGAGTGGCTCTTGCCCCAATATGTCCGCCACATCTTTAGCTCCTTTCGGATGCAGTAAGTGCTGTCTCCTGCCTGTGGATTTTCGAATCAAGTCAACAACGTTGTTGCTGCAGATGCACCTCATGCATGAGCGATGTGGCATTCTCTTGCTTCTGTGCAATACTTACTTCTCATAGCATCATTTTCAGCAACTTTTCTGTAACAGCTATGGAGTCCACGAACAGCAGCGTCCCGGAGCCGCCGACGCAACGATACGGTCCACAAGGCTTCAACCACGATAGGCCGCACCTCTTCCGCTCTGGTGGGAGCAGACGCAGGCGCCACCATCTCACCACTTACAGGTACCCCGCCATTGATCTTCTGCCTGAACGTGCAGTGTTCCGCCTTCGCCCTCCACTGGAAGCTAGGACGCGCCTGCGCCCTTACAGAAATTGCGAGGAACCGCTTCCGAACGGGAGCCCCGGGGAGACACGACTCTACGCTATCACGCCAGTGGATGACGAGTTCGCCATGGCCGCGCCCCAGCCTTACAGTGCAGCCGAGCTGGTCAGAGAGTCCCTTGTGGACTCCATGAACCGCGTAAGTCGGTACCGCGGCAAGACAGTATTGAGTCTGTGCAACTTCGCCCTCGATGGCCGTGAAGAGCGCATTGTGCATCGATCCACGGTTTTCTGGATTGGATCGGTTGTGGAGGAACAAGATTATCGCTTCACGATGGGTGCATGGTACCAAATACCACGCCGGGAGACCGTCGGCTCTATTACTCAGTCCATTTCGCAAGATGGCCAAGATCCTAGTCTCGTCTGGTGGCGCGATCTTGAAGCCCTTGTATGGAGAAGCACAGCTCGCGCTTGGCTTGAAGTTGAGCTTCAGCTCAGAACACACCCACAATGGGCGTTGGGGGAGCCCGTTATCATCCGATGGTACGAGGATATGACGCCGGTAGAACTCTTCGCCGGCTCCTTGACCTTCGTGGACATCGCCTCTCTTGGGACCGACAAGCACGATCGCGAATGTCCCATCTGCCTCGAAGAGTACGGGGAGGAGTTGCCTGTAATCGTACCTTGCGGATCCGAACACGTCGTCGGCCACAACTGCCTGCTGAATCACGTGCAGCATCGTGCGAACAGGTTCTGCCCCATGGATAGACAGCCGCTGCAGTTCCCGGACCACAGCTTTTTTCTGCCCTTTAATTCCTTGGGACGTTATGAGTTCGTCCATCGGAGGCTTGACACGATTTGGGATGCGGTAGTCGCCAGCCGAGGGGGCGTGCAGATAGACGCCGACCGAACGATGTGGGACTTGCGGGCCCTCGTACTGGTGGCCCAGGAGTTTCACAAACGCGAGATGCATCACAACGCCGCGACTTATGAGGAAACCGGTGTCATGATGCAAGTCGTCGAGATGGTGCTTATGACTTATCCTCGACATCCGCTCCTCCCGCAGGAGCTCTTTACACGGTTGAGAAGAGCGGTCATAGGCACTCTCATATGGGATGACGTTGAACACATGCGCGGAGAGGATCTCCCCATGGCCCCAGGATTCTACACGTTTCTTAGTCGGACCTTGCGGCGGCTGATCCTGCTGTCAGTGTTCAGGCATCGAGAATGGCTTGACTGGCTGTGGAGATATGGTCAGTGGGAAAATTGGTACATGTTCTCGTACTGCAGTGCTTGGAGCGGTTTGCCACAAGACGCTGACTACAGAGGGGTTCATGCACTTGTGGCTTCGACATCGATACAACGGACCCGTTGTAGGGAGATATTACCTATGGTATTCAAGAATCTCTTACCCAATTCCACCCCTTCGGTTGACGCTTGGCGGCATCTCTAACTCTACACTTGCGAGTCTGCTGGTCGAGTTGTTTTTCTCTGTAGTAATCATGATTCACAAAAGCGAGCTTGATCCGCTCTTGTTATTCCGCTCTTGCGTTTAATCTGTCTTGTCATTTGAGTGTGAATGCGGGACATAGCTGCATTTGCCGACAGGGACTGTCCAAGCTTGCATGACAACCATGCAGATACTAGGGTGCACACAGCAACCCTTCCAAGCTACACCAGAAGCTTCATGACTGAAGACTGATACATAGACTGATCGGAGAAACAGCAGAGCTCACGAAATCACGCCCTTGATAAAGTTACTTGTGTTTGGTAACCCTAGAAGGCAGAGCACCTCGATCCGCCCAGATGGTCAATGAAGATAACGAAGCAAGTACAGGATGGAGGCTTGTTGATTGGGCTTGTGCTTTGCACATTTACAACTTGGCAGGAAACTGAATGAGATCATGGGGTATCTTTGAATACAGCCATCCGCCCTGGCCATTTGACGGATAGTCTCTGGCACTGCAGGTGCGCTGGCGCGCTGCAACTCCACTCCTTTTCCGTCCGGCCCAACAGCGCGATACACTGCGGCAATCCGCCAGCATAGACGCGAAAATCATGACAGCAAGATCCCAAGCGATTCAGCCCATCTCATAGATCCGCACCGCTGCCGGCTCCCTCGCGACATTCGCCGGCAGGGTCAAGAACGCATCGTCTACCGCCATCCTATGGGGCTTGATCCGCCTCCTCTCCTCCGCCTCGGCCTTATCCAGCAATCTAGCAACAGCAGTCCGCCGCTTCCCATCCACGCTCGCCGCGAAGCCGATCTGCCCAGCGACTGTCTGGTCCCTCTGCGTGATGGGGACATCCATAGCCAGAACTGACGCGCCCATCCTGAGCAAGATCTCAACGATGTCAGGATGGCCGTGATGGGCGGCGTAGCGCAGGGGCTGCCAGTTCGCCTCGTCGCGCTGCTGGATAGAGGCGCCACGCTCGATGAGCTCGAGGACGACGGCTAGGTGGCCGGCCTTGGTTGCGCGGCAGAGCGGCGAGTCTTCGCGCGAGCCTTGCTTAGGAGAACGGGAGTGCACGGCGGCGCCTTTGTCCAGCAGCATCCGCACGATGTTCGCGTTGCCGTGGCTCGCTGCATGGCACAGAGCTCGGTCGCCTGATGCGTCGCGCGCTTCAACGATGGCGCCTCGCTGCAGGAGCATGCTGATGAGCTCGTCCGACCCGGACATTGCTGCGAGGTGGAGTGGTCGATAGCCGTGACGGGTTACGGCAGCCTCTACTTGCGCGCTAAAGCTGAGTAACAGCGCAAGGATGGTGGGGTCGCGCTGGTTACAGGCGTAGTGGATCGGGCGCAGGCCCTTATGGCATTGAGCTTCGACCGAAGCGCCTTTGCGAAGCAGCAGCTCAGCCGCCGGGAAGTTTTTGGTCATGACTGCCAGGTGAAGGGCCGTCCTTCCGTCGCTGGTTCGCGCATCGACCGGTGTGGCCCGCTTCTGCTGTAGGAGGAGGTCCGCGACTCCCTCATGGCCATTGTAGCTTGCCCAGTGGAGCGGAGTCATGTCTCCGTCTGCCTGATGTTTGATGTTGGCTCTCTTGACGAGAAGAAGAGCAGTAGTCTGAGAAGCACCGGCAGCGCAGGCGCAGGATAACGGGGTCATGGCAGCCTTTCCTGAAGCCTCGATATCAGCTTTCCCAGCGAGCAAAGTCTCAATGGCGGCATCGTGATCGCCTTCGGCAGCATAATGTAGTGCTGTCATGAGTTCCGCATCCTTGGCCTCGATGTCCGCTCTTGACTTGAGAAGGAGCTTAATCGTAGGCTCGTCACCGATCTTTGCGGCAGCGTGCAAAGCGGTCAGATTATGACGGTCCCGAGCATTGACTTTTGCACGGTATGACAGCAGCAGCTCGGCTACCTCCGAGTGACCGAGGTCGCACGCAAGTCGCAATGGGGCCTTGCCGTCCGGTCCACGAGCATCTACATCGGCGTGGTCTTCAAGCAATTCCTGTACAACCCGGTAGTGACCCCGAGATGCTGCAAGATGTAACGGAGTCATGCGGGATTTGTCCATGACATCCGTTTTCGCACCGTGGCGCAGTAGTAAGGCCACAACACCGTCGTTGCCACAGTGGGATGCTACAGCAAGCGCTGTTCTGCCAGATCCTTCGTGACGTTCTTCAATATCGACTCGTTGCTCTAGAAGCCGCTCTATTTCTACGCGTGACCCTGACTGCGCAGCCCGCACAAGTGCCGGGGCCCTGAGGCCTTCAGCGGAACCAAAATCAATGCTCGTGTGGACATTGCGCTCATGGCGGCGTTTCACGCGTAGAGAATCCAGAGGCGGGCTGACTGATCCGGGTGCGTTCGGCGACAACTGCTCCGGCGCTGGCGGTGCAAGTCGGGCTTTGCTCGCGTACTTACGAATGGTTCCCCAAGCCGATTTTTTGACGTCTGCCGATTTGCCCTGACCGGCAAGTGAAGACTGCTGTGGGATGGCGGAACACGAAGCGGAAGTCTTGTGATGTATCGGTCGGAGTTCACTAGCTTGGTCATCGAAGTGAATTGAGCTGTAGGGCCGTGGTTTCTGCCAGGGCTCGGTCTTGAAGCGCTCCATCGGTGACAGCAGATCGCCGTGCTCATCCTGCTCCGCTGAGCCCGATAGCGCTTGGTTCGATCGTCGCTCTAATTGCGGATAATCTCGAGGGGTATACCTTGGACTGTCAGAAGCCGATCGATGAGCTGGTTTCACCGGCAACCTGCTACTAGCTTGCGCTATAGCTTCACGATACGCAACTGGATTGACAGTATTGGCATCGGCATCGAAAAAGCCGCTATCGTGGGTTGACTCGGATTCGGTAACAATAGTCGGGGCCCCTTGCCGGAAGGGATTCGTCGAGTCCGAGACGGACCTGTGGACGGTCTCTTTGCTCCTCGACTGGTTGTGTGCCATGGCGTTCAGATATGGCCCGGTCTTGACTATCTCCGCATCGATGTCAAAAATTGTGCTACCAATGGTCGATTCGGGATGGCTAATGATAGTCGCAGCACCAGCTTCAGAGCCTCTTCTAGTGGCACGGAGCGTCGTCGCGTCGTCTAAGACCTTTTTGATTATCTGTCGGCTCTCCGGTTGACGCAGTAGGGTAGTTTGCTGCATGTCGGTGTGGCTGGCAGTGGTCAGAGGCATACCGTATAAGCGGCGCAATACTTACCAGCGCGTCGCCTGGATCAGGAGCTGCAGCGCAGCGTACTGCGACCGCAACCGCTCTGCGTGATCCTTCATGCCTGCCTCATTCCAAGTATACTTTGTATTCCTCCAGAACGGGTTGTTTGTAACGAGTCCAGCAACCTCTTCAGCTATAAAGTCCATGGCGACCTTGACTCCATCGATCGAGTTCTTGAACGCCTCGAGAAGCTCACGATGGGTGGGAGAGTCGGCAAGATTGTATTGCGCCCAATCTTGTATCTGCACCAAAGAAGTTTTGACGGTAAGGAGCTCATTGATGAGCAGCCTGATTGTGATGTCTGCGCCGTCGAATCTGCCTTTCGCATCGGATAGATTCTTGATCGTCTTCGTGATCGCGGCAACGATGGCGCCCGTTGCGCTTATGCCTCCAATGATTGACAGAGGCTCCATTGAAGCTTATGTAGGTACGACAGGCTGGCTGGTGACTGGCCACGGCTGCGAGCTCCAACCAGTATACAATTGCGCGAGGCAACAAGGCGTCCTCGCTCTGCTGCACGCCGTGACACGAGGTGCGATTAGCGTCCTCTACCGTTCGAAATGCGACTCACTGGGCTGTTAATCGGCGTCGGTGGTTTTACATGATCAGAAGACTATACTCGAGCAATTGAAGCGGCACAGAGCAGACAATCTACTGCTATTAATGAGAGGCCCATAAAGATAACACAAGAGGTGTTGAGCCTTGTGAGGGACGAGGCTGAGCTTTGTAAGACGTGCATAGAGAGCTCTGGGTTGGCCAATTGGCTTACGGACGCCATGCAGAAGGCCTGCAAGCTAAGCAGCTCCGCCTCTGACTCTGCATCCCTCATGTTTTCGGTCAAAGCTGTGTAAGTTCCGAAGATATCGACGGTTAACAAAAGAAGAGTTTCAAGAAAACGGATACGTTATTACAGCCTGCTCATGGTAGTCTGGAAGCGGTGGACTCAATTGGTTTGTTCATGAGGCGAGTGGTGATCTCGAAGGGACGGGAAGAACCTTGTTCCTCCTGAACCTCGCCCGAGTAACAAACACACGCAACAATAACACCTACTCGAACAGCACCTAGGTTATATGCGGCGAAAAGCTTAGAATCTGCACTACAAGAGGAACACTCGGGATGCAACCTCGACCTGTTGTATCCAAACCGATGGTGTGGCGGCATGTCCGTGAAGGCTTCATGGCTCGCGCGGCTCGTTCCGCTCCATGCTGCCTTCGATGCGGGCCGCACCAGCCGTGGAATCTTCTCAACGGATATCATTGGATTGGTCTGGCTAGGGACTTACTCATAAACTTGAGTGCATGAATTCTGGTCAGGAGGGAAATCGTTCCCTGTCAACATGATTGGAGACAATCCAACGATGGGCTTTCCTCAGGGTATCTGCTTGACACGCTAATGCTGATCACAATCTGCGCGGAGACAAACTGGCCCCATGGTGTACATACTTGCGCCTCAAGCCCCGCTTCTCTTAGCTTGTTCCTTCGCTCTTCACGTTGTTCTTCTTTCTTTCTGCTCCTCACCCTTCTAAGCTATCCGAACGTCTTCCTCATGCAGACTGAGTCAGGCAATGAGGTTCCTTTCTATGAAAGATCAGTCCTCGGGTCTCACATCGTACCAGTACATGTTCATACTGCAATAGTCGCAAATGATGGGAGGAGTGCGGATGCATCTCGCATCGGGAGCGCTCCCGGTGATCCCGATGCATGGTTTAATGCAGGTGCGGTGGGACCACACGTGCGAGTAGAGCTTGGTAGCAGATAAACTCCAACGCTTCCGTTGAATAAGGGTCTCATCGAATCGAAGTTTTCCATTCCAGCGAGCGAAGAAAGATGATTCAACTCGACGCAAAGATTCGCGTGATGGTGATCGGCGGCGGTACTATACCGGTTCATGCATAAAATTCGGTCTAATATGCTGATGACTGGCACAGGCTGCGCAGGTTTGCTGATCGCGCATGTGCTTAAAAAGGTGCGCCCGGTGCTGCTGCCAGACAGATCTCAAGCTCATGGTCCAGGCCGGTATATCGTGTACCGTCTTCGAGCAAGCCAGCTCCATTGATGCACGACCACGTGATTGGAACTTCGCCATATATTGGGCGCAAGTGCGTTGTCCTTGTTCATTGTACCTGGGGATAATACTCGACTGACTGTATCGAAGTCGCCACTCGAACAATGCCTACCAGAAGAGATCAACAATTTGCTGTTGACAGCGCAAGTCGACAACTATATCCCGAACGCCAAAGATACCATCCCAGTCTTCCATGGAGAGAGGGGTGACAAGATGAAAGAAATACCTGCGCCGTATAGCCTTCGATTGGGCAAGAAGAAGTTCACCAGACTGATCTCTCGAGGATTGAATATACGGGAACGTTCTTTTGCTTTTTCCGCAAACAAGGAGAAGCTGACAATCTTACAGTACGGCAAATGCATATCAAGCATCTCAACTTCCAAAGACGCAGTAACCGCTACATTCGAAGACGGTACCACGCACACCGCTACCCTCCTGATAGGAGCCGAAGGAGCCCATTCACTCACACGAGAGTTCCTGCTCGGTCCAGAAAAGGCCGCGCTCATCCAGTCACCAGTCGTCGCCAGCGTGACCATCGCACGCCCTGCAGCAGCGGCATCGGCGATGGCGAAGATTGATCCCAGAGCCAACTGCTGGTTCCATCCGAATGGCCAGTTTTCCTGGGCTTCAGGTCAGTCTTCATCTCCGCCCTGAATCAGCACCACTTCGCATGGCTTGAGGCTGGAGCACGGGTCGTCGTGGCCCGCTGGCAAAATGCAAAGAGTTTGACGCCCTGAGAGGCGCTCCTCTTTATGAATCTGTGCAACTTCAAGCCGTCATGCGAGATCTGCTGTGGACCTCGTCTTTCCCTTGGGCATCGAGCAAGCAATCTCAAGTGTTGCAGGTGCTCGTCATTCAGTTGTTTCTAACCGACATGGCGGACGTGGGCTGCTCGCAAACCTCAGGCCTCAATACTAACGTACGACAGTACTGGACAGCTATGATAAACCCGACATCGCGGACTGGGACTGGATGCTTATCCAAACCTGGATGCAGCAAGAGCCGACCACCCTCTCCGGCAGCGCCATCATCGAGGATATGAAAAGGCGCGCAAAAGAATTCGCAGATCCCTACAGAACAATCATACAAGCGATCCCTGACCAGACTCCAGCGTGGCACAATCGCTTGTCGTACTGGCCGACTCAGCCTTGGGACAATCTTGGCGGGAGAGTGACACTAGCGGGAGACGCGGCGCATCCGATGACCTTTCGTACGCAGAGCTCTTACTTTCTCGAAGATGATAGCGGACTGACGATATACTGTACAAAAGACCGTGGCCAAGGCCTTAACAACGCCATCCATGATGCCGCTACTTTACTGCAGCAGTTGAGAGCCATGCCGGAAAAGACCCAAGAAGCATTGGCAGCGGCAGTTCTGGAATACGAGAAGGAGATTTGGCAGAGAGGGAAAGCAGCCGTGGAGGGTTCGGCTCAGAATACCTTGATGGTCCACGACTGGGCGAAGATGGCGGATTCGCCGCTCCTGAAATTTGGCACTGTGCAGAAGGTTGACATGCAACAGACTAAGGCTGAAACAGTATCATGATGTATCAATCTAACGACCATTGCATCGCCGACATTGTACAGGTAACGGGAAGCCTCAAAACTTCTGATAACTACAACTAAGCTTCGAAGAGGAGTGACGCGACTGCGTGAAGCTGACCCGATTGGAAGGCGGATGAGAGGGGTTGAAGGAAGGTAGCTGACAAATCTTGAGCAGCCTTCAGTGCGCCCATGGTTGTTAGTGTAGACATATTAAAACAAAAGCCGATTCAATTACTAGCATGCAGTCGTGGGCGTAGATGACGAATTTGGAGATGCACAGTAACAAATAAGGGAGCGTGCGAGATGGAAAGATTGGTACTAGCAAGAGTAGCAGCACCGGCTTTGAGATCACAGAAACTGCCTATCTATCCAAGCGCTACCTCACTACAGAAGCGCTTCCATGGCTAGCCGTTTAGGAAGAGTATAGGGACCTATCCCGACTAACTATAACCCTAAACGGTATAGAATCATAGTAATATATACTTAGAAGTTATATAAGTAACGCTTAGGAGTTGCATAAGCGATGCATATACATCTTATGGGTGGGCTTAGCTTTGCCAAGGTAAGCTCTGGGTGGTGCCAAGTCTCAATTTCTGGGTGCCCGGAACTTTTCTCGGGTGCCGCGAGGTGTGTGCCCCTGGGACAGCTTGCAAGCCTGACCTGCATAATGTCGTATTCGCGCATCCAACTGTGCATTGTCAACCGCTCTCGCTCTCCAGAGTAACAGCGAGCATAGCAGGCAAGGAGTTTCTACTCAATCCTCGGAGTCTAATTATTCACGTCACTCTGGCTTTCACGTGTCCTCGAAGTCGAGTCTTTCCTACATCAAACTACTTAATCTCGCAGAAAGAAAGTCTAGGGCAATCAGTCTAATCCATCTAACCCAACTCCCCCTACGCCATATGCCTTCCTACGCAGTGCTAGGCGCGACCGGCAACACCGGCCTCAGCCTGCTAACAATCCTCTCCCAATCCCCCTCCAACTCAATCCACGCGTACTGCCGCTCCAAGTCCAAACTCCTACGTCTGCACCCCTCAAGCAGCACCAACGAGAGAATCAAGATCTACGAAGGCGCCCTCGAAGACGTGTCCCTAATCAGCTCGTGCATCTCCGGCACCCGCGCCGTCTTCCTAGCCGTCGCGCTCTCCGACAACAAGCCCGCCTGCACAATCGCCCAAGACACCGCTCGCGTCGTTGTCGCTGCGCTGGAGAAGCTCCGCAGGGACGAGCCCAATGCAAAACTGCCGCGCCTTGTCGTCCTGAGCTCAGCCTCTCTCTCCGCGCATCTGAGCCGCTCCCTCCCACGCGTCGTGCACTGGCTGCTCCTTGCGTGCGCCTCGCACGTATACGCGGACCTAGCCAAAGCGGAGACCTACCTGCGCTCCCAGAGTTCCTGGATCTCGACCACGTTCGTAAAGCCAGGGGGCCTGGTGCACGATGCGCAGAAGGGCCATGAGCTGAGCACGGAGCGGCAGGTGACGTTTCTCAGTTTCCTAGATCTCGCGGCGGGGATGGTTGAGATTGCGGATGCAGAGGGCGAGGGGTGGGATGGGAGGGATGTTAGTGTGGTGCCGACGGCGGAAGATGTGAGGGTTGAGTGGTGGGCGCCGTACTACCTGTTCAGAGGGCTGTTGTTCCATTTCTTCCCGAGCGCGTATCCGCTTCTGGGGTCTTAGTGGTGCCGGTTGTTTAGGTAGGTTCGGTGCAAGTTACCGCCCAGCTCAAAAAGATTAGCATCGCTGTTGCTTAGAGCACGCGGCATGGATCGGGATCAGCGGAGGTTCCGAGCAGTACGTATCCGTACACATACATTTGAGAATTTGCCCTTTTTGCGAGCCTTCATAGTAGCTACGACACAGTACAGCGGACTAGGACGAAGAGAAAGATATACTACACGACAAGAACCCAAACCGATCGAGTCTTCACCCCGCAAGCCATGCGCAAATAATGGAAGAGACTAGCATTATCGTCCTTTGGATAGTGGACTTCTTTCCTTCGCTTCGTGATGGACAGTCCCAAGAGTACCCGGCGTGCGGTCTGTGAGCGAGTGTTCGTACAACGATTCTTGGGCGACTCCCGCACTATCCTAGCTCTTCCGCACCACCACCAACCATGCTTCGACAACGCACACGCACGCTCAGCCATGGCTCGTGCTCCCCGTCTCCAACAAGGGCGCACTTTCACTCGCCGTTCCTTCCTCCCCCCTCTTCTTCTTCCCCGCCCTCTTCTTCCTCTTCTTCTTCCCCTTCTTATCCTCCGCCTGCCCATCCGTATTCTCCTTCCCATCACTGCCCTCACTCCCGCCCAGCAGCTGCGCGTTCTCCGTGTCCGAGCTCGAGTTGGTCTCGAGAATCATCTTCTTCACACCTCCCACATCCGTGATATTTGCCGTGATGCTTCCGCTTCTCACGTTCGTCTTGCGCTTCTTGAGGCCCTGTTCCGGCGCGTCCGAGTTGAGGCTTCCGACCGTGTCCTCGCTGCCGTCGGTTTCCTGCCGCGCGGTCTGCGGACGGCCGTCGATGCCGAGGACGATTTTCTCCGGCTGTGGGTGAGGGGACACAGGGCTGTCGTCTATGCCGTCCTGGCCCTGGGGGTTGGGAGACTCGTTGGCGCCGTTGGGAGCTTGCATCTCGGTCTGTCCCTTGGCAGCGGACTTGGAAGGCGAGGCCTCCGACCTGCCTGCTACTGGAGATGAGCGGCCCATGGTGCCGTAGCCGACGGCGACGGCCTGAACACCATCGCTCGCCTCCTTGCCTGGTGTCACTAATGTGTCGCTCGGACTGCCTTTCAGTGCGGGCTCGGAGTTCTGCCGCGGCTTCTGGCCGTTGGTCTTTGCGTCTGAGCTTTCGGGTATCGTGGAGGGTACGCCCTGTCCGGGTTTGATCCTCACCGTCGAGATCCTTGTTGCTTTCGGGCGGCTGGCGACGTTCGAGGGACCAAGGTGCTTAAAATGCTGCCTGAGTTCATCGGTGTTGCTTCTCACGGCCTGCGGCTTGAGGCTTCTGTCAGTGCCGCTGCTCCTCCTTCGAAGCATGAACGCTGTCGGTTTGGGCGAAGAGGAAAACTCGGGCGTGGACTGTTTGCGGCTGCCATTGGCGTCTTGACTCGCGCGACGGGCAGGCGTGCCAGATTGCTCGCCTCCCTCCGGTGGTACTTCTGTGGCAGTGGATGGATCCTGAATGATTTCGCCTTTGGGCACGCGGGTTCGGGGGGCGGGGTGCATGCGGCGGATGGCTTTGTGGACGTCGACGAAGACGTCGGACTCGTCAATGATTTCCCTGCAGTATAGGTTAGCTCTGTAGCATGTGAGTAGGTGGGTTGAGCTTGATAGACACGAATCTTTGGACCCTGGGAGAGTCCAAGAACGCTACAGTCACGATGATGCTTGCTCGCCTCGGCTGGAGCTGCCTTAATGTAAGAAGGAGAAAGCAGGGAGGATACATACTCGCCGATGAGCTCTTCGATGACATCCTCCAGTGTAACGACACCAAGCGCGCCGTAAGGCTCCCCTGGGAAATCGGAAACAAGAACCATGTGAGATTTGCCTTCCTGGAAGAAGTTGACGATATCAAGGCAGCTTGTTTCTGGTCGAGTTTCCGGTAAAGTCGCGAGTGCGAAGTCGCGCACACGTAGAGCGTCTTCTGGGTCGTAAGTGATGAGCATCTTGACTAACAACATGCCGATGAAGTTGCGAGGGTTGTCTGGTTGGTATATCGGAATCCTTGAGTATCCGGCAGAGAGGATGGTGTCCATCATATCTACGTCAAGGACAGTGTCTGCGGACATTGTGAAAACGTCGCCCATCGGCGTCATGATGTCCCCGATCGGCTTGTCTTTCAAGTCCAGCACTGCGCTGATGATAGTGACTTCATCCTGGTTCAGCCGCTCGTCTGGGCTCGTACCAAGTGTCTTGTGAAGCGTGACCAAGGTTTTCAGACCGGCCTTCTTGTACGTTGTGCCGTGGTCTTCGCCTAGGAGATAGTCGAGTAGCTTCGCAGTGGGCCAGGCGACGGGAGCCATGATCCACATGAGCGCAAGAACCATTGGCGACATCCAGGCGCCGATGGGAAGTCCATAACGAACACAGATTGACTGAGGAACGATCTCTCCGAAGATGACTGGCAAATGTTAGCATCTATCTTGATGAGCCGGACGTTCGGGTCACTGACCGATGAGCACGGTACTGCTGAGGACGGCAGGCCAGCCGCCTCCCAGCGATCTGTCGAGAACGATTGGCAGCGTCTCATTGGTGATGACATTGCTAAGCAGCAGCGTAACCAAAACCCAATGTTTGCCCTTCTTGAGCAGTCGCAGCACGCTCTTGGCGCTCTTTCTCTCGGTGCCTTCTCCGGACGTTGCGATGACCTGGAGGTAGAGCTCGTCCTGGCCCATCAATCTGCAGGGCGAGTAAGCAAGGACTCACTGATTGGGGGATGCTTGATCGACGTACGCGATGGTAAGGCCTGCGAAAATGCCTCCAAGAAGCACCAAAGCCACAGCCGTACCCAAGTATGCCCACAATTGAGGATCGTCGGCGGGCTTGCCCTCGCCATCCTCGGTGATTGAGTACCCAAATGGCGAGCGGCGTGTCGGTAGAGCGCGGATGGAGGGAGCGTATGCTACCAACACGAGCAGGAGGTTAAGGAGAGTAAGTCTTGCCGTCCGCGAGATGCCATTCCTCGTAGCGTAGTGCATCCCGCGAGCGACGGGGCCGGCGAGGAACAGCGCCATGGCACCTTTCCGACTGACAGAGGGTGATGTGCGTGTTAAGGCAGGACGCGCGAGGCGGCGCGAGAAGTCGACGCTGGTGATGGTTTTGTCCACCAAGGTGAGTAATTACTCCTGCGTCTCGACCAGGAGCTCCCGGGCCTCACAAGCGGCTAAGAATTGCGTAGGAACCGAGCTTTTTGCAGGACGTGCACTTGCCGTCATCAAACGGCTGCAACAGCGCCACAGGAGCGCAACATCAATTCCGCAACGGCGATGATGGACGGGCTCCGCGAAGACTCAGTTCATCGACGAAGAGATTGGTTGCTCTGCACAGGCGGAGGGGTGGCAGCCAGTTGACATGGACTGGAGATGGGCTGCCAGCTGTGGTAGACAGCTCTAGGAGACAGCTCTGACAGACCGACTGAACCACCTGACACACCTGACTACGCCATTGCGGAGCGCAGATCTACTGCACCAGACTTGCACCAAGATAAGGTAGTGATGCACAACCTACTTCTAATACATGAGCAACAAACAGACCTCATATGGGCTCTCGGCTCGCATCAGATCCAGGAGGCTCTCAAACAGCACGACGGAACTCCTCCGCCCCGCCAGACGCCAAGACCCGTCGCGCTTTGTGGGGAAGAGCCGCGGGTAGCCGGGCACAACACACCATGTCCTCGGCGCAAGGCTCAAGCCAAACGGCCACACAGCCATGGAGCGAATATAGAGCCCACGCTGCCCACTCCCTCCGTGCCTGCGGTGCCTTCGTGAACAGCCACAATCGATCATGCCGTCCCCTCCACGACCCTTCCTCCGCGCCCTCCTCGGCCGCACCACCCCCACCCTCACAAACAACAACAGAATACGGCCCTACTCGACCGCCCCCTCCAACGCCCGTCTGAACGTCCCCCTCGACTTCGCCACGACCCCGTTGCTATGCCACACGCCCAAGCAAGCCCTCTCGCACCCCGACCTCCCCTCCACCCTCCGCAGCACCTCCAAAACCTCACGCCTGAACCTCTTCCAAGCCGTCAACGCCGCCCTCTCCCACGCCCTCAGCACCGACGAGCGCGTCCTCCTCTTCGGCGAGGACGTGGCCTTCGGCGGCGTCTTCCGCTGCAGCATGAACCTCTCCTCGCAGTTCGGCTCGGACCGCGTCTTCAACACCCCGCTCTCCGAGCAGGGGATTGTGGGGTTTGCGATTGGCGCTGCGGCCGAGGGCATGAGACCCGTGGCCGAGATACAGTTCGCGGACTACGTGTATCCCGCGTTTGACCAGCTGGTCAATGAGGCGGCCAAGATGCGGTTTCGGAGCGGGGTGTGGGCGGATGGGAAGGAGGGGCTGACGAGCATGGCGTGTGGAGGGTTGGTGGTTAGGATGCCGTCTGGGGGCGTCGGACACGGGGCGCTGTATCATTCGCAGTCGCCGGAGTCGCTGTTCACGCACGTGCCTGGGCTGCGAGTCGTGATGCCTCGCTCGCCTCTCCAGGCCAAGGGACTGCTGCTCGCCGCTATCGAGTGCCCGGACCCGGTCATCTTCATGGAGCCGAAGATCCTGTACCGAGCAGCCGTTGAACACGTACCTAACGATGCATACACGATCCCGCTCTCAGCGGCAGAGATCCTCAAGCCTGGGTCCGACGTCACGGTCGTCAGCTACGGCACCCCTCTCTACACCTGCTCAGCCGCCATCAGCGCCGCAGAGAAAGATCTCGACATCTCGTGCGAACTGATCGACCTGCGGACGGTGTATCCATGGGATCGCAAGACGGTACTAGATAGTATCAAAAAGACCGGGAGGGCGGTCGTGGTGCACGAGAGCATGGTAAACGCGGGCGTTGGCGCCGAGGTGGCGGCCACGATCCAAGAGGGCGCCTTTTTGAGACTCGAGGCGCCAGTGCAGCGGGTTGCGGGGTGGAGCACGCATGTGGGGTTGATGTATGAGAAGTTTAATCTTCCGGACGTTGCGCGTACGTTCACCGTCATCTGTGGTCTTTAGGGACACAAGGAGGACGAATGGATGCTAACGTTGTCTAGGAGTCTACGATGCCATCAAGAAGACCGTCGAGTACTGAGAAGGTAGTACCGCTTGTCGTAAAGTATGGCCTGGTGATAGGATCACAAGCACAAGAGCCGCCGCGCCAACACGAGAGTACAGCTATGAGAGGCCATAACGACGTTTGACAGACAAAGCCGCACCCAATGCAGTGCAGTGCAGGAGAACCAAAGAGGGAGGCGCGCTTACATGCTTCTTGATAAACCATGCGTAGGCTGCGGGTGGCCCGAAGACGCATACAAATGGCTGGGAACGTCTGATCAGATAGAGAAGGTAGTGTTGCAGCTGCAGAGCTGAACAGCAAAGACGTGTCTGGTCGAGGAACTGCTCACTCTGCCGCGGCGCAGTCATGTTGTGCCGAGCACGCTCGAACTTACTGTCGACTATGAAGTTGTAGTTTCGCAGTGTGACGCTGCTGTATACGTATCACTCCAGGTGCTCTAGGTTGCCATTCATCCAAGACTTTCCAGCGTTGAATCTGGTGTATTCATTTACGTTTGATGTTAGTTGTGACAAGGTACAAAAGGCGCACGCTACGCACCGGCCGCACGGGGCGAACACCCTGTGAACCTTGCGACTAACTATCGTTGCCAAGTCGGAGAAGGAGACATGGAGCCGGCATTAGGGAATTCGGATGGAGCGCTAAACCGGGGAGATTTGATGCTGGCGGCTAAGTCGCCTTATCAGTTATGCGGGGACCCTTTCCCGATCTCGGCGCAGACATCTCCAGACCATCCTCCTCACCTGAGGTGGCATCCTAGGACAGGGAACGTGCGACTCTGTGGGACGAAACTTCCCGACTCATGCACCCAAGCACCCCAAGCGAGACTTATGCAGGTGTATCACCTCTAGAGAGCGTGCGATGCCCACCTTAAGCCCATGACTGACTCGCTCCCAAACCTGTACATCGGAAGCACGGTAAACATGCCGTGAATCGTAGCCGCGTACCACTCTTCTTATCCACCGACCACCGCTTCTACCAGTACCGGTCCAGACAATCCCATTCTCAGCGCTCCCAATTCTGACCCCTAAGCCCCTCCCAAGCCCTCCGCAATGCACTCCCACCTGCACCTCAGCCGCGCCAGCCCCTCGGACCTGGACGAGATAATCACCGCGCAATACACATCTTTCGCAGGGCTAGACGCACACGATGCGCTCTTCGGGCCTGACACGCCCTCCGCGCGCGCCATAGCCAGAAAAAAGTTCCTGAAGGATATGCGGCACGATGCCGCGGATGTCTGGATGAAGATTGTGGATAAGCGGACGGGGAGGATCGTGAGCGCGGCGAATTGGAAAGTTTACCCGAATTGGGGAGGGAGTGGGGTAAAGGATGAGGATGGGGTTGGGAAGGGAGGTGGGAAGGACCCGGCGCAGATAACGAACGGTGATTCTGCACTGGTGGTGGCGGCGCCGGCGCCTGCTATGGAGATGTATGAGGTGGGCAGCGTGGAGCGCGAAGCCGCGGAGGACGCGATGAGGGATTTTGTGGAGAGGAGGAAGAGGTATATGGATGGGGAGGGGCATGTTCGTAAGTCCGCCCTCTCCATCCCCAAACCGGTATCTCTTCTCTCTGTGTTCTCACTTCTTCGCATAGTTCTCAACATCCTCTTCACCGTCCCTGCCTACCAGCGTCACGGCTGCGGCGCCATGATGGTAAAATGGGGCACTGAGCTTGCCGATCAACTCTCGGTCCCAGCCTGGGTTGAGGGCTCGCCTGCTGGATGGCGTCTCTATGATACGCACGGGTTCGAGGAACTTGAGAAGATTGCTAAGAAGACGAAGAAGTGGACGGTGGTTTATTACATGATGCGTAGGAAGGCGCGACCTCTGAGCTTAGACGATAGAGATGCAGCATAAACGCTATAGATCTTCGGTTGTACCAATTCCGGCTGTGATCGCCCCTCTGTACTTGCTGTTGCTCGCGACTCCGAATACACGTGCTGATGGCAACGTCGCGTCCGATTGCGTTTCTGGAGGGCATGCAGAATCATGGACGGTTCGCGTAGAGATCTCCTGCGTGAAGATACGGGAGATTGCAGATGTGCAGCACGGCGATCATATGATCGTACGATTACTAGCACCGATTGTAATGGGGGGATGAAATGTAAGGCTAGAAAGCTCAGCGCAATTGGTGACTTGAAGCGAAGGGTAAGTAGAAGCGTCACGCTGCTGAAATGATTGCTCGGTCGACAGTGAGTTGGCATACTTGGCATAACAGTGATTGCACAGCGGTAGAACGAGCATTATTGGTCAATGACATCTTGCTGTTCAGCTCTACAGCTGACGAATTATCATATAAATTCATGGATATAGAATCCGTACATGGGTGCCCAAGCTTGAGCACTTATTCAACGCTGTACGCGACGGTCTTCCGAATAATCATCTTATCAGAGCCATGCGACGTTAACGACCCGTTGTCGCTTTGGCCGTCCTTCTTCTGAAACTCAATGTGCTCGATACGTGTCGAGTGATCGACCGGCTCCGGTCGTAGGTTGCCCATAGGAATATCGACGGTCATGGTCTGCGATTCCAGCTGCATCCTAGCTCCTGACGACTTCGACTGTAGCACGTATACGCTTCCCGCACTGCCCTTTGTCGTGGATGCTGTAGGGTCGACCTGAGCGATTGTAGTGCCCCAGTAGCCGGTGTCGAAGGCCTTCAGAAACGGACGCATGCAGGGCACTGTGGCGGAGACGAGACAGGCATGCATTTCTAGTTGCGTGTATACAGCCGCCAAGACAAGATCGAAAGTGTAGTCGGTTGATATCATTGCATCGTGCAACGCGAGGAGACGCAGTGTCGATAAGACGATGACGCTTGGAGCCGGCGTTAGAAGGACAGACCTAGTTCATGGATGTTCACGGACTGTACTTACGGAGCTCGTAACCAAAACGGCGTGATAACGGCCCATTTGGTAGATACAGTAATTTGTACGTCCCACACTAGATAGACTGGTAGCGCTAGCAGTGCTATCTCTATAAAGATGTCGCCAGCTACTATGACTGTCCACCTAGTGGACTAGAAACGTGTTAGCGGCCCGCAACCGAATGCTGAGTATCAAGCTTACCAGAGATGAGCAGGTAGAGTCAAGGCTATTCCAAGGCATGGTGGCCTCGCAAGGAACAGCAATGAGGATGAATGCAGCGAGGCCCCAAACGACTGTGATCGCAGTGATAATGTATGTGGCGATAAAATGCTTCTTAACGCCACATCGCTGCACGAAAAGGATCATGGCCAGCCTGGCTGAGCACATGCAAGCGATGAAAAGGAGGTCCGCCGCATAGAGAGCCTTCCAACTTGATTGTCAGGTAGGTGCTCTTGTTGTAAGCGTCGAGAGCGTGACTGCTCACCTTGTAGAACTTTTCTAACTTTTTTGTTTCCAGTTGCGCGATATGCTTCCCCAAGGCTAGTTGCACCGCAATCGAGATAGCTACAAACTGCCCGGTAGCGATGATCTAAAGCCGTAAGGTGAATCAGTGATCGGGACATTGTGAGTCAGGCCTGTGTATGCTTACGGTTGCAACAGTCGTTGTTGCATCGTCTATCTTGAACAGCCTCCGTATCGGCAAACGACTGTAGAGCCTGAAAATGTAGAACAGGACGCTGCATGTAAACGAAGCCGCCGCAACGAGCGTGACATAGGCTCCATGGTCGTTCTCGTTGATCTTATTGCTGAACTGTAACCCTCCTTCTGGAGGACTCGGCGTCGCTGACATTGCACAATGATTGCATGGGCGAGATCCAAAGCGCGACAAACTGAGGGGGCATGAAGACTAAGGGCAGCGCCCAACGCCGTACAGATATAGTCGTATCCTAAAGACCATGCTCTTGAAGCAGGGGCCCTTGAAGTGGGATGTGCTAGCCCTTTCCAACACAGGGCGAATAGATGAGATTTGGGGTGGCTTAAACCTCCGATGCGGGAGGATCGAGTTTCTGATGTGGAAGGCCTCGCAGCGACCGCCCTTCTTTCCTGCACCAGGGCTGAAGGGATGACACTCCCAGTGGGCTTGGGGTTGTGCGGCATGGATCATTAGAGTTCGAGGATGAGTGCGCCAGCTTGGACAGCCACAACGGTCAAACCCAAAAGACAGCCACGGGGGGGAGCCAATAAGAGAGACAGGGCAAGAAACCGAGACGGCTGAAAGAGAGATTGCCGGAACGTGCACGATGTTAGCTGGAGCTGTAAACCTTGCACATTTCACCTTTGAAATCCCAGAAGCACGTGAGAACCGAGAGCACACGAGGTGCATCCCGCTCTGGAATGCAGCATCCTCCTGCAGCCGATGCTTAGCGCACGCCTTTTGAGGGGAGCCTGCGCTCTTGGTACAAGATCCGATTGGCTCCAAAGACGCGTTTGATAACGTGTCGACCAATAGATGAGCGACTACGCACCGGGTTGCTAGAGGGTCCTGTACACCACTCGAGTAGCATCTGGGCAGCAAGGACGGGTTGCTCGTTTCAGCTGCAAGTTGAGGCCGATAAGAGGCTTGGATGATGTCCACATAAGGTTAAGGGAGCTCCGGCCCGGGCTGGCCCGAGGGTCAAAGCGGCGGAACTACATCCGGTCACGCTAATGTGCGTCTGGGGATCTCTGCCCAGATGGCTGTCTCTGCATTTTATTGCAAACCCTTGCCGTTCCTAGCCTTAGCGCTTTCTAGCCAGCAGAAGGCGTGCAGGTGGCTGTGTTAGCGGAGCGGAAGATATCTCAGCTTACTCATTGGTCAGCATCAGCTTCAGTCCCTTGTAAGAGGCGTCCACTCCCCACCCGCTGCTCGAGGATCTTGTATCCATCCAGGCCTCGACTCCATAGCCCAGTCGTGCCGGACAAGTTGTTCAGCTTTTTGAGAAATCGGGATGAGTTCAATCATGGTAGCTAGACCGCTTCAATCGCCGCTCGACCCCGAAATATTATGGGTTCAAGGTTGCTAGTCTAACAACCCGGGGGGCATCTGATGCCCTGTAGACATGGCGCGCTAACCACTGGATGCAGGAGGATTCTGCATCGGCCCATCGGCGCAGGGCCCGGACGGGTGTTGACTCGCTCGAACGCAGGCGTTCAGGCGTTCCAGCCGTCCCTTTACTTTCCCCGCTAGCACAAGGATGCAGTTCTTGGGCTTCAAGCGGTGGACCTGCCCAGAGATCCTTGGGGGCTCGGTTGAGTACGCCTGCATCGCTACTAGCTTTTCTCAAGCGGCAGTAGCGAAGCCCAGGCCAGGTGAACATTCGAGCCCATCCCTGATACAAAGCAGCCTTATCCCCACCGCCCGCTTCTCCCAGCTGATTCCGCAGCGGTGAAGCTTTGACAATATTGCCGCAAAGAACGGCTGCCATTTCAATCAACCTTGTGCCTCTGCTTCTGGCTATCTCCTTTTTTTTTCCTGCCCTCCGCACGCAGACACCATGGCTCAGTACAACGATCACGAAGCAATGGACAAGAAGATAGCTCAGGCTGATGATGTGTACGAGCTTGACCCGTCCTCCCCAGAGGAAGAAGTCACCCCAGCAAATGGAACAACGCAAGATTCTCGCGATATGTCCCGACTCGGGAAGGCGCAGCAGTTTCAGCGAAACTTCCGCTACATATCTATGCTTGGATTCTCCAGTACATTAATGGCGACCTGGGAATGCGCTCTTGCTACGGCCGGGCTGGCTCTCATTAATGGTGGACTAGGAGGATTCGTTTGGACCTTTCTGATCACGACTATTTGTTTTCAAGCTGTGGTTGCCTCAATGGCAGATATGGCTTCGATGGCACCAACAACAGGTGGACAGTACCACTGGGTCTCAGAGTTTGCCCCTAAGAGCAAGCAGAGATTCCTGAGCTATATGGCTGGTAAGATTGATAATACCCATATCGAGCGAAAAGATCGTACCACTCACTTCACTCCAGGTTGGACGTCTGCGTTAGGATGGCAAGCTGCACTGGCAAGCGCTTGCTTTCTCTCCGCCACCATGATCCAAGGCCTGTTAGTTCTGAACCACGAGAATTACGTCCCTGAGCGCTGGCATGGAACACTCCTCCTCGTTGCGATCGCTCTTGTTGCCACCTTTGTCAACACGTATGGCGCCAGACATTTGCCCATGCTCGAAGGCATCATTCTTCTGCTGCATATCTTGGGTAAGCAAAAGTGAACGCACTATTGCTCTCGCGGTATCAGAAATCTGGGATTTAACAGTATTCTAGGATTTTTCGCCATCATCATCCCACTCTGGGTGTTGTCACCAAAGGTTTCGGCAAGCGCTGTCTTCACAAGTTTCAATAACGGAGGGGGCTGGTTGAATGCCGCTGCGGCCTGCACGATTGGTCAACTTTCGTCGCTGTTCTCCTTTCTTGGTACGCTGCCGTATATCCTAGGCTTTGCAGCTAATTCTTGCTAACTGCTTGCAGGTGCGGATTGCGTGGCCCATATGTGTAAGCGCCGTAGTCTCCTTCCGCGGCGGCATACTTTCTTGCTGACCTTCATATAGCGGAGGAAATCCGTGATGCTTCAAAGATCGTGCCTCGCACCATGGTCAGCACCGTCACGCTGAATGGCGTCATGGGCTTTGTTGCAGTCATAACCTTCTGTTTCTGCATAACGGATCTGGACGCCGCGTTGGCAAGCTCGACTGGATACCCCTTTATTGAGGTATATCTACTTGCTACAGTTCTTGTTTGACGCTGACCAGGAACGCCTGCAGGTTTTTTATGCCGCCACTAACTCCAAGGCTGCCGCAACTGGCATGGTTGTCATCTTTATTCTCCTGATTATCTGCGCCGCGATCAGCAATCTTGCCACTGCATCTCGACAGGTATTCGCTTTCGCCCGCGATCACGGACTGCCGTATCCTCAAGTCGTCAGCAAGGTACAAGCTCTGGATGAGTTCTGACGAGTACATCGCTAATCTTGCTCTCAGGTTTCCAAAGTCGGTGTCGAAATTCCATTAAACGCCATCTTGATCTCCCTTACAATCACGACGATCATCGGTCTCGTCAATATTGGATCCACCGCCGCATTCAACTCCATCGTCTCACTCGTTGTGGCTGCTGACCTATCGACCTATGGACTTGCGATTGGCTGCGTCCTACTCCGCCGGCTCCGGGGCCTACCGCTACTCCCTACCCGGTGGTCAATGGGCCGTTGGGCAGTCCCAGTCAACGTGCTATCATTGGCTTATATCGCTTTCGCTCTCCTTATGTCCTTCTTTCCAACTGCAAAGGCTGGGCTTACACCACAGAGCATGAACTACTCGAGCGTTATCTACTTTGGTGTTATTGGTATTGCTCTAGTTCTCTATTTTGTTCATGGTCGCAGTGTCTACAAAGGACCTGTAACATATGTCCGCCGCCTCGATTAGGTGAAAGGATTGGTGCGGACTGGCGGCTTCCCTGTTATTCTATCTCTCCATCTTGTAGTAGAACTTGAGAAAACACCATGCGCCTTGGTGAATTTCAGGCACCGCACTTCAAATTTGTATGGTAAAACGCTCGCCATGCGACAACAAACACTCTGAACTGGAATCATAATACGGGCGATCTCAGTCGCGCCTTGCGCTTTCAATGCATTCACTTTGCGGCGCTATGCAAGCTGTTCTCATAGCCTTGATTCCTATTGAAATCCCGCCTACGGCTTCGCGACCGCGGAGGATTGCCATCGCAATACGCGGCTGCGATTGTCGCGACTGACCCCATGCAAGGGACGTTGAGCTGTGCTCATTCGTTTTCAGCCGTCTGTGCAACCTCATGGTCATCCCCGAGCTTACATAACTTCTACAGTTACGCCTCGTAAGGCATAAATGCGTACAGATGTACAATACTTCTTAACCAGACGCTAGTCTGCCTCTAAGCATGGCAGAATTGTAAGGAGAGATCCGACACCTTCTACTTATCCGTCCAGTCATGCGTCAAACATCGGCAGAGGCCGTAACTTCGTTGAACTATGTCTGAACGGTCATGTTTCTCGCCTCTATCCTCGCAGCTCTCGTCTCGACCACTCTTGTTTATCTCAACGGTTGTACTTCTCGCAAGAAGCCCCTCGTGGCTAACACGTTCGCGCGGAGGCGCGTGTGTCTCTTCGCAGTGTTGGCCTCGACAAGCTTAGGGGTTTAAGCTACAGTATGTTCGGTTTCTTCCACCAATCATGCGAGAAGTGGTATTCGAATCAGGCTCTAGCACCGCCCGTATACTTGTCGACTTCCACGGTCTGGCAGTGCCACAGTGGATGGTCGAATCGACGATACTCCGACATTTCGCAACCCCCATCATAGATGATCCTGCTGATGAGCGCTTAGTCTATTGGACTACAATCGCATCAATGAACCTTATGGACTGTAGTCAATTCATGGCAAGCGGGGGTATGGAGGTTTCTTAGCTCCCCATGAGCGGGTCAGCTAATTTCTCGGCAGGCAAGGCTCGACGCATCTCCCATCTATGGGCATACTTTTGCTCTGGCCAGATCCTGCCAATTTCGTTGGCGCAAAACCTGTTCTTCTTAGCTCTACTCCTTAAAAAGGCAAAGGCTCCGGCCAAAGAGGCTCCCGCGTTGTGGAGCAACCATGCGTCGACAGCATTGTCACGTGCGGATGCACCAGACTGGCAGAGCAACGGTATGACCAAGTCACTGAAGTCAGGGACTGCAGATCCGGTTGCATGTCGCTACTGTTTGTGCTCGTTGCTTCTATACTTCTAGCTCATGGTGCTTTCTATCGCCTCAGACGATGCTACTCGTCCCGCTACAGACAGCCGTCCACTTCCTGCTCTTCGCTCCTTGTTTAATCGGGATACCTAGTAACACTCCAGCCATCCGGACCGGGATGCCCAACCTCAAAGGTATTGACTCCAGCAGGCCTCTACCAGGTTCCTTCGGCGTTTCTCGCAAAGACTTCGCGAACCCCATCATAATGATGACATGTCTTACGTTGCTCATAGTGCTGACGGTCGTCATGCCTATGTCTTTGTTTATTAGTCAATCAAATTCATCAGGGCTGTCAACGCAAGCCCCGCTATCCGCGCTGTTGGATTTCAATTTCTTGATCAGCTTGGCGAGCAACGTGGCCTGGAACTACTTGAGCGACGAGAAGGATCGGGCGAAGCCCAAGGAAGAGGAAGAGGAAGAAGCCCGCGAGCATGATTGCGTTGCACATCGAGCCGATTCTGTTCTACACTAAACGCCGTAGAGGCACGTTTCCCTCGAACGAATGTTGTATAAGACGTATCAGCTCACCTCCCATACTGATCTGAGAGTACCTTTCTTCTGCAACGCATCCGCTTCCGGCTCACTTCTTCGCCGCGCCAGACTTCACCGCACCAGACGTCGCAGTCCCAGCCTTTGCCTTTCCTCCAGCAGGAACACCGGGCTTGGTCGTTACTGTCTTCGGCTTGGAAGCTCCACCGTTGCCCTTGGAAGCAGACGGGGTGGGCTTCCCACCAGCATTCTGCCCACGCAAGCTGCTCAACGTCTTTTGGATACTGTCCACGCTTTCTGGGTGTTAGAAGATTAGCTGCGGAAACTGGATGCTCATTAGGTGGGTCTTTACTTTGCAAGTCTGCGCTCGTCTTTTTGAGTTCGTCGAGCTTGGTCATGGCTTCGGAGAATCGCTTGTGAGAGAGTTGTGAATCTACTGTATTTTGTTGTTGGAACGACTGATCAATTCGAGGTCCTTGGTGTCCGCAGACTGGCGGTGCACGGTTGCGTCATGCCGCGAACACTGCGAATATTGGAGATCTTCTTACGGTCAAACAGCGCATAGTTGTCACCGTACGGGAAAATGGATGGGGCACGAACGAGGCTTCTTGTTCCTTTACCTAACCCTTGCTCGTAGCAAGTCAGGCACTGTGATAGATTTTCACAAGTCCGAATGCTTTGCAGAACACAGGCCGCAACATGCGTTGCACACATCGTGGGCACACTGATAAATTGATCACAATGAGCGCCCTATTCCACACTCACGCAAAGCTCGGCTGTAACTTCCCACTCACCCGCTCCATCACCCTGACTGGCAGCAGCACCTCATAAACATGTCTAACCCACTCCGCCACGATCCCTCTAGTATGCGCCGGGTCTACTATCTGCTCTACCCCGAACGCATTCGCCGTTCTCACCGGATTCATCAAGCGCTCATACTCCTCATTCAGCTGCCTTAACCTCTCCTTCCGCGCCTCCTCTCCCTTCTCCTTCCTGATCTGACTCAGCTCATGCGCATGACCCACCTCGACGCCTCCTTTCAGAGGCAGAGACCCCCAGTTGCCGGACGGCCACGCGATACGGCATCTCGGCTCCCGGCAGTCCAGCATAATGCCCCCAGCCACACCGTACACCCTCCTCGTCACAACACTAAACACAGGCATCGTCGTACTGAAATACGCGACAGCGAGATTAACACCATGCCGCATGGTCGCCGTGCGTTCCGCAACCGTGCCGATCGCATACCCGGGCACATCGACAAACTGCAGCAGTGGGATGTTGAAGATATCCAGGAACTTTAGGTGCCGCGTCAGTTTCTGGCTGCCGAACGCGTCTAGTGCTCCGGCGTTGATCTCGCAGTTCAGGCTGATGATGCCGACAGGCCGGCCGCCGAGCCGCGCGAGCCCCGTAATGGCTGTGGTGCCCCAGAGCGCGCCGATCTCGAAGAAGGAGCCGGCGTCGACGACGGTGGTGATGACCTTGCGGGGGTCGTACATGCGTTCGGGCTTGCGGGGGATGATGGATCGGAGCTCAGGGGAGGTGCGGTCAACGGGGTCGGAGCTAGGTGTTACAGGTGGCAGCGAGTCGCCAGAGCTGGGGAGGTAGCTGAGGACTGTGCGGAGCTGGGAGAAGCATTCGGATTCATCGGCGGCGAGGTTGTCGATGGTGCCGTTTGTGCAGTGCACGGCTGGGCCGCCGAGGTCGGTGAAGGAGAGGCCTTCTTCGAATGTCGCGCCTGGGTGGCACTGTCAGTACATGTACTCTCCGTACCATCGTCGGCGAGTCTAGAAGAAACATGCTCGTACCCGCAACGACCTGCGGTCCCGCATTGAACAAACTTCCCACATCAGCAGCCATGACCGAGAAATGGCACACCGTGACTCTCGCAGCTCCCAACCCAATCGCTGGACCCACGACAGCTCCCAAATTCGGAATTCCAGCATTCAGCTGCTTGACAACCCACGGAAAGGTCGACATGGGCGGGATGTACGAGAACCCTTCCTTCTTGATCGTGCTCACACTGCCGCCGCCACTCGACCCATCCACCAACTTCACGATCGGCAGCTTCATCGTATACGACAGCTTCTCCATATACATTGTCTTCTCCGCAAGCGCGCCATCTGCGTGGCCGGCGCGGATAGTGAAGTCATCGGCCGTGAAGACGATGTTGCGGCCGCCGAGCTTGCCGAAGCCTTGCACGTTGTTCGAGGGTACGTAGTCAATTGGCTCTTCTTTCGTTCCGCCCAAATGCTTCCAAGTGACTGTGCCGCTCACGCTGCCGACTTCTCTGAAAGTACCGGCGTCGAGGAGCTGGTCTACGCGTTCGCGGACCCACAGCTTGCCGGCTTGTTTTTGGCGTACATAACCTCTGTTCTTGGGATCTGGAGTCGCGGCTATGGTGCGGAGCTTTTCTAGTTGATTCAGGATATCGGAGTAGTCGGCTGGAAGGTCTGACTGGTTGGAAGTGCGGCGTCGACGCTTCTTGGGCGTGTTTGCGGCGGGAGGAGAGACGTGGGCGGAGACTTGGGCGAGACGGTCTTTTGCAGATTGGGCCGTGGAAGGAGGAGCTGGCTCTGGCATTATCTAGCTATCTTCTCAGCCTTTGACCTGAGCTATATGTGATACAGAGGTCGCCAGGAATGCGTTTGCGGTATAGCATTGGGAACGGACTTGGCCTGAAGCAGAACCATTGCTCGCTGTATCTACCTTCGAGAGCGGTTGGCCATCTTTGGCCATTGTCGCGGTGGGCTATCAGCTTCGGAACTATACACTGCTCTCTAGGAGCGCAGAAACTGAGTGCTACATTATTGCTGTATACTGACGGAGAAGGAGGTGTTGAAGTTGAAGTCTGGGCAGCCGAGGCTCTTCCCCGGAAACCCCACGTTTGGAAGATCCGGGGCCGACAATCAACACCAAGCACTACCGCGTGAGAGCCACCTAGACGAGCTCTACTTACAGATGCTTCCCTTTTTCTTCTGGTGAGTAGGAATTGAGACGAAGATTTTCCAATGGCTAGAACACGGACTCTGCCTTATCATTTATATTGAAGTGTGAGTTGTCTACCTTACTCCTTCCAATCCCATGTCCTTTTTGATATTCTGTAATTGTATGGTCCTGCTCTTAAGTCAATCAGGAACTCTTCATTTGGAGACTTTTAAAACAGTGAGATTGAATGAAGTACGGCACGAGCATAATATATAAGTGGAGGAACGATTCCTTTCCGGTCAAGCTCCAGTTCTTGAATAGATAGACTAAGGTTATAAATACTATCTTGGCAATATATCCATGTAATCGCTTGTAAGCAGTATTATATAGCAAATCATGTCGGCTAGATCGGGAAACCTCTGCATTTTTGTCTCTGTATCCGCTGTCTTCGTCTCCTGTAAGAAAAAAGCCAATATCTTGGATCGTGGCATTGGCACGTTCTTTCGAACCAGCCACTCCAGGACTGCTAACCTGAAATTGAGAATCGCTGAGCTGATAAACCATATCATCCAGCTTTTTACTTCCCGCCGAATTGTTCTTGGTAGAAAGCCATGACAGGCCGCCCACCTCCCCGCCGCATCCAGCGCCTCCTCGTCGCCAACCGCGGCGAAATAGCCGCGCGAATCCTTTCAACCGCGCGGGAACTCAATATCGAGACCTACGCCAGCTACACATCCGGCGATGATCTCCACACGCGCAACGCGGCACATGCCGTTCAGCTTTCTTCGCCGGCGTCGTACATGAACATTGCCGAGCTGATCGGCGTGGCAAAGAAACATGGCGTCGACGCTGTGCATCCTGGTTATGGCTTCCTGTCTGAGTCGCCGGAATTTGCACGCCGGATGTGGGATGAGGCGGGTGTGGTAGTCATAGGGCCTGGTTGGGAGATCCTGGAGGCAACGGGGGATAAGTTGAGGGCCAAGGCATTGGCTGTAGCGTGTAAGTCTGACGAGGGGACAGCGGTCCATATTTAGTAGTAGCCTCGAATCTTGCATTTGCTGATAAGTCCACAGGCGAAGTTCCCGTGCTGGCTGCGCTTCAAGTACCTACAAACGACGTTGAGAAGGTCCGCACGTTTGCCGCTGAGAACGGCTATCCGATCATGCTGAAAGCAGTGGATGGAGGTGGCGGCCGCGGAATCCGCTTGGTAAGAAATGAGTCAGAGTTGGAACCTATGTTCCGCCGTGCTGTTGAGGAATCGCCATCGAGGCAGTTGTTCGCTGAGCGGGCGGCTGTTGAAGGCTTCAGGCATATCGAAGTCCAGATTGTTGGGGACGGACGGGATGTTCGCCATCTGTGGGAAAGAGAATGCAGCATTCAGCGCCGGTATCAGAAGATTGTCGAACAAGCACCGAGCTCCGTCGCTGACAGAGAGCTTGTTGGGATGGTCATTGCAGCAGCTCTCAGAATGGCGAAGAAGGTGGGCGAGAAGCGTTTTCTTAATGACGTTGTCCTTGATAGTACCGTGTCTGACTGGCGACAGATCAACTACTTCTCGCTCGGTACCTTTGAGTTTCTGGTCAACCCCTCCACACGCGAATTTTACTTCCTGGAAATCAACCCGCGTATACAGGTCGAGCATACGGTCACTGAATCGATATGCACATCGGCCTCAGATCTCGTCAAAGTTCAACTGCTTCTCGCACAAGGGCTACCTGCGGGTCTGCCAAGCATGCCTCAGTCACCAGAAACGCAGCCAACTCAGTCGTCACTTCAGTTGCGTCTCACAGCTGAGAACGTTCAAGGAGACTGGTTCTTGAGTATTGGCAAGGTCACCTCGTTCCAGCTACCAGTCGGCAACGGCATTCGTGTGGACACCCATCTCGTCAACGCCCACCCAGCAGTCGTAAGCGCGGACTTCGACAGCCTGATCGCGAAGATCGTCATCACAGCGCCGGCATGGGATGACGTTATTCGCAAAGCCAGACGTGCGCTCGATGACACCTCAGTTTCTGGAGTGAAAACAAACATCGACGTCCTGCGTGCCATCGTCGCTCATCCAGACTTTGCCAAGGGCGGATGCGATACCCGCTGGCTGGAAGCCAACCATGTCTCTCTGCTAAAGTCTGGCGAGGCAATATCAGCTGCCCTACGCAAATCCGTCAATCTCTCCTCGTCGCCATTAACGTCTACTACCTCACCAGCTGCACTGTCCCAAACCGCGCCACTTCTCCGCCCCGGCGACGCATGGTCGGTCACCCTCTCCGCACCGTCCGCACAAGGCCCGGTGCAGTCTCATCTTGAGCTCAAACGAGTACTGCGCAACAACTTCCCCGCTTCGCTGTCGGCAGAAGTCGCGTACACCTCCTCTTCCGGCAAGCCTCAGCCGTATAAACTCGAACTCTCCTCAACCTCCGCCTCCTCATCAGCTCTGACGTCTGGACATCGCCGAGGCTCGCCCAACAACCCTTCTCACATCATCATCCCCTTCTCCGGTAAGCTGGTCGAAGTTTGCATAGACGAAGGGGACGTACTCAAACCCGGCGACGTGGTGGCTGTGGTGCAGCAGATGAAGATGGAGCTCGAGGTCCGGACTTCCCAAGGAGGCAAGGTAGGCTGGGTGTGCGAGATTGAGGATGGCGAGGATGTTGCGGAGGGTGTACTGATTGCAATTGTGGAGGAGGCGGAAGAGCCGAGTGCTGGGAAGGCGAGGCTGTAGAACGTTGGATGGGCTTTTTGTATGCCCTTGGGCTTCCGTTTGACAAGGTAGTGCGCCCAGGTCCCTTTTCCGAGGCTTGCCTTGGTTTAGTTCAGTCGCAAATCTCCCAAGCGCAGCACTATTGCTATAAAAACCTCGATATTCTTATTCTAGGGGAAAGCGCTGCTTTGTCGAATAACTACCGAGTGCGACCAGACTTCGGATGTTGGAGTCAATTTTATTGAGAAACCTGTATCCTTAAGGCCCTTCTCCACATTGGGACACAAGTGCGAAATCAGTCTGAAGTCCGCCTGGTCTGCCGAACCGTATGGAGAGCCTCCCCGGAGTGATTGAAGGCGACACCGGCGGAGCATCGAAATTGTAACCTTAAGGGAAAGGGGTTGCACATTGCTCAACGGGTTCGACTATCCATCTCCATATCGTCGCCGGAATATTCGGATTTCATCGGCTGCTTCAATTCTTTCGCAGCAAAGTACGCGCGAGTCCTTTGATCAGCTCCAGCCTTGATCTCTTCGTACTTCTTATACATCATGTCAAAGATCTCAAGATCCCTCAACGCATCCGCGGCGCTCGTCTTGATCTGCTTGCCCTCTACGAGGCATTCGTATAACTCCCGCAGCTCGGCTGTGTACGCGTCTTCGTAGCTTGACAATATCTCTTTGCTCGTCATCTCTTTGGTTCTCGAATCCTGTTCATCAACCCTGACCACAATTGGTAGTCCCTTGACGTAGGGACTTTGATACTTGATCTCGACTCGCCTGGAATCGGGGACCCAGCCGCCCCTGCTTCCATACACAGCTAAATGCGCGTCAAAATCGGGAACAGTGTCAATACCACTCTCATACGTGACGGCGAAAGGTTCTCCACGGTAGGAGGCCCTCTTCATTCGGAAGTTGAAGATAGCAGAGTAGAAAGGCGGATGCACTGACACGCCCGCCACGCTTTCAGGTGACCCAAGCACTTCCCGCATCAGCGATATGTCGTGACTTCCCAGACTGTTGAGGAATCGGCAATATTGTTTCTTCTCCTCGGTGACTTCCCTGCCCTCAAATGCTTCATCGAACATTGTGTTCAGGAGCTTCTTCCGCTCTTCGGCAGCGCCAGCGGGAAAATCAGTGTTCTTGACCTGAAACGTTCCAGATTGGTCTACGAAGAACTTATTCGGACCGCTAAAGTCTCTGACGCGTGCGTAGTGAATCCAGTTCATATGTTCTATCTCGCGCTTGAACGTGTTCACGAAAGAGGGCGCGTAGCGCCGCATGTACCCAACAAACAGCCTCGGTCCACCAGCTTCCTTCTCCGCCGCTATCATCCTTTTCGCCGACGGGATCGACAGTGTCAAGGGCTTCTCAACGAAGACGTGCTTTCCAGCTTTTAGCGCCGCAATTGCTAAGGGCTCATGATATTCATCGCTTGTGAGGATGAAGACGAGGTCGATAGAAGGATGGTTGATAATCTCTTCATGATTGGACGTGGCGAGATGGATGTGGAACTTATGGGCGCAATGTTCGGCGTTTTTCAGAGAGATGTCGCAGATGGCTTCGATCGTGTACAGGTGGGACATGAGCGAGAGCGTAGGGAGGTGTATCACTTGGGCGACTTCGCCGGCTCCGAGAACGCCGACGCGCAGCTTCCTCGGGCTCGACATGGCAGAGGCTTGGGATGTGGAGTAGTGGTCTGGATAGAAGGTACGCGGGGGTTGCACTCGTGTATGACACAATGCTTTACGCGGAAGGGAAATTTGGATGAAGCTTGGGGCTTGACGTGCACGTGACATCAAAGCTTTGTGGATGCCCCAGGCCACACTTGTAATCTTCATCCCAGGTCAACCTCACTCCCTCTCCGCGCACTGTCACCCAGCGTCATCATCTTTCTTGTGTATTGACGTTACATCGACCATGATGAATCTCGAGTGCTACCAGAGATGAGGGCTTCTCCAGTCCGTTCGCATTTCGGTTTGTTAGGTCGTTTTAGGTAGGTCATTTGTTTCACGGGGCCTCCGGGTTGAAGCTAACACCCCAAACGAGTGTCTGTGCAAAGACTTAATCAATGGTTTGAGACAGCAGCATTGATTATGCGGCTGCATTACTTTTAGGTTGTGGTAAACAAGAAACACTCGTGGCTGGAATGCTGCCTTGCCGTCCTGGTACCGACAGCTTCAACCCTCTGTATTCTGTTATAGCGCCGGAGTCATATCCTTATCGAAGCACTGTTCCCGACCGCCTCTCTACCCTTCTCAAAACGTGGTACAGTGCGATACAAGAGTGTAATCTCATCTGATCACTATGGAACGCATCATTGCATTCACTAGCATCGGCAGGATCCTTAGTAAATCTGTCCAAGATAAGAAGGAGGTTCGGTATGCTCTTTAAAGTAGATGAGCACACCTCCTCACTGAGGGTCAGCAGCTCTACGCTCATGATGGTATGAGCCGAATCTATTCATTCTTTGCCAGTCAGTCTTTACGTGACATTCCTTTCGTGCAGCTACACTCTTTACATAGCATTCATTGAACATATAAATTATCCATCTTTCGAGCAACTCCAAGGCAGGTCCAAGTCGAAGTCTCCAACATGCGCTTTTCTCTACTCGCCCTTGTGGGCTCTGCTGCTCTTTCTCACGCCTGGCTGCCGTCCGACAAGGACCTATTCGGAGCCAACTCGACCGATGCTACCGAGAAGCAGATCGCCGCTGGCAAGGGAAGGATGCAGACAACTTGGCTACCAGCCTCCGGCAAGATCCGAGGTGTGAATCTCGGCTCCTTGTTCATCGTTGAGCCATGGATGGCTTCGAACGAGTGGCGGATCATGGGCTGCGGCGATGCCAAGTCCGAGTTTGACTGTGTTCGTAAACTCGGACAGGGCGCCGCAAATACGGCCTTCCAAGGCCACTGGTCGCGATGGATCACCGAGAACGACATTGCTACCATGCGTAGCTATGGTCTCAACACCATTCGCATTCCGGTCGGATACTGGATGATGGAGAGCATTGTCTACAAGGACAGCGAGTACTTCCCTCAAGGCGGGCTTGCCTTCCTGGACAAAGTGGTCGGATGGGCCAGCAACAATGGCATGTATATTATCATCGACCTGCACGGAGCTCCCGGTGCTCAGGTTGCCAATCAACCTTTCACAGGCCAGGTACGTCTTCCAAGAATCAACGACATTCATATCCCGCTCCGAACCAGCTAACACGCTTATCACAGTATGCGCCCTCCGCCGGCTTCTACCAATCTTGGCAATACGACCGCGCATACAAATTCCTGCAATTCATGACCAACCGGATCCACACCAACAACGCGTACCGCAACGTCGGGATGCTCGAAGTGCTGAACGAGCCCATCGGTGGGCAGCCCTCGCTTGTATCGACCTTCTACCCAACCGCGCTCAACAAGATCCGCGAGACCGAGCGAGCGCTCGGCAAAACCTCAAACAATTTCTTGCACGTCCAGTTCATGAACTCCATGTGGGGCGCTGGCAACCCTGCGCAGAATCTCGGCGACAGGCACCACACGGCGTACGACAACCACCGGTACCCGAAGTGGGATCCTTCAGTCCCCAAGACGCAATCAGGCTACCTCCAGGCGTCCTGCAGAGATAACGTCGCGGCGGACGGCCTCACCCCCCTCATAGTTGGCGAGTGGAGCATCAGCCCCGCGGACGACGTGGAGTGGAACGGCGAGTTCGAGATCTCGAGCGGCAGGAATAGCGGCTTCTACAGGAAGTGGTGGGCTGCGCAGGTCATGGCGTACGAGAAGCAGGCGGGCTGGGTATTTTGGAGCTGGAAGAACGAGCTGAATGATTTCAGGTGGGGGTATAAGCAGGCAGTCGAGCAGGGCATCATTCCGAAAGACCCGAATCAGGCGTGGAACCAAGGGGCTTGTTAGGGAGAGAGGGCTCTTGGATACTCTTCATTTCATTCATGCTTCATTCCAGTTCGAGATCCCCGTTGCTGGTACTCGGGACAGCACTCCAAATACGCGGTCAAACACATTGGAGAACCAAGCGCATATAATATTTTACCACGTCTCAGCCCTAAATCAAACCGGCCGTGAGGCATACTCAGCGTTTATACTTGCATTACAACTTCATTTTCCTAGCAACAAGTCAAATCAAGATATTTGTGGGCAAGAAGGGATATTTGGATTCCGCAGTGCCACCGACGGTGCCCGGTAATGAAATCACGTGACAAATTAGTTTGATATACTTGTAGGATCACAAGTATATAAAAGCGTGGAGTTCCAGAGCACTATGCGAAGTACCAGCATCCCTCTACTCATGCTACCGCGTGATCAAGCTCCATGCCCTTTGCAGCTCCTGATCAAGTCGACCAAACTACCCCGCTATGCCGTCGTTGAACACCTTACTTTGCTCGAGTGCACCACTCGCCCTCAGCCTTGCCTACTACACTTACTTCCACGTCGAAGCGCGAGATGCAGCAATTCGTACTCGTAACGTGAAACCGAGAGGCTTTTAGAGATGCGGGGCGTGCACAGCCTCCCCCAGATCCACTTCCCATGGTGCATATCAACCCCTGCAGCAGCATCTCGGCAGGTACGGGAATACGAGCGTCACGCCGCCAAGCACTCCTATATTTAACCTACTGTACGGGGTACCTGCATCAGAAAAACTATGTGCCTCAGGCCTGATGATTACTGTTATGCATCGCGCACGGCACTCTCCGGGTCGAGCCTCATGCTAAAGATGTGGACTGTGGGCAAGGCTGTGGGCACCTCTCTTGGGGGCCTAATTCTCGCCCTCGAGATTACACAAGGACCGCGTGCGGCCATCTTGGAGATAGATCATGCGTAGGCTATTGATAGAATCGAAAGGTGCAGCCTTGTCGAGCCTTGCTTCTGGGGAATGAGAGGAGGGAAGGCATACGGGATACGGGTTTCTGTGGGTGGAGGTTGTGGTCACGCATGGCCTTGTACGGGATGGAGATGCAGAGCAACGGGGTAAATATAGAGAAGAGGAGGGACAAAAATATATCGGCTGTGGTATAAAAAGGACAGGTATAGAGGCAGAAGTGGTCAGGACAAGCCAGCAGCCTCTTGAAGACCAGTAAAGACAAAATTGTACCTAGAGATTTCTCTATATCCAAGCAAAGGTGCATCGACTGACGACGGGCAGATCAAACCGCCACGCGCAATTCTACACACTGCCTCTATAAGCCAGCATTCTCGCTACTCATCCACCATCCGCCATGCGCTTCATCCAAGCCCTCGCCTGCGCGCTCAGCCTCACAGTATCCGTCTCCGCCCTCGCAATCAGCGACATCAAAGAAGCTCTCGCCTCCCTCACTCCACGCGACCCCCGTCCCTCGCGGGAGCAAGAGACCGACGGCCTGCTTTTCTTGACTCCCATGAGCAGCTTTCTAGTCGCCAAACGCGCCAGACAGCCCGCGCGGCTCCATTGGGACGACAACGGGTGCACAGGCGTGCCAGATAAGCCAAGCGGCTTCAACTTCCTGCCCAGCTGCCAGCGCCATGATTTTGGTTACTCAAACTACAAGATCCAGAAGCGATGCTCGGAGGCGGAGAGGAAGAAGATTGATGATAATTTTAAGAAGGATATGGATAAGGAGTGCTCGAAGTATGCGGGGCTGCAGGCTGCTAGGGGTGTGCAGTGCAGGGCGATTGCGAGGGGGTATTATGAAGGGGTCAGGAAACTAGGCGAGTCGCGGTTCTGCTAGGGGTTGCAGGCTTCTCTAAGCAGAGTCTGACCATGGCGTGGCTCCTTCTTTGACTGTTCTTCTCTTTCTGGTTCGATGAGCTATTCGGCTAGGTGTACGTCTGGTGTTCGTCAGAAAAAGAGTATCTGGACGATGCTACAGGGTGGTGGACGCGTTCTGAGTTCGCGCAGTATGTCTAGTTTCGCAAAGCGGAGAAAGGTTTCCGAATTTTAGAGTGTTTGAACTGTAAGGTGCAGCAACCGCATGATAACAAGAACTTTGGCACAGACTCCTATGATACCGTACCGCTTGCAAACTCCCTTTCCCTTGCCTCACTCGTCAAACATGTAACAAGTACCCCGCTCTCTCGCCAGATACCTCCATGTTCTCGCATACAATGCTCTAAGACTCCACCAAAGCTCAAGGCACGTGTACACTCTACGCGGCCGAAACCTTATCTCAGCGATGTCTCACAGCGCTCTCGTTCCATGAAACAATATCCGTTGTGCATGAAATTGGATCTGAATCTAGATGCGCTAGCTAAATGAATGCAGCCTTCAGGCCTCAAGCCTCAAGCCTCAAGCTTTCCTTTAGATCGAAATGCGGGGTGCATGCCAAGCATCGCGCGGGACGGGTATCGCCGCCAAGAACCCTAAATCGAGGTACTCCCGCCTGCATTTGCTGCAGTTAAGCGAAGGCTTGCGTCCGCAGGTGCCTTGAACGTCACAAGACGGGGCAAGGCTGTCAGAAGTCGTTTTAGATGCCGAGGGCGTGGCCTCGAACATGCAGGATAGTAAGGGTATCCATCCTCGAGATACATTCATATGCTGGCTTTGGGCCAACTGTGTAGGACATAGATTTATCGAGGCTTGTATCAGCACAGAAGAGAAGAGGGGAACTTATGCACGACACATGCCTTTGCGGCTACCACCCCCTGACCACATCCGATGAGCAGCCTGCATAGAGAACTTCCTAGGTTACGAGCATCGTCAAGTGCTACCATTGACCAATACTGCAGGCAGACGAACCACGCACGCCTCTTAATCAGCCAGCTTTCGACCCAGCAGTGTGATGTACATGGACGTCGCTTGTAACTACATTCATTTCTGCTGTCCGTGGCTGACTGCGCCTTCAAGATGGAATTCATGCTACCGATACAGGCTCCGATTGGTTCAGAAAACGCGTTCGCATGAACGCTGGCCCATGGATGGGCAGGGGCACGTTCCGTTACGCTTAAAGCCACCTGTAGACTACCCACCAGCTGCTGGCGGTTACCGTACACATCGGCTGCGGCCAGGAATTAAAGACTGGCTTAGGCGAGCGAGGATGCAGAGAGATTGCGTAAAACGGGAGGAGACGGGGAAAGTATACGCCGATTCCATAAGGAGGGTTTCATGGTTCACGCCGGCTTGGGTGGGAAACATGCGAAGAGAAGGGGGTGAAACCGCCAAAGGGAGGAGAGGAGGGAAACTCATGCACCGCAAGCGCCTCTCTGGGTACAATCGTGTTGTTTGTGTTGACCTGGGTAGGCGAAGATGCAGAAAGATGGCGTACACAGGTGAAGGATTAAGGGAACGTATGCACCGTAGATGCTTCAGTAGTGAGCATTCTGAAGTCTAGACTGGCTTGTGCGGGAGAAGATGCAGATGGATTGGGTAAGGAGAATGGGAAGAGGAGGTTATGCATCACCCAAGCGTCCCTACATAGGCCTCTACGGTCTGGGCCGCTGAAGATGCAGAGAGATGGTGCAGGAAGGAAAAATGAGACGGAGAGAAACGCACCACACGGGCCCCAATAGGGGGAGCTTGACAGCATAGGCTGGCTTGAGCTGAAGAAGATGCAAAAAGATCGGGCAGAAAAGGAAGGGAGGAGGGATAAAGCTGTGGTATAAAGAGGGCCAGCATGACTGGAGAAAACTCAAGACAACCAGAAGCTTTTTGACGACCAGCAAAACACACTTCTGTAAACAGCTCTCACTATACCATCAAGTCTTCACTGACTGACGACAGCAAGACCAGATCAAGACATCACCATCCATCATGCACTTCCTCAAAGCCGTCGCCTTCGGGCTAAGTCTTGCGGCCTCTGTCTCCGCCCTCGCTATTGGGGACATCAAGGACGGACTCAACCATCTTGTCGCGCGTGGCCCTGTGCAAGACACTGACCGCCTCCTCTACTCTACATCCATGAGCAACTTCCTAGCCGCCAAGCGGGCCAAGAACCCCAGCTACCTTAATTGGAACGATGACGGCTGCTCGATTTTATCCGACACACCATACGGCTTCAACTTTTTGCCCAGCTGCCAGCGGCACGATTTCGGGTATAGGAACTACAAGGCCCAGAACCGGTGCTCGAGTGACGATCGGAAGAGAGTCGACCAGAAGTTCCTCAGCGACATGAACAACGAGTGCGGAAAACAATCTGCAGTAAAGAAGTTAGCTTGTCTGAAAGTAGCATCAGAATATTATGTTGGTGTTAGGGCCGCGGGTGGGTTGAAGTGGTGCTGAGTGGTCGTTGTGATCATCGAGCACAGTGACGGACCAATATGGAATTTGCGCTTCGCTTTTTGTTTGTTTGACTGTTGTTTTGCCTCTAGTTAAACAAGCTTCGAGTTGGGAAAAGATGTCGCACTCGGCAGGTGGAAGAGTCAGGAACACGTTGTGCAATTGAGCCTGTCAATGAGTTCTGAGTTTCCGCGGTATACTTAGTCTTATACCCGAAATCTAGTCGATTCCATTACTGCATGCCGGTTCAGCATCGATCCGTGTGCCACGATACGCCATGTCTTGTTAACGATGTGCGGAGCAAGACGTAACCATACCTAGACCACGTCGTGACTGCCATCTTCCCTTTCAGTTGCAAACCTACAAATCAAAACTTCGAAACGTCCCGCTGCTCCATCCACCTCTCCGCCTCCTCCTTGTACTCTTCTCTCCACCGACTTAACGGCAGGCGCTCGTTCACAATATCACCTACGCTCCACAACATCCTCTTCTTATCCTTTTCCTCCGTGACATCGTTATCCGGACACATCACATAGAACTTCCCCTCCTCCATCTTCTTGTACAGATATTCCGCAACCTGTGACGGTGCCCAAGCACCAGCGGGCTTCTCCTTCGAGCTCCCAGGGTGTCCACCGCTCAGCCCGGTAAACGTCCAGCCAGGCACAAGCAGGTGCACAGATGTGTTGGTTCCTCTCATGTCGTAGCTGAGATGCTCTGCCAGTGTCTTCACAGCGGATTTGGAGGCGTTGTAGGCCGGGTTGCCCGGAGGATTCGTGATGCCTTGTTTGCTGCCTGTTATCACAATCGCGGAGGGCTTGTCTTGGGAACGAATGACTGGAATGAAGGTGTTAAGGCCGTTGATTACGCCGAAGAGGTTTACGGCCATGATCTGATAACAAATGGACAGGTTAGCGTGAAAACAGGAAAAAGAAGTGAGCAGGTGCAATATTTGCCTTCTGAAAGTATTCGCTATCGCCCCAGTCTCCATTGAGCCCAATGCCTGCGTTTAGCATCAGGAAGTCAACGCCTCCAAACTTCTGCTGTACCTTTGACTTCAGGTCGCTCCATTGGTCGAGTTGGGAAACATCAACCTGATACGTCTCGACATCGCTAGAGTTGAAAGATTCTTTCGCTTTTGCGAGGTAATCTGCGTTCTGATCCACCAGTGCAAGCTTCATGCCATGTTTACGGCAGAGCTGGGCAACTGCAAGACCGACGCCTGAAGCACCCCCGGTAATTAAAGCGATGTTATTCGCCGCAAAAATGGATGTTGGAGCCATTGGTGGTTCTAACTCGACGCATGTTGTGTGTTTGCTGCTTCAAGATCTAACTCCGGGTGACATCATAAGGCAGTTACCAATTACCCCGCGAAAGGGGTTAAGTCAAAGCACCGTCTCCACGCTGGTAGGCAACCCGTGAGGATAGTACGGTGGAACAACGTATCTCAGGTTCACACGGAGTTGTAAGCTTAAAGATCAGACAGAAGAGCATGTCAAAGCCACTCACGTGAGTGCAAACTCCGCGGACGACAACTAGGCAATCCGAGTAATTGTACAAAATCATGTGTTGTAATCTTGTATCAATGTTGCGTATGAAGGCGTTTCCCCCATGAGATGCTAGCCCGCACACCACGGCAAAACGCCATCCAACTCCCCACCAACGCCCTCGCTCCCACATATTATTCTCACAGCCAGCCGGTTCATAAACGATCTACCTCTCAGCATGACCACCGTAATATCCCGTATCATACTCGAACTGCTCAGCCGGCATCTCGTAGCCGCTTTGCTTCGGCGCTTTCGCAGGCCTCTGCGCGCTGAGCGGGTGCTCATCGTTTACATCCAGGAACTCTTGCGATCTCATACCTTCGAGATTCGGGGTTGGGCTTCGCTTGCTGTCCAAATCCTCCATAGCGTTATACATCCCCCTCTTCGTCGCCTGCCTAAACACATAGAGGTCCAGCAGCAGTGCTAGGAGCGTCGATACCCTGTATCACTTTTCATTAGCCCGTGTTCCACCTGGCCCATGTCCTCCTTTCCTCTCCTTGACCTCCATCTCCCCCATCCCCACAGCTTCTGCAATCTCCACAGTAGCCCGCACAGAAACAAAACTCTGACTCACACGCCTAACACCGCAAACCCAAACAGCGCCTTATAAACCCTGCACACCATAACACCCATATCGTCCTTCCAATTGTCTCTGTTACAGACGTGCGTAAGCGTGCTGCCGGAGTACCAGGCCAGCATAGCGAAGCTGATTGTCCATGCCATAAAGAGGCCGGCGTTGAGGATGAGGTCGAGCCGTGGGTTCAGGCTGCTGCAGATGTGCAGGACAAGGGTCGTTGTTAGAGTTATGAGGGTCAGGAGGGAGACTGAAAGGAGCTACAAGGAAGTATGTTAGCATCTGTTCCTATAGCAGTTGAGCGGCTATAGGGCTGCTGGTGGGGGCAAGGCTGAAGGGCTGAGGGACGCTCAGGGGATGGCGGGAGCACGTACAAAGAGGAATGTCCAAGGGGTTTGATAGTGGTCGCGCTTGAGGCTGGAGATGAAGTAGAGCATTATACAGCTCACGACGAGCGAGGAGAAGAGCTGTGCGCTACGCAGGAAGTGGAAGGGAATGAATGGGTAGTGGGTTGGGGCGCGCTTGATTCGTTCTGATGCCATGGTGGAGGCGAGAGATGTTGGGTAGGTAGAATGATACAACGCCGGAGAGCCAGAAAAACAAAGTAGATACTACGAAGACAAGAACGAAATGGTCTGGTTGTTCAGATGGCAACGACAGGTTCGAGAGTTGCGGCTGAAACCTCCCACGACGAGGCGCATGCGGATGGGATCCCCGCGTCGATCACCACGATGAAACATCTGCGCATTGCCCTATAGGGGTTTCACAATCCAATGAGACCATGGTTTGGAGTAGCTAGCGCTTACAGTCCTTTGGCTTACAAGGCCAGCGAGAGCCTCTATCCCAAAGTCGATGAGATGACGCTGCTCACTCAGCATCCGCTCCCCCGCGGGAAGGCCGATCAATTAGAAATCAGAATCATGGGATATAAAGCCAACTAGACCACTAGCTGAACCATTCAGTAGTATACAAGATAGACAGTTCCAGCAAGCAGCCAACTGCTCACAGTGATCACCACTCAAGATGGCCTTCTCAATGGCCCTCCCCTGGTCCCCAGGCGAAGAAACAATGCACCGCCTCCTCCGCGTGCCCGAGCAAGACAATCCCACCTCCTCGATGCTGACACCGCAAGCAGCTTTCATGCTCCAGCGCGCCCCGCTGCTTGCTATCGGCACGCTAGACGCTGAGCAGCGGCCCTGGACCACTATCTGGGGCGGCGACCCTGGCTTTTCCAGATCCCTAGGAGCGTCAATCATTGGCGTTAGGACTGCAGTGGATGGGCGGTACGATCCTGTTGTCGAGACGCTAGTTGGTGGGAATGGAGATGGGGAAGTTGTGAAGGAGACGGGGAGAGGGAGGATGGTGGGGGGGTTGGCTATTGACCTCACAACGAGGAAGAGGGTTAAGTTGTTTGGGAGGATGGTGGCGGGGGCATTGAGTAGAGTCGATGGGGAGGGTGATGGGGATGGAAAGGGAGGCCATGGGGAGATTCAGCTGGTTGTTAGGATCGAGCAGAGCTTAGGTCAGTTGTGCGGAGGCGATGTGTCATGTGAATGGAAGCTAATTGACGAAGGCAACTGTCCGAAATACTTGAACAAGAAAGAAATTCGCCCTGCAGAATCGTCATTAACGCCAGAACTCCTTGCTGATGGGCCGACGTTGTCCCCGGCAGCTATCGCCCTCCTAGCAAAAGCGGATTTGTTCTTCGTCTCCAGCTCCAACTCTGACTTCGACATGGACACCAACAACCGTGGAGGCCCGCCAGGGTTCGTCCGCGTTGTATCCAATGGGTCCGAAGCCGCTGAGCTCGTCTGGCCAGAGTACAGTGGCAATCGGCTCTATCAAACGCTCGGTAACCTCCAGATCACCCCAAAGGCGGGCCTCGTCTTCTCGGACTTTGAGACCGGCGATGTGCTGTACATGACTGGTACAACCAAGATCCTCGTCGGCAAAGAGGCGTCCGCCCTACTCCCACGCTCCAACCTGGCTGTAAAGCTTAAGATCACCGAAGCGCGCTTCGTCCGGCAGGGCCTACCGTTCCGCGGCACATTCGGCGAGCCATCGCCTTACAATCCTAACCTCCGGCTTCTAGTCAGCGAGGGCAACCTCAGAGCCAAAGCCTCGGACAGTCCATCGAACACCGCCAAGTTACTCAAACAGACTCCAATCACACCCACAATCTCCCGCTTCCGCTTCGCAATGACGAACCCAGTCCGCTACAAAGCCGGGCAGTGGGTAGCGCTAGACTTCTCAGAAGAGCTCGATCTCGGATACAGCCACATGCGCGACGACGACCCGAGGAGCCTAAACGATGACTTCGTGAGGACATTCACTGTTTCGTCGCCGCCTGCAGCGCCGGATGGTGTACCGCCGACGTCGGAAGATGGAATGCCGCCCGCTTACGACGGTATGCCGCATGACGAGTTCGAAATCACCATCCGGAAGGTCGGGCCTGTGACTGAGTTTCTGTTCCGGCAGAGTGACCGATCGGGGTTGGAGGTGCCTCTGAGGGATTTCGGCGGCGACTTTGCTATTGAGCAACCAGGAGAGGACGGAGAGGTTGGGTATGTGACTAGTGGAGTGGGCATTACGCCATTGCTTGCACAGATCCCGGCATTAGACTTGAGGCGGATGCAGCTTCTGTGGACGGTGCGGATGGAAGATCTCAAGCTTGTTGTAGACACGATCGAAAAGTATCCTAGGCTGGGGCCTTCGGCAAGGGTTTTTGTGACGGGTTCGAGAGCGGAGGATGAAAATGGCTGGCGGAGCATAGCCGAGTCCTTGAGGGGCGCCGGCGTGCGGCTGGAGCTACGGAGGCTCCTGAAAAGTGACCTGGATATACCGCAAGTGCAGACATGGTATGTTTGCGCCAGCAAAGCCCTGAGCTCAGTCATCTTTCGGTGGCTGGAAGACCGTCGAGTCGTGTATGAGAGTTTCGATTACTAGCCAGACGAAAACGACTACACAACGGCGAGGTTGTATCCTCTCTGATTGGCGCTGCTGGTAGTCTCTAGAGTAGCGTCGAACTATTGCAATCTCAACCGGTGCGTGCCCAAGCGGGAACAATGCCGCTCAGTCGTCGAAGAGGTTACTGATCCCGTCCAGAAAGATTTCTGCAGGGTCTACCACAAAGCCAACAGGTAAAAAATCTCTTATCCTGGTCCGAATGGCTTCTTCGTCTGGTTCGTGACCGAGACCGACTGCAAGCTCGTGACATTTCGATTCCTCTTTGCTGACGAGCCAACAGCAGCTGTCGAACCGATAACGCTCTGGTGGATCTTCCGGTAGGTCGTTACTGACAGCTTCCCACCAGGCCTGCCAGAACAGCGAGAACCGACCCGAGCACTCGCTTCTCAGGTCTTGATAGAGGCGCATGTAAGCCTCGAGTATGTCGTTAAGCTCCGCGTATTCGTCTAGGAGCTCTAGTCGCTCTTCTTCCGGCAGTCGATATCGCCTTGGTACACTGTAGGGGACTTCTACAGGATAAACCCTTTCCACTTTACAGCAGGTATGGACCATGCCCAGCCTCTCAAAAATTCTGACCCTGCAGGCGTCCAGATAAGCAGCCTCAACACAACCAAGTGTAGCGCTCTTGATGTAAAAATCCAGGTCGTGCGCCCTATGTCGAACGCAGCTCCGTCTCTTTATAACAATGCCCGCGGGCAAGCAACCGGCCACCGAGCAGTAGCAAGCACGGTCGTCAGGTATCCTAATCCCACACATTCTGCCCATTGTCGTGCGAATTCTCCGGAGGGCTTCTTGATGTTCGTTGCCGTAATATGGTAATCCCGCGTTGTTCAATCCAATAGCGGAAAGGTATGGCAAACTGAGGAAACCGGCTTTTTCAATCGCTCGTGTATCTGCTCCCTTGTCCAGATACCACTCAACTAAGTCCCAATCTCTCCGCCAGCAGGCCAAGACGAGAGGAGTGCACCCGGCCGCGTCTTCAACGTCGATGTCGCAAAAGTCGGCAGCGTAAAGCTTTTGAACTACCTCGAGTGTTAAATATTCAAGGTGAAAGACTGTCTTCTGGGCTCCGGGCCATATCTTTGCGGGAATGCTGACACCGCGCTTCTCCAATGCATCGGCTACAGATTTCGCATTTTCGTCCAGAAGACTAGAAGGTTCCTCCGAAGCATCCAGACCGAGAGCTTCTTGCTCTTCCAAGGAGAGTAGGCTCGATGCGAGCGCCAACAATTGCCGTCGATCCTGTGCTAGTCTCACAACAATAGTGTCGGACACATTTGCAGACCACCTCCTGATCCGCGTTCCTTCTAGCATAATACCACGTTCATCAGGACCGGACCAAGAAATTGGGAAAATCGGATAACCATGAGCAAGTAGCAATACCAGAGCGGACTCGTCGGCATATTCCAGGACATAACTCGCATCGAGGACCGAGAGATCCGCACCAGCTTCCAACAATATATGCAGACCAGTGGGCCAATCAAGAGCGAAGTACAAAGGGCATAACAGAGGAGCGCTGGCATGGTGGACAAGGAAACCAGCGTCTATGTCATGGCCACTTGCGATAGTCTGACGGAGTTCGGTCTCGGAACGTTTGGCAGCCGCCAGGCACACTTCACTGAGCATAACCTCTGTCCGTGTCAGTGTTGCCTTGCATTGGTAGCGACCTGTGACCAATTGCAACGTTGATAGAGGTAAATAGACTCACCATCGACTAGGCTGGGATCCGTAATACACGCGTCGACAAGCACCGCGCGGGTATTCCTTTTTGTATATGTTACCAGATCGCATCCGTAGGCGGTCAAATGTTTGGCTAAAGCTGAATTTCGCTTAGCAGCTCTCTCACGGTCTTCTCTGATAAGAGACCAGTCTTGAGGGCTGAACATTAGTGAGAGTGCTGATCCTTGCAGCCACCCTAGCTGTGAATCTGTCATGCTATAGCCACTGCAAGATCTGTGTTAGACTCGGAGAAATCTGAGGTTGTGTTGATAGATACCTCTCAATGGTAGCATTGAAATCGATTCCACAATCTCCCAAAAACGTAATGATCTTACGGTTCGCATCGATAAAATGATCCGAAGAATCAGGAATAGACGTGGAGAGCCGCATGAGGGCCTGTTGAAGGTCAAAAGAAATGAAATCGGAGACTTAGTGTGCTTTGAACGGGTAAAAACTAACGTGGAGTATGGTAGCGCCTTCTTGAGTTTGGTCACGTGCCGAGGCCTGCCCAGAGCTGAACAATCGATGTAAGTCATCGTGCAGCTTTCGGTAGATTTCGGTAGATTTCCCTGAGTTGAAGTATTGTGCTACTCTCGGAAGCCTGCTCGTAGGCGCAGTGCAGACTCGTGGGGTAGAGCCTTCTACAAAATCGAAGCACGTCGCTGCTATACAATCGAAGCACGTCGCTGCAAGCAGCCTCGATAGCGGCGAAAGCTGGTGATCTTGCACTGTCAACAACTCGTACGGCGCTCAAAACCGGCGCTATGGCAAAACCACCAGCGCCCAAATCCATCTTGAAAGCGACCCTGATACTTCTTGCTAAAACCGCCGAGACAGTAGTTCGAAAACCGAAAGTCCGTGGTGTTCCCGCTTGCCGACGCCAAGGACAATCAGGTTGATGTTGGTCACGTCTTTCATAGTATGCCGTCATCGACTGCCAACTCGTGGACGCACCGGAGCGAACGGGTCGGCAGGAGCAGAGAGGCGATCGTGGAAGCGGCCGTTTCCCTTGTAGATTCCAACCCATGAATTGGCTCGCATGAAAAGGCCGGATACTGGTGGCAAGGTCGTCGACAAGGCTGGGTTTCGTAACAACCCGCTGAGACATGCAGTCGACCTGATGTTTCGCCGGGTTAAGATTGGAGCAGCTCAGCGGACACGATATGTGGACTCACGATGCGACCACACTCTTCCCGTACCGCCTGAACGATGTCATCTCGATTCGACTGGTGGTATCGCGCGAGAGCCTGGATGCTAGACTCGGCCCTATAGACCGACCCTTGAATTGCCGTCAACTGTCGAAATTGTTGTTAGATGTCCAAACCCTGAAATACTGTCAAGGCAGAGTTTACTTTGTTCTGAGCTGTGACATCAGCATGCTCTGCACTCGATCTGAAGGCTGAGAGCTCTCCAGACATAGCGCCGATATTTTGGTTGATGGACCGGATTCCACCTTCGAACCCTCTGCCTGTAAGACTGGAACATGTTAGCGGCCTGGAATGGTGCATCGGAATATGTTTCCGGGAATCTTTGCTAGGTACGGGGTATGAATCATGCTCCAGCTATATCAAGGCAGTGAAAAACTGTTGACCTGCGGCTGACAGCCAGGGCTGTAATGCTACCACCGTAGTCACGTTGTACTCTAAGCTAGGTCGGAGCAATCGATCTCATCATGAGAAAAGGTACTCACATATGATCCTCAATCAGTACCAATCTCGCATAGTTACATCGTTCTTGCCATAGTTGAATGGTCGACTTCACTTCTTCGAGGCCTCTACATTGCTCGATGATCTCTTCCTCCTTCTTCTGGCTAATGATGATTCGCCATGCCTTTCGGAGTGCACTCTCCTGCACAGGAGGAAGAAGGGACTTCAGAAGGACCTCCAGTTCTATTGCTTGAGTTACTGCGTCCCTTAGAAGCGCTTTGGCTTCACTGATCTGACTCTGAGTAAGAACTCCGGCGAGCGTGGTGGCGAGGCCGTTACTTGGAGCTGTAATGTCGGTCTCAAGCGTGCGAAGCACTACCAGGACATGCTCTAGCTGTTGGATCTCCGCTTTGACTTTGGCCGGCACACGCTTCAAGCCTGAACAGAGTGAAGAGAAAGCAATGAGGACGCGGCCACCGACGTCGAGGAATTGCACGGCGGCAGCGGTAAGGGCGATGATTTCGGCCATAGTGTGAATTGTTCTTCTATGGCACTCTGCAGATAGCGCAGCACCTGACGTTCGTAGGACAGTTCCAGGTGCTATTGACAGTGAAAGAGGTCTTGAAGAACAGCTTGGAATCTCTTTCAGTGAAGAAAGGCTGGTAAAGACTCAAAGAGAAAGCTAGGGAAAATGGAGCACAACCTCGAGAAAGGCTGAGCCTCAAAGGACATGGCAGCGTTCTGCCTCGTCTCAGCCTTGCGGCAGGGGCGGTGCATGCAGCTGCAGCAGGCCGCCGGCTCCTGGTCATCTTACATACATCCTCGGCGAAAGCAGTTCGTATCCAATGGAGTGAACGTGACCCCCAAGCTTATTGACGCGTACTTATCCAGCGGGCGAGCCGTCCAGATCTGTCCGGGCAACGCGCCTCGCGCGCGTGCAGACCTGACGTTCCGTTGGGCAGTGTGCGGTAACACAGCAAACGTGATGTTGTAGGTACATGGCGCTAGTTCACAAAGGCGAGCCTTCGAATCTGAGGCGCGGCGGACGAGACGGGCCGGTCCCTTCGCGGTCAGCGAACGTCATCCATCGTGACCTGCCCTCTTGGGTATCATCGTCGGTCGGGAAGAGAGCCGCAGCACGAGCACTGGGTACCTTGTTCACGACGAGACGTTTGCCCGCCCGACGTAACATCTCGTCTAGGGACTGTTATATGAGGGAGACTCTCGTCAGCCGATCTCTCTACCGGTCAACCTCTGGTGCGTACGATTGAATATCGACCAAGGAGGAAAGGCCCCTCCCAGTGGAAGATCTCTCCACAACAAGATGTCTACAGTCAGCCTCAGAATCAACCATGTTTCCCTGCTCATCTGGACAGAATCATTTCATCGATCTGGATTGCATAGTGCTTCTGTACACTCTCCACACCAAACGTTCTTGGCAGCGGCTGACAAGATAATCTTCGGGATTAGAGCAATTTTCATGTTACATTGCTTTTGTCTAACAAACTCCTAATCGTGCATGATCTTGAGTAACGTTATCCACTCCTTCCCAACCAAAGGCAAGACCGCGATACCCATCCATGCCAGTTTTCGCTAAGAGGACTCCTGAGTTGCAAACCCTGCCCAGCATCACATGATGATCTCGTTGCAAACATCCTGTTTCGCAGTCAGTGTGGAACTCCAATCACTTAAAATCATCAAAACGTACCCTCTTCAACTCCTTATACGGCAAACACACACAATTCTGCACCCTCACCTCATCCGCAACCGCACACTCCTTGCTCAGAATCGTGATACTCTGCACCTTGACCCCGTTCTTAACAATACTCGTGTTATGGCTCGTCACCGGCGTCGGCGTGCCCTCCACCCGCGCCCACGCGCCAACCCTGCTGTTCCAGCCCACAATGGAGTACAGCACGCACGCATCGTGCTTGATTTCCGCGCCGTCGAGGACGATGGCCTCCTTGATGCGGACGCCAGCGCCAACGTGCGCGTTCGGGCCAACCGAGACATTAGGTCCGAGTTTGGCTGTCGGATCGACCTTAGCGGTCGGGTGGATAAACACGGGCGGGATGATGTTTGCAGATGGTGCAGCCAGCTCCTCTGACTGCGACTGAAACGCTTTCATGAGGTAGAGCGCGTTCGCCGGCACAGCGGAGCCAGCCGTCTTGATCTGGCGCCAGAAGTCCTTGGTCTCGAGGACGAAGAACTGGCGGCTGTCGGCGAGGTCGGAGAGGATGTCCTGCTCGAGGCGGATGACTTCGGTCTTCTCGCCGTCTTCGTCTTCCTGCGCTTCCATGTACGAGGACTCGAGGTTCTCGGAGGAGGGGTACGAGAAGAGGCGGGGCCGCTCGGTGCGTCGCTTCATGGCGGACTTGATTGAGGGGAAGATACATTCGGTCGAGAAGAGATAGACGCCGCAGTTGATGAGGTTGGAGATGTGGGATTCGGGCTTCTCGACGTAGTGCAGTACGCGCTTGGTGTGCGCGTCTGAGACGATGCAACCGAAGTTCGTCGCGGCCTCGTTGCTCACTCTTGTGCCCAATATCACTGCCTCCGCGTGCTTCTCCTCGAATAGCTTGAGCATCTCGTTGAGGGGGAAGGAGCAGCATACGTCGGCGTTAAGAACGAAGAAGCGGTCGAGTCGGCCTTTGAGGATGGCATCGCGGAAGTGGTAGAGGCCGCCTGCTGTGCCCAGCGCCTGATATTCTCGAAGGTAACGAATTGTGATGTCGGGGTAGGCCTTTGCGCAGTCTCTTATGAAGTCGCGGAAGACGGACTCGTCGTAGTAGCCCACGATGAAGACTTCCTTGATCTCGGGGACTTTGGTGATTGCGCGGAAGCAGTGTTCGATGATTGGGTGGCCTGCTACATCGAAGAGCGGCTGCGTTATGCTGTCAGCAAGGTGGGCTTGTTCTTGAAAGACTAGCGATGGCTGACCTTCGGTACGTCCAGGGAAAGAGGCCTGAACCGTGTCCCTCGAGAAGGGCCGCCAACCTGCCATTGTCAGTCTCGGTCCATCGAGCTACGGTTTGTGTAAAGCATGTGAAGTACCAGGATGACAGCTTTCGTGGTCTGGGATTGACCACCCTTGTTTCTGAAGGGAACTTGTAGACTCATGGTGTGATGTCAACTGGCGTGATTTATGTGGTTGTAGAGCGGTATCGTGAGTTGTGAGGTACTCGAGAATTGCTGCAAAGGGCTCAAGGAGCGTTCAAAGCGAACAGCTTGTCACAACATTTCGACAACATGCCACCAAGGCGGTGAGGGACCCCGGACGAGGCCATGCGGAGGAAAGGGCACCGAGCTCCTTAACACCTCCGACCTCAACATCAAGGTCACTTGTTCTCTACACTGTATCTGACTGTTACGATCATCGTCAGTCTCGCTATGGCGGAAGAGCGGCGCTCCCAAGACTCCCCAGTGCTTCCAGGAATGGTGTCCAAGGCTATCCCCCATGCATTACAGGAAGGTAACGGTCCTCACAATACCGCTTGCTGTGCATGGATGTGTTAACATACGCTCGCTGCTAAATTTGCTGACTTTGTTCGATATGATTTCTTACGGTCTTGCTCAGTGTTCTCCGCTTCGGAAGTACGCAGAAGAATTTCCTGCACCGTTTGGTGGGAGCCGAAGGCGATAGAGCATATTGAGATTCATCGCAAGCAAATAGTACAACATGAAGAGGCTCCCTACCGTTAGTGATTTTCGGAAACAAGGACTCGCGATTACAAGTGGAAACATCTTCGACAGAACGAGACATGGTGCTGCTGAAATTGGCTGTGATGGTAGGCGTAATATCACAGCATTCTGTAGCCGCTCGTCTGTCCCCTTCATGCACAACTTCTTTCACGCGGTGGGCTATCCGTTACACGACAGGGAGAAAAAGGCTTACAGCTCGGGGTATCCACTGAGCGTTGCCATCTTGCAACAGCCTCCATGTTCCTCCCTCACGCAATCACTTAGACGTGAGGTTAGTGCGCTGTAGACCTCTGTGGTCTGTATGTGTCTTGAACTTCTACCCCTTCGTCTCAGTTTAGGCAGGGTCTTTCCGTTCATTCGGCTGCCAGGCGTCGTTAAGAGATACAGACGACTACGGAAGGCTGCAAATACTCACTAGTATCCTACTTCAGAAGCTACACAACCCTTCACCATGTCGTGGAGAACTTCACTTCACTCTCCATCGCAGGAAATCTCCCAATTAAATGGGTGCTTTGGCCCATCATTCACTCGCTTCAGCCGTGGGGTACATAAGGTGACTGTGTCGCTCACCTCTCAACCACCTTCTTTCAACAAATCTCCTTCAAGGCTCCAAACTTCGTGTCCTGCTTTGATGCTTCCGCGTTGACCCCCTTCGCCACTCTTCGCCGTCTTGTCGCATCGCTTTCTTCTTCACATGCGCGCTTGTCTGCCTTCAGTCCGTGAACAGTTTTGTCGTCGAACTTGGTAGATCTAACTAAGGCTTTCTGCTACTTCAACCAACTCAATTGCCAGACGCCTTACGAATGGTTCGCTGCCACATCAAAGACGAATCAGAGGCCCAGCAAGACTCCGCCACCATGTCGCCGGCGTCCCGATCGTCGTCCGTTCACCACCTGATGCAATCACAAAGCTCAGGCACGACCATCCCAGACGTGGACATAGACATGGTCGACATCGCGCGCCAATCTGACCAGCGTCGCGCCAGCACCTGTACGTCACCGCCCTCTGACCGTTTCATCTCATCGTGCTTAGTAGGTTGACTGGAAGCGCAGCAAACTTTTCCCGGGACATGAACGTCCGCATGCGCGACACTCCGGCGGCGTCTTACATGAATTCTCAAAACGCCGGGGACGGCATTGAGATCCTAGGGAGTGGTGTGAAGGCACTGGTGCAAGCCATTGATAACCTAGTGGACCTTGGCATTCCTAGCCAAGACCTCCCGCTGCCACAAATTGTGGTGGTCGGAGACCAGTCTGCGGGCAAGAGCTCGGTAGGTTGACACTCCAATGCTGAGTACAACGCTAATACTCATCACAGCTCATCGAAGCGATCAGGTGCGTTGGACATCTGCTTCAACATAGTGTTTGGTCTAACAAGAGTTGCCAGCGAGATCAATGTCCCAAGGAGCAGTGGAACATGCACACGGGTATGATCTAAATACCTGTTTCCTGCGCACGCACTTGACTCACGTTCCTCTCAGTGCCCACTCCAGATCAGGATCAAGTCCAGCGATGATCCCGAAGCCACATGGATGTGCAAAGTCTCCTTGCATAAGCAGTACGACTTTTACGGAGACGTGCCATTTGAATCTTCTGCCGGGAAGGTACCCATGTATCCCTGGGTCAAGAAGGACTTCGCCACTGTCATCGACTTCAAGACTGTGCTTGACAAGCAGGAACTCGGGCCTGTCCTGGAGCAAGCTCAACTTGCTACACTCAATCCAGGTCAGATCCACACCCAGTATGTCAATGCGAGAGCCGATCATCACGCGCGCCGGCAAGTCGAGTTCTCGCCGAATGTCATTGTGCTCGAGGTGAGTAACGTTTCCGAAGAAGCACAACTGAGGTTTATGATCTGACTAATCCAGATCTCCGCACCGGGCCTCCCGAACCTGTCATTCATCGATCTTCCGGGTATTATCAACCAGACTGAGGACGTAAGTAAAGAGCGTTGCTTCCATACTAAGTCTCAGCTGATCGAGTGGCTAGGGCTCAATGCCATACTTGGTGAAACTGGTCAAGAACCTTTTCAAGGAATATGTTAGGCCTCAAGAGTCATTGGTGTTGTTGTCCTGTTCCATGGAGTCAGACATGGCCAACTCCAGCGCAGGAAAGTTGGTTCGTGGGATGGGCGCCGAGCACCGTTGCATAGGTATGTCATTGTTTAAGACTGCTTCCATACACAATGTGTCCGCCTGGTCAAGTCGTCGATGTTCACTTGCTGAAGATGCTATCAACAGGGGTGCTGACCAAGCCTGATCGAATGCCGCAAGGAGACTCTCTGGCGCTGTGGAGTGCGGTCTTGAGTGGTGACAAGTTTGGCGTGGGCCATGGTTATTACGTTACCAAGCAGCCCTCCCAGCTGGAGCTGAACCGCGCCATCAACCACTCCGAGGCGCGTGCTTCTGAGCGTTCCTTCTTTCAAACTCACGAGCCATGGGCAACGTCTTTTTCGGGGTTCCAAGATCGCTTTGGAACGCCCAAGCTTCAACAAGCATTGTCGAAAAAACTCACAGAGCAGATACGTGCCAGGTTAGTATCGACATCCGTCCGTTCTGGTGGCGATGGTCCGCTGATGCAATGTTACAGTCTGCCCGATATTCGGACCCAGGTTCAGAAGAAGATCGCGGAGATAGACAATGAGCTGAGGAACCTGCCAGAGCCGCCAACGATCAACGCCCAGTCCATCGTCATCAGCAAGCTTTCAAACTTCTCGAGCATCATGCAAAAGCTGGTCGAGGGTGCACAGCCATACCACGAGCTGCGACAGAGTTGGAGGCACCACTGCCAAATCTTCAGGGATGCCATCATCAGCCTCAGGCCCACCTTGATTCGCAAGACGGACGCGGAGACAGCCGCTGCTGCTCGCGCTCCGAGACCTCAACTGAAGTTCACGGGCACACCCACGAAACGTGAACATGGCGATGCCGTAATGATTGAGTCGGACTCAGATCGGGAGATGTCGGTGGCGCCAGAACCAACTCCATCAAAGCGGCCTCGGATGATGGTCAATGCTGAGCCTGCAGCTCCAAGAACCCCTCAGAAGCGCCGCCTCGTGAAAGCCAATGGTGAGTCTGAATGGATACAACCGTTGAATGTCCACTGATCGGTGTCTAGATCTAGCTACGCGCTTCAAACTTGAGGACATCCGCAAGATTCTGGACGACTTCTCCGCGTCAGACATCGGAGACGTAGACCCGAAAGCAGTCGATTACCTCATTCTGAAGACCTTGGAGCATTGGGACGCCCCAGTGAGAACCTTCCTTGACGACACCGAGAAGGTTCTTCGAGTTCACGTCCGCAAAGCACTGGACGAAGTCTTGCGCCAGTGGAAGACAACGGACCTCTACAAAGAATCATACCGCATCATCGATACATTCCTGACGACGCACATGCAAAGCCAACATGATGTGGCAGAGCGCGCTCTCGGTCTCGAGCGCTTCAAGCCCATCACCCTCAACATCGAGACACTGGAGCGCAACCGCGTTGAAGAGCTGGAGGTCTTCCAGGCCGCCCGTTACGAAGCCCGCGCAAATGCATGGATTGACGAGCAAGACGCTCGGACCGGCAAAGGCACGTCGCTACAAGACCGCCATCGCAAGATCGCTACCGACCAGGTGCGCAAAGAGGTCGGCGCCGACCCGTATCAGCGGGAGGTCGAGGTCATGGCGAAGGTCCGCGGATATTACAATGTTGCGTCCAATAGCTTCGTAGACCACATCTGCAAGTCCCTGCAGGTCGAGCTTTTCGATAGCTTCCGCACTGATATTCACGGTGGGCTCGTGGAGGGGCTGAGTGTTGTCGATGATGCGGACGCGCATGCGAACTGCGTTCGTCTGCTTGCGGAAGATCCCGCGCGCGAGCTTCATCGCCAAACACTGAAGAAGGAGAAAGAGAAGTTGATGGATGCGCAGAAGGTCATTGAATTCCTTGGACTTGAAGTATCGCCAGGTTGACGGCGTGAACGGCCTGTCGAATGGTATGGTATGAGACAATAGATCTGCTTGTTGGTGGGGTCACTTATTCAATACGTCGCGCTTGGGTGGACCCTTTGAACGTTGCATCTCGTATTGAACGTTCGTCGCTGATGGAGGTTGATGCATGCTGTTGGATGGATACTGGATATGCGCTATGCGGCGTACCTGAGCTCGTTGCTTGGACTTTTGAGAGCGGAAGTTGTCAGACATACTTAGCGTTCGCATATCTGCAGCCCGGTGCTCTAGTGTGAACGTTAATGCCATGCCTCTGCTCTCGTATATGCCCTCTTAAGAACGGTTCAGGGAATGTGAGATCACAGCCCGCAGATACCTTCCGAATGAGCCAGATACCATCTCCAAGCTCAGGAAGACCAGCGGATGATTCCCCCCCCCTCGCCTCCCCGACTTCCAAAAATCACAACAGACTAATCACGCACCGCGGACAGCATGAAGAACAAGTCCTCCGCGTCCCTCTCCTCCCAGCTCCCCACCCGGCCACGTGCAAAACACCAAAAACTAATTTTCCGAGCAACCCCTAATATCTTCAACCCGCGCCGGCTACAGGCGGCGGAGGTGTATCAACAGAATTAGTTTTTTTCTCAAGCCAACACCACAAAAACTCGTCTCCGAGAAACCCCCAACATCTTCAGCACAACCTCGTTATTGAACGCGGTCACACATACGACAAAGTGGATTTTTTTTGAACCCCAAACCACAGCCCACAAAAAACTCAATTGCTGAGAAACCCTCAATGTCCTCAACCTGCCCCCGTCTGTAGACGTGGACAGGTGTATTGACGAAGTGGGTTTTTTATGTTTTTTTTTGGGGTTTCCTAAGTGTCTTCCATGTGGCTGCCGTCGCCCTTTTTGCGAAACGACACCATTGTGATTCGAACTGGCGACTGTAGGGAGGAAGGGGGGAAGGGGTTGCGACCTGCACCAGATTAGCTGGGAGGGATAGGTGATTTGGATGATTGATATGCTGTCTGGTTCCTGGCAGCTGATGCTGGCGTGGGAAATGAGATGGGTTGATTGCTACGGGCTGGCGGTATGGTAATGTTGACGTCAGGGGTCACGGTGGAGAGGCGCGGACACAGGACGCGGTAACACTCTACGTCGACTTGCGAGGTTCAGACGGCACTCTGACGGACTCGAGGGTCACAGGGAAGGAAATATCTCGAAGAAGGTCACGAGTTGTGAAACAAGTTGATAGAATGACTTTTTGCTGCCGGGAAGAGGAGCTGTATCTCGAATGATCGTACATTGATCGTACTTAATGCCCAGACGTTTCAACGAGAGTGTATATACATACATACGCCGTTGTCAACTCCACAGACTCCGGCGAAGTGGATCGTTTCGTTCATGTCGTCAGTAATGACAGACGCTTCCCAGTTCCAGCAGAGAGACCACGTTTTTCGATACCTTTGCACCATTCCCTGAAGCATATCCAACTCCAGCCATGTCATAAATTCCACCGCGACCAACCAATCCCAAGGCCGTTCCGTGCTCCAACGCGGCTGCGCCTAAACTTAACCTTGCGTACCATGATGATCCTAGCGCCGGTCGTGATTGAGCTCGGAGGTGCCGCTGCAATGAATTCTCATGATTCGGAGCACCTCGTAGCTCTCGTGTGCAGAATCGTATCAGTAGCTTGCCGGTAAGCTTCAGATGATGGTTGGCTGTAGTCCTTAAGCATGCTGCTGCGGCGGCAGCCTACGAAGGGCAGCATCGACGTCCTTCTGGTCGATGACAACGCCACTTTCCGAGCAGCGAGCCTTAGAGCGGAGCTCGGAGCAGAGGTTGTCGATGTCGATGGAGCCGTCCTTGAAGTCCGGCCGTTTTGATAGTTTGTCCCTGAACCTTAGGTTAGCTGGGTGATTGTTGTGGGTCTGGTGATCGTACCAAATGCTGTGGCAAGACAGCAACTGCGAGGAATCATTCGCAGGCACCACGTCTTCATCGATGCCATCCTGAAGCTTTTCCATCTCTTCAATCGGGTTCGGCTTAAGCGGCGCTGGTGTCGGGAAGGTGAGCGGGCTGCCGAAATCCGCGTAGTTGAAGGTGTCGTCGAATAAGCCGCCTGTGAAGTCACCGTCTCCAACAATAGCCGCCTGGCTCTCGCGGTAGTCGCCAAAGAGCATAGGATCAAAGAGACCTCCGTTCTGGTTGGCGAACCAGTCGATACCGTTGACGTCAGCAGCTGGCGTCTTGACAGCGTTGCTGGCCGGCGTAGTGGTGTTGGTGTTTCCAGCTGCGGGAGCTGTTCCGGCGTTAGAGAGCGAGATCGCGCGAGGGATAGGATTGTCCCGAGTGCCGCAAGCCATGTTCAGCTGCTCGCAGAACTCCTTCTCACCTTCGGTCTTGGACTTGTCGCACCCGCAATCTTCCGCGCTGGTGACTGCACGGTCGGCGCTTGACTTCCTTAGGGACGCGTGACTTGGCTCTGGTGACGTACCGGTGGATTGGTTTTGCCCGTATTGCGAGACGGAAGATGCGGATGGCGACTCGGTGTTGGAAGCCGTTGAGCCGCCGTTGAACTGAAAGACACGGGAGCTGTCTGTGCTGCCACGGTTTCGCGGTACGTTCGCCGTTGCATTTGGGAAGCCGTACTCAATCGACTTGGTACCAAAGCCGTTCAGCAGTGAAGGACTAAAGAGACCATCAAGGCCGTCCGCGCTATTCATAGGCTCATCGATAAGGCCGAACGGCAGGATGTTCGTGCTGGGAGAGTTGTGAGATGAGCCATTCCTCTGAGGAGAACTAAACGAGGAGCTTGTCTTATTAGGAGAGCTCAATGATGACCCGTTGGGCTGGGTTCTCGGACTCATGCTTCGTCCATTCGAGTTGTTCCTGGGAAGAACGCTAGGAACAGCAGTTGGAGCCGACGACCGCTTTGACAGTGGCGGAGCATTGGTGTTTGCCATCGAATCGCTGCCGAACATATGTGTAGCGGGAAGACCACCGAACCGAGGAAACTCGAACTGGAAGCTGTTGGAGAGATTATTGTTGCCAGCTGCTATCTGAGACGAGAAGCTCCCGGCCAGCGGCGGTGAGCGTCCAAGATTCGAGGCGTTCAAGGAAAGCCGTTTCCTGTATTCGCGCAATTCCATTTGTAAACGTTCCACTTGCGCTCGTAGTACGCCGTTCTCTTGGTTGGCTTCACTTGATATTTTCTCAAGCTCCTGAACCTTCGTTTCCAGATCTTTCAGATGCTTCTCCTTCCGCTCGCGGAAGGCCCTTTGAGCCGCGCGGTTTTGCGCTTTCCGTTTCTATTACATGGGTGAGCATTGGGCTAGATTGGCGCACATATGACAAGCTTACTGTGGTTGGCTCGGAAGTCAGCGGTTTTCTGCCAGGCTTTTTGGCTTGCTTATCGTCCGGCTCTCTTCGCTTGCTCTCATTCTCATCATCGTCATCCTCATCGTCGGGGCTCTTCCGCTTCTCGTGGATCTCGCCGTCGTTGTCAACTTCTGGACCCGGACCTGCACCCGGGAGACTTCCGATCATCAAGTCGCCCGGGTCATTGTAAAAACCGAAGCTGCCATCGGCATCGAGGAAGTCTATGGACGGACTGTCGTCCATGTTGAACGTATCAAAGTCGGTCGCTGGTGTGACTTGTTGGGGTGAGGTAAAGTATGGCCGCGCTTGGGTGTTGCTTGCGGAATGCTTGACAGGCCGGCCGCTGTTGGAATAGGAGGCGGTGTTGCCGTTCGGGTTGTTTGATGACAGGGCTGCTAAGAGCAGGTCCTCCTGGTTGCGCGAAAGGTCGTGCAGGAAGGGCTGGTTGTATGGATTGTTATTGGCCGACGTACTCGCCATTCTGATCACCGGCTCGAGTCTGGCTATCTTGAGACGGAGGTGGATGATGAGGGGCTGAACACAATTGCGCGTCCGCGACTGCTTGCGACGTGTCGTGGGCCTGATACCGATGCTCTTGCGACGTCGATGCGAAGGGAGGCTGGACAACTCGTCAACCACAGTTCTACTAGCAAGGAGTCACGATTGACAGCGATGGCAGGCACAAAACGCGGACTCTGAGAACGACGTGAAGCCTGGGGAATCAATCCTGTGCATGCGCGGCAGCGCTGCCTGAGGCGGGAGAGAAGCGGCACTCAAGCGACGGTGGGGTAAACGGAGAAAGTCCACAACGATGACCTCAGCATGAGAATGTCTACCATACCTCAACAACCGTCAACGATACTCTGGGCCTCTGCTCGACGCTACACCGGCGACAGGTGTTCTTTAAGAAATTGCAGAGGAGATCTTGTTCACGAGCAGTCGAAGGGACGGAGAGTTCGTATGGACTAGCGGTGGAATAAGCCGCCGGTCAGGTGTTTCGATGCGCGGCGAGAGATAGCTGAGTAAAGGGCGCATCCAGAGCAGCGATGCCTGCTGTCGCGATGAGCGGGTTGCTATTGGCTGCTCGCGAAGCTAAGTTAGCTGAGGAGGATTTGGAACGTTGCTCGATTGCAAGAGGGATGACTGTGCGGAGGCTTCGGAATGGCTGTGGGGGATGGCGGCATGCAGTGATTCCTAAGCATATCGTAAAAGCGGCGTCCGTGCCTCAGAGGGGCAGTGGAGCGCTCGCTGCAGGTGAGACGGTTGACGGTTGACGGCCACACCGAAGCTCCAAGCAATCTAGCGAATCGGAGGGTGGCTGCTGCGGCTTCGACTGGCCTTCAAAACAGGCACCAGCCGGCCTTTCAAGGGACTCAAATCGGCCTTGGAAGGTCGTTGCAGGTGAAATGGAGCAACATCGTCACGTGACTTGGACGCGACTTTCAGCAACCGAAGAGGCGGCAAGCGCAACCACAACCTCACACGGCTTCACTTCGTCACCTTACTCTACACCACTGCCTTCAGCTCAACCCCGTGTCGCGCACCCAGTTAAGTAGACGCCAAATACTGCGCCGATAACGTCTGTGCCGCATAAGCTCCTCACAACGCGTTAACGCGCTGAACATCATGAGTAGCGAATTGGCAAGCTTGGAGGCGGAAGAGAAGGAGTTCAGTCGCCAGGTCAGCAGTCGCAGTCGTAGTGTTGCAGAAGCAAGCTAACGGACCGCCATCCGTAGCTCGAAGAAGTGGAGTTGGGACTCCAGGCAGATCCAGAGAGCGCCGATCTGCGAAATCTCAAGGCCGAACTCGAGCAGCTGTTGACCTTGCAGCGGGATACAATTGCAGAGCTGAGAGCGGCAGAGACAGAGAGACCGGGACCGAGGACGCAGAGACCTTCGACGCCGCCAGCCAAGGAGAAATGGTCCAAGGAGAACCATCCGGCTTACCAGGCCGGTTACCGCAAACCGACGGCCGCTCCACAGAGCCCGGTTGAGGAAGCGCAGGCGCCGACGAAGTACAAACCGAACGACATGGTGATGGCGAAGTGGAAGACCGGTGACAAAGGCTTCTACCCCGCCCGCATCACCTCAGTCACCGGCTCGGCGGCAGATCCAGTATACTACGTCACCTTCAAGGGCTACAACGACGTTGAGACGCTCAAGGGCTCGGAGATCAAGCCGATGTTGAACGAATCGAAGAAGCGCAAGGCTGACGGGACTGCAGTCGCGACAGCGCCGGCCGCCACAAGCGGAAACTCTAGCGTCATCTCTGCCGCCGCAAGTATCGACCCTGCGCTTGCAAGCCAAGCACGTAAGGAACCAAGCAAAGTCAGCGATGGACCGCCGAAACCTGCCAAGGTCCCGCGCAAAGTGAAGGCAAACAAGGAGTTAGAGGCCGGTAAGAGCAAATGGAACGATTTCCAAACAAAGGGCAAGCTGGGGAAAATGGCGAAGAAGGACAGCATGTTTCGGACGCCGGAAGGTGTTAATGCCAGAGGTGCGTTGCTACACGTCGTGCTCTCCCTATTTTACTTCGCTAACATGATTGCAGTGGGCTTCACAGGTTCTGGCCAAGCAATGCGAAAAGACCCTACTCGGAGTAGACACATCTACCAGGTCGACGACAATGAAGGCTATTGAGACAGAGACGAGAGACTCGGGACCAGGCCCTCGGACACCGACTCCGGACAGAGACTTTGACAGAGACTTCGACAGAGACCTTCGACAGAGCTTTCGGACTGTGATATTGGACAGAAGCCTCAGACGGGGACTTCGAGTGGAGACTTCTGATTGATGGAATTCCAACACAGGTTTGCGATGAGCGACGCATTTCAAACCGTGTCGCTCTTCTTTCTATCTGATTTCTCGGCGTGGGTGGATCTGGCGCTAATGGTTGGGCTTACGACATAGGCATCCCGTCACTATGGATCACGTGTCATGCTGGGTTGGGAGCGCGAACTCTTCGAGCGTGCAACGAGCTTTCTGTTTTCCTTTTCACCGTTCTCTGCGCTGCTTCGTCAAGGATACGCGATGCTAATCCATGGCCTAGGCGTACCACTAGTTAGCATGGAAGTCAGATAGGAATCCAAGCCACTACCGCTCTCAAACGTGGAGATTCTTGCGCTTCAACACGCCGCTTGGAGATCGCTTCGATCCGTTGCCCAAATTGTCACCTATGTCCTTCGAAAGCCTCGGATTCTGCGTGGCGCTATTCGCACCCATTCGTATCTCATGCACTAACCCATTACAGTCCTCCAACGGGATTGTGGCCATGTTGTGTATCTCAAGTATCAAGCCAGCCTTCCACACCACAAACACAGCAGTTGTGTCTCTCATGCCTGGGGTTTCTGTCCAGTAAAGCGGTAATGGGCCGGAGGCCACCATCAACACATCCCCGTATAACTTGTACGGTGATTTCTGGTTACTGAGAGTTTATCCCAAAGTGACATGCTTGATGCATGGCCAGCAGGATAGCTCTACGTAGACGCAACCAAATTCACTTGTTAAAAGAGTCATTGATCATTCTGTGACTGTCGTGTGATAAGAGCTCAGTAAAGCTCACCTCTTTTGAATGATGGCCTCCTGCGATAAGGGTCCTGTCGGTCCATCGACTGCGGCGGCTGTCTGCAAGGTAAAAGCCATGTGGAAAGTAAAGCCTCAGGCAGGCTTGGACTTTCTCCCCGCGCCAAGACGCCGCAGCTCACCTCCCGCATAGTAAAAAAAAGTCACCGATTCGACAAACACCCTGCGCTTGCGCAGGTACAGCCATGCTGTCCAATCGCCCAAGACCCTTCACCTCTCCCGGCACGAGCAAATTCTTCAAGCCGGCCTTCCAGTATCTCTCGAACATCGCAAATACGCCGAAGCCATACCGGACCCACAGCCGCAGCAGCTCAATCGATGAGGGCGACCTTGAGAGCTTCCGGGATCATGATACTCCCCACGACCTTGCTGTTTCGTCGGGTATGAACCAGCACTCGAATAGAAGCTCCGGCGAGCTTCACCCGACCTCTGTACCGCTCATTGATTTCTCACGCTCGCCGTCACCTTATGCGCGGAATAGAAGTGCGGTGCACTCGGAAGATGAGGAGGATGAACTCGAGCCTGTGGCCCCTTTACAGCCCTTGATAGATCGGACTGTTGGGAACAGTAGACAAGGATGGCAAGACTCAGCGAATGAGGGGAGCCTGGGCGGCTGGCTCTTTGGAAGTCCGCTAGGCTGGCAAGTCTATGTTGGTCTGCTTGTCTTTCTGGTTGGAGGTTGTGGATTCGTTTTGCTATTGATGAATAGGTTCATCCTATGGAGTATGTACTGCTACCTACAAAAAATTCTTTTGCAAGTTCTTCCTAACTTTCTGTCTGACAGCCGGCGTCTACAAGTAATTGTTCCTCGACCTCTACCGGCCCCAGCACCACGACTGACTGTGTACAGATTTCCATACCCCCTGACAGCAACTTACCTCCAACTCCTCCTTACACACTTCCTTCTCGTAGGCTTTGCGAGCTTAACGCAAGGTCTTTCAAACCCACTTCATAGGCTAGGCCTGGGTGTAGCGGTCTCGCCATCACATCCAGTATCCACTAAAACCCCTGGTTACCGCGCGGAAGGAAAGTCTAGGTTTCCTTTCAGGCGATGGGTTGGCAGTGGTTCCGGTGGCATTGCGGGTGGCGGAACCTTTGAGTTCGACCGCAAGGTAGCCAGACAGGTGCTACCTCTTGCCATCACCTACGTCGGCAAGGTAGTATTGAGCAACATATCATTTGCGTGAGTACTTCCCCGGACGAGCATCCATCGCTGTCTGCACAATAGATTTCTGACGAAGTATAGTTACGCAACGCTCGAGCCTTACACCCTAACCCACCTCATCCCCTCCATCCCCCTAACCCTCGCCCTCACCGCCTACCTAACCTCCACATCCCACTCAATCCCCATCCTCTCCTCCACGCTGGCCGCAACCCTCAACCTCGCCCTCGCGTCCATCCGCCCCGCACGCCTAACCTGGGAATCCATCCTCGCCGGCCTGCTCTCCTCCATCTTCACAGCCCTCTACCCGATCCAGCTGCTCCAGACCTATCGGGCCCTGACCTCCGACCTCTCCGCGAGCACCGACACCGCCCTCACACCGACGCTCCACGCCGACGCCACCGCCGCGCCCCTTGCCGAAACCCGCGCGTTCTGGAGGACGCTGCACTACACGTCCCTCGTGTCGCTTCTTCTGCTGACCCCGCTCTGGCTCCTCGCAGGCGAGGCAGCGACGATCTACCACAACTGCTACTTCCTCGACGTGCCGTTTTTCTGGCTGCTGGTGTGCTGCGGCGCGGTCGCGAGCGCGGCGCTCTTTGCGTCGACGCTGTTGTTGGTTGGCGCGACGAGTCCGCTCACGGCTGCGTTCGTGGGCGTGCCGCGGGCGGCGCTGCAGTTGGTTTGCTTGGGCAGCGGGAGGACGCCGGTTAGGGGCTGGGTTGGGGTGGCGCTGTGCTGGGTGGCCGGTGGGTGGTTTTTGTGGGCGAGGCGGGGTGAGGGCCGCGGGGCGGCGAGGTGTAGGGCGCGGGAGCGGTAGTTGATGGGTTGCTTTACGGGATGGGGGACACGGAGCTGGTTCTGTGCGGAGATTCTGGCGTCTTTGGGGATCGGCTCTGCCGCGGGGTTCAGTTGTTAGATGTCCCTTTCGTCTCCGGCATTTGTTCTTTGGACGGGCTGCGAGATGACGGGGTGAGGGTCTGGCAGTGATAGGAAAGCGCATCGCAGCAGTTGCAGCGGCTTCACCACTGGACAGAATACCCAGCTTGTGCATTGTACGAACGGGAACAAGTGGCTAGTTCCTGAGTGAAGTGTGCGCATAAAGTTGAGTGGCTTGTTGGTTGGGGCTTTAATATCAGTCCCCTCTGCCGCTACGAATCCTCCTCTCTCCCCTTCGCTCTCTGTGAATGCGGAATGCGGAATGAGGCTCATCAGACCTCACTAAGTGCTCGAACAACCCAAGCTGATGCCCCCCCCTTACGCCTCGAAACAAACAAGAACAGTGGCACCGCGCATATGCAAATGCAGATGTGTCCCAAACAAGTGGCGAGAATCTCGCGACATGAAAAACCCTCTCACTTCGAATCTCAGATCCAGCTCGTCATCTCTCTCTTCCTTTCTCGTGATTTTCCTCTAGATCCTTTCCCCCCCTCATCCACTACTAATCACCACCCTCGCCCCCTCCTTCCCCAGCACCCCCCGCTCTCTCGCCTTCGGACTATGTCCCCTCCCTCCCCTCTTCCTACTCAAGAAGCCAAGCATGCCGTTCGGCCTGCCGCCCTCTCCGCCCTTCCCCCTCCCTCCCTCCTCGTCCTCCCCGCTGCGGAACCCCCCATCCCGCCGGCCCGGCGTGACCATCGCGCTGCTCTGGTTCGCCATCTCGGACCAACTGCCCGTCTCGTTGAGCACGACCTGCACGCCGCCGCCCATGGAGGTGGAGCGCGTGGAGCCGCGCTGGCGGTTGATGGGGCGGCTGAAGGAGGGCGGGGTGGCGGAGCGCAGGGAGGCGATGGTGGATGCGGAGGGGTGGGGTTGTTGCGGCGAGGCGGAGCGGTTTGTGGCCGTTGGTGGGGTTGGGAAATGCTCGTGGGCGTCGCGGGGAGGGTGCGAGGTTGGGCCTGGGATGGTGTTGATGGAGGAGGAGCTCGTGCTGGTGGTGTTTGTCGCGGCGAGGGTGGAGGTGGGCAGGGGAGGCGAGCCGTTTGGCGAGTGCGTCGCTGTGCTCACGCGGAGGGTCTCTTCTGTGATTGTTCGGTTTGCGGAGCCGGGGCGGTGCCATTCTGCTTGTGATGTCGTGGAGTTGGATGTTGTGGATGTCGTCGCGCTGGCGATTGTGGAGCTCGCGGCTGGTCGCTCCGGCGCTACTATCGTGTAGTTGAAGGGCTCGAAAAGGGTCTCGATCATCTTGTGGAGTTCCTCGGCGCGTATCTCCTGCTCTGTCGCGTCATCTTTTAGCTGTTCCCTCGGCTTCTGCCGCCGCGCTCGGGCTTCGAGCGGTGCTTCTTCGAGAAGCAGCTCCTCGAGATCGTACGTGGCGTCGAAGTTAGTTTTGTCGCTTGCTGGTTTGAAAATGGGTTCTATCTCTTTCCTCTCTAGTGCTTCGAAGTCTATGGGGCGGAAGAACGGGTTGTCTGTGAACGTGTCGAAGCCGATTGCCCCTATTCGCCGTGATCGGTCCTTTTCTAGCAGCGAGCTGATGGCGTGTAAGCAGGGCATCGACACTGGCGGGCTCGTAACCGGAAACTGTGGCTCCCCCTTGGAAATCTTCGCCGCTAGAGCCTCGTGTGTGTTTCCGTCGAAGGGCCGCTGAAGAGCAGTCAGCATCGGGCATGTCATAAGCCGGACAACTATCCTACCTTGTTGTAGATGCACTCGTAGAACAGCACGCCCAGTGACCACCAGTCTACCTCACAGGAGTAGCCCTTCCCTTCATAGACCTCCGGCGCCAAGTATGCCAGCGTACCCGATTTGCTTGTCAGGGGCTTCGAGGGTACGAAGTCCGACGCAACATTCTACAATCCGTTAGCAGCTGCCTTGTGCTTCTATTCACGCTTGAGGCGACCCACAAAGTCCGCCAGATGCACATGGCCGTCCGAATCCAGCAGCACATTATCTGGCTTGACATCCCTGTGCACTATCCCCTGCTTGTGTATGTACCGGAGCGCGCAGCCCAGCTGGGCGATCCAGAACCGTACAGCCTCCTCGGTAAACGTCTTTCTGGAGATGTGGAATCGAAGGTCTCCGCCGTTCATTAGGTCTACAACGATGTACCTGCCGCCGGGTCAGCTGCCGCCGCATCTCGAGTACGGTCCCCGCAGTCGGGAGCTTAGACACGTACAGATACTCAATATCCTGGAAGCTGTATCTCAGATTGCAAAGGAAAGGATGATTTAGATGTTCCAGCATCCGCCGTTCTCGAATGATGTTGCGCACGCTTTCCGACCGGACCACTGTTACACAGCGTCAGCGGTCGTTCGCGAAGTTTCAAGGCAACCCCGGTAAGAACCGACCTTCATCTTTCCGTATGTACTTCAAAGCGAATGTGAGGCCAGTGTCTTTCCGCTCCACGATGCGCACTTTGCCGAACGCGCCCTTGCCGACAACGCGTAGTAGGCGGAAGTGATTGAGATTTACTGCACGGAGGGTATCTGTTAGCCAGCAGTCGGACTTGGTGGTCATGAATCGGGGGAGTTGGCGAATGCAGCAGGGTGGTTGGCGCCTCGGTCATCCGGCTAGGAGACATGAGATGGTGTAGGGTTGAATACTCACCCTCATCGGTAAAGACTACCGGCTTCCCGTTCGAATTGCCCATGTCGCCGGCGCAGAAGAGGATCTCTCGATGTTGTGGGCGGCTCTCATGGAACTGAGGATGCTTTAGACGATGAACGTATCACAGAGGAGGGCCGCAAAGTTTGTATTGGTGGGGTCTGACAGTCTGACAGTCTAACAGGCGCAAGCAGTGGACGATCCGTGGTTGAGACGTAGGCCTAGGTCCTTGCGGGTGCAGGCTGTGGTCGACAGGCTCAGCGCTACCAAATCTCCCCGTATCTCGCACTCCCACAAACGCTCACAAAGTCGGAGAGAACAGTGGGCGAAGGCCGTTTCTCGGGATGCAGATAGTGAAACACTAGCAGTAGGGCCGGACACGTGAAAGCTGGGGAGAGGGAGCGACAGTGGAAGAGGCCGTGAGCTGGACCTGGATCGGGGATGGCGTGCAAGATGAAGGGAATGAATGACGAGTCGTGCCTTAGCAATGCTCGCTCATTTTCTGCCTGTGCAGGGCGTGGTCGGTCATGCAGGAGAGGACAAGGAAAGAGCCACGTTTGTGGCTGCAGGGAAAAGCGGAGCGGGCTCTTAGGTATGTGTCGGAAATCCGTGGCTGCTGTCAGGCACCGGACAGGTGAAAGGAAGGCGGCCAATCTGCGGACATGCGCTCGTTCACTCATCTCATCATTCGTTCCCTCCATGGACAAGCAACAAACGCATTGTTCGCAGGCGACGACCGGCCTACGGCACGGCTTCAGCGTTGCGCCTTGTGTCTGCCAAAGGGTGTGCTGAGGCATCCCTCGCTGGCCGAGGCAGCTCACCCGCAGAGAAGACTCTCCGAGAGTCCGGTTATGGTTGTTCGACAGAGTTTGCCATAAGAAAAGCCACCCAGAAGCGCTCGCCCGCCGCTCGTATCCGGCTCAAATCCACGCCTTCGCACCCGCGGCTTGTATCGCTCAGCTAGCTCCTTGGGGTTAATTATCGCGGCACCGCAACTTCTCTGCAAGCCAAACCACCCCGGGGCCTCTCAAAGTTCTTCAGTGCAGTCCCTTGGTTCACGGGGTTTTCAGCCTGCAGATGGGCGTCGCACACCGCCTGTCCGAACCGCGTTCCATGCACTCCACCCCTGCACTGCTGCCGCGAACAGGCAGAGATTTGCTGCACATCATCGCTCCTCCACGTGAAAGGCGCATCTCTGCCAAGTCTGGAGAATCCGCCAACCGAGAAGGACGCGCCAAAGAATTCTCCTATCGTGCTTGTGTGGCTTGCTGCCCGCCTGCACTGGCAGGAAGGAGACTCGTGTCGGACGCCACGAACGCCCTCCTTTGCCTTCGCCTGTCGATCAATGTTAAGCATTGTCTCTATTAGCATTTAGCACAACGCCTCCAGGCGTGGAACAGGAATGACTTCCGGTAGTTCACGGCGGAGAGCGGACGCGACTCCGAATAGCAATTACTTCAATTGTTTAGAATAGAAGCAAAAGGATGAGAAGAAAGAAAACACGTTGCGGATCATTGCTCAACGCTGGCGAGCACCATGAAAAGTTCGCCGCCGCGCTGACGGTGGATAACGCAAAGGTAGGTCATAGAACAAGGACATCTCAAGTAGCCAATGCACTAAAGGGCTGCACTGCTGAACATCTTGTTCCTTCTATTGCATGTAATCAGTCTAGCTGCTCTGCAATTGACGAGATCGTGAGTCCAGTTTGATTATGAATCGGGTTGAAAAGGCCACCAGCCAAGATGCGGCTACAAACTTTTCGGATGGCCCTTGGGCCACAGAACCGCCTTCCTCATACAGTATTCAACCAGTCCCTTCCGGCAGGGGACGTATGTAATCCGCGGGTATAATTCAACTGGGCACAACTTGCCCCCTCCATCTCGGCACCGAGCTACTCCGTCTGCGCCGCGCCAATGGACAAAGCAGTGCATCTGCCGGCGGCCCTCCCCATTGATCTGAGATATTGAGAAGGTGACACGGGATTGAACTGCCGATACGAGATGAGCCACGATGCGGCTGCATATTCTCGCTCCACGTTTCCGGGTACTGTCCCCTGACGAAGATCGAGATAACAAGGAGTCCACCAAGGCGTAGCCGTACGGCCCGTATAGTTAACTAGGTTAAACTACCCACGCTAGCTAAGACATCTAACCTCTCAACGTCGTATCCACAACTCCACCGCTTTCATAACTGGATGAAGCAGAAGACGTATACCGCCACTTTGAACCCTCAACCCGCTTTCATTGCTTCTCCCTCACCAATCTTTAGGCAAAATCCCACTCTTGTACATCCCCTGGCCCTAAAACACCACCGCCCCCCCATCAACCACCAAATCCGCCCCATTGACAAAACTCCCCGCGCGACTACACAGCAGCACCAACGGCCCCGTCAGCTCGGCCGGCACCCCCATCCTCCCCATCGGGTTCCGCTCCGCCCATATTTTCCTGGCAGACTCGAGGCCCGCGCCCTCGTTCAGGATGGTGTCCATGTAGCCCGGCGAGATGGAGTTGACGCGGATGCCGTAGCGGGCCCACTCGGCGGCGAGGCAGTTCTTGAGGTGCAGGAGCGCGGCTTTGGAGACGTTGTAGGCGGATTGCGGCTGGGGGTAGTTGACGCGGTGGGCGGAGATTGCTGGATGGAGGGTGGGTGGTCAGCATTGCCCTCTACTTGACATATCCGGTTCTGAGACTAGTAGAAGCAGAGACGGCGGGATGGAGACGGATGAGAGGAGAGCTATCTCACAAGAGATGAACACGATACTCCCGCCCCGCCCCTGCCCAACCATCTCCCTCGCCACCGCCTGCGCGCAGATGAAAGCCCCCGTGGCATTGATGTCCATTGTTCTTCTCCACTCCTCAGGCTTCATGTCCAGCGCGTGCACGCAGCCCACAACGCCGGCGTAGCACACCAGCATATCCACGCTGCCAAGCACCCCGCTCACCTCCCCAACGGCGCGCGCGACTTCGTCCGCCCGCGTGACATCCACCTGCTTCACCAATATTCTGGCGGCAGGGAAGTCCCTAGCAAGCCCCTCGACCGCGTCCGCCGCGCTCTCCGCATCTCGATCGAGGAGCGCCAGCCCTGTTAGGCCATGCTCGAGCAGTGCGCGTGCGCCGGCGAGGGCGAGAGTGCCGGTGCCGCCGGTGACTTTTTGCGCCAGTGTCAGCACATATCCAGCACCGTTCTGAGACCTTGAGTGGAAAGCAGGGAGAGTGCAAACACAGACGTCGTCTGTTACATCCGTTACCTACTGATGGCGTTGCCCTGGACCGCGAATCGGTGCTGCGCGCGTCCTTCTGGCGTCAGGTGGAGGGGTGCTGGCGGCGGCGGCGCGGTTAGGGAGCTTGGTGAGCCGTCGGAGAGCTGCATTTCGGGGATTTGGCGGTTGACGAGACCGTTGCGGTCGGAGAGGGTGGTGGGCATTTTGGTGGCCGTGGATGAAGTGTACTCTTGGATTGCGACGTATGTTTTCTTTAGGCGAATTGAACTCTGAGAACGAAGAAAGAGGAATTCTGTAAAAAGTAAGGAGAAAGGAAAGAGCAACCTTTGTAAAAATTACGAAATGTAAATAAAGCGCCCCGACCTACATCGTGAGTTTCGTGGCCCCCGAAAATGACCCCTTGAAGCACGTCACGAGACGGTCATCGAGAACTGCAGGTGAGCCACTCGCCCAAGCTTACGCCTTGAACGGACTCCAGCAAAGCGGTGAGACTCCCAACATAATGGACGAGCCCGATATCAAGCACCCAGCTCTCCAAGGCTTGTCGAGTATTTTCTCCCAGCCGGACTTCTGTGCTCCGCCCCTGGGGCAGCCCCACCATACCAAACCGGCAATGCTGCCGATAGTCCGCTAGAGTAACAGTCCAAAGACAGGCTGTTCGGTAGCACTGGCCTCAATACAGCAGCCTCCCACATACAGTAGCGTGTTCAATGGGGAGAGGATGCTAGGTACCTTGTGGATGTAAAGCACTGAGACCCACGATAGTCCAGGGGTCCGAGACAGGTGATGAGGTGCACGGCCATTCTTTGCTAGCGAGTTGCGGCTCGACTTCCGCAGCAACTACTTACTGAACACGTTACACCAGCGCCCGAGACCGGAGCTGTGTGGTCCGATGGTGCCGGTGAAGACGGAGTTGTGAGGCAGTGGAAACCTGGAAGCTGGGGGTGGTGCTGGAGAGGAATTGAAGGTCGAGCGAGCACTCTGTCTAGGGTACTCTAGATGAGACCAGGGCGCTGATGTTGGGAAAGTAAGGTAAGGCATGTTGCCCGTAGCCGTGAGGGATGCCTGGCCTTAGTCTTGTCGATTGTTAGGCTGAAGTGATCGCAGCGAGGAGATTACACAGTTCAGGATCAATCTAGAGCTGGATATAGCCCACTTTCTTTGAGCACTTGGACATTTACAGGAACACATCTAATGGTGGGCCCAAGTAACTGTAGGACGCCCAGCAATAACGTGACAGACCGGTAGGCTAGCTCACTCAAGAGCTTTCCACTTCACATTCACCAAGAAGACCAACATAGGGCTTGCAGTAATTGGATTGATCCCCATAAACCTTGTCAAATGTTCTATGGCATTATCCAAGTACTGAACTTTAACATTAACCTCCTGCAAGCGGATAGCTTCCCTTCGGCCTCCTACTCCCCCTCTTCATCCTGACTCCAAACCGGCGGCCCCGGCAAACTGAAATTCACCAGCGAATCCGGCAGCAACTGGCTTACCGTAACAAGCCCTCCACCACCACCACCTCCTCCTTCTCCCCGCTTCAGCTTCCCCTGAGTCTCGCGCCCCTGCTCGAAAACCTGCGACGAGAAGTCCGAAGGCGGCAGCGGCAGCGGCGATGACGATGCCCCCTCATCCACCGGCCTAACGAGCGGCGAGCTCGGGATGTAGACGACCTCGTCCTCTGCTGGCTTTGCTAGAGGGGAGTCCGGTATGCGCGTGACTTCGAGAACGGGAGAGGATGCCTGGTGCCGGGGGCTGGGAATTAGAGTGTGTTGGGTACGCCGGGCAGCTTGGGTGATGTCGACGGTGGTGGCCTGCGAGAAGCGCGGCTGCTGTGCTGTTGCTCGTGCAGCTCTGGGGAGCCAGTAGGAGTAGTCGGCGTGCTCGTCGGCCTGGAGATCGCGCAGGAACTCGCTACTCTGCTGTTCTAGTCGAGGCCGTGACGTCCGGGCCTGGGTGACGGGCGGTTGGCTGTCGGCTGCGAGGAGGTCTTCGTCGGTGCCGGTGCTGTTTTTGACGAAGTTGGGCCGCGTGGTGCGCGGCAGTACGAATGGGTTATCTAGTGGCGGCGGCGCTCCGGGCTTGAGGCTGCCTTTCTGGGTGGGAACGTCGAGGTCGATCTCGAAAGAGCGGACTGTGGAATCTGGCAGACCGACGATGTCTTCGTCGTCGTCTGCGATATCGTCTCGTACGATGCTTGATCCGAGGTATATGTCGGATAAGACGGTCCTGTCCCCGAGGGCTTGGGTCTCCGGGCCTATGAGATATCGGATGCTGTCCTGCCCAAGATGTGTCGCCTGAGTAGGCTCATTTGGTCGTTGCTCAGCTTCTGCAGGAGCGTGATGGACCTCGACCTCGACCTCGTGATCGCCATCATCTTCCGTTTCTTCATCGTCAATAGATTGGGAGTCTGGAATAGTAGTCTTCCTGGTCAAGCGTACCGGGCCGGGAGTCGGGTTCGGGTTGAACAGCTTCGCCGGTAGCGGCGGCATCTTGAAAGGCGTTTTCTTTGCACTAGCGATGTCGTCTGCAAAGAGGACCGTCCTCAACTTCGAAGGCGTCTCCAAGATTGCTTGCCGATTGACGGATCTCTCTTTCAGCGGCGACCTCGTGCGTCGGCTATGCGGTGTCTGTGTCCTCTGTGTCGAGAGCGGCGTAGCGGGCGGAGACTGCGATGAGGGCACCTCCAGCACTCGTACCTTTCGCGGTGTCCTTAGTCGTGGGACTCTCGCAGGGCTACCGATTGCTCGCTGTGATGCCCCTTGGGGCCGCTTCATCAATCTCGGAGATCTTCTCACGGCTGGGGCGGCATCTTCCTCGTGAGGGTATTCCTCCCGCATCCTGTGGTCCAGGAACAAGCCCTGATATGACTCCTGAACAGCTCCATCCTGCGGATCTTTTCCAGCGGTCCTAGCAGCCTCATAAAGTGCATCCGCCATTCGGGTCACCTCTCCTTCGGCCTCATGCACATCCTGCCCCGACGCCAGCACGTCATCCTCCAACATCTCCCCCTCTACCTCCTCATCATCACTCCCCACCCCCACAGCCGGCCACACCATCTGCGTTAGTGTCGTCTGCTTCTTCCCGCTCCCGCTCTCTCTTCCATCCCCATCACTATTCCTCTTCCTCTTCTTTCTCGGCCTCTCCTCCGCCCACTCCTCCTCCCTTTCATCCTCATCCTCTCCTCTACTACCACCCGAGAAACTCGACACAAACCCCACCTGCGTAAGCGTCTCTTGCCTTTTCACTGGCGTCCTGGTCTCAGTCGCTGCCGACGTCTTGACTGACCGGCGCCGGTTCGGGAAGCGCTGCTGCTTCTGCTGGAGACGCGGGGAGACGCGGTAGACCGTCTCTGGATCATTTGCGCGGCGGCGCGTGCGAGGCGGCATAGCCACTGTGCTAGCAATGCTGTAGTCGTTGGGTATAGCAGGTGGTTGAGTGTCGGTCCCGTCGGGTGCGGTGTCTGTTTCCGATGGGTTCCCGACGGGGAACGGGTGACGTTTACGCGACGCGGGGGAACACGAACGTGACACGCGCGGGCTGAGGACGGGAGTACCCGCAACCGCAATATTGAGTATCACGTCAATGCAGAAAGTATCTCTTGCAAAGGCTAAGAATCTAGCTTGCGTGGGAAAGGGTCTAATGAGAAAAGTATGACTGCCTGGTGCGCGGAGCAACCATGCGCTTCACACGATGTCTAGCCCCATGCAATGAAACGGACTACACAGTCCTAGAGCAACAGCCTTCCACACAACCCCTTACACCCTCCCAAACTTCTCTAACTTCAACAAAAACGCAATCCCCACAACCGGCAACACACTGACCAGCTCCCCCAACCCTGCATAAGCCGGCGGAATCCTAACCCCATGCAGCGCGCTGAATGCCCCCGCCGCCAGCGCAACAGCAAAGACATTATACACGAATGACCAGATGAAGTTGATAATCATCTTGACGTACGCGCTCTTCGAGAGCTGCAGCACCGTAAGCACGCCCCTCAGATCCGGCCGCATCAGCACGACATGCGCCGCCGAGCGTGCGACGTCCGTTCCGCCCTGCATGTGCACGCCGATATCCGCCGTTGCCAGCGCCGCGGCGTCGTTGGTGCCGTCGCCGCAGAAGAGGACGAAGTCGTTGTCCTCGGTTTGGAGTCGCCGGATGAACTCGAGCTTGTCTTCGGGCGTCAGCCGCGCGTGGACGTTCTCTGCTGGGATCGGGAGTTGGCGAGCGACCTGTTGGACCGCGGCTTCGTGGTCGCCGCTGATGATGGACACGCAGATTCCGCTCTCGCTCAGCTTCTTGGCAACGTCGTGTGCCTCGGTGCGGAAGTCGTCTTCGAGGCCAATGAGGCCGTGGAGCTCACCGTTGAATGTGTAGCCGAAGAGGGAATAGCCGTTTTGAGCTAGCTCGAGGGTCGTAGGCAGGCTGTCGATTCCAAGCCACCGCGGATCGCCCGCTCGGATCGTGAGGAGGCCGTCTGCGGAAACACCCTCGATCCCTTGGCCGAGGTGTTCCTTTTTGGAGGAGAGTGCCACGTTGCTTTGGCTCGTGGCAGGCGCTTGAGCGAGATACTTGTGGACAGCAGCAGCGACGGGATGGCTGACGTTGGCGCAGAGTTCCAGTAAAAACTTGTTCTCGTCCGCAGGATTGAAGGGCGGCAGCTGTGAGGATATCAGCGGGGTGAGGACCTCAAAAGTAACCTCCATGCGGCCACTGCCATCCTTCTTGATATTTGCGAAGGAGTGGAAAGCCCTCGCCTGCTTGAATCTTCATGGTAGCCAAGCCTTTCGCGATGTCCGATATTCGGCATGGTAGCCTGCTTGCTTTTCCAAGCTACATTGTCTGCAGGTTAAACCCACGAAATCATACAGAGCAGTACCCTGTACCATAGGGAGATATGAAGGAAGCTTACCCGAACAAGAAGGTCTGGCCTGGTGGCGTGTGACAGATGTGCTACGACCTTCATCCGACCTTCAGTGAGCGTACCCGTCTTGTCGAAAACAACGTGCGTAACCTTCCTGGCTTGTTCGATCGTTACAGACGCACGGAATATGACGCCGTGTTTCGCCGCAACGCCGCTTGCGATGGCAACGACCATCGGAACAGCCAGGCTGATGGCGCAAGGACAAGAAACGATCAGCGTGGCGATAGCGTATGTAGTAGCTTGCACAGCAGCTTCCCCATTCGACTTGTCCTGAAATTCGGTACCGACGAGCATCCAAGTTACGAAGACGATAGCAGTGATGCTGAGAATAAGAGGGACGAAATAAGTTGCAACGTTGTCAGCCAGCTTCTGTGCGGGCGATTTGGCCATGTCGGCTTCGTCGATCATTTGTGCAATAGCGCTGACGGTATTGTTCCACGGGGGGCGGGTAACAGCAATATCGAGCGAGCCATCCAAGTTGACAGATCCAGCAACCACCGACGAATGGATCCCTTTGGCGACAGGATTGGTCTCTCCGGTAACCATGGATTCGTCCACTACAGAGCCGCCATAAACGACCTTACCATCGGTGACGATTGCAGCATGTGGCGGCATTCTGAAGACATCACCCTCTTGCAAAAGTCGTGCATCAATCTCTCTCGTGTGCTCCCTGTTTTGACCTGTAAGGCTTGTCAGCTAGGAACGTTCATGCAACTTCAGAGCTGCCGATGTGCATCGGCGCAGGAGCTCGCCTGCAAAGCAGCCGGTGAAACTTCTATGTGGGGCCTCTGGTACTTACCATCGACCAGCAACGCCTTCTCTGGTTGCAGAGAACGCATCGATATAGCCTCTGTGGCTTTTTGGCGGGCCAGCTGTTGGATGTACCGACCGAACATGATTAACGTCGTAAGCAGTGTGCTGGTCTCAAAGAAAGAGTCTATCGATAGAGGTTGCCCTTTTGCGAGGTATGCGAATGCAACAACGGAGAAGACGTAGGCTGCTGTTGTGCTCAGCGCGATCAGTAGCTCCATCTCTACAACTCGAGTTCGGAACAGGCTCTTGAAAGTGTCCGGGTAAAGGTGATAGGTAGCGATTGCTTGAACAAGGGTAGCTAATGCAAGTGATATTGCCTGATAGGCCAATCTCGGCCCCTTAACAGGAGTCCAGGCAAACACCAGGACAGGAATCGTTAGGACCAGAGTGATCGCGAAGACGATCCCTTCCATGCGGACTTGCTCCCTTCCATCCTCAATAGAATAGTCGGGTTCAGGGGGTGCGAGCTCAAGATCGGCCGGTAGTATCTCCTCAAGCGCGTCTCGAACTTTTGCCCCAGGTTTGAAGTAGATACGGACAGTCTTGTCATTCAGGCGCTCCATGTACTTGACGCCTTCAGGCGGCGGCTTGTTAGCCATGGCGGCGGCATTTTCAACAACGACGTCAAGAAAACGCTTGTGTTCGGGATTGATCGCCCTGAATCCGTACGGCGTCATTCTCCTCAGATGTGCCAAGGCTTCCTCGACGGATACATGCTTCAAGTCGATGTCGAACTCGGCTCGAGAACGTATCAGGTTGGTCCTGACGTTGGCCACGGAAGGAATGGCGTCGATGGCTGTCTTGAGTTTCTGCTCGCAACCGCTGCAGGTCATCCCTCTGACAATGAGCACAACATGTTCATGCTGAGCAGGGCCAGATTCAAGATCCTTGAAAAGTCGCGTAGCTGAGTTCGGCGAGGTGCTGTTGCTACTTGTCTCGCTATCTGGCTCCGGGGTCGCATTTGAGGCCATAGTAGTGATGGAGGTAGAAATTATCTAGCAGTATGAATGACTATGACAGACGGTGATGTTGGATGCAGAAAGGGAGAGGCGCGCCGTAAGAGACGGCGTTGTTAGCGGCCTTACATGTATGCGCCTACTGTATTGACAGCGGGAAGCTGCCCACCTAGGAAAGGAGACTCCATAGAAATCTGGCTTGACACGTCGAGGGAACCACGGCCGACTTACCGTTCACACGGCTAGTTGGATCGAGGAACCTGGATTTAATCAGTGTCCTGTTGCTGGCCAGCTCAGCAGAGTACTGTGCAAACGAAGCTATCAAATCTTAGTGCTACCCCGTACCTCGGGATTACAGCCGGCTGTGTAGCGCGGAACGGGGATCCTGTGATATGAGTTCCACTGTGTTGCGGAGGTCTTGCCATACTGGCATCGGTCGAGTTCATCTCAATCAACAAACAAATTCAAGTCAATGCGGTGGTCGGGCAAGCGCCCAAGCGGGAGTGACATCCAGAGCGCACAGGACGGTTTGCTCATTGTCCAGCCTGCTGCAAGGGACTTTAGGCGCGAAAGTAGGCACATCTTGTTGAGGTGGTTGTCGTGGTCTTTGCCAAATGAGCGGTCAGTCCTTAACACATCAGCGTCCTGGGCGTTGCTCTCCATGCCGCTCCGGTGGAGGATGAGGTCGAGATAGAGACACGCGCACGTGCCATCGCGGCGGATGCGACACGCTCTCCCTCCGTCTTCACGTCATTTGCTTACGGACAGTTCGACTCGTGTCAGTAACGGGGAACAATCACTTTCACTGCCCATGTCAGGCTACAACATCCGAGTTGTCAGTCCAGTCATAAGGCGCAAATGCCGAGCGAAATCCCTCGCGCCGCACCTGCCAAACGAACCGCGCAGCTGCACCCTCCACCTCGGCCGTACTCACCTTTAGCCATACAATGCCTCGTGGAAGGGGAAAGTTAGCCGCAAGGAATGCGGCTTCCAGGACCGGGACTTCGACTCGGCGCAGTCCGCGCATACCCAAAGCCGCCCGGAACGATGGCATACCAGGTATCTATGACGATCTGTTGGCCGAGGCCGCAGCCTCTACAGCGAGTGAGGATACGGACTCTACGAGGCCTCTGAAGAAACGGAAGTTAGCTGGGCGTAGACCAGCAACGCAGGCTGAACCGACATCAAACAACGCTACGGCCAAGCTTCTGCCCGAACCCGCCGTGAACCAAGCCAGTGTTTCTGAGCACGATTCATCCGACGAGTTCGAGGATGTCTTAGAGAGCCGTCCTGTGCAGACTGTCATAGACTCAGATGAGTCTGAGGAGAGCGAAGAGGAGTGGGAAGATGTCTTGCGGCACAATGGAGGAGCAGGTCCCGACACATTGCTCGCCGAGCCTGATATAAGCGGTTTCTCTATTGATTTAAGCAAGAAGCCGGACACTGAGTCGCCAAGACGAGTGCGGAGGAAGGCTGCCACAGGTGCTGAAAAGCTGCGCCGGCTGCAGATACATAAAACACATCTGCTGTATCTTCTATACCATGTACACATTAGAAATCACTGGTGTAACGACACCAGAGTTCAAGTGCGATGAACTAATCTCCAACCTACTTCCTCAGTCGCTGACGCTTTTGTAGGCGGCACTGAAGCGGCTGGTTGATCGCAAGCTTATCCCGTTCCTCCTCCCAGAGAACACACTATCGCAGTTCGAGAGAAATCGATCTTTCTTGCGAGGTCTCGATCAAGTCAGTGAGATGTGGAAATCAAAGTACACCATAAACGCTGTGGGACTTAAGAGACCTCACTGGGCAGAAAATGCAGTGGAGCTCGAGGAGGTGTGTATGGACTCGAAGAGGATCTGAGGTCATCCTTTAAAAGGCCTTTCGCGATTGTGCAACCTTCTTACTGACCCCTTCCAGTTCAAGCTCCCCCCAAACGTCGACCCACCGATGGACCTCCTAGACTTCCGTAAAGCTGCAAAAGACCTGGAAGGCTCCGACGATCTCGGGGCTCAGCTGTTTTGCGCCCTTCTCCGCTCTATAGGCGTGGAAACCCGCTTGGTGTGCTCGCTCCAACCGCTTCCTTTCGCGGCGAGTGCTCAGGCGCCAGTATCGAAGCCCAGCACACCGGCAAAGACGACAATCTATGTAGACCACTCAGCCGACGAGCGTGACAGCACGAAGGAAGACACCACATCGAGGGCCTCGATCGCTGCTCGTGCATTTGGCGGTAGTTCTACTCCGCAGCCGATCAAGAGGATCCAAAGATTGGGACAGCGAGGCCGTAGCCCCGCGATTGATGCGCGTTTAGCTCCTGCAACCATTACACCGCCGAAACCGAAATCCACGTACAAGCCCCAGTACCCCGTATACTGGGTTGAGGCTTTCAACACCGCCTACCAGAAATGGGTGGCAGTAGATCCGCTTGCTACCGCGTCTGTCAATAACCCTACCAAGCTCGAACCGCCGATGAGCCACCCTGACAACGCCATGAGTTACGTGGTCGCTTTCGAGTGTGATGGCGTCGCGAGAGACGTGACGAGGAGGTATACCAAGGCTTACAACGCCAAGACGCGGAAGTTGAGGGCCGAGAGCACGGAAGGAGGGGAGAAATGGTGGAGGAAGGCTATGAGGGTCTTTCGGCGAGCGAAGGTCTTGGTACGCTGATCTAGTAAACGTCTGTATTGCACCACGCTAACTCCGTAAAGGATCGAGACCAGGTCGAAGATGCAGAGCTAGCGAAGAAAGAAGCCGCCGAAGGCCTGCCCCGGAACGTCCAGGACTTCAAAGACCACCCAATTTACATGCTCGAGCGACACCTCAAGCACAATCAAGTAATACACCCCAAGCGGGAATCCGGGAAAGTCAGCGCCGGCAGCGGCTCCTCCGCCAAGCCCGAGTCCATCTTCCGCAGACGAGACGTCCATATCGTTAGGAGCGCCGACAAGTGGTATCGCTTCGGCCGCGAAGTGAAGGTAACTCCCTTACCCCTTGCCCCAGCCTTCCAATGTCAAACAAACCTCACCTCTTCCCAGCCAAACGAAATCCCACTCAAGTTCGCCAAACCCCGCCAGAGTCGCCACCGGTCAGCAGCATACGACGACGAAGACGACCCTCTCGACGTCCCCCTCTACGCCTTCTTCCAAACAGAGCCCTATATCCCTCCCCCCGTCGTCAACGGCCTTATCCCCAAAAACGCCTACGGCAACCTCGACGTCTATGTCCCCTCCATGGTCCCCCCCGGCGGCGTGCACATCCGGGCCGCCGAGGCCGCCAAAGCCGCGAGGCTGCTCGGCGTCGATTACGCGGACGCGGTGACGGGATTCCAGTTCCGGGGCCGGCACGGAACGGCGGTGTTGGAGGGGGTGGTTGTTGCGGAGGAGTATGGCGAGGCGGTGCAGGCGGTTGTGGATGGGTTTGCGGATAGGAGACTTGAAGAAGAGGAGAGGAAGAGGGCTGCGGTGGCGCTGGGGATGTGGAGGAGATTTTTGAAGGGGTTGAGGATTGTGGAACATGTGAGGCAGTATGAGACGCAGGAGGAGAAGGTGAGGAGGATTGCGGAAGCGATGGATGAGGGTGAGGAGGAGGTGGAGGAAGAAGAGGATGTGGGGGCGGGCGGCTTCTTCCCGGATGCTATGCAACGCGACGCAGCGGAGCCCACTGCGCGAAGAGCTAGGTCTGGAATCGCAGGCGGCGATGTTTACGGCGGCGGTTTCGTGCCGGACGGCACTGGTACTAATGTCGATTACGGCGGTGGCTTCATGCCCGAGGAACCAGAAGGCGGAGGCTTTGTACCAGATGATGAGAGTGCAATGGTCGATGGCGGCGGCTTCGTGGCCGAAGATGATGAGGGCGGCTTCATGCCGCAGGAGGAGACCGCTGCAGAAGGAGGCGGCTTCATGGCAGCGGAACACACAGACAACGCAGATTACGAAGATACCTTACGAGACCCTGGCCGGCGGCGCAGAAGGCGCGTGCAACTCAGCTCTTCGGATGAGGACGAGGAACGCGACGACGACATTGTTATGTCGGGTGCTCTGTCGGTTGACGGGAACGGCAATGGAGGGTCGACCGCACCCGAGCCATTGGTATTGGACGGAGAAGCAGGAGGGTTTGTCAGGGAGGAGAGGGTTGCAGAGCTAGAGGACGGGAATGGCACAGCTTCCAGGTCGTCCGACGATGAGCAATACGATGATGACGCAGATTCTGCTACCCAGGAAGCTATCGCACAGAGCTTGGAAGATATGCACGCCTTCACTAACCATAGTCAAACGATAGCACCGGCAGAAAGCTCCGTGGAGGTTGCAGAGGCTACAAACAGCTCTGAAGCCGAGGCAGCCACATCGCATCTTGTGCCGGAAACGACGCGTGAGAAATCGGTAGATGTAGAGGTCACCTCAAGCGATGAGCGCGGTTCATTACTTTCCCATGATCCGGAAGACGAAGATGCGGAGCCAGAGTGGCTGATGAGCGATTGAATCAGAATAACAATCTTGAGACTTATCTAAGCTATATAGCCTCACAGTATACATCCATCATCAATTTGCATGCCTCGTTTCTCGCCAGAAGACCCCAGTGCGGTCAACCGTTTCTTTTAGGAAATGCTACGCCCGCACTAGGATCGCTGAAACTCGATCCGAAACTACTGCTGATTTTAAAATGTGCGGCCGTTTGGAT